GGCGCCGAAGCGCCCCCTATGGGCCGGCCGCCACTGTGTAAACCCCCAACAGTTGGCGAGAATTTGGGAATTGCGGCCTTTGCTTTTGTGCTCCTGCTCTTGATCATTAACGTCGCTGTTCTTTCTTGGATGGGCTGGCAAAAGTGTGCTGATAAACCAAACAACTCCATAACCCCTGCTAAAAGTAAACATCACCATCGATCATTCTCTGTCAGGTCTACTTTCTAGCCTGTTTTATGTAAATAATTTGATTTCTTGGGTCTTCTTCTTCTTAAAGGCTTCCTGGACCTGAGAGGTCACCAAAGTAAGTCTCTACAAGGACAAAAATATTCTTGTTTGCACTTTGTTAACCCCAAACTAGCTGAGTCAGAGGGTACTATACATTAACAATATTATGACATTTTTCTGCTCACAGGAGAGGTTTGCAACAGACTGACACTGATGGAGATGTATACATGAATTACTCAAGCACTAACCAAGCCTACAGTGATCTGGACCCTGCCAGTATGACTAATGACAACGTGTATTCAAGTCTGTCATAAATGTCTGGGTGAAGGTGGAGATGTGCAACAAGAAGAGGACAGGAATTAAAATATATATCAAGCCAGGAAATGTCTCTGTAGAGCTCAGCGTTTGCTTTAGCCTGATTTATGAAGTTACTTTGAAATAGCTATGTGCACTGATTGAATCCAATTTCTTTCAGTTTAATTGACACAGTTTGAACCAGCAGAAAAAGTCTGTCTAAGTTAAAAAATGTCACTCCAGACAGCAATAAACTTTTCTTTTTGTTAATAAAAACTATTACCTTCCTTTTTTGTTTGTATCAGATCACATGGGTTAAAAAAAATGAGCAGAAAAAAGTTGGGAAAAAAAAGACGTTTCATTTCACTTACAAAAAGACACTATAAACATCATAGTATAAAATTTAAGATGACACTCATAAAATGTTTTATTAAAAATGCAACAAAAGTCTTTTGAAAGAATGTAAAAGTGAAAGAAAAACATACTTCAGTACACATGCCACAGAAAGTTGATCAACAAAACTGTTTGGGTTTCTTTTTAGTTACAATGAATCATGGGACTTCTGCTCAGATGTGTGTCACAATATTGTACACCAGAGGGGAAACGTAGCTCAAACTTTATTACCTCTGTTCCTAGCTTTCACAATACCGGATATAACTTGTCTATGCAAAAGCTAATAAAAAAAAGTGACTTATCTAATGGGAGGCAGTCTCATTATCACACTTTTTTACTGGTGTACTGTCAAATACTGCAAGTTTTCCCTCTGAGCATGTGTGATGTATATGCATATGTGTATGCATATATGTCTAAATCACCCTTATTCTGCGCCTTACAAAATTTGCGCCTTTCAAATTTGTTAATACATTTTCTGCTTAAAAAATTCTGCTTTTCAGCTCCATTTTTACACAGGAAGGGCAAAAGGAGAGGTGCAACTCAGTCATGAAAATAGAGGGTGTGGAGCCACTAACACTAAATTATGCTACTTAACATGTCATCTTTAATTTATTAGAGGTTCAGTATATCACTTATCACTTACAGCAAAGGTTCTTTATCTGTTTCTAGGACACAGGATCATATTGATCTTTACAGACTTGTTTGGACTTCCAGGTTACATCTTTGACCCAAACACAGACTTTTCACAATTGGTCAAATCCAAGAACAGAGACAGAGTTTTTATTATATTATTATTATTATTATTATTACATGATCCTGGGGCCAAACAGTCACACTGATGGGGCAAATCCTCGATTCTTGAGTACCTTTATATCAACAGATTTCCAGACTGTTTCATGAATTTTTAAGAGTTGAAATGACTGAATATGAGCCATAACTTTACTATAGTTCAGAAATGTTTAGCTTTTAATAATCTACATAAGCAGGCTCAAAGTCATCCTCTGAGCCAAACTTTTCCTGTGAGACAGAAGGAGCATCCAAAGGAAACAAAAGGTGCTAGTGCTGCATTCAAGCCTGTGTGCTGTGACCCCTGGCCCATATTTTGTCTGATTACATACATACATACATACATACATACATACATACATACATACATACATACATACATACATACATACATACATACAAACATACATACATACATACATACATACATACATACATACATACATACATACATACATACATACATACATACATACATACATACATACATACATACATACATACATACATACATACATACATACATACATACATACATACAGGTCACCCTTGTAAAAGAGATATTCATCTCAATGGGTTTCTAACCTGGTTTTGATAAAGGTTAAATAAAAAAATATATAAAAATAAAAAGGGGGCAGAAGTCTCTTCTTTTTTTAACACTGTGCCACAATACTGCTATCCTGCAGCTCAGCCAGTGAACCAGCCTCTATGTACCCAGCCACAGTATCAACCTTCACCTTTCTTGCCAAACTACCAGCACCTTACCCAGTCCCAGCTCCCAACAGGTAGAGCACCAGCCTCTCAACCAGTACTCTCCTCAACACACAGCAGATTTATCCATCTACTGCACACAATGTGACAGAGAGAGAAGGCTTTCTCAAAATGTTGTACAGCCCCAGTGTGCCAGGGAGAACTGCTGTTCATGCCAAGGAGAGCCACGCTTCCTCATCTGACTTTGATAGTTGTCCATCACCTGGAGATAAAGACATTATTGAAAGAATCCTGCTACTAGCATATGAAGAACCATGTTTGAAAGAACTGGGAGCATGGAAGCCACGCAAACAACAATAATAACTAGAAAAATTGCATTTCCTTGCAGAAAATGCGTGGAAATGATGAGTGCTGAAAGCTGAAAAAGCAATGCAAGACTGCTAAAAAAAATGGAGGAAGGTTTAAATGTAAAATTGGTTAAAGAGCTGGAGAAAGAGAAGTAGAAGTTAGATGAAAGTGAAAATTGCTGAAGTACAAATAGTATGAATGTGCTTCATAAGTTAAATTGCATTCATGCTGAATAAGGCTAGAAAAACTGTCTGAAATTGCGAGAAAAATGGATAAGGAAGAAAATTACCTTAAAACACAGAAAAGTAAGAAGTGGCATGAGTTTAAGCTGTAATACTAGAAGTAGTATGATAATAGGTAGTTGTAGTAGTGAAATTAGTAGTCATGTAAGCAGGAGAAGTAGTTTTAGAATAGAAGAAGTAGAAGTCAAAGCAGTAGAGCTCGTGGTAGAAGTAAGAGTAGAAGTAAAAAAAATATTAAGAGAAGCAAGAGCAGTGGAGGTAGGAGTTAAGATACAAGTTAAAGTGATATAAGTAGTAATTGTAGTGGTAGAACTGGGATTAAAACATACATAAATAATGAGAATGATTTTGAAGTGGGTAAAATTTTAAATAATTAGAAGTCCTAAAGTGTTAAACAGGTTTGAAGTATCAGAAAGGTTTGAATGAGTTTGAATGAGTTTGGATTTGTCTGACGAATTTAATAATGCATAAATAATGAGAATAATTTTAAAGTGGGGAAAAGTTAAATAAAAAAAATCGTACCCTTCCATAAAAATGTCTGCAATGCATGCATTGTAAAACCTCAGCAATCGATTGGTAACTATAAAATATTGTCAACACTGCTTTTGTTCTGGAATACCAGTCAAACTTGCATTAGGTGGCAATACGGAACTATAAAAATGGAAGAATCAGCCGGTCCGTATGCCGTCTGCACATTCATGTTTTTATACGATTTAGAAGTAAGGTTATTGGGGTATTTTGTTATAATGGAAACAATTGTTCCTGTTCCTTGTGGGTCAAAACTTAACCGTTGTGAAGAATAAGAAATGTTTCCCATGCAAGATATCTTATAGTTTTGATAAATGCAGTCTTTTATTGCAGCAAAAAGGTTTGAAGTACAGGTTTACTGTTTTCTGGCATCCTGTAGATTTGTATTGATTCGTGTGCTTTGTCTGATTTGACAAAACCTGAAGAAGTTGTTTACAGTTCATTGTTAACTTTTGAGAAGTACTTAATGAATGTTGAAGAAATGAGAAGCCATATGAATTGGACTTTAATAAAGAAACATGGACACCTTTTCTATGGACATCCTTATACAACTGCACAGAGTTACGTTTTATATGTTTTTATATGTGTTTTGGGTTCTGTAATAAAAAGAGAAAATTCAAGAAGAAAATGAATGGCTTGGGTCTCCATCTTGCTGAACTTTTCAACTGTGTTTTATAGATTGGGAGGCGCTGAGCCAAAAATCATTTGTTACAACTATCAGGATTAAAAGATTTGCAGAAAATCAAGACCTGTTTTTATGAACACCTTATCATCCAGAATGTCCAGAGCATATCAAACTGTTATACGTATGTTATACATACTGGGTTGGACTATAACCTGCGCGAAAATGAATTCACAGCTTGGTGATTGCCATATATATATATATATATATATATATATATATATATATATATATATATATAACTGAGTACAATGATTACACAGTACAATTGTGCTGTATTTTATTTTTACTTTTTTAATTATTGCAAACATTTAACAAGACATGCAAAGGAGTGAAGTGCAATATGAATAATAATAGAAACAAGAAATAACAAGAATTAAAAAACAACAACTAAGACAATAACAAGAGACAAAAACAAATCAATTCAATTGTGTGGATAAATACAATGTATGTGGTTTGAGGGCAAAAGATTATGTAAAATAAAAATAATTATAATAAAGGAAAACTAATACGCAATTGAACACAAAAGAAAATAAGATATAATAATAATTATTATTATTATTATTATTATTATTATTATTATTATTATTATTATTATTATTATTATAGTAATAATAATAATAATAATAATAATAGTTGCCTCAGAATAATAAGTTTCTGTATTTGTACTGTATTTTATTATGGTCATGTGGCAGAGTAACTTGACCTTTGTCTGTGACCGCGTCTCCATAGCACCAGCATAAAACAAACACTGAACACGGATGCTCGCTATCGTTACAGATAGGTTGTTACACCGCTGGAGTCATTGGTGTGTTCAGTCATCACCTTGAGGTGGCACAGTGTTGTTTTGAGGATTTGCACCTTACAAAGACGCAGCGATGCCGCAGAAGAAAGTCACCAAAGTGAAGAGTACTAAGACGGGGTAAGAGCGCACATTTAGACTCTTAAAGCAGCGTTGTCATTCAGAGCTGCACTGGCCTGAACTTTGTGGTGTCATTTTTTAAACAGGAAGGTAAAGAAAGACTCCAAACAGGAGCCAAAAGTGGACAGGGAGTCAGATATGGAGAAGGCCAGAACCAACGCGGCTCTCTGGGAGCTGAGGTTAAAGATCGTAAAGCAAGACCACGCGGAGTTGTGGAAGTCCCACGACACGTTGGCACGCACAAACCATCAGCTCAGGAGTCAACTGTACAGTGCTGAGAAAAATTTAATGGATTTAACTGGATATTGGATCAAGCAAGATGAAGCTCAAAAGGAAGAGGTATAGGGAGGAAGCAGCAGGTCTCTGTGTGAAAAAAAACTGAGGAGTTTAGTCGTTTTAATAAAGTTTGACTTTCTGACAGATTGATATGCTGCAGAGAAGCCTCAAAAGACAAGAGTTACTCGCCCGTGAAGAGCAAAACAAACTGGTGAGTTCGTTTCAAAACGCAGCCACAAGAAAAGACATGCATCTTCCACTCCGCCCATAAAACACGGTTCATAGTCGAATATTACGGCCACTGCAATGATTTATCATGCGCAACTCCAACCTGTAGCATCCGAAAAATGTGCTGCGCTGTGTCTTAGCAGCTGTCTGGTGTGTAATTATGCTGACATTTATTATGTAAGAAAACAACAAGCAAACAAAGCGTCCATAAAACAAACAAAAAAAGCCCTCACATTCCGAGTAACATGGTTTAATGTTATTTTAATCTATGTCGGTGGCCACAGAATAAACGCGTAGCCTGATTTGAAAGTGCTTGGCCGGGAAAAAGTCACACTGCTGGTCTTGATGTGTTAACCATACTTCACATGTCACTCAGCCTTACTCTAAAATACCAGTTAAAGTTACATAACCCTACACACACCAAAGAGACTTATTTTGATTCCTTTTATCCCCACTGACCTCTGCTCCTCCTTGTTAAAATCAAGCTATCAAACTGACATGACAAAATTCAAGTGGCTTTACTGGACAAAATAAAGGGTATACGAAAAGCTTTTGGTTCTTTTGCTAGCAGCTGTTTTCCATCTTCCAGCTCTTACTTCATGCTGGTAAAAAGAAGTCCAATAAGAGGAGGAAAATAAAGGCATGGTCTGGACAAACTTGAAACATCTCTATTTTAGACAACTGTCACACATGTCCAGTTACTGAGTGGAGAAAAAAAAAGTGTTTTGTGGTTGACTCTGAAGATGTGACTTCAAGACGTTCAAGCCTCATTAAAAGGTTCATTCTAAAACTTAAATTAGCTAATGGAAACTGCTTCATCACAAGCTCTGAATGGCCTGCATTTTCTCAAAAGAGAGGCAGAAGTGTTGAGAAAGTCGGTCAAGCAAATAATTATACAATAAAGGCTTTCCTAAGTTTATTTTCTGCACTGCTTGAGAAAAAAGCCAAGTTTGGGCTACTTTATTTTTTAAACTTTTTGATACTCTGGCTATCTGACAGATCAGGCAGATGAAAGAAATAGGACTGTTTTGTCGATTGATGTAGACAGAGTTATGTGAAGAATAACGATTAGGCCTTACGTTGTAATCAGACGGTCGATAACCTCTCATTTAGTCGTCATGTACATGTTTGTGGGTGCTTGTTTTGCCAGTCTCTCATGACTTTGGTCATTTTGTCACATTTTTGCTCTGGCTGGCTTCTCCACAGTAGCATCTTGAGGTATTTAGTCTGACTGATCTGTGCTTAAGTTGGTTTTGCAGAAGAGCATGGCCCGTGTGAACTTGGCTGTAAAAATCCCCAAACTATACAAGCTGCTGCTATGGGAATGTTGCTGTATCTATACAGATGTGGCATGCATTGAGTATGTGCCATGTTTGTCATTTTGGGTTTTTAATGATATGATTGGTTTTAACAGGTTGAAGATTACACACTTCAAATTAATGAGATGAAGGAACTGTTCAGGAAGAAGTCCAGCGACTTTGGCATGATTCAAGAAGAGATGAGGAAAATTAAGGCGTTTGAGAAAACAAAATTGCTGATGGAACAAGAGCTGAGTGATGTAAAGAACATTTTAGTCCCTACACATATTATTAAATGTTCCTTATTAAATTATAATGGGATATTCTCCATTTTACCACTATGGTGCCTTTTTTTGCAGATCAGAGAAAGCATGGATGCAGCAAATAAAGAGTACAGGGAAAATCTAAACAAAATGGAGTGTAAATTCTTGAACGAAAAGGTATTCTGAAGTCCCAAATAATAACTTGTAAAATTTGCAGGTAGTTGTTATTTTTCCTGCAAAACATCTAGTAAGTTTTTCTCTTTACCTTACAGGCTCGACTAGAGAGTGAAACTGAGGAAATGATGGCCGCAGTGGTAAAAGGGGCTCACAATGAAGCCATCTTGTGAGTGTTTCCTTTATCTCTTTGCAGTTTCATTTTATTCTTTACTCTTTTAACAGATCTTTGATGTGCTCAAAATGAAAAGAAAATGTGATTTACTCAAACAAAAGTTTATGTATATAAATTTATATATAGCCAGAACTAAAGTTATTATCTTGACCACACGGGTTGCTCATGTTCAGATAGTGTACATCAGCAAAGCCAATGATCACAACTTTATCCAGCCCAGAGGAGAGCGTAACTGGTGTGGAAAGCCATAGTTTATTCCCTTAGGAGCCAAAGGATGTACATTTCTGCTGTGTTTAGTTCTTTTTACAGCTCATAAAAGTTTAACATTGATACTGGTGTGGTCCTGCTGGCTTGGTCATCATGTCTGTGATTGATTTAATCTTAAACATACTCAGATTGCTTTTAAAGCTAAGCCACATATAATTCAGGACATTTAGTGCTGTGATATTTTATTCACAGCCTGTGGTATTTTCACTCATGAATATGCGTCAAATATAGAGAAGAAATATCGCTGTTCTTGTAAAACTTAGTGCAAGTTTTGATCATGTTTTTCATTTGTCCCGTAAACTGTTTAGGCAGTTGGACGACACCTCACGCTCTTTGTTCAGGGAGAACGTGCGTCTCTGTGAATCACTGAAATATCACATAAAGGAAGCAGAGAATCTTCAGGAACTGAATAACTCATTGACAGAGGAAAATGCATCTCTGGCACTGAGCAAGGTGTGTTTGAACCATTGAACAGTAAATAAAAGTTTTACTATTAGCCAGCGGTCGTGCTTGGAAAGACACCATTCATCTGTGTTTTCAATCATTTCAGTAATGAAGCATTTGTCAGATCAGCGAAAAATATATTTCAGGTGGATTTTCCCCCTGTGTTGTTTACTTATGCTGACCCTGTGTATTTTGCTTGTGGTCCCACTCCAACACCCCCCCCACCACCTCCTGACTACTATCCAGCCTCTCAGTGGTCAGTGGTTGTGGTGAGTTTCCACTGGTGGATGGGTTCAAATTTAGTGGCTTCTTCTTCACAGGTTTCTGGCACTAGCTCTTCAAGGCAAATAAATATTGGGTGCATTAATCTTACCTGTGATGATTACAGTAAATACAGAGAGTAAATCCACCTTATAGAAGCTTTGGCTGCTCACTCAACAGCACAGCAGCAAGCATATAAAGTGTGTCTACTTTGGCATGAAATTCAAAGTTTTTCCAGCGAGGGTTCAGTGTCATCCATCTAACTTTTTTGCTCTTCTGTCTACTCATCCAGAACACATATAAGTTGACTGCAAAGAAGTATGCAGCCCAGTTGGAGGCCCAGAATGAGGAGATTTCTCAACTGAAGGCCAAGGTAGCCTCAATGGAGAATGCCCTGGAGCTAAAAGCATGTACATCTGAGCGAGAGCTAGAGAAGGAAAAAGAGAAGACACAGGCCAGCCAGGTTGAGTTGAAGAGATTGCAGAAAGTGCTTTTCATGCGGGAGAGAGAATTTGAGCACATCAAGCAGCAGGCAAGTGTCATGGTCCAGCAGCGCACTGAGCTGGGGGAGTTCTTCAGTGAGGCCCTGAGTCAGGTGAGGCAGGAGATCATTAGCAGCAGGCTGCAATATAAAAAGGAGGCTTTGCAGGCTTATAATAGGAGAATGAGGGAGGCCACAGCAGGAAAGGTCAACTTCCCACCCATCCGCACCTTTGATCGGCGCCCCCACAGTACCAACTCCGTTTATTCAGACATGGAGGCAGCTTCACAGTGGTAAGTCGCCCTCACATCATTTCCATGAGTCCCGCAACTATCTCTGCAGTCACTACTCCACATCTGATCACACCTGATCAACTCTGTTAGTGTTACAAATTGCACTTTCAATCCTTTTTAGGGTTAAAGTATATCTTAACCCAACTGCAAATCTCAACTGAATCTGCCAATAATACTGAAAGGGGAAACACGACTCTGGTTATTTCCACTGGCTTCTTACCTCCCAGTCCACACAGGCACTGGCCAATACCTGCTGGTTGTGTGTCTGTCAGTTGCAGGTGTGAAAACTGGTTTGCTGGATCTTCCATCTCAGATCTCCCTACGAGATACATCCTGTCCCGTTTCCAGTGGTGGAGCTAGCGAGTACTGTGGATCTCTACCCATGCTGGTGCAGATGGGTAGAGATCCATGTCAAGATGACGTTTGTCAAGATCAACTGAAGGACTTTTTAAATTTAAATAACATTTTATCATTATTTCAATCTGGTTTTAGAAAGTGGCACAGCACTGTCACAGCTGCTCTTAAAGTTTTTAATGATTTTATCCAGGCCCTGGACAATAAAAAATACTGTGTGGCTCTTTTTATAGATCTGTCAAAGGCATTTGACACTGTGGACCATAATCTGCTTTTAAGTGTACTTCGGCATATTGGCCTATCAAACCAAGCAACCTTGTGGTTTGCAGACAACCTAGACAGTAGGTCACAATGCGTCCAGATGGCTGGTTCTACTTCTACCTTTCTGAAGGTTTCTAAAGGTGTACCTCAAGGTTGAATCTTGGGACCTATTTTATTCTCTATTTATATTAACAACTTGTGTATTAATTTGTCAAATGCCTGGTATCACTTTTATGCAGATGACACTGTCATTTATTGTTGCTCATCATCAGTTATCCAGACTTTTGAGTTTTTTGCAATCTGCTTTTGATGTTGTTCAATCTCAACTGCAGAAACTCAAATGGCCTTGAATGCAAATAAATCCAAACTCAGTATTTTCAAGCAAGAGTGAGTTACCTGGGAACATTCCCTCTATCCTAACTTCACAGGGTGTACCCATTGAGCTTGTATCTGTGTATAAATACCTGGGTTTTCTTGTTGATCGCGAGCTTTCTTTCAAAGCACATATCGCTAGTTTGGTCACTAAACTCAGACTAAAACTAGGTTTCTACTACAGGAATAAATCCTGTTTCTCCCTCAGTGCTTGAAAATACCTTGTATCGGCTACTTTTCTTCCACAGTTGGATTATGGTGATGTTATATGACTGCTTCAGCCAAATGCCTGCAGTCCTTAATTACTGTCTATCACTGTGCGCTGAGATTTGTTACTGGTTGTAGTCACCTTACACATCATTGGGAACTTTATGCCAAGTCTGGCTGGCCTTCTCGGGGTACTTGCAGGTACACTCACTGGATGACTCTAATTTATAAGGTTCTTCTTGGCTTAGCTCCTTCTTATTTATGTGATCTTCTTCAAAGGACTGAAAGCCACTACTCCCTGCGCTCAAACAACACTATCCATTTGATTGTTCTGCGAATCAGAACTGAACCGGGCAAAAAAGTGTTCAGTTTTGTCGCCACTTCAGCATAGAATACTCTCCAGACTGACCTGAAATTGTCAGAATTAATTTTGCTGAAGGCATTTTGTTCAGTCTTACATGACAGGCTTTGGGAGACCATGGACCAGTGCCAGTGTTTTTATTCATGACGTGTTTTTTTAAAGAATGGTGTCTTTCGGTTCACTTAATGGTGACACTTTTTTTTCTTTAAATGACAATGTTTTTAACTAATTCGTACTAATTCATCTTGTTTTGAAGGCCTCATCAGCCAGGCAGCGAAGTTGAAATCTCAGATCTCACCTGGGAGCAGAAGGAACGAGTGCTCGAGCTTCTCTTTTCTAAAATGAACGGAAAGACTGCGAGGTAATAAAAATATATCCTTATTAGGCTTTGTTTGTCTTAGCCAGAGACTTACTGGTTCCTCAAATGCACTGGTAATCGCTAAAAATGCACAGAAACTTCTGAATCAGTTACCTCAGATGAATACAGCACAGTGACACCAAGCAATAGTCCAGGCCAAACTTCTTGTGACTCCTCCCTCTTTTTAATGTTTTAAACAGCCGTTTTCTCAGAAGAAGAGGATACCATAAAACATCAGTTAGGCTTTAACCAATTTTCTTTTCCATCCAGCTGCTTAAAAAGAATGAAGAAAGAGTCTGGGCACAATAGTAAAAATAGGCCCCGCCACAGAGTCGTGTGCTTGGAAACAAACATCTGGTCACGTCGATTTGCTTTCAGCTTATTGGTCCCTCTTCACGTGCACTGGCTGTTTATTTTGTTCTTTGAACACTTGTGGTCAGAGTGCAGCTGGTAACATGATTTTCAGAAAGGAGTGTGCAGGGGATCTGGATGTATGGGGGTATGGCAGGCAGAGATGTATATTCATGTTAACAGTGGTCTGGCACCTAGTCCACTGGAATAACAGAGAGCATTTGGCGACTCTTTAGAGCCCCTTAACAACATCCAAGTCCATGCGAATCGTATTGACCTGGAGTGACCTCCCTTTCCAAGACAGGGTGCAGGCCGGAGCGAATAGACACCAGTGTGCTGGAACATGACTTTTTACTCTGAGGACTCGCATTTGACTGCAACTCTGCTTTTTCTGTGATAGGAAAGTGAGCAACCATGCGTTTTTGTCCGCTTCATCTAAGAAGAAGAGCCTCGAGGGGAGCGATGCTGCTGGGTAAGAAACTAAAGGAATGTAGAAGAATAAAAGTTTTACCTCATCTTTGCAATTAGGAGGCCTGTGCAGATTTATCGGTCCCACATTCCATGTTTAGCTTAGAAAGCATGGGCTGTGTGAACATAACTGCTAACATGTGATTTATTAGACAGTTGCATTTCAGCATTGCATAATGATGACTGTCTTGCAGAATTAGAGAGGAGCAGTCCCCGGCCACCTTCATCACAGAGGCGCCTGAGCCCGTTCTGCCCCCGAACCCAACCAGCTTACCGGATATACACACCACATGACCTCTGTTTGGCCTCTGCAGAGCACATCGAACTCTGGATTGTTTGCCTTTGCTTTGTGTGCCTCCCACAGTGTCAATCACGTATACTGTGGAGCACACAGCTGTTTGTTTGTGCTCTTTATAAATATCTTGCTGTGCATCAAAACATGACTCGTGACTATATGATGTTTGTGTGACTTCATTTAAAGGATCTGTTTCCTTTAAAAAAACAAAAACAAAAAAAACTTTCCAACCAAAAGGTACTGTGGTATCTAAATATACACTGGAGAAAAACATATCAGTAAACAAACAGTGGATGTTGAGTCAGGGGAACATAATGCAGTATGTCCAAAGTGGGTATGATTTATGTGGATTGTACACACTTCACCGTTAGTAGGAGTTTCAGTACTGTTGTATTTGAGGTAATGACATTGAAATGAAAACATTGCCTCAGCTGTTCACATTGAAATCTTGGCCACAGTCTTTTTATTTAAAGGCATCAAATCGAACATAAAGTCTGCAAAAGTATTCAAAATTTCTGTTAATAAAATATTCACATTAATGGTTTTATATTAGTCTCCAAGTCTTCTGGTTCTTTGAACTTCTAACAGTAGCATTCGGGAGTATTTAGCGCCCCATAGTTGGCATGGTAACAGCAGGGCTTTTCAAAGTGGCATCCTCTGCTTTCCACTGTGAGGTGACTGTTTTTATTTGTGTGTAGAACTGGATACCCTGCAGAGAAAAAAATAAAACCATTTCCATAAACAACACACTGTATGTCTGTGTGTTACACCTGGAACAACACAATGCTTGCTTATGTATTTCATACTTGTTTTCCGTAGAAGTTCATGTCTCCTCTGAAAGATCCTCTTGATCCAGTGAAGGAGAACATGGGTAGTGGCACTGGGATGGGAACGTTGACTCCCACCTGTAGATGACAAGTATTTGTCTGTTCAGTTCCATAATTGAAAGCTTTGTAAAACAAATCCCCTTGATGCTAGATTGCTGCGATGAGTGAGATGCAGCAGATGAAAAATGTGGTATACCCGTGTTCAGCAAGCTTACATGACAGCAACCTGCGGCTCATGTTACAGCACAGCACACTCTTATTAAAAGCGAAAAAAAACTAAATAAAACATTTTGTTATGAAAGCAGTAGAGGTTTGGCGTGGTTGGTTTTAAATATTTGAAACAGCGGGAATACATTTGGAACACTAAGGCCTTTTGGCGAAGGTGCAGGAAGGAAAAAAAAGGAAAGTAGATGTTTGTTGCATCGAGGTTTGGAGAAGAGTACAGCACATGGCCTGCACAGCATTCCCCGACATGTGAACAGCAAACACAGGGCATAACTAGGGCTCCACAGGCAAACAAACAGGCTAAAGGCTGCCTGTGTGTACGCTAAAATGATGAACAGGTCCCTAGGAATCCCTTTTTGAGTTAAATTTAAGATTTCCCTCCTCGAGTACTACCCGGAAAAATGTTTCTATGTCCCCCTGTTTTCAGGTAAAACATATATTTGCTGTTGCTATTTGTAGCCTTTACCAGTGGGGAAGTGGAGGGAAGGGGAATGCTAAAGCTGTTTATTTTAGGTTAGGGGCAAACAAGGCTATACTTGACATGGAAAATAATTGTTTTTTTTAATGTGTGTGAAGGTTTTGTAAACGGAAAAGTGATGATCCCCCTTGTTTGAGATGCTGCATAGACATGACAGGCTGATGTGAATGTCTCCTTTCTCTCAAAACTGAGGAACACATTTGGAGGCTGCAGCCACTCACCTGGCCCACGTCCACCTCATGAGTGTATTTGCGTGCAGTGGCACCATTTGTGGTGAAGATAGCTGTTCCGTTGCCATAGACGTTGTTGTTGACCATACTGATGGCATCATCCAGAGTCTCTGCTTCGAGAACAACCAACACAGGCCCAAAGATCTCCTCAGTGTAGCACTTCATCTTAGGCTGCAGAGCACAAAATTCAGCATGTTAGAGTTTTCTCTTCACCGGGCTCGGATTCTAACTCAAATTAAGATAATAAACCCACGTACTGTGACATTGCCAATGATAGTCGGTCCCACAAAGTTGCCGTTCTCATAACCTTTGACGTTAACACTTCTGCCATCCAGGAGCAGAGAAGCTCCTTCTTCCACGCCACTCTGGATAAGACTGCATACTCTCTCCTTGGCCTGTGGAGAGATCAGGGGCCCAACGTCTGCTCCAGGTTGGTCTCCTAGCAGGGCCCCAAAAAACAACCAGCTATAAGGTTACATAGAAAGGCATTCACATGATGTGAGCACATTATGGGTATGACATTCAAATATGTCTTTTGCCGCAAACACGCAAAAGCCAGGACGAGGGGCACCTTCAGGCACACCCTCAAAAATGGATACTTATGGGTTTCCTGTGTACAACACAAATTAGAGTCCATATCACGGCAAACAGGGAAAATCCTTCTCAATTTTACTCCACATCATTCCTTTCTGAAAAGGTTTTGATGCTCTGGACCGCTATTTATGCCTGAGCTGCGGATCTGGCCACAAATTTGCAGCATGGCTGACTCAACGGGCCCAGCTGACTCCAACGTAAAGTTACAACAGCGCAAAAAGCAAGAGGTGCGGTTAGGGCGGCGTGGGTGGCCACCAAAATGACTGAACTGAGGGCCCTTAGTGCACAGAGGCTCAGGAGAGAAAGAGGTGAAGGGTGGAGTGATGGGGTGCGGTACCTGCGTTCACTCGCAAGGCCTTGGCTCGGTCCACCAGCTCCGGCAGCCAGCTCCGAGCCTCGCCCACCAGAATGGCCGTGGATAGGGCCATGCAGCGCTGTCCCGCTGCCCCAAACGCTGCACCCACAAGCTGGTTCAGAGTGTTCTCCTTGTTTGCATCAGGCATTACCACACCATGGTTCTTGGCTCCCTACAGTGCATAAGAAGTGGTTACCCTCCAACTGTTTGATGTCAACATTAGAAAAAACATTAAAACAACCTCCAAATTTCACAAATTCAATCCTTATGAGGTTGATGGACACACTTAAAATTTGATAGCTGGAACACCCATTATTCACAACTTGGCTCTTTATCAGTGATGCACAGCTGCAATCTCTGATTAACACTCTTCACCTCTGCACAGCTGGCAGTGAGGAGAAGCAACAAGAATCTATGGACCAATGCTGCCACCTCCTGGACATTTACTAAAGCAACTGTCTGGCATCACAGTGTCCTACTCACCATGTTTGACTGGACCCTCTTGCCATTTTTAGATCCCCTCTCATAAATGTACTCCCCAGCTTGATTGGAGCCAACAAAACTAATGGCTTTTATAGCAGGGTGGTCACAGATGAAGTTCACGGCTGTGGGAGAAATTGAAATTTATTCTTTTAAATCAAAAATATTAGTACTCATGTTTAAAATACTGTGTGGAACTAGATTACACAGATAATTCAGCTATTTTCCCAATAACACAATAGTTGACAACGGAAAAAAACAAAAACTGAGATTAGGTGGTTATTTTTTTAATCTATTCTGTTTTTTGGGACAGAAATAGTAAAGAATGTCCATAATAACAAATTACATCAATTTTTTTACTAAAACCTGAGGGTCTTCTTTGACAACAGTAAATTAACTGCATAGATATGAAAGATATCTTGTGATACATTTTGTGATAATCAAGTAACTTTGATTGACTTTAGTTCAAACATTTCAAGAACTACTTGAAATTCATATTAAGTACAATTAAATATATTCAGAAAACTATACCTTGCCAAGATTAACAGATCACTTTCATCTACACCATAGATAAGCTGAGACACAAAAAATGACCAAGTCAGTCACAGACTAAAAATGTCGCACACAAACTCTCACCATCATGTTGACCGTGGATGATGTTGAGCGTCCCATCTGGAGCGCCGGCATCCTGCAGCATCTTGGCCAGCAGCATGGCGCATGTCGGCACTCGTTCTGAGGGCTTTAGCAAGTAGGTGTTCCCGCACACCATACCCATGGGGAACATCCACAGAGGGATCATGGCGGGGAAGTTAAAGGGGGCAATGCCAGCACACACCCCAAGAGGCAGGCGGTATGTGTAGGTGTCCATGTCCTTTGTGATGGAGGGCAGAGTTTCACCCAGCATTAGAGAGGTGATGCTGCAGGCGTGCTCCACAACCTCTGCAAACAAAAGACAGAAACATAATCTCATGACATTTGGATTATTTTGCAAATGTGTTCTGATATGTGTTTAATTATGTGCTTTATTCAAACTGCTTCTGGTGTGGACATTGGGTGGGGTTAAAATTAGCAAAGATAATTAATCTTTAATGATGTATTTGTGAAGGCCAACTAAAACTTCTCATTAGTCAAGGGTTTGATGTAGGAGAATTACAATCTGCAACAAAGAAGGGAGTGAAAGAGGATTGAAATCAATATTTTCATATCAGTCTCAAACAATGATTCACACATGTGGGGCAGAGGTGATTATTTGTAGCAGTCTTTCAAAAGACTCTTCTGATTCATGCTCATGCAGCGCGAGTAGAACTCATCAACTTTCCCTTAACAGCCGAAGCAAACATAACATGAAAAGGTTCACTTGTGTTGCCCTTCGTAGAGCCAATCTGTGTGTGCACTTGTATAAGTGAGATAAACTTACGCAATCCTCTGAACACATCTCCCTCTGCATCTGCAAGGGTCTTGCCCTGCTCCACTGTGATAGACTTTGCAAGTTCTTTCTGAAACAAAGGACAACCCTTGTGTCACTTCTTTGTTTTCAGCTTCACGTTTATTATACTTATACTCTGGGACCCTTTGACTTACAATGTTGTCCTTGATAAGCTGCTGATAGCGCAGGAAAACCTGCTGCCGAGCCAAGATGGAGGTTTCAGACCAAGAAGTAAAAGCTTTGGAGCAGGAGTCCACGGCAGCCAACATCTCTTCCTGGGTGGCTTTGGGCACACGGTAGATTACCTCATTGGTTGCCTGTAGCGAAGAAAAAAAGGAGCACCATTGGTTCAAGTTACAGTAACAGGCTAAAGATCAATTTGTTCTAATCAGCACGTGCTGTTTTAGTTCACATTAAGTTATGTAACAAGTGAATCCTGGCTGATGTTTAACTGAGATGTGGGTTTTTCATAAATCTGCAGGTCAGAGTTTGTCAGGAACAAACGGCAGGATTTCCACATCGAGTTCCAGGAGAACAGTTTTAGGTCTTTGTTTTTTCCTGCTAGCAATCAGTCATCTCAGTATTGTAGATGTATTTATTCATGCTGTGGTAGACAAAATTACACCTTGCTATTCTACAGGTTTGTGTTTGTTTTAAATGCATGTACAGACAATCCAAAGCTTATGTCAAACCAAACAGGTTGAACAACTGTGCAGCCATAAACCACGTCAGAGCTACCAACTACAGCATGGTATTCATTAAGCCCTTCAGCCACAGTCTGGATTTATTAAACCAACTTCATGCAACAACTTACAGGATTGTGAACATCCAGCCATTCTGTGGTCTTGGAGTCAACAAACTTGCCATCAATAAACAGCTTGGTTGTGGGCTGTAAGGAGAGATGCGTGTATGTTTATTACCTATCCACGACATTTGATGTAATATGTGACAACAGACTGGCAGTAGGTAGGTGTATATTGTTCTCACCACTGAGGAGGAGTAGCACATGCGGCCAACTCTGAGTGGGACCTGAGAAAAAAAACAGCAGAAATCATAATGTGGTTGATGTTATCCATCCATTTCATGATAATACTGTGACTGGAACTCTGAATTGCATATTCCCACTAGCACTACAAACATAATACTGGCTGCTTCCTGTTGCAACCTGATGGCCTACGAGATTAATGAGCAACTCACAAAGTGTGGGCTTATGAAGAGGCCTGAAGGGGACAAAGTCAAGAGGACTGGCGAGAACTAGAAGAATGGGTGCAGCAACAGGGCCAAGGTGACACATTTTATTTAGGTTTACTTTTTCCATAACAGTTATTTCTATTATAATTCAGCTTTAAGGAGGTTATACTTTGAATAAAAGTCTGAAGGGTGATAGCATTTGATCAGAAAACTCATCTGAAGAGGATAGCCAAGAATTCAAACCCCTAAATGAAAAGTAACGGCTTGCAAAGAAAGAAGGAAAGCAAATCCTGCAGCACATGACACCTGGCACTTTGTAAACAATGTGAGCTGTCAAATCTATCTGCGTCATTTGCAACTCAGTAGAGTTATGGATATAAAACTTTCAACTTACCTTTGCCTTCAGCACGGATCTTAATGCTGTGGTTGCCATGTTGTTACCTTATCAGACACAGGTCGACTTGATTTGGCCCAATATCAAGTCAGGATGGTGGCCAGGTGAAGACAGCGCTTAGTCCCGTTCCTTGCGAAGTGCATTACTTGTGGGCGGGTTCTGAGAAAATCCGAGGCGTGCGATTCGCTCCGTGTTCGCACTCCCATTAAAAACGCAATCTGATTGGTCAACTATTAGGGCGTTCTATCCAATCACTAAACTGACATTCTGACTAATCCCGCCTCAGCAAAATAACTCTCCCAATCATTGGCTACAAGTCAAAAGGCAGCGTTGCGTAATCCGGAGAGGAACTACTACTATAAACTTGCTTTGAATCAGTAAACTTAACCATCTCCCTACCTTGACAACGAAATGCGGAGGACATAACTAAAATCTGTTCGACGTGCTCATGATACAACTGTGCTACCTCAACCACAAATGCATTTGTCCTTAGTCTCCCTGGCCAAGGTACGGGAATCATATTGTAAGATGTGAGCTCAGTGTACTGTGTGTGTGTGTGCGTGCACCAGACTGCTAATGGGAACCATATGAAGCCCGATTGTTGCTTAGTCATGGACCAAAGATTAGGTAGGAGGGATGTTAGGGTGGACATACCATTGGTTGTTAGAGAATGCAGAGGCTAAGAGACCTTAGAAAAAAGTTCTTGCAAAATATGATTGTCTAGCTGCGAGAGGGGAGTAGAGCTCGAAAAGCTATGGCAGCCAATACTAAGGTGAAACCACTGGAAATAAATGCGCTCTACAAAGAGAAATGTGGTATATTTTCAAATGGACTCAGCTTTTTCTGTTTTTCCATGCAGCCAGTTCTTCATGGTTACTTCAGAAGCTCCTGCTCCTGGAGGGTTCGCATTGGTAAGTCACATCACAGACCCTTTTCTGCTGATCTGTGAAAACATTTACATGTCACTTAGATGATATTAAACTTCTTTGTGCTTCAGCTTTTGCTCTCAAGGGTATTGAATATGACCAGGTTACAGTCAATCTAATCAAAGACGGAGGCCAGCAGGTACAGAGGACTACAGATTCACATGATCTGAATCAATGCAAAAACGACTGTGCATGACCCATTTGATCATACTAATATTGTGCACCACAATCCATGGATTTATCCATGTGCCTTTTATGAATTAGTAGTCTCACAAGAACTGTCTTTGTGCGCAAGCGTACCCAGGAGTTTCAGTCAGTAAACCCCATGCAACAAGTGCCTGCAGTTGAAATTGATGGCATCACCCTCTGTCAGTCAGTAAGTCCCTTACACATTTCCTCACTTTAAATCCTGAGTGAAAAAACTGAAATGTCATCGAAAAAGATTGTTTTTTTTTTTTTACTTACATAGCTGGCTGTGATCCAGTATGTTGATGAGACCAGACCAGGGGCTAAGCTTCTCCCAGCAGACCCCAAGAAGCGTGCCCAGGTTCGCATGATAAGCGACCTCATTGCCTCTGGAATTCAGCCCCTGCAGGTGAGAACAGCACTGCTCAAATGTAAATGTAAATGTTTTTTACTTATACAACCCTTTACAACAACCCTTACGGTGAACGAAAGTGCTTTACAATAGAAAATAAAAATTAACCATAAAAAATAATAAAATACAATGCAATGCAATAAAGTGTCACCACGCTACTAGGTATTAAAGCCAGCATAAATAAGTATGTTTTCAATCGAGATTTGAAAAGGCCCAGGTCGGAAATAAGTCTCATTTTGGTGGGGAGCTTATTCCAGAGCCTGGGACCAGCAACTAAAAAGGCTCAGTCACCCCAGTGCTTGTGTTTGACCTGGGCACCAAGTTGATTTGATGACCTCAGAGCTCTACCCAGCTCCCGAACGGTTAAAAGCTCAGTTAAATAGATGGGGGCAAGTTAAGAGCTTTAAAAAACAAACATTAAAAGTTTAAAATCAATCCTAAAAGAGACAGGAAGCCAAAAAAGGGAGCTAAGGACAGGAGTGATGTGCTCACGTCTGTTAGTGTTAGTTAAAAGATGGGCAGCAGCACTTTGGGCAAGTTGAAGGCGACTAAGAGATGATTGGGAGATGCCAACTTAGGCCATTGTTTGACAACACAATCAGGCGTGGAAAGCAATGGCGGACGAGGGAACGGAGAACAGCCAATTGTGCGCATGCGGGTCACTTCATGGACGCTTTTCATTTACATTAGATGCCGCATTTGTTTTTGTAATGTGAACGACCACTCAAAAAGATCGGATTTAACAAAAAATCTGAATTGTGCATCATAACTTGTTGTGTGAACGTAGCCATAAAGTGCATTACAATAGTCTAATCTCGAACTGGTTAGAGCATGGATGGCTCTCTCAAGGTTGTGACGGCTTAAAAACATGATTACAAAGTCAACTTTTTTGACTTGATAAACTTTTGTTTTCCAGAATTTATATGTGATTCAGAAAATAGGAGCAGACAAGGTGCAGTGGTCCCAGCACTTCATTGATCGTGGTTTTAAAGGTTGGTAAAGGCTCTTCACTGGTACCTCACATTATACGTTATTCTTAATTATTTGAAAATTGATCAGTTACACATATGGACTTTTCTCTTCCAGCTCTTGAACCCATTCTGAAGCAAACAGCAGGGAAATACTGTGTAGGGGATGAGGTAAGAGCGTGACTTTCCCAATCAAGCATGACAACAGTGTAAAACAATATTCATTTCATCTGGATTGTTTTTTTTTTTTTTTTTTTTTTTTAAGATATCCATGGCAGACATTTGCTTGGTCCCACAAGTCTACAATGCAGAGAGGTATGTAACCAGACAGTTAAAAAACCCTATAACATAAACAGCCAACATGTTCATGCTACACTCAAGACCCTGCTTTACATCAAAGTCCTGTTATAAAGAAGTCCTTATCCTTTTTCTCTATCCTTTACAGGTTCAAAGTCAACATGGATCAGTATCCAACCATCAAAAGATTGAATCAAACCTTACTTGAAATTGAGGCATTCAAAGTGAGCCACCCATCTAACCAACCGGACACACCTGCTGACATGAGTGCATAGCACCCGACATCATCAAACATGCAGCTTTGTACGTTTAAAAGCCTTTTATTAAACACATTTGGTTTCAGTTTGAGTCTAAAGATTTATGAGCATTTGCCTTTATCCATTCTACCAAGCCCAGCACTATATCTTCAAATACACTGATATTGGGATCAGGTTTAAGGTCATCAACTAATGTGTAAAACACTCACAACAGATTTGTTATTCAAATTTTAAAGCCACTCATTTTACTGTTTGCCGCACATTACCTCTGTCACGGAATAATGAGTGCTTATTTAACCCACAAAAAAATCATGACAAAATACAAAACATGAAAACAACTACAGAAAAATCAACAGTTTGACAAGTTTACACAGGACAGGTTACAGTACATAAAAAAATAAAAAAAAAGGTAAAAACATTCGCACTCTTTGAATTTTTCCTCCATAAATCCATCATTTAATCGCCAGGAATTTCTACTGTGCACTTCACTGTGTCATTGTAGAAGTTACCAGAGCAGTCCGACCCACCAAACACCAGCAAGCGGCATTTTAGAGGGAGACTTTTGCCCTGTTCCCGTTTCTTAGCATCTGCTGGGATAGAGCAGTCCAAATGAATCATGCTGTGTCCCGCACGAGGCTTGGAGCAGAGTAGAGGATGCACCACTGAGCTCCACATGTTGGTGTCTGAGAACAAGGAGAGAAGAAAATACAACTTAATCTTGCACTTTTAAGAACATGGGTTTACAAATGTTTTTCATACAACACAATCAAATGGCAACACAACAGCAAAGACATGCATGACAAGACCATACTGATTAAAAACTGAATGTGGTGTTAGTCTTGTGCTCCGATACCTAGTCCCTTGCAGCTGTCTCAGGCACCAACAATCACATCATAATCACAAATTTTAATCTTGTGTCTGGTAATCTAATTTATAAAAGATCTTAAAATAAAAAGGCAGAAAAAAAGATTAAAGTGCATTTGCATTTGTTAGTATGTGTGTTGGGGGTCTATAACAGCTGATAGAAGACATTTGTACCAACCGCACCGAACAAAAACAAACATCACCTTTCCCTTTAATTTAGTTTTCTAAAGTGACACAGACGAGCCACTCACCAGTGTTGAAAATATGAACATCCTTAAGGACTCCAACAGCACTGCAGCCTCCACTGATCAGAATCCTGTTGTCCGACACTGGAACAGCTGTGTGAAATCTGTCCATTTACAAACAAGGTTTTTCATATCAGCCACATTACACAGCATCAAGAAACCACCCTGCTTTATTATTTCACATTAACTACATTTATGTACTGTGTATCCCACAAACACACCAGGAAGAAAATCTTAAAACAAGATGCTATTTTTCACTTAAAAATATGAGATTAAATTTCATTTCTGTCAGATGCCAAAAATTCAAAGCCCATATGGGGACTTGGATGGCATCTCTCAAGGTTGATGAGTAGATGTGAACTCACCCTCGAGGCAGTGGTGGCATGTTTCCACTCTTCACAGCTGTGTACTCCATGAATCCTTCCCTCATTAAAAACAAATAATTATCTTCTTAAACCTGAACACAATACAGGATGATGCCTGATGCAGCTAATATCAATTATTCACTATATAATTTATCTTTGTCTCACCCAGATCTAGGACATGGAGGTCATTCAGGTAGGTGGCCGTCCTCTGCCCACCAAATATGATCAACTTCTGTGACATCAAAGTCACTGAGTGCCTGTTCATGATATAAACATATTAATGTCTGAGGAAAAATGAATTTGAGCAGAAGTTAAGATGACTTTGAAACAGACTTACCCATACCGAGGCAGAGGTCTGTCTCCCTCCACAATGGGCTGGTACCAGAGTTCATACTCTGGGTTGAAGATGTACAGAACATTACTGCAAGATTTCTCTTCAGACAAGTGGCTCGGCTTAACTCCACCAAACACAAAAAGCTCTTTCTTATAAAACGCTGCAGAGTGAAAGGCCAAATTTGGAACATTCCCTCTTGCCTACAGGAAGTAAATTCACATCACAAACAGAGCAATAAAAAATAAAAAAACATTCACAAAAACTCTGCCTGAGTCTTTGATAAGAAAAGGAAACAGGAGGTTTGGAACAAACAAACCCACTTTGACAAGCCTCCACTTCCAGGTAAGAGTATTAAGGATGTACAGTTCACTGTAGCACTGATCCTTCATTAGGCCGCCGTAAACAAAGACCGACTTAGAGTCAGGGTCATAGGTTGCAGAGTGTCCACAAGCACACGGAGGTGCAGGTCCAAGAGAAGAGGAGGTCATGGGGAACCAGAAGTCATTGTCTGTAAGAGGGCGGAAAGAAACTAAATGAAGCCAAACACTTTGTTTAGTGTGAAGAACATAATAGACAAGTATCCCACTGACCTAACTCAAGCTTCCACAGGGAGTCCTTGCAGTAGTTTTGTTCTGCTGTCTCCCCTCCAATGAGGATGGCTGTGTCAGGGTCACTCAGACACATCGTGTGGCTCCAGCGCTTTGATGGACACGCTAAAACTAAACATGATCACAGTGAAAATCCACTTCACGTTCGTAAATATAACCCCTAATGGGTGTTAGTTATTTTCTGACCTTCTCTGCTCTCACTCCTTATCCGCACAGAAATGTCCTCTCGGCTGGTCTTCCTGGACAGCCTCACTTTCTTGGGGGTTGAAGCCTGATCAATGTCCTCAGCCAGTCTGTCCATGTCCAATAGACTCCATGTCAGGTTACCATTAAAAGTAGCTCTGAGTGTTCTCTCCTGTGCAAGGGGAGGTAGCACAGCATTAACAATTCACATACTTTAAGGCTTAAAAAAAAGCCTTAGACGGTCAGATGATAAGAAGTAAAACTTGAGAAACCACTTAGCAAAGTTTGTCTCACCGCTTCGTTTGCAGTGCTTTGGTGTAAAGTGGAAGAGAGATCAGAGGCGTCATGCTTGTCTGGGAAGAGAAATTTCCTCTGAACCAGATGAGGAGTGCTGAAGATAGTGGATTTATCCTGTACCTGCTCAAAAGTCAAAGACAAATTTAATCCAACAGGGGAAGGCATCATTTGAACCAAGGGTGGATGTACTCCCTTGATCTATAAACAGAACCAGCTTGGCTGTTCTGTCTACGCTGGGCATTAATAACTGGGAACACCTTACCTCTCCACACACTGTAAGCACAATCTTGCCATAAACTCCTTTTCTGCCTCTCTCTGCTGCCACTGACACAATATCTGGGCTCCACTCGCCCTCCCAGGTCAGACACCTGAGTTCAGAGTCAATGTTGTACTAAATGTGTATTTTTTCTCTCCCCAAATGTAGCTCATATACTTTCACTCTACCAGGTAGGGGGCTTACCTCGCTTGAGATGTCAGGGTCCCTATTTTCTGAGCAGGTACTTCTGCACTAACTACAACCTCTACAGAGATTGTTGACTCACTGCATTCCCACTCCCCGAGACCGAAGACCATCAGCTGTTTGGGCAGAGGTAGAGGCACGTGGACTTGGTAGCATCTTCGGTTGGATTTGCTACCGACATTGAAACCAGGGCGATATGTTACAAATTTTGACTCAATGCAACAACAATTGTACAACTTTTTTTCTTTTTTCGAGGCCTACCTGTGGAACTGACGAGGAGCGTCGCGCAGTGAGTAAAGAACATAAAAAATCAGCTTCCCCATGTCGGCTTGGGTTCTTCACATCAAGAAGTCCACTTAAAACAAGGGCCAGTACTGAGCCAGTCTTGTTTGGTTTGAGCGCGAGGACGCCGTGAAACCGCACACCTGACACCACCTTCACTTAATTTAGGAGACCATGTTAGACTGCTGTGTCGAAAACGCCAACTTAATATGGGGTGCCAAATGTAAAAATTAAGTCAGTTTAATATTCGACATTTTGTGAAGATTTAGCTCACTTTTCTCACATTTAGCTCGTTTTTCTTTCATTTAAGACCGAAATTCATGTAAAACAGCATGTTCTTTTTATTTGTTAAAAATGTGTAGACCTCAAAAATAAATCTAAATCTAAATGTTAAGTATAAATCGAAATGCTAAATGAAAATGTATAATCTAAATCTTACTTTTAAATATAAATGTTAAATCTAAATGCGAAATCTAAATGTTAAATCTAAAACTGAATGTGAAATCTAACTAACTTAAAAATCTAAACGTTAAATACAAATATAATTGTTAATTCTAAATCTAAATTCTAAATCTAAATGTTAAATCTAAACCTAAATCTTACTTATAAATGGTAAATCTAAATGTTTAAATCTAATTGTTACTTTTAAATATAAATGCTAAATCTAAATGTTGAATATAAACGTAAATCTTATATATAGCATTTAGATTTATATTTAACATTTAGATTTAGATTAATTTCTTAATTTCTACACATTTTTAACAAATAAAACGAACATGCTGTTTTATATGAATCCAACAAAAAGAAAAACGAGCTAAATGTGAGAAAAGTGAGCTTAATCTTCACAAAATGTCGCTTATTAAACAGTGACTGAATTTTTACATCTGGCACCCCATATCATAAAGCTAAGTTTTTACAATGCAGAGGAACAATGAATAAAGAGTAGGCCTGGGCTATCTCAGGTAAATTTCTGTTATGGTGGTGTAGATGTCTGCAGTGTTTAACGTCAAATGTTGAAGGTCAGAGTTTATAGAAAATTTCTCTGCTATTTATCACTTTCAAGCTTCAATTTCTTCAAGAAATGGTAAATATTTATATGTAAAAAAAATGTTTTTATAAATAGCACTTTTCACACAATTACCACAGTGCTTAACATTTAGAAAAAAGTTAGTTGTATGAAATGTTATTAAATCATTTAACTGTATGAATGTAGCGCTTGAAAATGTACCTTGAAATACTGAACAGTATATTTATCATTTCATAAAAAGATATAAATAAAGAGAATTTGAATGTTTTTGCAATCCACTGAAAAGATGATTCATAGTGGTAAGTGTATTCTGACTGTCCTTTGGGGAGGGCTGAAAATAAAACTAGGTTTCATCAGCACCTCTGTAACAATTACATCAAACCCCCAATGCAACAATTAAATGGAAACACAGGGGACCATCCTGAAGCGCTGTCTAATCCTGGATATACAGAGACTGTTATGAAATGACAGCGTCTCAGGTGGAACCGACAGATTTGGTTAGAGACAACACACACCAGTCCCAATGACATCTCTAATTTGACTTGCTGCATTGTTTGCCTGTCAGTTTCCAAAGTCTTCATGTCTTGAGGCCTTGGGGCAAAACCATCAGATGACAGTTTATTTATTCCATCAATGCCAAATAATTTAAAAAGCAATTTGTAATGTATTGAAGACATAAGGTCTACAGCTCTCTGATACAGAGTCCTCACGACTGTGTGGCCCTTTTGTATAATCTTAATACCTTTGGGGTTTAGACAAACATTTCTGATACTTTTGGTCTTGAGCCTTGGCTTTAAGATCCATGAATATATTAACATTTTCTGACATTTGACAGGATAAAAACCAAATCTATTAATCCAGAAAGTATTTGATGAATTCACTGACAATGAAGATAAAGGCACTCACCAGCCCTACATAGCATTCAGGCAAAATAAACCACAAGAAAACTATACAATCTGCTCTTTATTGTGGAATATAAATTTAAAGAAGAAATGTCTTCATAACTTACAGTGAGGACACAGTGCAGCAACAGAAAACTTAAAAACACTTGCTCTATGTTGTATAAAGCATGCGCAGCCAAAACCATGACATCTTTGGGAACATGCGCACAAGAGGATTTAGTAGGAATGGTTTTGGAAATATGACAGAACAAGGACTTTAAACACATGCCGAAAGCATCGACAAAACTCAAAAACAAACACACTGACATTTAGCTGCGCAGACCTGACATCAAATACATTAAGATGAAATATTGCATCTGCTCCCTGCATCTGAAACTGCAAATTAAACGTGGAGTGAGTGAAGTGTAAATATTGAACCTGTATTACATAATAAGTGATAAGGGTTGACTTTTAGTTGTCATAAAAAAGCACACTTTGGAAAACTGCCTCAGTACATTCAGCTTATAACACTTAGCAACACACCACTAAGACAGAAGACAATTTTGTGCACAGAAATACATATTCATATCCTTCTTTGTCACATAGTTTAATTTCACACATAAAAAATAAGTTATGCTACAAAGCAGAGGGATAAATACAGGAAACAACAACAAAGCAACATAATCTTAGAAGGTGCACACAAACACAAATGTGACAGAAAATCCTCATTTCTTTAGAGCACTACTTATTAAGCACCTGGCGGGGTGAAAAATATCCTGTGCAGGTGTTCCCTGATCACTGCTACCATAGAAATGTTAGGCTTGAAGACAGTTCATGTTTTATGATGGGCACTTCACCAAATAGCACAGTGCAGACATGGGGACATGGCACATATGCAAGGCTTTTTCAAAAAGCTATCAGCAAGACACTGAAGCAAATTTTGCATTTAAACTATCCGACCATTGATGGAAATTCACCATGTGGCAACACAAGCTGATCGTGATAAAAATAGATATGCCTATATTTAAACCTTTTATATTATAACTTCATCTTTTTCCAAGCATGGAATCAAAAATAGTTCATCATTCTAAAGAGTAGTATTTGTCTGTAAAGTATACATTCATAAACAAAAATTTGGCATCTCAGGCACTGTAGTAAACTCTGTAGTACAGAGTTTTGTTTCGCCATAGTGAGTAGGAGTTGTCAAACTTCAGGAGGTATGTGCCTTCACCTGGAAACTCATGGCTCCCCCCATGAACAGCCAGGTGGCTGTCTTGGCGGTACACAGGTATGATTTCCCCCAAGTTTGAGTTGGACTGACTTTTAGAGCCCTTCTCAATGTCTCCGTTGCTGACAGGCCCTGCAATAGAAAGCATATAAAACACAAAGTCAACACAGTGGCTTAGATCCTAGCTGGAGGAAAACACATTAAAACAGGATTAAGGTATGCTTTGTTCCAGCAGACAGACCAACATGTTTAATAGAAAAGTTGAGTGACTGAGACATCCAGAGTAGAATCAGATTCAAAGTAAGCCCAAGTGTGAGTTTGGATTGCAAACACTGACCTTCGAGCTCCTCCTCCTCTTCTTCATCATCACTTGACTCGCTGATGTGTACAGTGATAGACCGGCTCGTCACGGGAGTCCAGTCAAAATATATACCAAAGCCAATGTCAAAACCATCTGTAGCAAACTCCCAGCACACTTTTTTGGCCTCAGGCACAGTGGGCACGTGCACTGTCATGATGTCACCTCGGTAAACTGTCACCATGCTGTCCTCTTCTGTGCGAAGCTTTGCCTTCAGCTCCTTCACAGCAGCAGATGTCCAAGTTGACGGGGGTTTCAGGGGCGGCATCTGGGCTGCCATCAGGAGGAACAAATGGCAAGAAGACTTTCAAAATCTTACATCTAGCTGACATGAGCCTTATAAAACAGTTGAATTAATGTCTTTAATGCCTTTACCACAGTTTGAACACACTCCTCATAGATTTATGAATCCTCTGATTTGTAATCATAGATAAAACAAAGCAGCAGTCATGATGGCACACTCAACAGGCCCTCACCTTTTATCTCAGCAGAGAGCTGACAGCTCCCAGAGCTGTTGTTCTCCTTGCTTCCTTCCCCAGGGGATGGCTCAGCTGGGGCCTCATCATTACCCTTAAAATGCACACACACCAGACAAATATTACAGCTGAGAAGTCACTTTATATTGCCTTTTTATTGACAACCACTGACAGCTGTCCAGGCATACTCAGATATTACCTACCCTGGTACACAATCCTGAATCCTCCTTGTTTTCCTCCATAGCAGCTTGATTTATTGTTTGAGCACAGCACTGTGAAAGGTCTGTATTCTGGAGTCTGTAAAACAATAGCAGTAGTACAGTGAAAGATCAGTAAATTTAACTTAAGGTCCTCATGATGAGCAGAATCGGGGTACCTCACCTGTCCAGAGGTCGATTGTCACACTGATTGGATGTTATTCCAGGAAAAGAAGAGAAGGACAGGGATGACAGCCGTGACTGGAGCTCTGATGTAGACTCTAATCTCTCCATGGCTGTAAAGACAAGGCAAACATCTCAGTGTGCGTGGCTGGAAAGATGAAGCCCCGCCTCTCTAACCGCAGGGAGGGAGGGAGAGAAAGATGACAGCATTAAAACCTGCCAACGCTGAGAACAAGCAAAGAATACATGTTTTCGGCAATTGCAGACCAAACTGACATCAATACTGTTGCACAACCAACTTAAGTGTAAAAATGCGTGTCTGTCGAGACCCCTTGCCTCTCCTCTGTGAACTGGCGCTAGCTTGTAGCTGACTGGTTAGCATCTCAGCAGCTAACGCTACCTAGCAAACATAAAAGTGCAGCCGAGGCTGAAGACTGATAAACAACTCATCTTACCGCGACGAAACGATGGTAATCAGATCAGTCAATCGATTTCACTTTAGTCCAACGACGGCCATCGGAAGGAAATACTGCTCCACATCACTACATGTCATCATATGACGGAGCTCTTCCCCTTTGCTTCTGCTTTGCTTGGGAAAAGCAGACCCGATTTTTGACACTTCCGTGTTTTGCCGAAGGTTGCCGAAAATCTGCGATTCTGAAGTACCGACACACTGGAGAAACTATGCTTGTGCCATAGACCGTATCAGGGGTGTCAAACTCAACCACAGCCATAATCTGGATTTAGGTCTAACCTGAGGGACAAACAGAGTCAACATTTAACCAAAACTGTCAACCTCCTTTTCAAAATACAAATGACAAAAACAGCAATGATTATAAATCATTTGAAAATGTAAAAAACACAAGTTTTAAGGCAATCTGAGTTAGAGAAATGATCAGAACATGATATTAAAAATAGAAAAATAATGTTTTTAAAGGGCAAATATATGAGGAGAAAGTTGAAGCCAGGTTTAGAAGGTCAAAATATGACTTAAAATTTAAAAGTGGAATCTAAAGTATAAAAATGAAACAAGTCTAAATACTGACTTAAAAAAAATTTATGCATGAATGAAAAATCAAATCATGTTTGACTTGTAATCTTGAAATGCAAAATTGAAAATATGAAAAAAAAAAAAATGTTTTCCCCCACATTCTTGACTATTTATCAAATCTTTTCTACTCTTTAATTTCCCAGATTTTTGCTGTCGATAACAGAATAACTAAGCAACAAGTCCCAGTTGAAAATTCATATTGTTGCATACACTTTTATTTTTATGTTGTGTTGGTTTGGTCGTGATTGTGGTGGACTTTGTGTCATGAGAGTATTGCTGCATCTGCTTGTGCATCAAAAAACTGATATGTTGACACAAATCTTTTGATGAAAAATTTTAATTTGCAATCCACAGAAATGTGTTCCCAATGATAAAGATGACTGCTGCTTTTTGTAAATGTCAACACAATATCTGGGAAGATATCCTGACAGGATCTTCAGCGACATTTTAAATAACAGTGTAGAAGTCTACTTTAGCAGCAGATATTTATATGTTTCAGAGATGCACTGTTGCATTGGTTTGCTGCTTGATAGAAAGCGCTGCAGAGGGGTGTCCGTGGTCTGAGCATCTGTGAGGGAAATCCAAGGAAAAGGCCTGGGGAAAAAAAAACACATACAGCATAATTTAATTGAGTTGCTTTGTTATTTATAACATTTTTTATCAAAGCAAGTTTTTGACTGAAATAAACAAGATGAGCAAAGTGTAAATATGTGTTCATGTGCAACATAGTTTTTACACTTACTCCTCTGGAAGAAGAGAAGATGCGCAAGATGCACAGAAGACAGTCTGTGGTTTTAGTTCAACTTTGTGTGTGTCTGTCTCTTGAAGGACGCTGTTAATCAGACATAAAGTTTGACTGGATCCCAAATTGGCAGAGGAGCAGATATTCAACAAGCTGTACAACACTGCACACACCCAGTTCAGGGAAATGCCACCTGAATACACAGAAATACCACTTAGATTCAACAAACCTTGTCAAATAAAGTGATGCCTTAATAGATCAAATTTAGCACATATTGTTTTCTGTTAAGAGAGAGAGAATATATTGAGGTCTGTAATAATAAAACAGGATTTACTGCTCATTCGAAGCGGGCAAGATCTCTCTTTCAGTACAGGATCATTCAGAGCTATTTTCAGATGAGTGCAGGACAGCCAAACATCCACATCATCACTGGTCGAAAATTCATACTGTGGTTTGATGATAAAATCATGTCCGAGAAGTTGTGCCAATCTGAAATAGAAGATAAACATAGCAGAATTCAGGAAGTGATCAACAAAAAACTGATGCAGTGTTACTGTGGTTCTACCTGGTGGCAGGCACAGCTGAGCTGAAGCTGTACACGAGGCACTGCTTTGAGAGGTGAGAGCTGATATCAGCACAGACTTTGGGGAGGTGAGAGGGCAGACAGCAGAGGAACAATATGTCTGCCCATGCTGCCAGTCTGCTGTTGCTGGTGAAACACTCAACTCCAGCCTGAGTATATTTCACTGAAAATGACACACACACACACACACACACACGCACACACACACACACACACACACCACATACTGAATCCTGACAAGCCATACATGAAAAATGGCCCCTTCTCACTCAGCATTACAGTAATAGGCTATAGTAACATCAACATTGATTATGCCAGTGTACCTGTAGATTCCGGTCTTCTACTGCAGATCTTAATGTTAATGTTAGATTTGATATCTGACTTTTCAAGGAGGAACCTGAGCAACTGATTCCCCAGGTTGCCCATCCCCACTATCCCAATGCATAGATCTCCTCCTTGCTCTGATGCCGCTGAGCCTCTGGTTGCAGTGTGGGTGTTGATGGCGTCTCTAAATATGCATTAACAAGGATGCACATTTTACAGCCGTTAGTTTCTGTCGCACAATTTACAATGGACCTACAGCCGCATATCTTACCACTATGCAGTCTATGAGCTTACTTTAGTGACCGGACGAGTTTACACAGGAAAACTGCGTGCGCGCACCCGCAAAAAGTCAGTCTAGCGGCGCGTGACCGAAGAGAAATGTACCGTCTCTCTTCTTCTGTCAGTCCAGCCTCGAAAGACAAACTGTATAATCCAGTTGTTACGTCCCACATTGTCGGAAAGTGCCCATGGATTGAAGTTGAATTAACTAACTTTTCTCGAAGAGAAATGTACCGTCTTTCTTCTTCAGTCAGTTCAGTCTCGAAAGACAAACTGTATAATCCAGCTGTTACGTCCCACATTGTCGGAAAGTGCCCATGGATTGAAGTTGAATTAACTAACTTTTCTCGAAGAGAAATGTACCGTCTTTCTTCTTCAGTCAGTTCAGTCTCGAAAGACAAACTGTCTAATCCAGTTGTTACGTCCCCCATTGTCAAAAAGTGCACACGGATTAAAGTTAAATTAACTAACTTTTCTATTAACTTGTTTCCATGGTAAACACCAACTTCCGTCAAAACGGCTGACGTTTTTCAAAATAAAGTTCACCTAAAACGCATAACGCAGCTAATGCGGTAAATGAATAATTAAATAAAAGTTAAAATGCTGTGAATCAAAACGGATTAAAGACACCCCAGTATCTGCCTTTTTAAATCTTAAGATATAGAATTTAATGTATGAGTATTTAAAGCCAAGTGATAGAATACAGGAGCACTAGTGGCTTCTCATGCTGTGAGAGGCAAACTGCTGGTATGATTTGTATCAACTCATCAGCTGGGTAAAGAAAATTCATACAAGTTATTTTGAGGGATCAATTTAAACAATCATAACAGGTTTGTAGGCCAAGAGAAAGCATTATGACACAGTTTTTTTTCAGTGCATACACTTGGTTTTCTATGGAAGTAAATACAGTATGTGCCATCTGATTTTGAATTTGAATTTCTAAAGCGGACTTGTTTTTTTGCATCAAAATCAGACTTTGAATTCAAACCCATCGAATTTCAAGCATGTATTTTTATTTGTGACACTAATTTTTTGTTACAATAATGAAATAAAAGTGTAAAAAAAAAAAAAGGTCTCAAAAATATTCATTTGGTAAAAATTGACTTAAAAAATGTGTAAAAAATTAGCATAAAAAAAATTCTGTGTCAAATAACTCAGTGTAAAATAATTCAGTGTAAAAGAGACAGACTCAACATCCGGGTAACCAGGGAGAAGCAATCGATTCCTGGCTCAATCATCCATCATCCAGCCAATTAATTAATGCTAGATTGGTCATATGGCACAGACCCCAGTGGAAGATTGAATCCAATCGATTAATTTTTTTTACACCAAATTTGTTCCATCGTTGTGAAAAAAAAATTGTGTCAGAAATAAAAATGCGTGCTAGAAATTCAATGGTTTTGAAATTCAAAGTCTGATTATGATGCAAAAAAATTCAGCTTTAGAAATTCAAATTCAGATCAGATGGCACAGATTTACTTTCATAGTTTTCTTTCATTTGTTTCCCTTGAACACTGAATTTCAAAAGTGATCTCTCAAAGCTGCACTCTAATAAGGTGGGTTTCACCTCTTTTATTTCCCTTTCATGCTTTCAATACAAATTTGTCAATTTCACTGTACACTTATGTACAAGAAATTTTATCCTGGCCACATAAACAACAAAATGGGCAAATCAGACATCTGAAACACAACTTCAAGCTTAGCATTAATAATATATCAACATACATTTACAAAAAAACAATTATGCTGGATTTTAAGACTTATCTTCAAGGTTCTAAGTCGACACTCTCATGAACTGAACCAACAGTGTGAAAATGTGAGCAGCAGACTGGCAAAATAAAACATTTGAAAGGTTTGACAAGCTGTTCTTTACAACAACAACAGCAGCTTCTTACAAGTGTACACAACGTTGATCACGGCTCAAAATAAGAATGGCAAAACCTTAAACTAAAATGTGGGGGATTTTCCCATCGGCCATTCATCTGAGGAAGTAACCCTCCAGTTATTTAAAAGTGCTTGACTTTACACATTTGAATCACATTCAGTTTCTACACTTGTTCTCAATGTTTGCATGAAATGTTACACTTAAAGAGTATTTACAGTCAATACGAAGGCCCACGTACAGTGCAGTTTATATAAATTATGGGTCATTATTACAACTAGAATATTAGCGTTTGTTGACACCAAATAGGTTATAACGCAACAACAGACAACTTGTAAACAGAGCTGTTTGAGGATGAAGCTAATGTTTGCGCTTCATGAGACAGCAGCCTATTTCTTCATTGCTAAGATTTTACATTTGTAATGCCATTGCCTAGCCTCACTATAACATGAGCCACATTCAGAAGGAAGGTGGCCTTAACAGTTCATCTCTCTCCACACATCCTTTGACTGAACCTACTGTGGGTGGTTGCTGATAACCATGAAGGCACTGTGAGGGAACTGACACAAGCAGAATCACAATAGTTCAAATTGTCACGAGATGAACTGTGGTTTATTTACATCAGGGCTCAAATGAGACCTCCGAGATGTCTTCATTAATGTTCTGTGGAAGGTTTCCATTGTTTTCAGCACATCTGCACAGTCTTGGTTCCCGGTACCAAATGGCATCAAAAATCACTCCTCGCCCTGCCTCCATTTCTGAGACTCCTCCTGACGTGCATCAGGATGAATCTGGTTCCTCATCCCACCCAGGACGTTAGAGGTGGCTTCAGTGGCCATAATAAGGGGTTTGACTACTGCTGGTGGCAGCTGGCGGAGAACTCCACCCACTGCGCCTGTCATCCCCCGCTGCTCATGCTCCCGGGTGGCAGTGTCATAGATGGTCAGAGCCGTGTCTGTGATCCCCTGTAGATGAAACCTTATTTAATATAATCATGAAACCCTCCCATGCTCAACCCTTCCAACAGAGGTCTTTTTAGGACAAGTTCCTGTCTACACACTACTGATCTAAACATAACTTTACAAATCTATTTGGTTGTTTGGTTGCCTACCTCTTTTACCACAGTATAGGCCTTGGCTACCCCTTCCCTCAGATCCACGGGCTGATGAGCCAGCCCATAATGGGAGAACCGTTTTATCCTCTTCATGTCTCTCTCATCAGGCACAGGAGACACCATGTCGTACGCCGTTTCAGCTGCTGCCTGAAAAAGACAAACGTAAAATAAATTGGATTTGTTGGATGCCTTGGGAGGGCTTTGTCCAGATTTAAAGATATTTTTACAACATTGGAACGTCAAGTTTACCTGGATGGTCCTCACCATCCTGTTGGTGAGCTCCAGAGCAGCCATGGCAGTGGAAGTCCCAAAGGAGGCAGTGCCACGCTGAAATCCTCGAACTATTCGACCGTCCTTCCTGTACTGTTCAATTGGCAGCCAGACCAAGTCCCTGAATCCCTGAACTGAAGAGGAAATTCATCTTAAGAATAAAATCATAAATCACACACTACTTAATTTGATACCATGATGTGAAGATATCTAACAGCACTGCAAAAACTGGGACTGAGTTCAAGGCATGTGTGGACTCACCTAGCTGCACCAGAGAGTGGATTGGTCCCACTCCACCCAATAACCCTGGGAGCTGGTTCTTCTTAATGTCGTTAAGCCACTCATTTATTGCATAGGAAAACAGCTTATCCACACCTAATAATCTAAAATACAAAACATGTTAGTATCATAGTAACGATGATCACTTTTCTGTGACATACCTTAACCCTATCAACATCAGTGATGGGGTATCTCGTGTATTTAAGAAATGTTCTTTATAATTATTACTGCATTACTAAAGACATTAAATAAAAAAGCAATACTGTTTTATGAATTACTGAGATTTGCATACCCTTGTCGATAACATAAGCGCCTCAGTTTAAGTTCTGAACAATTCAGCTGTGTCAACCCGATTATGATCCCTGCAAATGTTCCCTGAAACATAACAGAAAACAAATCGTTAATGAAACCATAAAGTAATACGGTATTAGTGAATGGCTCTTCCTGGCATGTACCTGCTCCATCGAAACATGTTTCCCATGGTAATCCAGGCGAATGGGGACCTCAGAGGTAAATCGAAATTCCCTGTTGGAAAATCATGTTACATGCAGACTACCAGTTTAATACCTTCTTTAAAATTAGTTGAATATTTGAGCGAAGCCACACTGACCTAAAGAAGATTGGCTGGTCTGTGAAGGGAGCAGCAGAGGCGTCATCGTTCACGTCTTCCCTGCCTGATGTGTAGAATCCATTGTGACTCAGACGTCTCTGGGCTGGCACTGAAATGATTGGGGCCGGGTCCTGACTGCCACTGGCGTGCTTTGTGAAGCTGCAGGAGATCTCTGGGGCGGACACTTTTTTCGTTGAAACACAGACAACTACGAAGAAAAACATTATCAGGCTCTGGTAGATGAAAGTGAGGAATAATCTTGAGTGCTGAATAAATACTGAGTGTTACCTTCTTGAGCAGGAGGAGAAAAAAACTCGACTTCAGTCGAAAGACTAGTAAAGAAGTCCTTCAGAAAGAAGAGGGCATCCTGCAAACCAATAAAAAACAACACTGTCAGTTACTGTTTATTTGATTCAAGTGCTGGAAAGGGTTTCAGATTTGCTTACTTGATCAATATTGAGGCGTAGAGGCATTAGGGAAACACGCAGACAGCACTCTTGTGGAGCCTGGCCTGACTCAGGACACATGTGCAGCGCTTTGACTGTCAACTAAAACCAGAAGTACAAACGATGTTACACCAAGCCAAGATCTGACTCAGTAAACGTGTGTGTGAATTTGTGTCCTCACCATGTTGGAATGAGCTTTCCGAGGCATTTCCTTGCTTGAATACAAGTAGAGGAATTTGTTCATCTGTGAGGTAGCCAGTCTGTCCCGGATCTCCAAGTCCTGCACAACAAACACCTGCCGTGACACGGGTTGATCCATGGCTGACCCAGAGGCCACCTGGGTCTGCGGGTACACCTCATGCTGAAATCTCAGCTGAAGAAAAGCAGGTGTATCGTGAGAAAATAACTCAAATAAAGTATTTGTGTCATCCTTATGAACATGTCAGTGTAAACAGCATACTTTGCTGAGTTGTATCTCCATCAGGACGTCAGGGTTCCTCCCTTTTCCTCCACCTGTGCGTCCTGAGGCTTTGGCCTGTCTCACTGGAGTTTGAGAGGGTGAGCTGTGGGGTGTACACCTGCAAAAAAAAAAAAAAAAAACATTTTATAAGCTTTTTCTCTACTTATGCATAAATCAAGTATTTTTAAAGTTACACAGTTAAGAGGCTCACCCCCGGCTTCTAGCAGGTGATGCTGTGAAAACTGCGCTACCAAAGTCTTTCCCTCCGTAGAGGTGCCAGATGACAGAGATCTCCTTGATGAGGTATCGCACCTCTGGGATGGGGAAGTTCATGGCTCCACGGCTGGAGTCACTACCATAAAGAGGCTGGCTGAAGTGGTCATCTTTGATTTCAACAGTGTCTGAGGTAAGCTGTTTAACCACTGGCTCTTGATCAAGATCCTGAAACACATTTCATTTATCGTAAGCAAAAGCAGACCTTTAGTTTCTTTAACATGTACAGTACTTATAACTCTATGAATAAACACTCCGTTACCTCTCCCCTTGAGCCTGGTGTCTCCAGGATGCAAAAGTCATCTGTCTCTTGAGCTAGCGTAGGAGCAGGAGTGATGAGGGGAGAGTGAAGCATGGGGTAGGTGGGGCTTGAGTCTTGGGTTGCATTCCCACTTTCATCAGGGAACAAGAACAGGTCAGAACAAGGCGGGTCATGGTCTGGATTCTGCTCCACATGTGCACCTGCAGAGATGTGTGAAACAGTACCAGATCTAGTCAGGTTTTATTCAACATTGAGTGAAAAATGTTTGATCTTAGCTATTTGAAGTCTTCACCATTCTGCTGCAGCCCTGGTGCATGCTGTCCATCAGTCTCCTCCATCGCTTCACTCATCAAATCCTGCAACATCTGCTGCTCTGTCTCCGCAAGAAGTGGGGTCTGGGATGTGGGCCTGCTAGAAGACTCAACCTGTTCAGACACAAACTCAATTTGAGTATGTACAAACAGTGGGGTTTTAAATTCTTTAGTCTTTTTTGACATGAGGCTCATGTTTTGGTCACGGCTGACCTTGCTTCTCTGCGTAGCACTGCTGTGTTTGGTCTCTGGTTCTGTAGGCGGCATTAAGTCCCCATAGCTGGCCACATACTGGATAAGATTCATGAGGGCGGCGCAGGAGTCTGAGCATGTTCTGATGTGAATAACGTCACTAGAACAGCGCAGCTCAAATCTGGGCTCTGACTGCAAACCAAGAGATAGTTACAAAATTAGTTACAACACGGGTTTAAAACATTTATCTCATTTATAGCAGCAGATATCGCACCAATTTTCCATCCACTCCTGGTTTGACTGCTGTAATCCTTAACTCCAGTGTTCCCATGTCAACTACTTGGACGTAGTCTGTAAGAAAAAGTAACACTGCTGACAGCTGCACAGAAACATTTTCAGCAGTGTTGTTTGTGGCGATTGCTAACGTGAACTTACCACGGGCTAGATTGACAGAGACTGCATTACTCTTGTCTGAGAGGAACAGAGCCGCTTCATCCAGAATTATTCTGCAGACAAAATATCACACTCACTCTGACTTTTTCTGGATTTCAGTTGCAATAACATCTCTTACTATGAAGACACAAAAAGCCCTTTCATACCTGAGGGTTGAAGATGAGTGGTCCAATGAAACACTGCTGGAGATGCTGAAAGTCTCCACAACCAGCAATGATCTCAGTGGCAGGTAAAGAGGTCTAATCAAGTGGAAGAGAAAAGCCAAATCAGAATACACTCATAGATTTTAAAAAAAAAATCGATATGTAGGGGCGGTATGAAGTATCCTCTACCTGTAGTCCAAAGAGCAGCTCCATAGGTGCAAATGCAGAGTGGTGACAGACGTTGGTGGGGCGTAACCCAGCACAGGCTCATCAGAAACATTCAGAAAGTCAACAATCTGGTGCACAAAAAAACACAAATATGGGATTAAATTGCATAACACAACCTTTACATGCTCTGTGAGAACTGATGCAAAGGAAAATTCAGTAAGGAGATATGATGGATGCTCCTACCTGGTCATACCAGCCAAGGCTGGGAGGGACCACTCTGTGCTGGAGTGTGGCTCCTCTCACTCCAACGGCAACCAGAAACTCCTGCATGAAAACACAAGTCAGGCTGATGAACATCTGATAAAAGTCTGATTATGATTAGTAAGGGGGGCGGTGCGAGCCTCCTCAAATCAAAAGTTTGGTAACAGCGCTGTGGTGATTTCAGCACTCTACCTTGACATTGCGCTCTGCATTCTGGGATGAGATTTTGACAGCAACAGACACCATGCTGCGGGCCTCCAGACCAATACCCTCTGAGGGTGTTGAGGATCTTTCAGGTGACGACTCAGATTGGTAGATAGTCGGCTCTAACCAGTGTGGATGTGTCCTGCATGGCAACTTGATTTCTACAACAGAGGTGCCCCCATCCAAAAGCCCTTCAAGGATGAACAGAGTGACACATTAGTCGAAGAGGTACAGGTGCACAAAGGCCCTTGGAGCAGGGATGCAGACAAAGTGTAGTTTGACAGGGGATAAATGTCACAGTCATAATATCACTAATATCTTCACGTAAATACAAGTGTAAAGGCAGACTGAAAGTGTACAGCTGGTTTACCTTGATGATACATGCAAACATTGCTGGTGTGGAAGCAGACATAGTGCTGGTCTTTATAGCCTTCGTACTGTGTCACACTGAAGAGCACGGCATTTTTCACCTCCAGCCAGAACTCGCCATGTTTGTTTTTCAGGATGGTTTTATCCTCCTTCTGGAAAAAAAAAAAGAATAAATAAATTCTATACAGATCATGTTCCAATTTGTAAGTGTGATATTGAGTGGCATAGAAAAGACTGTGAGCCTACTTTTGCATTCGTCTGTAGAGCCACAAGGCCATGATTGACACTGAGGATGACAGAGAACAAGCTCTGGGACGTCTTGCACTGGGCTTTGGGTTTTTTCTTCTTGCGTGATCTGAGGCCCAGATCAGACGCAGGAGAGTAATAGTGCATAGTCTCCTCCTCTGAGCCGCTTGTCTCATCTGAAAGCACAATATAAAGCATATTTTAGTCTTATACATGACTTGAATTAACACAGTTGTACTGAGCTTAGTTTTGTTGTCTCACCCTCTGGACCTGTAGAGCGGAACTGGCTGAAGCTATCTTTGGAGTAAGTATTGATCAGCTGACTGGCGACAGAGAGTCCGACTCCATACGGCATGCTTTCCACTGTTTCCACAGGAGATGGAGCAGTGGGCTCCCAAAGCAGCAGGTCATTGTTTATCCTTAAATGTGGAGACCATACAATTAAGATGAGGAAAAGGGTATCTTAAAAGATATTTTCAGGAGGGAACTATTCTATAGCCTTAAGTGTTTATAAAAAAAAAAAAGTTTTTATTACAAATTTCATTTTACAAATTCCATACCTGTTGTGAAGTTTTTCATAAAATGCTTTGTTGGGAAGCAATAATTGCACGTTGGGGAAACACAGCTCAAGGATAAAGCGGGAGTTGTTCATGGTTTTTTCCTGAAACTCGGTCATCTCTGCAACATCCCCAGGAATAACCATCTGGGATTTAAAAAAAACATACCAGACTTTCATAACAAGCTGCTCTGTAAACAGGTCTGGGATGCAAAGCAGTGCTGGTGTTACTGTTTGCATAATGATGCATCTGTCGCACATCAGAATTCATCAACCAGAAAGTATCCTCGCTTCTAAATGCAAATCTGCACCTGCACTAAGTCCACCTGCTTATGAGAAACACCAGCTCTTCATTTTTGCATATTTTGAGGGGGATATTTTCAGGCATGGGAATGCAATTATTTTTGATGAGTGTTGTCATCATAGTCCAAAATGAGTCAGTTTAACGATTGACAAGTTCTACAGGTATATCTAAGGCAATGCAGTTGTTGAGTGTGTCTTTTAAGCTGTAGCCTACCTCTTCATTCTCATACATAACCCTTCTTGAAGAAAAGGGTGACGGCTCCGGTTTTCCAAAGTCACACACATCTTTCAGTGAATGAGCAGCCCCTTCCTCCTCTTCCTCTTCCAGAGAATGGTCCTCAGCCCCCTCATCATCTTCAGCTGTCACTCGCTCAAGGATTGAGTGCACTGCAGTGGGGTTCATCTTCAGCACAACCCTGCACAGAGCGATTAAATATCAGTGAGATGTTTTTCTGAATGGACAGATGAGTATGAGGTTGGTTGGTTTCACTCACCTCGGCCAATCAAATTTGACACTTTCAGATGTTGTCATGTCTCCATCCATGGTGTGGGACACCCTGAGGAACCTTGCAGCTGCCTGATCTGGCTCCTCCTGAAACTTCCCTACATAAAGCACATAAAACAAACCAAGATTTAGTTTATTGACATTGACTGGCGTCTCATTTTTTTTTAAGTCTATCAACATACCAATCAGCTCTTTGAAGGTAAGCTCCATTTTGGTTTGTTCTGGGGAGCTGCCTCCCATGAACTCTGTTTTCATCTCCAAGTCCTCTAGCTCCAGGTAAAGAACTTCCTTTTGTAGGGACTTCTTAAACCAGGGTCCTCTTTCCTGATCTGAGCGCAAGTCTGGGATGGGGAAGCGCACGGCAAGGCCCAGCAGCGGTGCACTGACAGTCAGTGATATGTGACAGTTTGTGGGAGTATGGGTGTCATCTAGGAAAACCTCTGTGAAGGCCTTATGCTGTAAAACGGATTTAAAAAGGTCATTAATTTTTTAAATACTCATTTAAAGCCAATAAATATGCAACTGCTTTGCTCTTTTCATGGTCTCTTCTCTAAAATATTTCAGGACCCCCTTACCAAGCTGACATGTTTATTATAGGATGTGTACAAATGGGAGGCCATCAGCTCAGTGGTTGCCAACTTCTGAGGTTGTAGTAATGAGTTCAGTCGGTCTACAATGCTGATGTCGAGCTCAGAGCGTACAGGACCCAGCTCCATCTGGATCTCAGCTTTTCTGGGAATGGTGCTGAGGCGGACCTGTCCTCCCTGCACATAGAACCACAATACTGACTGAGTGAAAGCCCAAAAATGAAGCATATAGAACTGTGCTTTCACATTCAACCAACAAACCCTGTTACCTGAGGACCTCTACGCTCAGCCTGTTTGTAAAACAAGTGAAGGCAGGTGGGAAGCGGCGCATCAGCACTGGCGGTGGTGTCAAATGTCAGGAGCTGAAGTGTGACAGAGAAGCTGATGAGAAACTCGTTTATGCTGTACCAGCTGCAGCATTAAGGGCATTTGGGATATGTATGCAGCGTTCAACTGAAAAAGCAGTTAAAAATGTGCTGAGCTCAGACCCAAACTCTGACCTCTGTGTACTGAATGCCTCTTTGGGAGCCACCAATAACAGCCTCAGAGGGAAACAAACACTCCAGAAACTCCATCTGGCTGAGGGACACGTCAGTGCTGAAAGTGCGCAGGCTGGATCCCTGGCAGTGTTCATAATTTATCTTCAGGTCCTGACCCACAAACCTGCATATGAAAGCTCACTTCAGATATTTCTCTGTAATAACAAATATTTCTCACAACATGCTTGACTGTGAAACAAGGTGCAACACTGCAGAACTGGAATAAGTGACAAACAAAAGTCAACCTGAGATGGTCATGTGGACAAGCCCTGTTAAACACTGTGCGGGACTGAAGGAAAGCAGCAGGGGCGAGTTGGCCTGGGCCAACTGTGCTGAAGAAGTGTGTGGCCATGGGGCCAAGAGGACTAGGAGCAGCATCTGGTGGTGGCAGTGGGTCAATGTGTAGGACTGAGATAGCCAGGCTACTCAGGGTCAGCTTCAGCACCAGTTCTGGCCTCGACTCATCACCGTGTGTTTTGGATGGATGGGCTGTAAACAACAAAGCTAAATGCTTAATTTCAACTGATGTTATCTTCTATTTTGACTCATGTAAAAGCCTATCAAATAAAAAATAGATACAAAGTAAAACTTACAAGTTTGTCTCAGTAACTTGTGGGGGAGGTGTGCGTCCCTCGACTGGATGGGAGTTTCATTCGTCTGCTTCTCTCTTTGTCGAGGTACATCCATGTAATCATCCCACAGAGCCTATAAACACAGATCAGATTTGATGCAGATAATTTAAGCTCAGCTGTATTTACAATCATTTAAAACACCCTCCTTGACAGTAGTAATTTATATGCCTCATTATTTTCTCTATATAAAGTTTCAGCTCCCTTGTAATGTTTATTTAAAAGTCCCCCACTTTATTGCAGAAAAGCTTACCCCACCCAGAGAAAAACTGATGCATTGCAGACAAAAACAGACATCAATTTTAATGTTTTAACTAATCGAGTGAGCAGAAAACTGTTTTTATACTGTTTTATCTACCGACAAATTTACCATCTATCTAGCCAGAGTGCTATCATGACTTCATGGAGTCTGAACCCAAAGAGGTGAAGACTTACTGTTGCGTTTCCAGAAGGAGATTCCCCCGGGGAGGCTGAGTAGTTGCTATTAAGTGACAAATCCAAATCAACAGTGGGTGGTTCGCCCAGAGGAGGGAGAGATGACAGGCTGTGAGACATGTCCATGTCCGCCATGGAGAAGAACACATCATCTACACCACCCACAGATGTGTTCAAAAAGAGGAAGCAAGAATGAATTTCATTATTTTGACACAAGCATCACATTATACTTCTTAGATAGGACGAGTTAAAGGATGGTGTTTCAGTCCAACCTCGACTCGACACAGTTCTGGTGGTCTGGCTCTCAAAGAGGTCTGGGTCTGTTCCTGGCATAGCACTGTCCTTCTTCAGACAGCGATTCAGCTCCATGTGAAGCCGATACTCATCCTCCTGCTGCATGGGTCGGCTCTTTCGATCCTTTGCCCATTCCTGTGCACCTTCACAGAAACAATAACCAAGAATACACACACTCTGTTTCTGGACTACTCTTATGTTGCGGCTTGCATGTTTGAATCAAACATCATCACAGTAGTGCTTACCACCGCCGGAGAAAGCGCCAAACAAGTCCAGAAGAAGGTGAACTTGCCGCGGGGACAGCAGAATAATAAGTGTATCAATGTGTCCAACAACATCCAGCTGAAGAGCAAAGCATGCAAAACAATGTCAACAGCAATCACGTCTAGCAAATAAAGAAGTTTTTAGGATCACTTATTTATGATATCTTAGACTTCCAAAACAGCAGCTTTACCTTTGCTCCAGGCATAGTTAAGTTGTTTTTCAGAGTGAGGGACAACTCGATTTTACCACCGAGGCTCCCAACCTGCACAGGTTCAAATGGTGTTGTAGAGGAAATCGTCTCTGTGAACTGGGGGTGAGGCTCACAGATTATTTTGGGATTCCAACTTGGTGAGAGTTTTGGTTCAGTTTCCTGCAAAATCAAACATTTCTTTAAAAAAGTCTTTGCATCCACCCTCAGAATGCCAGATTTTATCAATATCCTCAACCTACTAACCGTTTGAGTGGGTGAAGATTTACAACCAGCACGAGACACATCTGAAAACTCATCCCAAAACACAGTGATGCCTTCCATCTGCAAGTTTTTATGCGCAAATGTTGTTGGCTGGTGTACGTTCACACTTGAACTCTCCTCGTCTGTCTCATCACAGTAAACAATCCTGGGAGCAAACAGAAAACACGGTTAACTTAACAGGAAGTTTCCACTTATCTTAAACCTACCTTAAGTTAAATAGTAATTACAGTTTTATGAAGAGTGTTTGGTCATGTTAAAGGACAAAGCTTACTTGCTGATTCGGATCTCAAGAGCGATTCCAGTCTTTGAATTTTCAGGAATGTGCTCGACTCGGAGGACAGTATCCAAGAATGTCACTCTAACTCTTCTCAGAACTGCAAGATTTAAAGTGAAAAAGTTATATTTCACAGAATTCTAGTCCAGAAAACTTTCTGACATTTCATTTTACAGTATGAGCACAACACACCTGTTTCTATTGTTTCTGCAAACTTCTCTAATCCTTCAAAAGGCTGGAAGCTCTCTCCCATGTCATCTGTGAGTTTCTGGCTCAGACATTCTTTGGCAAGCTGCATACTACTCGTCATGAAACTGGACCAGTACATGGGCTCGGTACCAGATGCTGGAAAAAATGAAGGAGGTAAACAATGATTTACTTTGCTGTGACATGAAACTAAGGCTGTGTCCGAAATGGATCCCTAACCCCTATATAGGCAACTATATGGGGGTTAGCGCCATTTTGAGGGGTGTCCAAAACCTCAGTGATCAATTCCAGTGCCCTATATAGGTGACTCAAAATTTCCCATAAAGCATTGCAAAATGCAGTGACCATCCGATGGTCACTCACCGGTGGTTGTCATCCTGTCACGCATTGCGTCTTGCCATGTAGTGTCCGAAACCTCCGGTGATTAAGTTCACTACATATTAAACTATAAAGTAAAACCCCACATGGGGGTTAGGGGTTAGGGATTGAGTGATTCATTTCGGACACAGCCAAAATTTTCCTCGGGTAATGCTGTGAAGACACACAGCTCAGTGGCTCCTTACCCACTCTAGGTCTTGGTCTTAGCACCATCTCCAAACCCTTTACCTCCAGGGCACAGTTTTCCTGCAGCAGGGCAGCCCATGGGACTGTGAGAGAAATTGTCTGGATGAACCCTGTGATGACCTCAAAAGGGGCATCTGCCGTCTCAAGGAGCTCATTGAGTGACTGAGTAACAAAAAAAAAAAAGATTATTAGCCTTTCTTAAGTCATGTAGATTTAACATGTAAATCAGTTACTCATCTACTGTCAGACACATACCCATTTATCCAGAGGCACTTGTGCAAGTGACCCAGTGCCCTGATAGAGGTCTAGACTGAGCTGATCCAAGCTCAGCTTCTCCTGAAGGAAGTTGCCAAGGTACCGATGCAAGAGGTACCTGCATGCTCGCTTCTTGATCGACTCAGAAAATGGCCAAGGCATCTTAACTCTACAGGTGAGCAGTGCACAGATAATGAAAGGGATTAAGTTGCTCTGTGACCGGAATGCTATAGCTACTGTAACAGCTTTGAATTAGCCACTGGTGTTACAGTTTTGTCATCCCGTCGGTTTAAGGACATTGAGAAAAGGTGAGCTCAAACACCCTTCACATCCCAAGATTAGGGACACTTTGGAGGATGTGTCGACACTCAAGGATCTGTGAGGGGATTGGTCCGACTCCAGTTTGCTTCGCCTACAGAGAGACAAACACATGCTGTCTGCTTTATGATCTGACACATTGAACATACAATGTTTACAACAGATAAAAATGAACACAAATTCATGCATCAATTTAACATTAAGACGTTTGAAAATGGACCTGAATACCATCACAGTAGCGTCAAGTTACACCACATATCCAGATAACCTCAATGTTACCCCACGATCATTTTTGCCCACTTTGAAGAACCAGAGTGAACCAGCCAAACGCACTTGCGAAATAGTCCAAAGCTACCCTTAGCCCCGCTGGCTAAAACAGAGCTGTCATCGTGAGGAACAGACGGTAGCTGCGCTTAGACTGCTGGCTAGACAAAGGCATGGCACCAGCTAACTAGCCGGCTAGCTAATGCGAAGCTAACACCGCTAGCCAACCTATGAGCCACTCCTATTGGCAACATTAGCATAGCCGGCTAACATCACGCTAGGCTTTAGCGCTACATGCTTGCTAGTTAGCCAGCAAGGTAACCCCTAAATACAACATTTCTGAAGTGATTTACCCTCACACGTGACACGTACACGGACAAAAACAGACGGACATGCATACCCCAACCATCTGCAGACACGCCTGAGTAAGTGACAGAGTTTAGGATGACAGCGCTGTGAATAAGTTACCTTCTGACTGAGTTGTTTACAAACACTTTCATGACTCCGCACCAGCTGAGCCCACGCACACACACGCGCACACACCGGGGTGGGATTATCCCGTGACGTCACAACATGGCGGAGCTGTTCAGCCCACGGGATAGTTAGTGGGCCAAGGTTTTATTTCTTTTAAGTTGTCATATGAATTCAGCATTGAATTAACGTGGATATAGCCTGGCTCTTTCCGCACGTTTGACTCTCAACAGGTCTTTATCCCTCGTGAGGTTAACGCTCATTTGTACGAACCTCCACCGGAGAGTTCCGAGTGGACCCGAAGCTTCCACAAGCAGGAAGAACACAAGCAGCGAGGAGGTGAGAAAACTAAACGCAGTTATTAAGAACTGATTATTGTGACTCAGTAATACCACCTTTCTAGTTTCTTTGCGTTATATGTCTGTTTTCATTTTTAACATGATAAGAGATATGAAAACGCGTCTTTGGTCCAGAGAGTGCTAAATTATTTCGCTAACGGAACCATGAAGCATGCAAAGGCTTAGTTTCCTCAGAGTTCACCCCTTTCATGTAGCTATACCAGCCATGCTTGAATACAAGTTTGAAAAGGTAGATTTTATGTCTTCAACAAACATTTAATTTAACATTTGCAATGCACTTACATTATACACGCTAAATAATAATGTATCTGTAAGCAGTGGGCAGAGTAACCAGACGTGTTTTGCCTCAGTCAGCTACAACAGAGTACACAGAGTCCTCAAGATGTCGCTGCGATGTTGACTTTGTATGACATGTTTTAGTATTATTATCAGTAGCGCTCACGGTAAGATACTAGTAGTAGGCTACTTGAAGTCTCTGCACATCTACACAAGTACTGCATTTCAGTACACTGTTAAGGTACTGCATGTTATTTTATATACACCTGACATCATTAACATCCAGGCAATCTAATGCAATCTGATACAATAGCTCTACCACAAGTGCTGCTTTCAGGAGGCTTCAATATGCTTTTATTGATCAATCAGGTGATTGTTTTAAGACGTAGTTGGTGGTTTTGATAGTGAGCTGGGGTGTGTTATATTGAAAGGTGTCGCTTACATCCACATCTATCACTCGCCACAACTTCAGCAATTCACTTTAAGAACAATTATCACCTGTCAACAGAAACAGAAAATGTAGACACCTTGTCAAAGTAAAGCTGTAGTACTGGGTTGCATAAGACCTCCCAGGCATTCATTTTATTGCACCAAGGTCTTTAGTATAGTTTATCACCCGAAGCGAAGAAATACACTACCTTTTATTGCCCCAGATTTATCTGAAAGCTTTTTCCAACTAGCTTTTGAGTTTTATAATGTAAACACGATCTCAATAAATATGACAAGCTAAAATATGAAAGCCATCAACACTGTGACAGATGTTTCAAATGAGCCTCATCCTGACCAACTCCAACATTTAAATTCAACATGCACATTAATGCAGCTAAACAATCCTCCAATACAAAGTGTACATGAGGAAATACAGCATGATAGTGATACATCTGTAAGGAAAAATACAGTACTGTACAGTTTTTTAAAATTATTTATCATATTTATTTATATATTTAACATATATCATATTTATACTTTTACTTATTCTAAGAATGTAAGTGTTCCTCCACTAAGCCTCATTTGTTGGTTAATTAAACTCAGAATTAAAGTTCCAGTGGCAAGAACGTGAGAAATGCCACACAGTTATTGTTTCGAATGTGAAATTCTAATCCAGCTAATCAGATTGAACAAATCTGATCACATTTTTGTGTTGGTTGGTCGACTTGTGGCCCTCCTCTTTTGATTATAGTGCTGGTTTTGACATTACAGAGGAACAAACCAAAATATATATATATATGTTTTCCCCTTTAAGTGGCATACTGCATTTTACTTCAGTATCTTAAGAGAGGTGTCAGCCAAGTGTGGTAAAGGTTGCTGCATGCTTTAAATTTACATTAAAGGGATAATTTGTGTTTTTTTTTTTATGTGGTTAAATGAAGAAATTATTGATCTCAAAACAGCATGGATGTCTGGCTTCAACCACTGCAGATGGGGTCAGCTTTACCGCAAGGTTTAGCCAATTGGGAAACTGACCCAAACACATATTTTACTTTGTTTAATTTTCGGTCATGTTCTGAAACTCTGAGATCTATAGCATAACACTGTGAATTTTCATAAATTAATTCAAAATCCATCTTAAACATGGAGCTGGTCAAAGTAATCATGTATGTTAGGTTTTAATATATAAGGAACAATGTGTGAGCAGTGGGATATAGGGCCATGGACACGGCTGATTCCTGCACCTTCACCTGAAAGAAATATGTAGTTACTCTTTAACATTTTCCTTTGAGGCCACTCAGTAAACAGAAGGAGTGATAAAGACAGGTCACAGTTTACATAAAGGAAAATGTTCGTACAGGTATGCACACCAGGATGCTTCTCAACTTGGTACAGAACAAGATCCAGCTTGTTCAACAACTGCACTGGTGCCTAAGACTGCTGTTGGTGGCTGTGCAGAAATGAAACAGGTGTCACTCCAAATCAGACTTAGTTGTTAGTGTGTTATTTTCATGCAGGTGGATGCTTTCAGGATAAAACGCTGCTCAGCAAAGCCAGGGTTGGTATATGGCAACAAATCAAATAGCCAGAATTCATGACACACCAGCAAACAAACTTCAATAAGACATTTAGACTTTGTTGATGCGTGCAGTAGATTTCCGAGCGGCAACATTAGTTTTCATCTCTGACAAAAATATAGGACCTTGTAGAGATGAATGCCTGCATAAACAGGCAGAGACCAGCTTTAAGGGAAAGAAGGTGTCCACACTCAGTCTATGTTGAATCTGTATTTTAAAAGGTCATTCGTTTGTTAGGTAAGTGGTTATTCAGCCTGCTCAAAAAAAAAAAAAAAAAAAAAGATAAAGCTGGTCTAGAGTGATAGTGAAGTTCCCTGTGGTGGTTTGACCTTCTACACAGTCATGCAGGAAGTTGAAAGTTAAAAGTAGTTGTAAATACAAACCACAGAGCACAAGTTTGTTTCAGTTCATTATTCTCCCCACTGTGTGGACCCTTTCTTATACCTCCACTGCAGCTGCAATCATGATTAAAACTACAGAAACTGGTGCTATGTTTCAAGCATGGCAACATCACAGAGAAGCTAGATCACAAGTTAGTAGATCACACTAGACAAGGGTGTTAGGTCCCATGATTGTAGCTTTTTATTATGCTGCTTGTCTTGAACAAAATCCAAGTTAAGCTGCATTTAGTCAACTATGACATCTCTATTGGTTTCATTTCCAATCAATTACACTTCACTTTCAGTCACTGACATGGTTTTTTCATTACAGGTGATGGAGATAGACTGCCAGCCGGAGGAATCCATCGTCTCTTCGTTTGATGAGGACTGTGTTGAGCTTGGCGACGTCAAAGACATGAGGCTGGAGGCGGAAGCCGTGGTCAATGATGTACTTTTTGCCGTCGCTGAAATGCATGTGTCACAGAGTCTCAACAGTGCCTCAGACGTGGCCTACATAAATGTGGAAACCAGAGAGGGGAACCGGTACTGCCTGGAGCTCACCGAGGCAGGACTGAGGGTAAGATACAAAGTGTTTCTTTTTCAATGTCACTGCTTGGTTTATGCTCACTTCAACACATACTTTGTCTGACCACACATCCCTGCGTCACACAGGTGGTGGGCTACGCCTTTGATCAAGTGGATGAGGATTTGAGCACTCAGTACCATGAGACTGTTTACTCGCTGCTGGACACACTGAGTCCTGGGTACAGAGAAGCTTTTGGGAATGCTCTACTGCAGCGGCTGGAGAGACTGAAACAAAATGGACAATGAAAAGGACCAAGATGCTGCATAAGTCGTTCAAATGACACAGAAGCTGAGGATGTGGGTGTATTTGGACATGAGCCAAAATTAACAAGTCTGCTCAAATATTATTATAGCCTCTTGTGACGTTTACCTGCCTAGCTGCCACTACAACAAGGGCCTCCCGCCCTATCAACTCTGCTTTCCTCTGACTTTCATACCATTGAATGACTTCATGTTAGCTTAGTGACTGCTAAGAGGTTGGCTATGCGGAGTCTGTTGCAACATTGTGTCGGTGGCTTCACTGTGGAAAGATCCTCCTGCTTCCACACGTTACACTTTGGTAACTGTGAATTCTGCACCTTTTTTACCTTCCAAAATGACCTGAGAAAGCAGCAGCACATTGTTATGAAGTATTCATACAGTCTTCACTCACTGCCCTGCTTGCACTAAAGCTACACATTTATTACAGCTCATGTATGAAAACTGGTTCTTATTTAGCAAGTGTGAAAGAGCCAAAGCTATAATCTATCAGCTTAACTTTTATGAACTGCCTTAATGACCGACTTTTGGTTCAAAAAGTACAAAAATCAAAACACTCATTTCCTAATCTTTTATTGACAGGGAGAAATGTATTTTGTGGGGTCGTCATGTCACAGAAATAACTTAAGTTAGGATCTGTTTTTCTTCTTATTGCACAGTGCATTGCAACTCTGGCTTTATTTTCCGCTGTTACTGTAAAGTAAAAAAAAAAAGAACTACCTTTGTGGAGACTGAAATAATGATTTGAATATGTTTTTGTGTTGTGGTTCCTGTCTGCAATTTCTTGGGAACATTTCACCAGAATGAACAGAACTTGTTGAACTTTTAAAGCTGCTTTAAGAAGTTGGTTTATTGTACATGTGACCCAGTTATGATCCTTATGTTTCAGTGTTATGAAATCTAATTTAAGTAGACCTGCTTCTTTTGCTTTCGTACACAATATCTTGCTGCTGACCTTTGCTCAGACCAATAAACTTTCAGAATGATGTCAGTCTCTTATTTTACCCTTGTGTTTATTTATTTTTTAATTTAATTTATCAGAGTTAACAGGAGTCCCATGACTGTATCAGTGTTAACTCACTCCTTCTCCAGTTGCACACCTAGGTACTAGATATATCTATTTTATACTCATGATGCATATAACTCGTGAAGAGATTGCGTTCACATAGATGAGTTTATGTACTCATACACAATCACACACAACTCTTGAGTCAAAGAGAAGGTAGATTTGGGTTTGATCACTTTCACTTTTTCTGAGATGGTTTCTCACTAAAGTAAACCCCTTTTCAAAGCAGATCACAGTGTGGTCTCTGTTTTTGCATCTTTTAGGAATGCCTAACAACTTGCCACAGCACATTACAACATTTCAACTCATGATGTAAGACACTCTCACAGAGGATAAAACTGGTTGAGTTTGTAGCAAATAAGTTCAGTGAGTTACAGGTGCTGAAGCAAAAAGCATTACAACCATCTCCGGTCTACCCTACAACACTTCTCTGAGGTGATGGTGCTTCTTAAGACCTCAGTCTGCACAGGAAGACTGATGTTTGGGTTAAATTGAGGATGTGAAAGAAAATCGGTTTCAAACAAAGTCTCAGATCATCCTTACTTACAGTCTCTGATAGATCAATGTTGATTTAGTGTACTACGGACACATACATAAAAAGAAAATTCTTGTTCATGCTGGAAGTTAAACACTACCCGTCATGGTATTTGCCTTCGATTAGCTATCAAGGAAGATAAAGAGTTGGTAAACTTTGCTGTGTGGTTCCTAGTGCTGGAATGAAACAACTATTTGCACATTTTGTGCAAATTTGCTTTGGCTAAAGTATTATGCATGCCACATCATGGGTGAAATATCCTCCCTCCAAATTGCAGTCTTTTAAAATGTTGGACAATTATGTGAAAATATTTTTTTACTGTACGTTTAATATACCTTACAGACAATGCCCATTCAATGCTCAAGCACATTAAGCTGCTAACACGTACAATGCCTCAGACATGCGCATTTACGGAGGTTTGTGGGTGCTTTATGAGGCTGCTCTCTAACTGGTCTGCCAACATTTTTAACACATTAGAAAGGTTTTATGTTTAGAGCCCCTAAAAAATGCTGCTTTATGTTGCATGTGACCAGGTTATGATTCTGATACTTTGTGTTGTTAAATCTGCTTTCAGTCCTACTGTGGCTTTTGCTCTGACAAGTAAAGTCTCAAAGATCTCAGTCTATTTTGACCTCATGAGAAAACTTTTTGGTTCACTTTGGTCCAATGTGAGGTTCAGGAGGATATATTTAGACTTAAAAAGCATGACAAGCTTTCTGTAAAAACAAAAAACAAAGGAGGGTGGAGGTGGGGGGCGTGTATTCTAACTACAATTCAGGCAGTGAATTCATCAATGTGTCACTTCCAGAGAAAACTGCACAATTACACAAAGCGAATTAATTGATTTGTTAGCTTTATTAAATTCACCTCTTATTTAAATCTACATGTCTCACAGTGGTATAAAGTCAGTTAGAAATATTACAAAAGTTTCATTGGTACACCATGAACCTTTACAGACTACACAGCAGCCAGTGAGACAAGACATTTGCACCGCAGAGGAATGTAGTTCAGGGTCAGTCACAGAAACACTAACCTCATCATTTCACATCCACAACTCTTTTATAATTGACTGTAAGGAAGAGTGCAGCAAAAATCAGCTGTTTGTTCATTTTTAGCAGGACTTAAGGTGTTGAGGCAGCAAAGTCTTGCAAACTAGTCGCAGACATCTTAAAAATGCAATTTGATGAATGAATAAAATGAGATATTCAAAGTCATATTCCTCTTTTGGTTTTACTCAAAGCTGAATCCCTTTTTTTTAAAATTACAACACCAAACTGAGGTACTGTCGTCCTTTAGCTCACAATCTGCACTGGGAACAGGATGCAGAACAGGTCCTTCTTGTTGTCGTCTCTCAGTTCCCATTTCACGACCAGCTTTATCTAGAAAAACAGAAGAGTGGACAATGAATAACATGTGACGACTCTCCCTTAAACTAATTTTGAAAAAGGCTTAGGAAAGTTAAAAACAGCGACACGACTGCAGATCTAAGATTATCTAAACCAATCAGTCCATGATGAAACAAATGTAAATGATCTGTACTCAAAACCAGAACAATTTTATTGTCACATAAGATACTCACTGCTGGATACTCAGTTTTCACAGGGAGACCGTTCACATAGTGATATGTTAGCTTTGGCTGGATGGGACACTGGATACCAGATTTGCAGCCATCTTCATTGGGAATGGGGAAAGGGATGGGAACTCCAGCAATAACACCATGGACCTGTGCTGTGCTTGTCTGACTCTGAACATCTACCACAGAGACAAAAATACATGTTTATAAGATAGTGACATAAAAAGTTGAGAAAATGCACTTGTTTCTCTTCAGTTTGTTAGAACTAGTTTGGAGAAATAAATGCTCTCACCACTTGTGAATGTCACATTAACACTGTAGGACTGTCCTTTTTTGAGCTGGCATGGCTGCACAGGGCAAGGGTTGATGTCAACCATGGCTACTTTGGCTGATTCAGAGCCTGAGGAGAAACAGAAGGAAAAATTGACAAACATCACAAAATGACAACTACAATCACACTCCAGGCTTCATACTTTGGTAAATCAAATACCAAGCTAACAGTTCACTGAAGATGACGGCAAATAAAATGGAATAAAAAATAAATAAGAAGTCCGAGTTGTATGATTGATGTCATCGTTTTACCCCCATTCCCCCAACAACCCTGAGGCACTTTCTCTCGCTTTTTTTTGCAGGTGGAGAACTATCTCAACGAATCACGCACATTATTAAAAAAGTCTTTTCTTTTCCCTTTTCTTGTAAAAAAATAAATGAATAAAAGTAAATTTACAGCACCCTTCTCTCTCATACTGAACTTGGAAATTGTTGGGAAAAAGTTGGCACTGCCTTAGAAAGCAGATTGACTCACTTTTAATACTTTAATACAAAGTAGCTGCTTATCTTATTGGCCTGAACACTACACAATTTTAGTTCTAGTTACAGAGGTACAAGGTAAGTCACTGACATCAAATACAATGTCAAACTGTTTAAAAGGGATTATTCATTTCTGGATTTAGTCTGGATAATCTCATTAACCACACATTTTTTAAATTCCTCAGTCATTTTGACTAAATCCTCATTTCATAGGTCATACAGCCATGACTAATATGCTGAGTTTAAAATGGGCTTTCAACTTTTTTTATATATATATACACACAGACAATAGACACAAGGGCCCTACCCAGCTTTATTACTTTCAACAACCAGAGTGAAGTTTAAGACACTTAAGTTACATTACAGAAAACACAGTATCCAGCTTCTTCCTTCACCCAGAGGTCATATCTCATAAATTTCTACTTTGTTTCTTACCACTTTTTAAAATTGTCTCCAAACTTTGAGGTGTTGTAGAGAAACAAAAATTACTTACTCAGCTTTCCTACCATGTGAGGAACAAACTGAGAAACGACAAATCTAAGCACTTTAGGGAGTTATGTGCAGGTGTATGTCTAGAATAATGTGTGTTCATTTGTAATATTTGGAGAACCTTATTCCAAAAAAAGCTGGTGACTACTTCTTAGTGGTCTAAACATACGTGTGATGCATTTCCTTCATTTATTTCAAATTTATGACATAAAAAAAAAAAAAAAAAAAAGAGTGGAATATTGGTCCATTAATTTGAGCCATTTGGGTATCCTCGCAAAACATTTTCCAGTGGACACAAAGCAAGCAAAAAAGAAAAACCAACTTAAACAAGCAGATATTAAAACGACAACATCATTCTCATGGTTAAGTATTGGACTTGAACATACAATAGATGATGGAAAACTCACCGCAGTCCTTGAATTTCACCAGGTCCGCACAGGTGAATCCCATTAAGCAGAGCAAAACGATGAAACCAGTCTGGACGTTCATGTTTCTTTCCTATCGTGTTACCTTAAGAAAAAGGAAACGAGAAGTTCAGACCATCAGACAAGAGTGATTCAGAGTGGTCAGCATAAATTGTAAAATCATATGACTTCTTGTCTCACACTCTTACAGAGTAGCTGTGATTCACAAGTTTGACAAAAACACGGAAGACACACTCTTCTACAATCCGGCGTTACGGTAAACCGCATAAACACAATGGGATTTGTTATTTTAACGGTACACAGAGGTCTCAAAAACTTAAAACGTACAATCTGTACCTTCAGTGTGGTTCCGTCAGCTTCTGCAACGAGAATAATAACCGAATTGCACGTTTTATTTCGCTTTATCACGAGATCCAAGGAACGCCTATCTATACGGAAGTACGTTTTTCCTACCCGAAGTATAGCCTGTCAGGAAACTCCACTCGGGTAGTATACTTCACCCTTTCTCTAATAGCAGCCGGGGCAAAAAACAAGGACTGCAAGAATCAAGGCATCCCTAAACGATAACTTGATGTAAATATTCAATGAGTTTGTTTTGTGTGGGAGAAAAACACAGTGGAAGAGTAATGCCTGAAAGACAAAACCAAGGTCTAAAAGTTCACTCGACACAGCACGAACAATCTTAGATTGACAGATTTAAGTGACGAATCAAATGGTAGTGTTGTTACAATATGGGCGTTTCTATCTGACGCAAGTTTTTTTTAACCAATAGTTAAATGGATCTGTGTCATGATGACGATTGGGCGGAGCTAAGCTACATTTGTTATGGAAGATGTCATTCGCAGGAGCTATGATAACTGCGTCAAAGTCAAAAATATTGAGCCTCGCCAGGTAGAGTGGATTATCCGCATGTCATTGATATAAATAGATGTCCCCTTGGAAAATAAATCCTGTTTAGTGACGTTGAAATGCTTCGTGCTTATTCTTTGCCAAGTTATTTGTAACCTAGCCGTTCATGCTAATGTAGGCAGCTAGCAGCAGTGTCAGTGTGTGTCTCAGTCCCCTTGCTGTCCTGTGACCCAGTGTTTATTTTCTACAGGGCGTCTACTCTTCTGATCAACTCCAGTGTGGGCCACCGGCTAAATACTAACCCCCTAACCCCCCACACAGCGGGGATCCGGCGTTTCAGCAGCGCCTCAGTACAGGACAGGGCAGCGGTGTCAAATCTATCTGAAGATAAAGTCCACTTAACTGAGTCATGTGTGAAGGTGAGTGAGAAGCAAAGTGAGGAGAAAGACACTGAATGGTATTCAGCAACTGTGTTTCTTTGTGTTGACTCATTTAGTGTGCTTCTGCTCCTTATCTACAAAACCCAATTCCAATGAAGTTGGGAAGATGTGTAAATCATAAATAAAAACGGAATGCAACGATTTGCAAATCCTTTTCAATCCATATTCAATTGAACATACTACAAAGACAACATATTTAATGTTCAAACTGATAAAATTTATTGTGTTTTTGCAAATAATAATTAACTTAAGAATTTGATGGCAGCAACACGTGAAAAAGAAGTTGGGAAAGGTGGCAAAAAATACTGAGAAATTTGAGGAATTCTCATCAAACACCTATTTGGAACATCCCACAGGTGAGTAGGCTCATTAGGAACAGGTGGGTGCCATGACTGGGTATAAAAGCACCTTCCCCAAAAGTTCTCAGTCATTCACAAGCAAGGATGGGGCGAGGTTCACCACTTTGTGAGCAACTGCGCGAGCAAATAGTCGAACAGTTTAAGAACAACGTTTCTCAAAGTACAATTGCAAGGAATTTAGGGGTTTCAACATCTACGGTCCATAATATCATCAAAGATTCAGAGAATCTGGAGAAATCACTGTTCGTAAACGGCACGGCTGGAAACCAACATTGAATACCCGTGACCTTCGATCCCTCAGGTGGCACTGTATCAGAAACCGACATCAATGTGTAAAGAATATCACCACATGAGCTCAGGAACACTTCAGAAAACCACTGTCAGTAAATACAGTTCGTTGCTACATCTGTAAGTGCAATTAAAACTATACTATGCAAAGTGAAAGCCATTTATCAACAACATCTAGAAACACCGCCGGCTTCTCTGGGCCCGAGTTCATCTAAGATGGACTGATGCAAGTCCACATTCTTGGAAATAGTGGATGTCGTGTCCTCCGGGCCAAAGAGGAAAAGAACTATCCTGTTATCTGTTATCGACGCAAAGTTCAAAAGCCAGCATCTGTGATGGTATGGGGGTGCATTAGTGTCCGAGGCATGGCTAACTTACGCATCTGTGAAGGCAAAATTAATGCTGAAAGGTACATACAGGTTTTGGAGCAACATAAACCATCCAAGCAACGTCTTGTTCATGAACGCCCTGCTTATTTAAGCCAGACAATGCCAAGCCACATTCTGCACGTGTTACAACAGCGTGGCTTCGTAGTAAAAGAGTGCAGGTACTCGACCGGCCTGCCTGCAGTCCAGACCTGTCTCCCAAATGTGTGGCGCATTATGAAGCGTCAAGCCATGAAATTCTGAGTTAAGTATTATTTGTAGAAAAAAAAATAAAGTTGATGAGTTTGAACATTAAATATCTTGTCTTTGTAGTGTATTCAATTGAATATAGGTTGAAAAGGATTTGCAAATTATTGTATTCTATTTTTATGTACATTTATCACAATTTCCCAACTTCAATGGAATTGGGTTTTGTATCATGTTCATATCCCCCCTTTTTATCCCAGAGACTAGGAGAGATCATGGAGAAAGGAGAGTACCTGAGGATTCATGTGGAAGGAGGAGGCTGCTCTGGGTTTCAGTACAAGTTTTCTGTTGTCAGTAAGAAGAATGAAGATGACAGGTAAACTTCCATTTAGCCAGTTGACAAGCTTTCGTTTCAAGCTGTACCCACTATTTTCCTAAATGTCATTAATCCAATCAACATTGTTCTCTCCCGCTTTCCACCTTTTCTGCATTTCAGGGTGTTTGAACAAGGAGGGGTGGGCATTGTTGTGGATCAGGACAGCCTGGAGTTCGTGAAAGGTGCCACTTTGGACTTCAGCCAGGAGTTGATACGCTCGGCTTTCCTAGTGCTCAAGAATCCTCAGGCTGATCATGGCTGCTCCTGTGGCAGCTCCTTCTCTGTCAAATTATAACATTACTTCACTGTGTTTATGTCACTTAATATCTTTAGTTACCAGTTCAGTGAAATCTATGAGACATCTATCATTAAAATGCAATAGAGTTATAAAACATCTCTGACAAAAGGTCAATAAAATAAAGTCAGGAGCTTAAGTTAGATCATTTCTTTGGAGGGTTGTCATCTGGGAATGCCTTTAAAAAAAATAGGTGTATTACTGAACTGGTAACTCTTGTAGTTTTTATATTCCATTTCATTTCACATCACTCACATCTGGCAAGACAAATTGCAGTAATGCTATTTTCCAGCAGCATAATTAAACTGTGGTGTCCAGTATTTAAAAAAAAAGCCATAATTGATGTATTCAGAGATAAGATTTGCCTTTGAGTGTAAAAATGTAAATAAATCATATCTATAAATAAAAAGAACAAAGCTTTATTGAATTTGTGTGATCAAATTAAAATTGATTTTTTTGTGTGCCCTCTCTCATTTTATTGTATGCAAATCAGCATGTCAATGGAGTCATCATGTTACTGAGATCACATGTTGCACTCTTGATCAGATTAGTGTTGGAGGAGCAGCTGTGAAGTGTTTCTATTTTCTTAAGTGAAAAAAAAAGTAATTTCACTCTAAAATATAAGAACCTATCACTATCTGTTTTTACATATCACTCAAAGGTGTCAAACCCAAGTGTATGGTTGCTTTATTTTTTTATTAAAGTGAAATTTAAGAAACATCTCACAAAAAATATACAAAAAGAATATGTACAAATGATATTTACACTGGTATAATGTAAATCAAAATATGCAGCAACATTTTTTGTAGTTAGTCTGTTGTTAGAAGCAAAATGTTTTGCACTTTTCATAATTTCTCTCTGATAAAACATTCCACTTAAGCAATATATCTGATTACATGAAACACTTAACTCACCGTTTGAAAAAAGTCACACTGTTCATATTCATGAAAATGCGACAATACGTCATAGCAGCACACTGAAAAGTGACCCAAAGATTTGCAACAGTGCATTGAAACATCAATTTACATCTGTTCTTTTTTGTTTTCTGAGGACTTTTGGTTCGTACAGATTGTCTTCCAGTAAGCCATGCACACCCACTAACCACAAAAAAATCCTCACACAAGTACGCGTACAGTTAACATGTCATGAGGGGAAACACTGCAGAGAGTGGGGGGGATTGAGGTCAACCGGTCAACAACACGACTACATACACAAACCATAAATGAAACGTCTGGGTAACACAGTGACCAGGTCAGGTGTACAGTGCATAGTATGCTTTGGCATGCTGACATCCAGAATATAACTGTGGATGTTACATTCAGGAGGAAGGCCACAGGATTTGGAATTACCAGTAAAAATAGAAAAAAATGACCACATGATCCCAAAAACAATACCCAAAAGAATACAAAAGAATCCAAACCCTCATAAACTGATCACTCAGGTTAAGGCCAATTCAGTTTGCTACATGTTTTTAAAATGGCATTGTCAGTAACACGATTTCATGGACCTGCCCAGAGGCCAAAGCCTGCCATTCAGGACATGTAGGCTCATTGAAAAACTACCGTACTGAAATGATATGCACATACTGTCTAGGAGAGATCATGGATGATGTAAAAGCAGAGCTGAATGCTCTCTATCTGTGTTCACAATCAGATGATGCTGACATGAAAATGAGCCTTACACACACGCATGCACCTTGTTTTGAGGCAGTAAGTCAAATCACCACATTGACTCATTTACAAGCTGCCAAGTCACTCCTCTTCTTCTTCCTCCTCCTCTTCTTCTTTTAAAGCAGTTTTTTATTCCTCAGTGGAGCCTTGCTGGGGGACTCTGAGGCAGGATGTTCCAAGTGTGCTCCTCAGTGAGGGGCATGGACACACCTCCACACAAAGAGACTACAAAAGACATGAAGGAAAGGACGGGCCTTTTAATATTTCAAGCTTTACAGTAATTTGTTATTCATGTTGTTATTTGGAGCTTACCTTCTGTCATCTCCACCAGCACTGACAACGAAGCGATCTCCGTTTGTGAAGCGAACGTTAGTCAAGTGAGCAGAGTGGCCCAGAAAGCGTTTATGTTTGGCCTAAGACAGATCACATGCACATCATCTGAATGAACCTCAGACATATCTGGTCATAAGATAGTGCTGGAATCTTACAATACTTACAAACTTCTCTGGACATGGAAAGTCAAACAGCTTCACCATTCCAAAGTCATCGCCTGTGGCCATGTTAAGGCCTGAGTGGGACACACAGGCACATGTGACGTCTGCTTTGTCTGTGTTACGGGACCAGATCCCAACAACCTCATCCCCGAGGACACTGTAGACAGAGACAGAGAGCAGTTATCTTCTCAGCTCAGATTCAAAGTCTGAAAATGTTTGCTGTACATTTCTGACATGTTAGCTTCAATACTGGAACTATGACCTTGTCCAGCTGGCCCACGTTATCCTGTCGATGTGTGTCTGCTCTGTGACCTGCTTCCCTGACGGCACCTCATACACAAGTCGTTTATAAGCACCCGTGGAGATCTGTTTGAAGACATTTCAAGCGAGGAGATCATACAACCACTTACAGTTTGAGACAAGCTTGCTCTTTTATGAGATTATATACAGATTGTACCTGGACATAGGTGCTGTCTGCAGAGAAGTCCATCTGCATCACAAAGCTGGGAATATCTCTGCAGCAGTTGATGCGGTTCAGCTGTGGGCCGAGCGTCAGATCGTAGAAGTCCACTGCACTTTCAGTAGACCCTACAGCCAAGTAACGTGAATTTGGACTGAACCTGTGAGAAAGACATGAAGTGTCACCAAACATCTCTTTTCTTCAGTTTGTAGAGATATTATGACCCAGTTAAGCAGGGCCTGACAAATCTTGGATGAATATGATAATGCTCTTAGTGATTTTTCAGGCTGACACAGCAACTTTTAGAGCTGCAAAAAACCCTATTCTTATCAGGAAACACATACACAGTGATACTTGTAAATCCTGGTGGGTCAGCACCGGCCCAGTAAAATCAGATGACCAGATTATTGGTGAGGTTCTACAGGACGGTCAGTATACAGTATTACTCTCCAAATATATCCACAGAAGTCACTCATATATTCAAAGTGAGATCAGGCCTGCTCTTCTAGTATCCTAATTCAGGCAAATTCTTGAAAATCTGTCACTTCTCCAGTATACCAATGAACCCAACAGTGCCTTCAGAAAAGTGTCACACTCTGCTCTCATTACCTGATATCCTGGATAGGAGAGCGTCTGTCTCTTTTCTTGCCCCAGATTTTGAGTGAGGCGACCAGCAAGATGATGAACTCTCCATTCTTCATGCCAATAGCAACCATGTCTCCCTCAGGACTGTAACTGATGGTGCGAGCCGGGTGACCCAGGTTTACTTTATTAAGCATCTTCTGTTTCCCCACAATACATAAAAAACAACACACCAGTGAGTGACAGTACTTCATGAATAACGAAGTGCAACTGCACAAGTCTTCGTTAAAAAAACTGAGAGACATGTCAGTAACAAGAAGCGCTGAGAAAGTTGACCCTGTGGTTGTCCGACCTTCTCTGGAATGTCCCACAGGCGAACCGTGCCGTCCTCGGCTGCAGACAGAAATACATCTCTGGAGGGATGAGTGGCTAGTCCCCAGATCGGTCCATCCATGTGTCCGTTCACTAAGATGTTACATGCTGCGTTCTTCTCTCCTACTTCAATGATCTCTGCATTCCTGGTCCCCACAAGGATTTTACCCTGATGCAGGAATGAGCAAAAAATATCAAAAAGCTAGACATTTGAGAATAATCTGGGCATTTTATTTAGCCAAACATTCACTGTACCTTTCCTCTGCATACAGAGCGAACACAGTCTATAATCTGTCCAGTTTCTAATCGAAACGCTCGGCAGCGTTTTAGCTCCTGATCCCAGAGCTTCAAGGCCCCTCCCTCTTTTGACCTGTACAGAAAAACAGAGGAACCTTTCATCCTTAAACTGGTGAATTTAACTTCAACCTCATCCGGTTCAAGGGCTTTACATGTTCAAATCTTGTCACCATCTATGCTAGCTGAATTGTTTGTTGATTTGGTGGTGTAGAGATAAAAATAAACAGAACTCACGGTCTTTCTTTGCCCCCTGTGACGATGAGTCCGTCTCTTAGTGTGGTGTACATGGTGAACACTGGGCCTGTATGAGCTTTGGCCACAATTCTTACAAGAATGTGTTCCTTCCACACACACACATCCCCACTTATGGTACCTGTAAATGTCAAGTTATTCTGAAAAGAAAACAAATCTGCACTAATCTAGTGGCCTAAGAGAGCAGAGCGAGCAAGGCAAGAACAATTCACAGCACATTTATGGAGATAAATTGACATCTGATGAGCTTCAATATCAACAGTCATGTTATGTTATAGAATAAAAATAGTCAGCACAATCATTAAAATGTATCAGAATTAATTACACTGAACACAACTGGAAACTTTACAAACTTTTGATTGAAAGTCACTTACAGCTCCAAATGCCACAGACAGCATGGTCTGCATCCGAGCGTCCTCTATGTGACTCAGCACGCCTTTTTTGCTGAGTAAAGCTCGACCAGCTAACGTCCAGAATCGCACATGTTTGATCCCCACAGACACAAAGTTTGTGTCAGAGTCTGGTCGAAATTCAGCCACAAAGATCCTCTGGGTGTGACCTACCCTGCTGGCCACTTTGGCACCTGGTGAACAAAAATCAAAGTAATGGCAGTGTGATTTTGAACTTAATCTGGGACTTTAGGAGGGTTTTTGATGGATTTGTTACCTTCCTGCCACTTCCAAATCGTGACAGTGTGTTCAGGGTCCAGGCCCACAGATAGCAGCAGTTTTCCTGTCGCACTGAAACTGACAGAGCAGACTCCACCAGCGTGGAAACAACGCAGCACTGACAACGTCTGTTTGGTCATGGCGTCCCACACATGGATGGATGGAGACGTGGCTGAGGGACAGGGACAAGAAATCAAATTATTTCAATCAAATTTATCTGCGCAAATTTTAGTTGCTACTGAACACCACACTTATGACCCAAATCACTACACCTCAAACTCAGCTATTTAATTTTTGTTCTTCATTCTGTGAACACATATTTAAACTGAACTCCAAAACTAAAAAGTATTAAGAAGATCGAAGATATTTGCTGTCATTAGTTCTAAATCAATTTAAATATTATAGAATATACTCTCATTATTTTTAAAGGGCTTTTGATCAAGTGGCCACTAGATGGCAGTAACATAAAGACTATAATTAGCCAAAAACACACGTGTTCTGCTTCAATTATCATTAACATTATGTGTCTTGTCTTATATGAAAAAATATTTATAAATTTCCTCACCTGACATGTCACCAGTATCACCTGTAAATTAAACAAATCAAGTTTATTTACAGGACAAACACATCTCTTATTGCATTTTGGGACTTTCTGAGCAAAGGTGGCTGCTATGAATGAAGGAATCAGTTGTATTAACATTAGAAATATTGCCATAGTTCTAACACTGATCCAAAATATATGTGTGTCTTTAATCTCTATTTGTTTTGTGAATCTTGTGCTAAATACGCTCTGTTGTTTGATTTCTGTCAGCACAGAGTTGCTTATATGTGTCCAAGAAATGTTGCAAGTGTGGCAATCCCTCAGCTATCCATGTTTAACAAAAATGGTCGTTTTGGCTTGTTAGTTTCAGATGAACTTGAGAGGCACAGGACAGTCTGTGGTCTATAATAACCATCTTGCATAGTTCACAATAGCACAAACAAGGAAGAAAAATGAGGTAGGTGATGACACAGAAGGTCAACATCTCACAAACATACCTACTTGGCCAGTTGCCACCACATTGGGGAATTTGGGATGTTGATTGATTGTCAGGCACAAAATGTCATCACTGTGTTCAACGTAGAAACTTTGGCAGGCTGGAAGAAAACACCCACACCACATAGAGCGACTGAGTGAAATATGCCAAGTGGTAAACACAGAGTGGAACTTTCTTTAGATTTGTCTCTGCCTACTTACAAGTTGTCAGGTTGAGCACAATGCCCACCGAGGCTGTGTGGTAGATGATGTCCGCCCCCTCGTTCAGGTAGTGCACGTTATTGCGGCAATCATTGCCACGGTAACCAAACACCAGCTCCAACACCAGGTCCTACAGGAGGGTCAGAAAAAGACAGCTATAAAGTCAGAAAGGTCAGCACCATGACAACTGAGATGTTCAGAGCCGAAGTCGAGCGACATTATTTGATTAGAGCATCATTGAAGTCCCCGGAGTGGCTGGATGGGCACACAGCGTCTTCAGCAGAAATAATCACATTAAGAAGCAGCAGGTCTAATTTTTCCTGTCCTGACAGGGACAAGACTCCTCTAATTCAGACACTCTCCGTATGCATATCTTATTCAGTTTGTTGTGTTTCGTTCAAGGTATCAGTCCCTTCCTACCTCGATGGGTCGCTTCTTTTTGCCCACGTTGTTTGTCTGCAGCTTCTCTGGCTGTGGCAGCGCTCTGCTGACAGGAGGCCTGAAACAGACAGCTGGGATAAGACAGCTGACACACAGCTATTTATCATGCTCATGATAATGACACTGACGACTGTGGCAATAGTTTCTCAAATATATGCTTTCATGTTCATATATGCCAGTAATGTTTTACCTAATGAATGCAGTCGCAAGGATTTTTTTTAATGCTGATGACTGAATTTCAGATTTTTCAAGGTTTCTGAAATAAGAGATTTTTTCTCACCAGCAAAGAAATGTAAGGGTGAGACTGAAAAGGTGAACATGAGGGGATGGAGAGTAGTAACATGTCATACTGTGCTCTTAGAGAAATTAAAAATTTATTCTAAAAGAAAAAATCAACCCTGGCTATAGCAGAGCTTCATCTGTTTTCTCCACACATTCACAGAAAATCAATAAAAGTCATTTGAGGATGCAAAATATCGCTGATTTCATTTATTTGAATATACATAACTAAAAAATACAGTCTGCCACACACTGGGATAATAAGTAATAAGAGAAGTACTCCTTTTCACTCATCAAATAAGCTTCATTGTTGCCTTATCTGCACTGATATTTCCATAGTAATAAAAGAACCAGAGAGTTAAGAGCTTACCTTGACCCTCTTCTCGGCAGCAATAACAAAGAAAAAAGCAAGAATTACAAAAAGAGGCTTCTCAGAGTGTTCATTGCTGCCCTGCAGACACACTGAGGACATAAAATACAAGAGTCAGCGCCATCATGTAGCCATGACAACTCAAGTCCATTTCCATGACAACTGCTGCCCAGAAGATGTTTCATTGATGCTTGCATTAAAAGAAACATCTTTAAAAGATGGAAATCAATAGACCTGAAGCTGCTAAAGTGATAAATCATGACTTCATTAAGATCTGTTTAGGAGCCGACTCATACCAAACCTCCTGAAAAAGGTTTGTGAAGATAATCTGAAGATATGTAGATTGTGCTTCCCCCCTCTTCAATCACACCAACTCCCCAAAGTCTTTAAGCGCTATTAAAAAAACATTCCTGTACAACTCATTCAGATTTTTGCTCTATTGCATACTAAAGTGGACATTCAACTAATTAAAGTCAATTAATTTTAAGCTCTACTTCATTGTTTAGCCTAGTTTTTCCTGCCAGTCTGAACAGAAGCTCATTAACAAGAGATATCATCCCCGAAACAGCATCTTGACTTTGAATTTTTACTAAGCATTTTTACTTCACATTTTAAACCTGATTTTTATAGGACTGCAACATGCATTATAAATATCATCCTAGCTCTATATTTATGACCATGCATACAGGTTAGTCTCTTTTCTTTGATCATTGAACATGAGAGCTTACCTGACCACTCCTTGTCTTCAAGTAGAGAGAAAAAAGGAAGCAGGATAGTAAGAGATGAACAGCCATTTAAGGAAAAAAGGGCAGAAAAGGCTGAGTTATTTCAAGTCAATAGAGACAGGAAAGAAGAAGAAAGGACACACTGACTAAGAATTCAGGTTTAACAAATGCTCTTTATACCTTTCTTTCGATAAGAGGTAGAGGTTTGTATAAATTATAGTCTCGCTGCTCTTTAGTATCTTTTGAGCATCTACAATGTCTTTATCAGCTTGACTGAGGAATACCTTTCATCCACAGAAGGCTCCTTTATCTGCAGGTGGGGTTTGACGCCAGTCATGGGTCGCATGTTTGTGGATAAGGCCTTTATGGTGTAGGTGATCTCATTCTCCCTCGTCACATCACTGTCGTAACCTGGTAGAGGAAAGAAAATGTTTCCATCTTAGGTATAGAAATATATGACTAAACATCTGGGGAGGAAGCTCGTCCCTCACCTCCATCGTCCTCACTCTCGATGTCTGACTCCTCACTGTCACACTGTTTGAACTCCCGGTGGCCCTCGGGCTCATGGGCCCAGATCATGAGGCACGTGTCACCCCCTCCGACAGTCACCAAGAGGCTGTCGTCATGGGTCCATCGCACATTGGTAACGTGTGTGCTGTGGGCCACGTAGCGTTTGAACTTTGCATATTTTCCCTAGGGGGGAGAGGCAACATTTGTTTAACACTTGTGACATTATCACAGAAATTAACATAACATTTCCACTAATTTAACCACAAGCCTGAAGCTCTTACACACTCAAACCACAGAAAATTTACGCTTCATGTCTTTTACCTTGACAGGGTATTTGAAGAGTTTGACGTAGCCTAAATCATCCCCTGTGGCGAGCACCTTCCTGTTGTTACTAAGGCAGGCAGCGGTCACTTCTGTAACCTCACTGATGAGAGGCCAGATTCCCTCAACAGACGTTCCCAGGACACAAGTCCATGTGCTCCAGTCAATCTTCTCCACCTGAGCCAAGTGACAGTGTGTGAAAAGTTGTTTTCTCAAGGACCAACTTAAAAAGTTACAGAGCACCGCACAATAAATACAACTCAGAAATGAAATTAGAGGGGCTACTATGATGATTTACCAAAATGTAATGTTATATTCTGAAACAGCTTTATTATCCAACATGGTTTTAAGCAGGTTCTTAACATCGTCACTCTCTGCATGTGAGAACCGGTGCCACTCACTGGTCTGACAATGGGATTTGGAGCTAAACCCATCAGATAGATAACTTCACTTTTCATTAGCGCAAGCACTGCAAAGAGGGACACAGTGAGCCCTGCTCAGTCAAAACTACCCAAACAGATCTGTAGTCAACACTATCACTTCTCTTCTCATCTGAAATCTACACAGGTGCTGTCTCCATGTTCAGGACAACACAGGCAAGAGAAGTTTCAAACCGAAGATGTGTTTTTCTGAAACTCTCCAGTCAATATTGAGGAGTATTTCATATAAATTATCTTTCAAGGCCAATAAAAATAAACTTATTCTTATTCAAATTTAAACTGAGAAACTTTGGGGACACCCAGCCTTTATACCTCCATGTTAATCTACTGATAGTACCATGCTAAACAAAATATACACTCCATGATAAATTACACTGCAATCAATGATAAAAATAATATGACTAAAGAATTGAATAATCAATAATAAAATAATTAAAATGGAGCCTAGAACAGATCCAAGAGGCACTCCTTTGCTCAAAGTATCAGATATATCATGACTAAACATCACAGGATACTTTTCATTTTACAAATACACCATAAATGAGAAAAGAGAAGTCCACAAACCATCTTACTAATAGCTTCTTAACATATGTACAAGACAGAATAAAACTGATGGTAAGGCAATGATAAAGTGTGGTGCATGAAAAGAGGAATGTCTGGGTTCCAGCCAAGCGCATCTCTGTAGCATAGATAACCTCTGGGCTTTATTTTCATAATGCTCTCCTCCACAGTCTGTCTCGTAAGATGTCTGAATGTCACTTCATATTAATGAGATACCAAACAATATCCCACTTCCTTTGCCAAAATTAGAATGAATTGGTGAAAAGTGGGCCGTGTTAATGCTCCCCAAGCCCCCCATGATCCCAAAGGAACGCCAACAGCTCCATAACCATGTTTGCTCCTGTGTCTTCTTTCTCTGCTTACCTCTGTAGCTGGAATAGTCTGCCTCTTGCCGCGAGGAGCTTCAAAAAACACCTGCTCTTTAGCACCTGTGTTGACCTGGAGTAGTTTTCCTGTGAATAAAAAAGCACAGTGGGCAGCTGTGCTCAACTGTTTTTAAACAGAGACATTTCTGGTTCTCCGATTTGTATTTAAGCAGTTGTTTCAAAGGACCTTCTGAAAAATGAATAAAGTATTGAAGTAAGTGCCTTTACCTCTCTTGTCCCAGTCCAAATGGGTAATGTAGTTCTGGCATCCTTTACATACACCAACCCGTTTGCTACTCATTACATTGTAAATATCCACAAATGTGTCTCCTGATGCTACTGCAAGATACTTTCCAGCACCTGGTCAAAAAAAAAAAGAAGTCCCAGTTAGACACATTAACTCTATGAACTATAAATTAACAGAATCATTCGTTTTTAATTGGTAGTGTCATTCTGCATGTTGATCAACTTGTCCATGACCTTGAAACTGGCTAAAATATCCTCACATTTATTCAAAGCAAGTTAAGTCAATTAGTTCTTGTACAGAGGTTATGTCCATGGAGTGAGTGGTCCAGGATCAATTCTGACCTCCTGCCCTTTGCTTAATGTCAGCCCTTGCTCTTTCCTCTCAGCTTCCTTCTTTAACCACTCTATAAATAAAGGCGTAAAACCCTCCCAATAAAAAACCTGGATTCAGTCTTAATGTCTTCAGTGATCCTCTGACTGTCCTCTGCCATAACAGCAGGTAAAATTTTCACTTTTTAAGTGAAACATAGGAGCAGTTACTAGTATGATTACCACAAAATAGTTTACAGAATTTGTAGTCTCAGTGCAAAGCAAGTCTAAATGATGTCAGTGATCATCTGACTTGAAGCAGAACAAGGTTTTGAATCTGAGTGCAACTCTAAAAAATGATAGAAGAATCGTATGTTATTTGGCATGACTGTATGTAGGGCATGTGTAGGATCATCAGTCTTCACTAAACTCATGTCAGTATGCAGCTTATTATAAGGTTTTCGGGTAAGAACAAAAATGTTCCCACTCTAATAACCTCTCTAAATCAATTTCCTAATCAGTATTGTGCCGCTCTGCAGATTAATTTCTTTCTAAGACACAGGCTCTCAGGGATTCATGAGTGCTGGGTCGGGAAATGGGATCTGTTGCAGTGTGGATCGAGGTTAAATGTCCAGGTGGAAGAGAGTTTAGTTTCTTGCTCTCACTTCAGCCACCCCCACTTTTTCACATTCTGCTCTTGCTGTCTCTCTGTCTGGCCCTGTTACAGAAATCTATTAATTTGGGTCAGGCCTGCAGCAGTATCTACCTAACTCAACAGTGGGTGATAAATGTGTGTGTCTGCTGAATTTTCTACACAGAATCCTACATGCACTAAGATGCTTTTGAGGGCATGCAGATTTTAGAGGCTTTATTTGCTGGGACATGGGGTATTTTTGAAATGGTTTAGAAATGTGGGGGCCAACCACAGACCTGGAGAGAATCTGATATCAGAGATGATGTCCTTGCGGTGGTGGAAGGACACCAGGTCCTCGAGAGTGTCTGCGTTCACAATGAGGAAACTGCCGTCATTCAGGCCCACCGCCAACGCTTTGCCATCAGGGGAGAAGCAACAACAACGACCGCCTGTGGAGGATAACATGTTTGTTATAGCCTTGGGACCTGTGCACATCCTGTTGGAAAATAAACTCATCTGTTAGCATTTGAGCAGTGACTCACCTTTTCTGAGCTTGCGTACCGCCAACATGCAGTGGCTGGGCGAGAGGTCCCATATGCGCAAGGTTTTATCATCACTGACGGTGGCACAGAGGGGGAGGTGGGGGTGAGTGGACAGGCCCCACACTTCACCCTCCATGTGGCCCTGCAGACACAGAGAAAAGCATTATCAAGTTTATCTATCAAGTAAGCATGAATGTTATGTATTTTTGTTTAGGGGCTCGATGTATTTTTCTTCCTCGGCGTGACAGTTGGCATTACCGATTATGAAGACGTCACACAAAGCAAAGTGAATTAAAATAAAAAACACCACTAATGTGACCAGATTGAGCCCTGTCTATATTTCTTTATCGTCATTATTCTCTATAACAACATAACTGTCTATCACCAATACATAGGGAAGAGCACCAATCTTTACCTAATCATTATATCTCCCTCTCTCTCTGACATCAATTGAAGCTACAGAAGTCAGGGGTTTCTAGTTGTAACTAACAATTTATTTCCCTTATGTTACCTACATAAGACATGACCCAGGACAACCTTTTACCTCTCACCTTCACTGGTCATATCCCACAAAATGCACTTGTATATTTCAAAGCTTTTGAAAAGGGCGATCAATATCATTCACTCCAATCAGAGGAGCCAGGAGACGCTGCAGGGCCACTTAACTAAATGAACAATCTCCTAATATCCAACAGCAATAATTCATCCCCATTTATGGTCACCTCCCTGGTGGACCCGCAGTGCAGAATAAAACAGACATGAGTCAACAAAATGGATATGCATCTGCTGACTGTTTTTCAGGGCGTAGCTCATATTTCTTGGAGCCAAATTTTGCAGCGCTTACAGACTACTGCGGCAGAAACCTCACGCCACGTTTCATTTCTACTGTTTAAAGAAAAGGACATTAGTCTGAATGCTCGGTAACTTAAACACGGCACACCTTGCTGTCTCACAAATATCAGTTTTGTAAGTGCTCTGCTCACTCTAAAGACCCTGCTTTTGATTAAATATGTTAGACAGATAAGATCTCCATCACATTAACATATTCTCCCTTTGCTGTTGTATTTAAAAAATCTGAGGGCTAATCTAATCCTCATTTGGAGCTGCTTTAAAGATACTACTGAGAGTTGCCAGAGGTGAAGCTGCACTCTAAATACAACAACACCGGGGTTAAAAAAGGGAACAACTACTTATTGGGTTATTTTGACCCAGAATGTTGGGTTATTCAAATTAACCCAGATTCTGGGTTGACTCAATAACCATTTTTAAGGGTCAAGTTAACCTAATCTTTAAGTTAATTTGACTCATGATCTTGGGTTAAATTGATATATGCATTTGGGGAGCTTTCTTTGGGAGCTTTGCTTTTACAACCTGTACCCCTCAGGAAAATAACCCATAATTATTAACCCATTCAAAAAACCCTCAAATTGGGTTAAAATAGAATCCATATGAACCAAAAAAATGGGTATGGATCTGAAAAATAACCCAGAAATTTCACTCAACATGTATAACCCAGGAATTGGGTTGAAGAAATAACCCAAGTGTTTTTAGAGTGTGACTAAAACATGCTGTAAAAATCCTCTGGCTGTCTCCTTATGTAAGCAAAGTTCACCTGGAATCTGATGTCCTTGTATGTGACAAGATTTGTGACAGGTTTGAGTGTCTTTTGAATTACCTGGACAAGCAGAGTGATGGGACCGCTCTTGTCCACCTCCAAGATCTCTCCATTCTTTGTCCCCACCAGAATGTGTCCGTGGCCAAGAGATATGGCACGTATGGAGGGGTTATCCTCCAGGAGCAGCCCTGCAGAGTGGATGAATTATAGCATGAAGTCAGAGACCTTAGCTTGAACCAAGACGCTGCAGGAAATGTTCACCACAGCTGAAAGCACTGAATGTTTTAAATGGATGTGCATTGACTCGGTGGAGTACATCTCTGAAACAAGGAAAAATGAGAGTGGGGGACAAAAGGAAACAGAGTGACCTTTTTACCTTTAGAGCCTGGAGCGAGGACTGATCTCTTGATGGCATAGGTCTTGAGGCATCTTTCAAATGTGTCATCCCACAGAGCAACTATACCATCCTTTCCTCCGGTCACAAATCCCTATGGGAGTGAAATTATGGCACATTTAACCCTGAAAGGATCTCCTGCTTGTTAAAAAGGTCAGTGCAAATTCATAATTTAATACTATCCAGAAAAAAAGGAAGGGCAGAAAAATGACGAATTCTACTTTGAGTCGAGTCTCAAAGTGTGTTCAGAAGAAAATTAGGATAAAGGTGCAAACCTTGATATTACATAGGAGAGAGAGTAAATGCTGTACGCTGGATGATACGCATTGAAATTTTCAGGTCATCTGTCAACAGTCCAGATCACTTAAGCTATTGCTCACTAGGAGTAATATTGTCGAGCTACCGTGACACAAATATCTGCTCAGAGAGCTAGCAGCGGGCTTATTAGCATATTCAGTTAACTCTCAGGTGTTGGGATGAGCCCCAACAAAACACTGAAAATGGGGAGAGAGAAAGTAGTTGCATGTAAAAGGAAACAAATTAAAACAATATTTAGCACACGATTTGTGTGTTTCTGTTTGCCTTGTATCAAACAAGAAATCAAGCAAAGAGGTGAAGTCAAGGCAACCCCCTCGCAAACAGCTACAGCACAGTCCATCAATGCCCTTGTTATGCAAATACATACATAAATCTAGGCCTAAATTAAATCAAAATGGAAGAGTAATAAAACGTTCATGTATAATGCAATTAATTTTTTTTTCATTTTCTATTTTCAATGATCAGCTTAAAAGCATTGTCTGAATAAAATGAGAGTACTATGCATGCATAGGATGTTCTCTATTAATCTCAGTGGTACCTTTTCCAGCGCATGCACGCTGAATACAGGGCCGTCATGCGCTTTGACAGTCTTCATCAGAAACATGTCCCTCCAAATGCAAATGTCTCCTGTACATGTGCCTGAAAACACCATCTCCTCCGACCAGCCGTACACAGCGCACATCATCGTCTCTGTCTTCCCCATGTTCCCTTTGCGCCCAATTAGACCACCACCTGAAAGAAAAACAGACGGTCGACTCAGGTTGAGACTCTCCACAGAGAAGACAGAGTTCTGCTTATTAGAGTTTCTGCTGTCTAATAAAATGAAAAAGAAAAAAGACTGAGGACTCTTACCAGCCTTATGCCAGAACTTCATATGCTTCACACCAGCTGTGATGAGCTTGTCAGGAAGGTAGGGGTTTATTTTGATGACAAATATCTTGTCCTTGCTTCCCCTTGAATAAAAAAACATAATGTAATGAAATGTTTCTGAACTGACATTTTTAATCCACCCCAAAGCTACGCTGTCATGTGCATAGTAGTTTGGTTTATCATTATTGGATTGTAGTATTATAACTAATCATGCCACTAAACTCTTTATTTGTTTGCCCTCTTTGAAGTATCAGGAGAGAGGAAACTGATATAAGCTTTTGGCCGTACCAAACACATTCTACTCCCTCTGCTCTGTCTGTTTCCAACTTTTAGCCACTCTTCACCCTCTTTCTAAGCCTTCCTATCACACCCACTCCTCCTCCTCCTCCTTCCTCAGCCGGAGACCAGACAGTGGCGGTGCGCAAGCTCGGCTCTGTCAGGCCCCATTTCCCTACGCCCGCTTCACCGCACTGCCCACCAGGGTCTGCAAAGGAGATTAGTGCAGCTCCAAGCTGTCCCTGAACTGTAGTGGGAGACTGACAAACAAAACGCAGGAGAGTAACCCACAATGCACTGCTTCAGACTAGCCAGGGGGAGTTCCAATGGAGTAGATGCTGAATATGAGCATTGAGTAGAGCAGGCAACAAAGCAAAGCAGAGATATTTTGGGCTACGGATGTTTTCCAGTTGGATATCTCTGGTTTCTACTGGTTTCAGGTTATATAATTTAACCTGCGGGGTAAGAGAAAATCCTACATCAAGTTTTGAACAAATCATTTTAACATCTAATCAAATGTACAAGCTGAGTATGTCTGCACCACATCTCATCATATATAATTCATGTTGTAAGCAAACGATGATACAGTAACTCTTTCACACTTGAGCTTTAGCTTATGTTGCCTTAGACTGAATTTTTTTCTTTTACTTAATTTTTTTCCCTGAGATGTGGATTTTAACCTTAAGCAAATGTGATGCAAGTTGTGTCACTTTTCAGAATAAATTAGGGGACATGTTTTAATGAAAATTAAATATATATTCATCACAGTTATTTGCTCTTTGTTTATGTTTTATTTAGTACATAAGCAACAGCATGCCTTTGCAAAAGTCATGTTTCCTTGTCAAAGTAAAATCCTGTACATGAAACACCAGCTCAGCAGGATGAGTCCATAGCAGATGTAAATTAAAAGTAATCCCTTTAATTATTGATTCAGAGATAGGACCCTGGGGCAAACCCTCTTCCTACCATCCAGACTCTAGCAGGGTTAAGTGTTCCAGTGAAGCAGCCCTGCCATATAAGAAGTAATTCCCTTTCTTTCTTCTCCTTCATCAATCACGCTGTCAGCCTGGCACAGCAAAGTGGCTTCAATTTAGCCCTCATCAATAATTGTCCATATTTAAACTAAAAGCGCTCTAACAATCTTCATAATTAAATGGAAGATTTGTCAGAGCTTTCTGGTGCAGCTGGTTAAACACTCCAGTGTAAGTGTACTAACCTCATGGCAGAGAGCTTTTCTCCCTTCCTCCAGTCCCACAGCACGATGGTGTGGTTGTCATCCAGGCCCACTGAGGCTAACCGTTTACCATCCGCTGTGGAAAATAACCAAAACCTTTCAGTAAAGCACAGACAGCGTCCACTCCTGCTTTATTTCAAAGAAGTTTGGCCCTTATTAGCAACATGAAAGCAGCCCAGTGGGTTTGATCTACGCCAGGTAATTCGCCAGCACTGACACACAGATCACCACTCTGCCTCTGTCTGGGGCCAATTAAAGGAAGTGAGATGAACACGTCTACCTTGATACTGACAGCAGAAATGTTTTCTTTTGGTGTCTGTCTATTTGGTAACTTGTGAATTTTCCTTTTTCATTAATGTGTGAGGAGCATTTTTGATCCCCTGTGAAGGCAGGGTGTCTGGAAGAATTTATGAATACAAAATGTGGGTTTTGTTGAATTTGTCTGGAAAGGAGGAAAAGCAGTAAAAGAAAAAAGCTGTGAGCGTTACCAGAAAAATCCAGGGCGCACACTCCCAGCTGGTGGAAACCCCTCAACACAGACATGGGTTTTAACGTTTCTGTGTCCCATATGTGAATGGAGGAATCTCTGCCAACCTTGAGAGAAAAAAAAAACAACAAGCTTATTCAAACCATTTACACTGGAGAATTTGAGCCTACTGTGGTGAAAAGTTTCCAAGATTGTTGCGCAGCGTAAAGAGCTTTTGAATATTTGATTTAAGAGGTGCTGGAAGCTATACCTGGCCTGTTGCTACAAAGTCCTTGAGGGGATGGATAGCCAAACAGAGGATGTCGTCATCATGGCCCATGTAGAAACGTTGAGTATTCTGCTGTCTGTTGTAAACAACTCCAATAGCAGCGACATGGTAGACTATTTCCCCAGTCTGAGTGTAGAACAGGTTACTTCTGCAATCGTAACCCCTGTACCTGCAAACAACAGAAAACACAAATACTTTAATGTATTTTGGACTAAAGATAAAATGAAAAGGTTTGCTTTTTTTAAACTTATAATAAATCAATTTAAGAAGTTTAGAGTTTATCTTTCTGATGTTAAAGTAAGCCTACCCATGGATGAAGTGCAGCTTCACCCCGCTCCCTGGAGCTCGCTCTCTCTTCTTCATGGCCGTAGCTCGATGTTTCTCTTTGCACTGCTCTTTGAGCTGAGGTAGATCTTCTTTATAAACCTAGATGTATGCAGAAAGCGTGCATATTCTCTGATTAATATTCAACATCATCAACAGGGAGACATGGTCGAAAGGGGATTATATTTTATTTGAACCCAGACCTGCCGTCGATATGTGAGCTGCGTCTCCTGCTCGATTTCTGAGTCCATCTCAGGTACGTCTGACTGATCTGAGTCTGACTCCTCACTGTTGGAGTCAGCCAAGGTCTCTGCAGGCAGAAACAAGGTTGCATCACACCTTGTTAGTAAAACCTTCCCCTGTGTCCTTAAATTTATGCTTCTGCACAAACAGGGAAAAAAACACACTGCACTGCATTTCAGTAAGAGTGAGGGTCAATCACGTAATATTAGGGTGACATCTATTTATCAGGCAGTGGTGCGTCACAATGACATCATAACTGCATAAAAACACTGACGCAGCACAATGAAGCGGTGCCCAGACAAGGCATTAAGCAGAACAGGCAGCTATGGGTGGCTACTCAAAATATCCATTAGGAAAATTAAAAGGAGAGGCATTTGGTATGTGCTTTGACTTCAGACCACAGTGCTTCGCTCTGTCTCTGGAAGAAAATATGAGTTGGGAATGACAATGCAATTATACTTTCCAAGCCTCATTCACTTTTATTGGAATCTTCCTAATTAATATGATGGCTGTTTGTCTGCAGAGCTTTATGGAAACGGTAGCTTGTGAAAGGCATTAGACAGAGCAATCTAGCACATTGTTCTCCAGTGGTACAGCACTTAAATTTTATGAGGGTGGTAGGAGCAGATTAAGTAACAGCACGAAAACAACTCCTTACAGGTAAGGAAGTGATTTCGGGTTCACATTAACAAAGCACAGAGTTGAAATAGTGATATTTTTAGGCACATATTTGTAACACATTGGCTGATTTTAAAGGAGTACATGTAGTAAATATTGTCAGTTCAGGCTCTGCTGCTAAGAGGAAGACAGCAAGATCACTGATACCTACATATAGGTCTTCAGGGAACCCTTTCTTATATATGTATCTAGCGGATGGATCACTTGGCTTAGTGCAAAAGCATACAAAGGGAGCTGCTAGGTTGCAACCCACTGAGCATTTTTTGGTCTAAAAGAGGTCTAATAGACGTATAAATGTAGCCTAGACGACTGGTCTAAAATCAGGCTACCACAGGTCTAAAAATGAAAGTTTTTTAGACGTCTAAATTTAGACCAACTAAATCTAAATCTTGGCTATATCTATACTACACTGTGTATTGCTCAACGGTTATCATCATTATTTTGAAATATATAGTTATCGAATAATGGGTTAAAGTGCAATGTCTAAATTCTGTCCAGAAATATACAGAATCTAGACGATTGAAATCAGGTCTAAAAAAAAACTAGACGTCTAATAGCCGTCTATCCCTCAGTGGAAAGCCAGTTAAACTGTAAAATCAACATATCCTTTGTTGAGCTAACTAGCTGTCTATTCCTTTAAGCATGGAGCAAGAAGGAGGTCAGCCTGGCTAACTTAAACATTTACACCTGAAACAAGAGGAAACAGCTTAGCTTTTTCCCAAATAATGACCCACACACATCATAGTTTTCCTCTTGTCTTGCCAAGTTGCCTTTTTCAATCTCTTACTGTGTAAACAGCATGTTAATGTGTCAGCTGTAAAGTAGTTGTGGGCACATGTTTTGACTTTGAGGAGAACCGGGCTAGTTTTTTCCACTTCTTCCAGAAAAGCAGAGCAGATGAAAGTAGTATCATGAGCAAGTTAACAGTGGGAAATCAAATACTCTTTCAACAAAAATCTATTTTTAAATTAATTTTTTTCTTCACTCTGTGTTCTGCAATATTTGAGTGGATATTGAGGGATTTACACCTCACTTAATTTGATAATGCTGTGTTGGCAGGGGCTGAGGATTTTGTGAAATAACAATATCAAAAATGCAAGTCATTGTTCACTACACAAAGCGGTGATAAAATGAAACACTGTTATATCCTTAATCAGATTGATCTGAATCCTCTTTTTGGAGCACATATTCCCGAGGCATTATTACACAGTGCCTGTGGCGGGGAATCATCTTACCTTGTGGGGCGATGTGGACAGCTTCTTTGGACTTTCTCTCAGGAACAAACTTCCATTGAAACACCGAGTGATCAGCACCACCAATACTTATAACCCACTGGCAATCATGTGACCATCTGACGTTGGTTATGTGAGCTGAATGACCTAAATATTTTTTAAACTTTGCACCTAAAATCAAAAGGACTCATATCAGTAACATAACACATAATAATTGTCAAAAGTTCCAGACATAACTCATAAAGTATTACTTTCTTTACCTTTTTTAACACATGGGTATCTCAAAAGTTTAACTAATCCATAGTCATCAGCCGTGACTAAAACTTGATTGCTGAAGTTGGCGTCTACAGAGTTGATGTCATTGATATCTGAGTATTTGGGCCATATTCCATTAACCTCTGGGCCCAACACACACGTCCATGACGCCCACTGGACCAGTTTCAGCTCTTCCCTGTTGGTCACCTCCTTCCCACCTCAACAAAAGACAAACATTTCATCTTAAAAGAGATGCTGTGGAATCATGAAACCTCAGACAAATTTAGTCCCATGGGAACATGCTCTTACTTGGCATCCTGTAGAAAAGCCTCCTGCCGCTGCCGTCGTTGGTCTGTAGGTACTTGCTGTCTGTTGACCAATCCATATGTGTGATGAAGCTGTTGGAGCCGATACACTCGCCAACTTTCTTGTACCTCTGCACCACACCGTAGATGTCCACTGAATTATCGTTAGAGCCAACAGCCAAGTGGGCGCCATCGGGAGAATACTTCAACTCATGGATGGCCTCCTTCCTGTCCTTGATGTGCACAACTTCTGTCATATCTCTGGAGGAGAGCAGACAAATGTAGCCGGGATGAGAGGCTTAAACGGACACAAAAGGTTGAATTCACAAAGCATCAAAATTTCCCATTTGTCTTTTGGATTGGGTGCCCACCTGACTCGGAGAACGGTGAAGGAGCCATCCTTCATCCCCAGCGCCAGATGAATTCCATCAGTGCTCACGGCTGCACAGCGGATTGGCTCCTCCATATTACAGCGAGCTATCAGCGCGTGATCTATGAGGCTCCAGATCCTTTAGACACAGAGGGGCACGGACAAATGAAAATACAGAGCAGTAATTACACCGAGTCAAACAACCAGGGCAGTAATATCTGTGGTGTCTGACCTTATATGTGTTTGTTTATGACTCCTTACAGATAGTTACAGCTGCTTCATTACCAAAACAAAATAAGGTGCGCAACAATAATCACAGATCTATCAAGGAGAGATTGATACCCCAAATTATAAAAGTGAATTCCTAAAAAGTTCCTTGATTCAGACAACCTAGCTCATTGCTTTCGAGTGCTGTAACTCTTCCCCTCAAATATCTCTTAATACTATAATTTCACCTGACTGAGCGATCATCACTTCCTGTCATGGCCAGAGGCTTGGTGGGGTGAACAGCTAGAGCCCACAGCTCACCCTCACAGTGACCCTGCATGATGAGGAAGGGCTTGTTGCGGTCATGCACCACCACTTCAAAGATCTCGCTGTCCTGTGTGCCAACCAAGATGTGATCTCCCCGCCAACACACGCTGCGCACAGACAACCCTATCAAAGGAACACAAACAGTGAAAAATAAGTGGAAAAAGACACAAAAAAAGTATGCTAACGTAAAAGCGGACAGACGATATAAGAGACGAGACAGGGTTGATTAAGACGGGAGGTGTAAATAGCCAACAGCAGGCAGCCTGGGATGGATTTGATCAAACAATGACAGCCAATCTTACTTAACTCTGTTTCTATTACAGCAAGGGAAGCATGTGCTGTATACAAACTGTATGCAGACATAACATCTGTATTCATTGTAAAAATGCAACAGACCTTGGAATCACTAACAATGAGAGGAACTACAGAACAATATGGGAACTTGTACAAACAGACCGACATATTTACTAACTCTGCCTGCTATGACATTACCCACCTCGGCTATTTTCACCTCTTGCTACTGTAAGGTCCAAGATTAGAAATATAAGAGATGAGGAAATAGAAAAGAAAGAGAACATTAGTAAAAAGAAGGAAAAGGATGAGTAAGGATGGTTTTAGGAGGGGTTACATTTCTGTCAGCACCACAGAAAGCCAAGATTTAGCTTGTGGTCACTCTGTACTCGGTTAAAAGTTAAAAAGGAGGCAGTGTGTCTTCACCTTTATATCCTTGGTCTGTTTCCCTGAGATCGATGACAGTAATTGGTTTGAAGTTAAGATCCCACAGCCGGACGCAGCCGTCTCTGCCCCCTGTAGCGAAGCCCTCTTCACAGACATTCATGCTAAAAATCCCTGACTGGAAGAAATGACAGTCTGTCAATGAGAATGTGCATGAAAATTGAGTAACAGTAAAACAAATCTGAACTGAAAGCTGTGTAGTTGTGCTGCTTAATCAGACATTTGTTTAACAAGACTTGGTGTGTCTCAGCATATCAAGATATCATGGATGAAGTAACCAGGAGAAGGGGATCATTATTTCATTTCTTCTGTTACTGAAAAGCTCAGCTGGTGTTTTTTTTTTGGCTCTCTGTGTACACAATGACTTACCTAAACCCTCAGAGAGACATTTGGTGGGACAAAACGCAGGAATGAACAGGCACTGTACTTATTATCCCCTCCCCCATCCGCCCATCCCCTCACCCAGCTGTTGATCCAATAGATATCATTTAATCCTGTGGTGGAGTAAAAGGCTGATCCTTTTTCTACTGAATGCATGGCTCCAGCCCGAGTTCAGTGTACGGGATGCTTTTACTGTGATTTTTTTAATATAATGAAACACAGTAAGTATGAAAAATCAGCCTGGGCCACACAGTACCGAACACGCAGCTCTTATAAAACTCACCCCATGAGCTCCTTGCACTGTCCTCATCAGGTTGATCCCTTTCCACACGTAGATGTCACCATTCAAGGCACCTGAATACGTGACCTCGTCCTTGGCGCAGGCGAGGCAGAGGATGGTTTGGAGATCCCCCGTTTTGCCAAAAACGCCACGTTTGGGTGTGAGAGCATTACCGCATAAGCTCCAAAACTGCAAACAAAAACAGAAAGAGTGAAAAAAGCATGGTGGCTAATCCCTGATGTAATCCTGTCCTGAAAGAGCAAATGGACAATTATTGAACATTTGGATACAACGGCATGAAAACCATCAAGTTATTTATGTTTGACAGCCACACAGACTGTTAGCACACTCACACAGACCTTGAAAAGGGAGAAAAGTCAAATCTAAACCCCCCCACTCCTCATGTGATACTGGGGACTCATTCTGGGGGTCAGTGCTTTAACCACCTGATCGGCATGCACAGACACAGACGCACGTACGCACACACACTGGGGCTCATTATTTATGAACAAGGTCATTGGGATGCACTGGCACAGCCCTGTCTGAGGGCTAAATCCATCAAACGGAGGGGGAGAGGGTGAAAAAGAGACGCTGGGTCTGCATGGAGATGAGATCACAGGGGGTGAGTGTGGGGAGGGGGTCTTGGATGTTGAGACACAGACGTCTGCATGTAAAACAGATGAACATTCATCACCTGAAAGCAGCTGGGAAGTGACAGAATGACAGCCTATTATTTGCAGTACCTGAAATTTATCTATGATGGGGTAATGACTTTTAATTCTGCTCAGAAAAGATAGAAACTGTGGGGAGACGCTGAGTTTGTTTTTGACCACACAGGAACATGATGAAAAATCATGAGATAAACACAGCAGCTATTTATTATTACGATCATTCTTTGGGTCTTTTTTTGGCGTTGTTTGTTAAGAAAGCTTGAGCAAGACAGAGAGAAAGAGAGGGTATGATGTGCACATAATTATGTCAGGACTGGTAATTAATCCTATAAAGGCGGTACCCTCTGTACAGGGGGTGCCTACTCTACCAACTGAGCTAGAGCGGCGCCCCATGTGAGCTCCTTGATGGTGACAGTCTGTCACATCCTCACTAACAAACATACTCCAGACTGATAGAGCTGCTGTGTGCTAACAGGAGCGATCGATTATCAGACACTGGCATCACAGCCTTCAGATACAGCTCTGCCATCAAACACCTAATGCTTATACACACCTCAACAACACAGGCCTTCTGAGAGTGTGAATTTGCATGTGCATCAGCTTATGCACATGGTCAGGGCTGAGTAGGAAAAGGTCATAGGTATGTGAGTAATCTGGTATAGTAGTGTGTTTAGGTTTAATTGTGTCAAGTGTTGGGTATGTGTAAGAGAAAGGGGTGGGAGAGGGGCTTTGTGGCCCAGTCTGTTGTGGAGGCAGAGGGAATAGATGCGGCATGACTGCACAGCCCTCCCTGCCCACAACTGATAAGGCAGTGAGACCCAGGCACTGGCTAATCCCTTCACTGTTGAATTACTGAGAAGAGATGCTAGGGGGGTTTATGTAGAGGCCAGGAGCATGGGAGAAAAGGCAAAGAGAGACTGGGGGCACAGTGGAAAAGGTGATGCCACACACATTTGAAATGAAACAGGGTCTGGTTTACAGCATTGCTTACTCTGAAAAAAACATGTTTAAATTTCAAACATCCTTCAGAGATTTCACAGAAGCTTCTGCTCTTAAACAGGGATTAGCGGTTTGTCATTAGCTTGGTTACTTCCCCTACTACACGAAGGAAGATCTTACACATCATTCTTTGCATTTAGTATTGTTACCCAGCAGCTACCACCACTCTCACCCTGACATCTCCCTACATGCCCTTAGACAACAGTGACCCTGAACAGGGTCAGAGCACTAAATGCAATGCTAACAGAGATAAACACTTTGGCAGCTCACAACACTAGACCACTGGCCGTCAGTGTTTCTGCAGGCTGATTTTCACAAAGCTGTTGTTTTCCATCTACATGGTGTCAAACACTATACCAATCCCTGGCATTTGAAAGTATATAGTATGTCTGAAGACTCTCATACCATTGGCTGCCTTAGAAGACTGTGGAGTTCCAAAACCATAGGCTAAACACATACGATAGCTACAATATGGGACCATCACCACTTGATGATGATGATGATGATTATTAAACTCTTTAATAAACAGACTCCTACAAACAAGCACAGCTAACAACCTGTTTAAGGACACCATCTTTAGACCTCATCTCCTTACTTGTATATCAAGTAGCAAGTCAACGATAATGCACTGTTTAAACAAAGGAAGTCTATGCCTGATCTCCTTTGATGCTTTCAACACTGCCAGCTCTCAGAAGTTGTCAGACTGTCACTCAAGGAGGCTAAATCCTGCGGAGATAAAACCCTTTGGGTTTAGATAATAGTAGTATTGCATAGGCAAGGGCTTTTACCGGCTGGTCCAATGTTTTATTAATGGATAGCAGCTCCAAAAACTTTGGTTTGAAAGTATTGTGAAACATTTTTCAATAGACATGAAACAGACGGGATTTTCAATTCTGGTGAGCACATGCCCTATAAAAAGAAGTCTGAACTTCAGCTACTATTTAACTTTTCCCATACGATTCCTTTGATGCCTGTTCTCAAACAATCCTTTACATTTTTCCTAGGCAAAGTTTTACAGCAAGCAGATTTTTCATAAGTGTGAGCATGTAAAAACAAGGGGAACTGCAAACAAATTAGAGGTATAAGGACTGTCAAAAAATACAGTAAAGTCTTCAATAATTATTAAAAAAATCTTACTGATTCAATAATTCAGAGAAACATAAGTGGTTCCCTGGTATAGAGAGGGGTACAGAAATAAGATATATGTTTTCCAGAATTGCTGTAAGGATAAAAACAAACCAGGGTCACCAAGTCAGTGGGGATTTTGTGTTCATTATGAAGCAAAAAGATGCATGATAGACGAAATCAAGTGTACATAAAGTGGATGAAAATGCATGCATTTACATTATGTTGCCATAATCACTCATAGACAAAAATGTATCCTCCATGAGCAGGATTTGTCAAGCCTCGCCTTTAGTTGTGAGCTGCATTTAGGGGGGGCACCTTTTTAGATGATTTACCTCCAGGAGTGGAGGATTATCTGGCTGTGAGCTTTTAATAAGACCGTAAACTTCGTTTCTGAGCATTCAAAACTAGTTTCAACTCAGTTAAACTATGGTAGAGACTGAAAAGCTGACTGATGCTCTTGCACTCCTTTTATTTTTTTATTTTTTTAACTTGGGGAACATGGGTTTGGATGATAGTATTGTCAGCATGGAAGTATGTAATTCCTGCCATGTTTGCTCTCTATACCAGGTCTTTTAAAAAACTAAGAACATAATGGGTTCAAGAATAGAGCCCTGGGGGACATCTTCAGTGATCTTATTTGTGTCCAGAATTTTAGAGTTATTTCGGTCAGCAGTTGACATGATTAACAGTAGAGGAAACAGAGCACAAATCCTGTCGTACAAAAGGTTAGCATATGACTGATTTGTTCTTTCAGACTCCTTTCCCAAGTAAACGTTTCAGTCTTTTGATTAGCTCAGTAATTCCAGATCACCAGGTATGTAGTGCAAAAACAACTTGAAGAATCACTGTGAGGTTGTAGATAATAACGCTGTTTGTAAATGTGTGACATCTTAGCACTTTGAAGCTAATCAAACTCAAAAATGAACTCAAAATTAGCTGGGAGAAGTTGCGTGAGAGGGAGACTGTTGCCAACTGCCTCAGTTCTCGTCATGAGGTTGTGTTTTCTTCAGCCTGCTAGTGAGTGGATTACCGGGGACTAAATCTCCTGGATGCTCTGAGTGCTATAATCGCTGAGCGAGCACAGGGCCAGGGAGCAGATGTCACATGGTCCGCAGGGTGAAGGCAGGGGAATTATGTGGGACAATTGCTGGATTGCCTTGGCATCAGAAAACCAGAAGGGAGGGAATGAGAAGCGGAGGAGGGAGGAGGGGAAGACTCAGTGTGGACTGGCAAGGCGGGGGGAACGAGTGAGGTGGTGTTGGAGGAAGAGTTCAAGGAGGAATTACTACGAGAGGCAGCAGGTCAAGCTGGATTGACATGAGGGAGTCATCAGTGATTTGTAACACCAATGAGGAATACGTACAGTAGGCTAAACCTCCTGCTTGCATCAAACCTATTAAATAGTGCCATCAGGCATGCTTCCTTTCTGAGTGTGAGCCACTCTTCTCCTAGTGTTTTGGAATTGAGCTTCATGTGACTCTCTGAACTCCTTGTTGTTTCCCTAATGGCCGTGCAGCTCAGGCAGCACTACTACATATCCCAAAGGAAGGCTTGGCGAATATACCCTGCATGAACTCATCAAAGATTTATGTGCACCACTCTTCTGTGAAAAAGAAGTGATAGAGATTGGCCAGGAAAGTGAAGCGTGCACAGCTGCGGTTTGTACAGTAGAGGGTCTTTAAAAAGCTGAATGAGGGAGCTGAAATGGGGGGCTGAGTAGCAGAGTCATGGTTCCCCAAAGAAAATAATACATCTTTTCACTCTGAGGAGCAGATTCACACAATTTTTTAGAGAAGAGACTGTGAGTCAGTGCCTGTCCTACTTATGTAAAGTGCCTAATAACCATGATCTCTGGAATAAAGTGAATTTGCATACATCTATTTTAAGACTTTGATATGGTCATGACGATAAAGCAGAGAAGACAGGAAGGAAAGGGGCAGAGAGCCGAGGGATTCTGAGAACTTCCATAAAAATTATAATCTTTTTTCAGATATTATTCAAATGAGGCACAAGCACTACAGCCCTGATGAGCTGGCTGTAATCTAACGGATGTGAAATGACCAGAAAGTGTCCTACCTTGATATGTTTGACACCACAGCTTACAAGCTTGCTCGGCTGATACAAATCCCATGATATGTCGAATATCTGTGGGAAGAAAAGGCATTAAATGATGTTTTATTGAAACAAAAACACTTAAACTTGACTTTTTTTTCATGTAGCATATTGTTCATTGATCTATCACTGTTATTTTGAATGAGTTCAAACTATTCAATAAACCAGAAGTCTGGATTTCTAACAGAAATATAAACGCAACAAAGGAAGTTAAAAGAGGAAAGTCTGTGTCTTTGTACTGGTTGTGTTATAATGTGTGTGGGATGAAATTATGAAACAACAGCTGCCTGTATTTCATCTTTTTAAAATTCCTTTTTATTAGCCATGCAGTGGCTCAGACGGACTCTTGGAAGCGTACAATCAATCAAGCCTAACTTGTTTATGTCCTCTATGGGCCTTGGACTCCATCCTGCCTTTACGACTAATTGAGTCGGTCGATACTGCGCTTATGAAGAAGACAGGAGGAGGAAGAAAGTGTTCACCCTGTCTGTATGACCAGGAGCAGCTGCCAGAACCTTCCCTCTCCTCCAGTCCCACACACAGATTGTGTTTTTAGAGTCCAAACCCACGGACACCAGACACTGTGAAGAGAGCAAAGAAAAAGAAATCATGTTACATACTGAAGACTCTCTAATGCACCAATCACTGTGACAGAGATGTAACCACCTCCACTGCAGCATAGATGGACACAATTTAAGGTCTACTGGCGACTCCTGCGCAATCGTCCAGCCCCTGGCTCTTCCAGTGAGCATGTTTGAGTGCTTTTGCTGGAGGTGCTTCCTATAGCGGACTGAGTGAGTAGGCAGCAGCAGCAGCAGAGCAGAAAAGAAGGGAGCAGCTTATATGGAAATCCTTCAGCACTGCTGTATATGTTGGAGGATGTCCTCTTTGATCCACAGCTGAATCAACATTTGGCTGCAGATATAAGTCTTTAGTGAGACATTTCTATTGTCTTAACTTGGATCAGAGGAGTCTGTGTTTTTTAATGATGGGCATAGAGTATCCATGTGATGAAACCAAGTGAAACCATGTGAATGAGTAGGTTGAAAAGAGCATCCTTATTATGAAATTTGAGTGAATGAGCCAATTCAGCAGAGTGGCTCTGGAAATGTTGGTGTAATAGTCCACAACTTACACCCTGACTAAAAGATACCTCAGCTTTTGGACTGGTGAAATGATTACTTTTATGACTTCAGAGAATCCTCATTTGACTCCACAGCCAATTCAGTTTATTTTGTTGGAGGTTCACCATGAAGTTTCCTGCACATATAGATTGGACCGATATTGTTATTTACAACCAAATACTTGCACAATTTTATTAGCATCAGTTTTACTTGATGCTAAAATCAGCTAATCTCTGATTTTCATGTACTTTTTATTAAAAATGCTCATTTATACCAAAGGAGATGTTCACATTAATCAAATGTTATAGCCAAGGTGTCAGAATAAAAGTGCACTTTTTACTAATTGTTCTACAGGGTTGATGTGAGCTTTACGTGAAGATATTCAGTTCAATAAAGTGAACAGACGTGTTTTTAATCAGGGTATTAATAACCTTAAAATATTACTTTATCTTCAACATAAACTCAGCCAGACAATAAACAACACAGCCTGAGTCATTGTCTTGGTGCCAGACAGCACAAGTGAGATTTCCGAAACAACACCGAGTCTTTCAATTTAGTTTTTAATATAAGGAAGAGGTAATCACTCGAGGGATTCCTCTGAATTGTCCTGAGTCTAGCCCTGACTTCCTTGCTTAAGAGTAAACAGAGCCGCTATACTGAGAGGCCGACGAGTCTCCTCGAGCTTTAAACTCTGTCACAGTTCATCTAAATCCCCAGCTCTCTACCTAAGCAGGAAAATAGCACGGGGTCATCTCCTTGTCTCTTTTTGCGAAATACAGGAGGTATGACTCCACTCTGAGAGCTCCTCCGGGAGGAAGAGAGAGGCGTGCAAAGATAAAAAACCTAGTGGTGGTTCTGCACAGTATTGATTTTTATAGTCTAAATCAACATTGGGGGGAGGCTGCAGTGTGTAAATATTAACTGGTGGCAAGTCTGCAGAGAGATGGCTGGACACATAACATGAAAAAGCTTCAACAGAAAATTGCTCGTATAACCTAGCTGTTTCGAAATAATGTTTTTATGTTGCAAAGTCCCACTGAAACCTATTGTGTCACCTTAACTCAGCCAGGACTTGTCTAACTCTATCCTGCACAGTACCAAACATTGCAGTTGATGGTTTTCCAATAAATTTTACCAAGTAGTGCATGTCCGGGTGCAGCAATACGTCTATAGTAATCAAAGGTATGCCATTCAGAAACTCGACCTGCAGCTCTCTGTGCCTTCAGCTGAGCTTATTGGTTCTGTCTGGGCTCTTTATAAGAAAAACAGTCAATTCACTAGGATACTTTCAGGTCAGTTCTTATCTTTTAAGTAGTATCATCATGATCGTGTAACAACTGTACCTGTCCCTCGAGGTCAAAAGCCAGGCAGGCAACACCGTGTGTGTGCACATCTTTGAGAATGGACACAGTCTGCACAGTGTAGGAGTCCCAAACACAGATGTAAGGCTCCTTCCCCACCTGTCCTGTGGCCACCAACACACGCTCAGGATGCAGAGCTAAGCTGAACAGGGAGAGAGACAGAAAGAGAGAAAGACAGGGAGAGAAAAAAAAAACATCTGGTTAACATGGCTATTTTGCGTGCTTATCTGCACGTTTTGTGTGTGTGCCGGGGGCAGACGAGGGATTCACCCTTCCAGCAGAAACCACTGGGATGAGATGAACATGTTAAGTCTGTGATGGGTCCAGATATGGAGGCAGAGAGGCAGCTTGATGAGGTGACATGGTTCAATTAACTCAGTAATGCTTAACTTAACACACACACACACACACACACACACACACAGAGCCTGGCATCATGCACGCCTACAGGGTGTTTCCAGAGTATAAAAAGCAGCATTTGTGAATCTGTGAGTCAATTTTTTCAGCATTTACGTCCATTTTTTCAGCATCCCTTGCACCACTCTTTGCCCCTTTCACCTTTTCTAATTCATCTGGGGTTTCCTCACATCGTCAGGCATATGCTTGTGAGGCTGTTACATAATCCTGCCCCCCCTCCCCATCACTCGTACCTCCCCCCACCTACGAGAATTTTCACTCTACAGCTGAGCAACAGCCCTCTGTAGAGAGCTGTCACTCCCTTTCCCTGCCCCCCCCCCCCCTTCCCTTCAGCAGCCGCCGGTCACGTTCCAGGCAGGCCTGAGTGATTCACTGGGCAATTCTTCCTCTTGCCTTGTCCTGGCCTATATATTTCATGCTGCGACGGAGCTCCCTCTATTATAATCAGGCTGCCTGTTTTGCCAACTGCTCTCCAGAATTTTTAATCCTGGCTTGTTTTCAGACAGCAGGCTGAGCGGCCACAAAACGTGCTGAGTCGAAGCAGCTTTCCATCTTTCACATTATCGAGCTCCTAAACCTGTCTTTCGCTGGCTCTGTGCTTTCTGTCAGACTTGTGACATCTCATCTGCACCCTCAACACTCTGTCACCATCAACCTGACAAAGCTTAGATGAGGTCTAGGACAGCTGAGGTGGGTTACATGTGACAGCACGGATCTTTGTCCTTCTTCAACCTCTCCTCTTACTCATTCTCTTTGCATCACCTCCTCTCCCTACACCTCCTTTGTTTAACCTAACCCAAGCATGGAAAAATTCTCACTCACTTTTTTATCAATTACATAATCAGAGCAAAGCAGCTAAAAATAGCACTAAAAGGAGGTGAAAAATGATAAGAAGATTTTGAGATGCAGATGGACACAGCGGATAAATCTGCTGGTAGAATAGCGTCACTCAAACCTATATGAAAAATCTTAGGTCAAACGTATTTGCAGCCCACACTTAAACTTGGCTATGCTTTCACCTTAGCTATGTCACCTTTTATACCAGCTGCAATATGCATGGTTTGCGATGCAATGCCATCTTTCAGAGAGCTCAAAGATCCATGTTTCATTTATGTTCCTGTCAGTTGAAGAGCTCGCTAAATGCCATCACTAATGACTTAGCCTGCAGCGCTTCACCACAGTTCTCCTGTTTGAGAAGGGCTACGGCTGTTTGATGCAGCTGTCTCCAATCTGCCAAGTCCTGTAGTACAAAACTAACTAAATACTGCAGCAATTAAACTGCCTGTTTTCATGTAGATATGAGGAGAATAAACAGCCCGAGGAGCAGATTTCTTGTGGTGAATATGCAAAGATCTAGCACAAGGTGAGAGGTGGCCAAATAAGCTTTATTGCATTGATATACTGTATGTGTAATCAAACTTGTATTAAATGCTTATGAGTAATCTGTGCTATTTCTGACCTATCAGTACAGACAGTCACATGTGGAAAAAAGTCCTAATACACCCTTCTGGTATGATGAGCTCCCATAGAAACTCTGACTCACTTCTCTCACTGAAGTTTCCTTTGTTTGATCTACCTACAGTGGATTAAAAAGAAGCCGAGGATTAACACACAACTGAAGGTCTTCACAGCAGGGAAAATTTCCCAGGATTCCACGAACTGTTTTAAATCCAGCCGCCCATCAAGTGTCTACCTGCCCAAACACTTGTCGCTTCCAGCTTTCAATGCAAAACCTGACTTACAATCATCAGGACATATAGATGATGCTCAGCCAGGTGAGAAAGTCAAAGGGTTAGATCATGTTGCCATGACACACAGGAAGAAATATTCCCCCCCACTGCGTGTCGGCTAATTGTCAGATCATTGTTTTAGTCCTGCAATACTTGAAAAAGCTAATGAAGTTGATATTTTCTAGGTAAAATAAGTGTTTGTTTACATCACATTGTACACATTACTTGTTTGGTTTCATTGTCAAGGTTAGAAAATCAGCTTGTATGCTCATCATGTTAATACTGACATCACTGTTGTTTCTATATGAGGATAAAGTGAGGATATGAGATCAATATCTAGCCACTCCCACCTCGTCAGAGTAAAACATTTATGACACTACTTAAACAAGACGTCCGTTCAATTTGATGTTCTTAATCCTAGCGACAAGGATGCTGAATCATGCTATCGCGCTAAGTAACCGTACTAAACCCCGGAGGATGCTAATGGGGGAGGACAGATCTGCTCTTTAGAGACCAAGCTACCTTCCACTATGAGAGGATCTCAGCTATTCACAGAGATGATTAAACGAGAGACCTCAGCATTTTGGTGAAATATGTCTAGAAATATGTGTACAGGTAAAAAGGAGCAAAAAGAATCAGACATCACAGACAGTAAAGGTTATTGGTAGGAAGTGCTTTTTTAAAATCATATCCTCTGATTAGATCTTCATCTACATGCTCTGTTTCTACTTTTTCATCGTAGTCATGGTGATTAAAAGTTATCAGCATGTGGACCAAATAAAAAAAGTGCAAATTATGGATAAGTGACTCACATCTAGCAGCTCCCATGGCTGATGTCAACAGTAATTGCCCAAAGCACATTCCCACATACGCACCTGAGTCACTGTCAGTATTATTTGAAACTGAAATACACTACAGTGGATTGTTTTTAATCACACTATGATGACTTTGCAGAGCATGGTTTGACTTTATCTTGCACATTAATATGCAGAGTTAGTTCACATAGCTCAAACAGAGTGCAGGTGCAAGACTCTTGTCTGCCAACCTCTTTGAGTTTGCAACCTTCTACTGGTTTTAACCAGGAAACCAAATTTATTTATCCTGCAATTTCAATACAAATGTACTCCCTTTCTCTCTAGAAGATCACTAACTAACTAGACTGGGCTCAGTAAGGTATCAGTGATACATAACTCTGGTTGGGGTCAGTCATAAAGTAAACAAGATATGGTAACGTGAGACAGAGTTTTACATCTGTGCTCATAACGTCCTCTTATAAATCATCGATCTTTATCATAGCAGACAACACAGATAAGTCAAAAGGCTTCTTACAAGAATGACTGATACTAAAGCATTTTCCTGCAAACTCAAGAGATAGGAGCTTTATAGATTTTATCTTAATGAAATGCTGTATATCGTTTAAAAGATAAATAAGACAAATTAAGATGAAGAATCAATCCAAACAGCTCTGTCAGCCAGTGTCACAATGTTTCAATGCAGACCTCCTCTTTCTGTTTCATCACAAATGATGACACAAAAGCACTCCTCACTCATCCCACCCCTCCTCACCTAACTGGATTGTGTGTTGTTCAGCAGCAGCCATGGGGTTTCAATGGGATCACACACTCTGAGCATCTCTCTGTAATTCGGCTTATTTTTTAATGTGCATGTCTGTGTTTAAATGTATTGCTGTGCATTGTTCAGCTCAGTGTGCACATGCTTGATATGTCAGCATGATAGCAAAAAAGAAAGGAGGGATTAAGTCTGTGGTACAGAAAAACCTGCAGGTTTTCAACCTCAGTCTTGGATCATTCAGGTTTTAAAGAATTCAGGAATGCGGTGCAGAGAAATTTTAGTAAAGAGGAGAACTTGGTATCCTTGATACATTATGTTATTGCCCAGCAACATGTGAATTCCTTTAAATGACAGCAAATGAAAGGAAAACCATGAAATCCAGACAAATTGAAAGTGGCTGCAGGGCAACATCGAACTGAGGATGGAGGAACAAGACAGACCATTAATTCATTAAGCAAAATACCCATTTCTATCTGGCATAGAGACAAAATAAAGCAGCAACCAGAATAGATCATGGAAAGGAAAGAGGGAGGTTTCAGCTTTCTGAGGGGGCTGCATCCACTCCACGAGTTACAGCAACGTGAGGAAAGCCATCCAACAATTATTCAGCTTTGAATCTGCTGAGATGTCGAAGGAAATGAGGACTTCACTGGCATTTGACCAAAATCTGTGATTAAAAATTACCATAACATTACCAGTGTTAAGAAGACAGTAGTACTTGAAATATGTTCCAGCAAAGCTTAATATCTATTTCAATTTAGCTGTGTGCAGCATACGTCCAAATAACACCATAAAGAGCCTGTATCGGACTGAATCCTTACATGTTTGCTTGCATTAATATGCACAGATATACAGATGGCCAATTTAATGAATCACCAATTCAGTATTTTTGTGCATATTTATTAGCTTTTTAATTTCATGCTGTGTTTTTCACTTTAGCTCTGTCAGTGACTTGACCAGTTAAGTGTGTGAACTCAGGCTCTTCACCCACAGGGCAGCCCAGGGTTAGTAAGCATCTCTGTTGTCCCATTAATAATGGAGCAAGAGTCCAGCTGACTGCCGACACACTATATAATACTTGTCATCTCCAGGCCAACCCACACACACACACACACACACACACACACATACACATATGTCAATGCAAGCACTAGTGTGTTTGACATGGGTTGTTGTTGTTGTTTTTGTGCAGCATGCTGAGGGTGAAGTTAGAAAATAAAAACAGGAGGATGGTTTCATGTGTGATGTAACACTGGTTACTATGCTGTGTGTTATCAGAGAAAAGCAGGTGATTCAAGATTTTTCTGACCACTGAGAGAAACGCCACCACAGCCCACAGAAAGATTTCAAAACCAGAAGGTGAGGCATTCAGGCTGATTTGGGAAAGCTTTCAAATTTAGTGAGAGGCTGGGAAGTGGTCTAGATCAGTCAGTAGAGCAGCATTCCCACAGACTACAGAGGCTAGGTGTTTGCTGCACTGGTCCTCAGTTGAACTCTGACCCCTGATCCATTAGTACAAGTAATCCACACTCTGTTTTGCCATGCTATACAAAAACAACAACAACAACAAAAAAACGTACACACTATAGATATACAATTACGGCTTATAAACAGTATACAAAAGTGCCTGGTACAATATGGCAAAAACACCTGCCTCCACTAAAGAAATGAACTATTGTACTGTAAATACAATAATACAGAAAATTTAAATAATTTATGTTGGTTTGAACTAATTCTTCTGCAAAAAGAGGCCCAAAATCTCAAAATAATAAATTCTTTTATTAGTTGATTTGATAAATTAGTCAGTTTTAAATTGCTTTTAACTATTTTGGGGGTCTTGATATGGGGATTTTTTTTTATTATTATTATTTTATAAAGCCGTGAGCCCTATTTGATGCACGTTAAGACAGTGTAAGTTTATTTTTACTGGTTTCACCTCCGACAGCTTGAACTACTTAAGGAGACATTAAGAGGGGCAGCAGTGTGATCCAAGGCAGCGACGGTGTCCAGTCTTTGCAGTAGACTATTGGTTGACAGCACTTGCCCTGCTGGAGCGTCTCCGAGAACTCGAAGCCCCTTATAAACTCTGGGAATGCTGTTTTGCAGGTGTATGAGTTCCCTATATACGAACCTAAACCGATATCATGTTACATTTCACAAGGTGACACCAGCTCTTACTCTGACAACAATACAGTATCAGTTCATACTTCGCTGTGGGTCTGCGGCTGCTGCTGCTGTCCGAGGTGCTGAACCTGACCGTTGTGTGTGCGCATGGATGTGTTGTTACACTACCTGATTATGTCATCGTTGTGCCCAAGGTAAAATTTCTGCTTGTGCTCCCGGGTGTTATACACAACTCCCACACCAGCGACAAAATAGACTATTTCCTTGGCGGCGGTGTAGTACAGGTTGTTGCGGCACTGATGTCCCCGGTATCCGTACACCCACTCCAGTCTCAGGTGGCAGTTGGGAGCAGTCCTGTCAGCCATGTCCGCACTTCCGTGTCTGTCTCTCTGTTGCGATCACGAAGGTTTTCTCAAACAGTGTCATTCACCAAAAAGGATTTATTTTAAGCCCGCGTGCCCCATTAGTTCCGTTGCATTTCCACCAGTCCAGCTCGCGCGCTGAAATGAAGCCTTTTTTGAGGGTCATGTGAATTGAATGTCTTGCTGTCTGAAACAGATGATAGCCCTCTGTCTCTGTTGGAGAAACAGGTCTCTAAGCTGCAGTTTTCATTGTGTGAGTCGTCCCGTAGTTCCTCAGCCTGGGGCTCGCGGTCCTCTTCGACACAGGTCAAAGCTCCTGTCAAATCCTACAAAGATGGAGCTGCTCTGTCATTCCGCAAGCACCGCCCACAGGCTGACGGATCAGCCTGTCAACCAATCAGACCCTATCAATTATGCTCGGGAGAAAAAAGCAGAAGGGATCAACTCTGCCAACTTAAAAAGTTATGTTAGGTCTGTATCACTGATTGGATGACAGAATTAAAATGTGATCTTATCTCTCTTTTTTATTCTGAATCTGTCAATGAGTTAATGTTAGCAAAAAATAAAATAAAAACTGTGTCAAATAATGCATACAAGTGGGTGGATTTGCTTTTTTTTTTTTTTTTTTGCAATTTAACCTTACTGTTTTTGTTTTCACTTGTTAGATTGCAGACATATGAACACTTGCACTCTAAAAACTCTTCAACTCTTTTTTAAACCAAATTCCTGGGTTTTACATATTGAGTTAAATTTCTGTGTTATTTTTTAGATCCACCCCCCTTTCTTGGGTCATATGGGTTAATAATTATGGATTATTTTTCTGAGAGTAACCCAATAATTGGGTTGGAACGTTGGGTTCGATTGACTCCACTTGATTTCTAGGCCTAAAGGCAGTTAAAGTGACCTGGTGACCTTGTGAACTTTGACCTTGATTTTTATGTATATATATATATATATTGGGGTAGCTCAGGTTAACCAACCCAATATATATTGGGCGGCTGGGGTGGCTCAGTGGGTAGTGTATCCAGTCCCCAATCAGGAGCTTGGGGCTCAATTCCCACATGAGACACATCTGTAAGGAGCGAACTACATCCACCAGTGTGGGTCCTTAGGCAAAACCCTTAGCATTATGGCCTACATTCAGTTAGATAAAAGTTCATGGGAAAATAAGGTACAGGTTGTAAAAGCAAAGCTCCCATAAAAGCTCCCCAGATGCATATATCAATTTAACCCAAGATCATTAGTCAAATCAATTTAAACATTGGGTTAACTTGACCTTAAAAGGGGTTATTGAGTCAACCTAAAATTTGGGTTAATTTGGGTAACCCAACATTCTGGGTCAAAATAACCCAAAAAGTAGTCGGTCCCTTTTCAACCCTGGTGTTGGGGTTTTTAGAGTGTGCTTGCATGTTATCTAATTCTGTGAATATTGGAAGCTTATGTCTTTATGTTCTTATTATTTTTTCAATAGGGAAGATTCATATGACACATAAACTAAAATAATCAAATTCATTATCTACCATTGTAATGGATATCATTAGTTCAATGATTCTCAGTATAAAAGATTTTCAGATGTCCCCAACACTTTTGACTGTTGTAAAGATGAGGAAAAAAAATACTTACTTGATGACAGAGGTGGTTATCTGATGGTTATTGGCTAGAAAAATAGAAAGAGCACCAGCTGCTAAGGGCAACAAAAAGTCGTGATGCATTCATGACGAACCTGCTGAAATCCCTTGCCTCTCACGTAAGGATGTCTATGAGGCATTTTCTCAGTTTTGAGGCACCCATGATTGCACAGTACTGCCCTTTATTTTCCTCTAAAAGTAGATCCAAGAAGGCGCTTCACTGAATCTCAACTTCTCCCCTCGCTTCCCATTAAATCATTCATGAAAAGTCATTGTGTTTTGTAGCTTAAATCAACAGCAAAAATTTAAAACATTTTGCCACAAGACAAAGTCCAATATTTCAAAATTATAGATGCAGAAAGAAATTATATTAAATAGAAATTTCAATCTTTTTAAGTGGCCACTGGAGGCTGAGAGGACTTTTAATTAATGGATGGTTTAAGGAAGCTGTAATCCAACAACCAAAATCCAGAGGAGTTTCGCTTGTTTAGTTTATGCACTTACAGAATAACAATGCTGAAACTTGATTAAATGATGAAATAACACATTAAAATATTTTAATCGTTCTTTAAATCCCTACCCATTTAAAAGGCTTTTTCAATCGTTACTATTTTCTATTTATTTTACTTTATTTTTTAATTTCTTTTTTAATTTCTACTTATCAGTTTTCTGTTTTGCTTTAGGTGGAAACTACGTAAGGAAAGTCCCCCGCCCCCTCTGCCGTTGCTGAGCGACGGAGGAAGCTTAAGCGTCACCATCATCTCTGCTCTTCTTAGCAGCTTGTAAGCCTACTATATACCTCCTTTTATCTTACCAAAACGATGGAGGTGACGATGGACCCCATGTTTTTGGCGTGGAGCTATTTCAGGAGACGGAAGCTTCAACAGTGTTCGGACATTTGCACTAAAATACTGCAAGAAAACCCGTACGACCAGGTACTGTGGAGTAGTTAGCTGTGCTAGCCTAGCATGCTAGCGATTATCCAGAAAACCCTGATTGTATGAGACGAGTAACCCACGAAAACAGTTTAATCCCTGTAAGTCGAGTCACTTCAGTTGAACGGAGATAAGTTTAAGTAGCATTTCTCTCTAGTACTCAATCCATCTTTTTTCTTATCTTATTAGTGGCCACTACATTACATTTCTTTCACGTTTTTGTTTGTCTTTCACTCATTTGTTTTCATCTTCACCCTTCTCCCTCTCACACTGATAAATTGCATGCCGTCTTAAGGACTCCTCCTTGCCTAATGCAGAGGTAACTGTGACTGCAGACTATATTTCTTTGTCATCCCTTTTCACGAGGGTAATATCAACAAGGCCATCTTTCATGACTGAACTTTTGTGTGTTCTGAAGGCTGCATGGAGCTTGAAAACCCGGGCTCTTACAGAGATGGTGTACATCGATGAAATTGAGGTCGACCAGGAGGGAATTGCTGAGATGATGCTGGATGAGAGCTCAATTGCTCAAGTTGCACGTATGTTCCAAGCCTCCCAATACCATAGAAAAGTTAAAGAAAAGAAAAGTTTGTGAAAAGTTAAATCATACAGTTACAAAGTGGTTATATTATTTTAAAGAATCCTACTTTCTTTCTTCAACTTTCTTCTAGGACCTGGAACATCATTAAGACTCCCTGGAACCAGTCAGGGTGGAGGTCCCACTCAAGCTGTCAGGTGCCAAGTCATGCTTAAATCATACCATGAAATTTCTTAACTCTCAGAAACAAAGAAGGACACGTGTAATCCAAGTTGTTATTTTGAATTCAAGGCCTATGACACAATCAGGGCGTCCTATCACAGGATTTGTGCGACCCAGCACACAGTCAGGGCGTCCTGGGACGATGGAGCAAGCCATCAAGACCCCACGCACTGCAAGCACTGCTCGTCCTGTTACCAGCGCTTCTGGAAGACACATTCGTCTGGGAACAGTGAGTAGATATGGGTCAGTCTGCAGCACCAGAGAGGCCCCATGAAAAATTCAAAAAGGCTTTTCCAAGCAGAGGTGCAGCATTTGTACCACAGTAAATTTCTAGTAAAAGCTCTGAAAATTTAATTTAATCAAAAACACTTCAACATCTATAGGTTGTTGATTTATTTATATGTTTAATATACTGGAAATGTTTTTTTAGATATACTGCAAATATTAGTTGAGTAGATTTATTTGTAAGCAGTATTGTTGAACTTTTTTAAATCCTCCCCTAGTATAGTGAATGGAAAGCCTGAAACATTTATCATGACATTTTGTTCTGTTTTTTCAACAGGCTTCAATGTTGACCAATCCAGAAGGACCCTTTATAAACTTGTCCAGACTAAATCTGGCCAAGTATTCCCAAAAGCCAAATTTATCCAGGGTAAGGCTTAGTCTGTGACTCTTACAAAAAAAATTGTCCACATCATAGTTTTGTCTTTCATGTTAAATAACCTTTATTGTCATTCCCAGACTCTGTTTGAGTACATCTTTCATCATGAAAATGACGTGAAAAATGTAAGTACTGCTGAATTCTGTGTAATAAAAAAAAAACTGTTGTACATGTGCTGATTGTTTACTATTTGTGTGACACAAACTTTGTTTTTCTTGACCAGGCTTTAGATTTGGCTGCTCAGGCTACTGAGCATGCTCAGTTTAAAGACTGGTGGTGGAAGGTTCAGCTGGGAAAATGTTACTACAGGCAAGTAATTCCTGAGCATCCAAGCTTGGGTTAAATCTACCTTTTCATTAGGTTTTGATAGTGCATGTGGATATTAATGTCCCTGTCATTTGCAGGCTTGGTTTGTATCGGGAAGCAGAAAAACAATTTCGATCAGCCCTCAATCATCAAGAAGTAGTGGACACATATCTCTACCTTGCTAAGGTCAGGATTATCATGGCTTTACCTCACAGCACCTACCTGTTGCACAAGTAAGATAATTTTTCCACGATAGGACTGTGGGCTTACAAAAAAAACACGTGAATGTTTTAATTCAGGTGTATCAACGCCTGGATCAGCCAATCACAGCGCTCAACCTTTTCAAACAAGGCCTGGATCACTTTCCTGGTGAGGTTACCCTTCTGACTGGAATTGCCAGGATACACGAGGTACAGTATGTCTCCACTGTTCTTCCTGTGAAGTCCACAGAGCCCTTTATTACAAGGTTAGATACATACGATTTGTCTACTCTGCTGTTGCAGGAGATGAACAACATCTCATCAGCCACAGAGTACTACAAAGATGTCTTAAAGCAGGACAACACTCATGTGGAAGCTATAGCTTGCATAGGCAGCAATCACTTTTACACTGATCAACCTGAGATTGCTCTGCGCTTTTACAGGTCAGATAAACTTCCCTAGATAATTAAGGTGGCATACTGTTTTAGTATTTGTTAAGTTGTATCCAATCTGTGGTTCATTAATATCCTCTCACTTCTAGACGGCTGCTCCAGATGGGGGTGTATAACTGCCAGCTGTACAACAACCTGGGCCTGTGCTGCTTCTATGCACAGCAGTATGACATGACTCTGTCCTCATTTGAAAGGGCTCTGACTCTGGTAGCCAATGATGAAGAGCAGGCTGATGTCTGGTATAACATCGGACACGTGGCTGTGGTAAGTTAACAATCTTTGATCGCATCTTCATACCAACAATAACATGATTGAATTCGTAAAAAACAATAGATAAAAAAACGTGTTCTGTTGTAACAGGGCATTGGGGACTTGACTCTGGCTTACCAGTGTTTCAAACTGGCTTTGGCTTTCAATAACGACCATGCTGAGGCCTACAACAATCTGGCTGTGCTGGAGCTTCGCAAAGGTCGCATTGAACAGGTGAGGAAACATCATTTCATTTTTAATAATGTTAGGTATGAGATCAGTGGTTCCCTTTCAGTAGGACTGCATAATTATTCAAATTCGATTACAACCAAAATTTTGGATCATGATCAGAAAGTGCCACTTTGAAGTTTTAAAGCTGTCACATTTGACACTGAATGTTTGGATATTGAAGGTGTGGCCAAATGTACAAATGCAGAGATCCATTTAAGCTCAGGTAGTACAATAGCTGAGTCACTGAATTTATGTATTTTTTTAATTTAACAACAAAAAATTTCCCTGACAATAAAAAAAAAGCACAGATGACTATCATTTCCAAACTATGTGCAGCCCTATCTTATAACTTAAATACATCAAATCCATGACAAAAGAGTATTTTCAGAATGCTTTGAAGTATCACATGCAGCTTAGATGCTATCCTTTTAGCTTCATGTTATGCTACTGTCATGGTAATTCAAGCCGAAATAAGTGAGAGGACAAGAGAATAGGGTAATATTGACTCAGTTTATATCTATATTAGTTGCCTTTTAAGGCTGTATTATGTCATAAAGGCCGTTCCACAAACAAAATGGCAGTGTGGTATTTTAGATGTCTGATTTTGAAGACATCAAAATTGTTCTTCAGATAAAACCCCACCAAGAAGTAAGAAAGTACAAGCTAAAACTGAAAACAGATTCTGGCTCTCTTTCAAATCAGGAAAAATGCATCAAAGGTAGTGAAGTCAAGCTTTTCAGACCCAAAAAGCAGCGTATTCGTCAGGTATTAATTTCCTCCCCAAGAGCTGTATTTGAAAATCAGTGAATGAATGTCCTCTCTTCTAGGCTAAAGCCTTCCTACAGACTGCTGAATCGTTGGCCCCTCACATGTACGAACCACACTTCAACCTCTCCATTCTCTCTGAAAAGGTAATGTCTCACTGCTTAAATTATATATATATTTTCAACACAGCCCAGCAGCTAAAACAAAACAAGTATAACCGCCATGTTAACCACCTGTTGAAGTGAGGTTTTTGCATCTGTGCCCAGATTGGAGACCTCCAGAGCAGCTACACTGCAGCACAGAAGTCTGAGGACTCCTTCCCGGAGCATGTCGACACTCAGCAACTTCTGAGGCAACTGCGGCAGCACTTTTCTGTGCTATAAACAACAGACCGGATTTCTTTAAAAATATACAATTAATACAAAACAGAGACAGTAACAGGTAAATAAGGCAAATGTTGGCATATGGGATTTCTTCAGTAAGTTACCAGTTTATCAAATACATTCTGATAGTGTAACAGTGTTTGTAGAGTCCTGTGTGGTCCTCTGACTTAGATGTGTCTGGTCTCATTATGGTATGTCTTTTTGTTTGCACCCTCTTTATCTATCGAACCTACTGTCACAATCTTACCCTTCTTAGTAAATTCACAGGTTAAAAAGGGTTTATGATGGCATTTGGAAATTGCCCGAGGCTCCAGTGATTAACTGAATTGACTCCCCCGCACGATGTGCACTGACATTTGACCATTTAGAGCCATAGTCTGTGCAGCAGAGATCAGTCGATGTACAGTGTTAATGTCCTGTCTCTTCTGCAAACTGAAACATATTTAACTTACCTCTAAAATGGCAAACCTCTACATGGTATCAGGTTCTTGGGTTGATAAAAAACAGGCTCTCTGCCATTTAAAGTCCAATGACTCTTAAAGTCTATTTCACCTTTTCTCCCCTACTCTGAGGGTCCAGTGCACACAGCACAGCAGGAGCCATATTTATAATCAGAGCTGTGGATCGTGGTGTCAAACCCCAATTTTAGCATCAAATGATTTATGAAATCTTTACTTCTTGGAAAATCAATATTTAGATTCAAATGAGTGCAATAAGAGCACGCTATAAAAGAGAAGCCATCTTCTACCCACATCTTATCTATTATATGAAGGGGAGGTTTGCTTTTTTATCTCCACTGCAGCCAATCACCATGTGGAGCTTTAAATGTTTTGGCCTTGCTTTCAGGAAACTACTGGGACATCTGTCTTTTTCTACCAACTGGTGATTTGCCTATCTTATAATCACCCGTTGCATTTGTCTCAATATTCTAAATACTGCTTTGTTCATGTTATGTGCAGTATACTTGAAAGTATTTGTTTTTTGATAAACTGATAACCTGAAGAAGAGTAAAACATACTGTTTTATATTGTAAAGAGTTTATTTATTACAGTAAAATATGTAACATATTTTATAGGTCAATCATAAATCTAATGTATATCTCACATTTGTCATTTGTAGTCTCAACAAATACTGAAGTGACAATAAAAAGAACTATTCAAGACAAAAAAGAGACAACTCTTTGTTTGAAGAATTCAACTGGAAAACCTTGGCTCCATTTCACAAATCCATTTCAGATCATGACCACATGGAGCATCATTCCAGGCAAAAAAGGGGTTATCTCTGGGATATGTGGCTGCACAGTCCTCCTGTCCCATATCGTTGGGCTCTCCTGTATTCCAGTAACTAAAACAAATAACAGGTCAGGATGGATTGGGTTGACATCTGTTCAATGGTTTTGCATTTAAACCAACTCATTTCTCATTTCTTTTAAAGAGTGGTGTCTACAAGTGTGGAACTGTTACCTATCAGTCAGTCTCGCTCCATTCAGCCACCTCCAATCCCCCTCATTATCCATATCTGTCAGGCCGATCCAGAAACCACTTATGGAAATCATTGCTCTGGGGTCACGATAATTTCTTATCAACATATAGATTGCCATCTGATCACCAGTACATGTAAACACAGACACAAACACATAAAAGCAAAAAAAAAGTGATTAATTTTGTTGGCATTTCTGTCTTAAAACATAAAGCAAAGCTTGCCAAAAGTGTATTTCAGGTTTTGTCTCGGGATACTAATGTGTCTGGACTCTTACGTGTTCCTCTCTGCTGTCTATCACTGTCAAGTCGCCTCCACGCAGCTTGCAGAAGGCCCTTGCATCCGACCACGATCTGCGTACTTGATTACTGGAAAAGGCGAAGTAGTAACATGCCGAGTTCATGAAAGTCCATCCGGCTAAACAGTGTTTGCAGCCCTCTCCTATGACAGTGAAAACATGATGTGTTTATGCTCAAGGTCAAGTAAGAATAATAATGTCAGCACAGTAAGTTCAGTATCAATGTATCAAAAAACTAAAGCTCTCACCCAGCATTGGCAGATGGGATTTTAATGTTGCAATTTCAACCTGTATTTTCTCGACCTCCTTTTTGTAGGAATCGCATCTTTTTTTCTGGTGTTCCAGTTCCCATTTGGTAAGCTGCTGCTCATCAATCACTCTTGCCAACTCTCTCCTGGCGTCATCCCTTTTTTGTTCTGCCTTGTTGTAAGAAGCATGCAGTTTGGTCAACTCACTGTTGATATCCGTTACTAAGTAAAGCCCATTGCTAAGTGTGTAATCTGTAAGGAAAGGAGATGAAGTATTACTTATAAGCAGGGGCCAAAATTTTCACCCTAACAGTAGTTTATAGTTCATTTTGTACATATTTGATTTCCTAATGGCTTCATCTCAGATAATCTTGACACATAAAACACAAGAGATTCTTTTTTAGTCAGGTATCAAACCACTTTTGTTCAAAACAATGAGCTCCTGGGCTGTCATGGTGGCGCTAAGAATTATAATAAACATTTTATTAATCAAAATATTCTATAAAATCTCTATTTTCTGGTTTCCCATTTGGGTGCAGTGAAAACAACCTGATATCAGATGTTATCACCCTAATAGCCATCATGTGACAAACTTAATAACAGATGTCAAACCTTTAACCATTCTTTTAGTCTACTTTAAAATTGATTTTTCCTCAACTTATCAAAAACTCAAGTAATGGTTTTAGCATTGTGAATTCCAAATTTGATGTCAAACCATAATATCTTAACACCATTTAATTTTATGACAATGTATAAATCAAGGAGTGTTTTATTAATTCAGTACTTACAGTAGACTCCCAGGCCAATGTCAACAGCTAAAAGAATGACAGCCAGCACTGCCAGGCCAAATGCGAGGAGTTTATAATGTTTCAGATTGGATTCAGGTACAGTCATGGACACTACACAGAGGGAGAGTGGATCAATATGAGAGCCACAGCCTTTTTAAACAACACAATATAATCAAAACTATTAGAAGACGATTAATATGGGTAACGAAGAGGCCAACAGAGACGCTTTAATGTGATTTTGGTTATTCACTGTAGACAATGGGTCTAATTTCTGTGGTTATATGGTACGGTCCACAACTTGTTGTCACATGATTAAAACAGCTTTAAAGACTCAAACTGGTCTTGTGTTTGCCTAGACCATTTCAGAACCTAGCACGAGTAGCTAATGACAGATCACAGACTCACAGGCTGTCTACATTACCTTTTTGCATCCCTTGGTTTGAGTAGATTGTGTTCTCATCTGTGTTGAAATCCTCTTCATTAACTCGTTGATTAAATCTATCATCAAAAGTGTCCCCCGAATTGTCCTCGTCCTCCATTTTGGCTGCTGAGACAGGCACAGACTGGTGTGTTTGACCAGGAGAAAGTATTTGTCAGGACATTGCCCTGAGTGTGAGAGTGTGTTTGTATCATGACAAACTCAAAGTTGAGATCATTTGTTAAATATTTACAGAGCACTGGAGCAATTTGAAGGGCTGTTTCAATTCCTGATAAAAAATAATGATAATAATCTACTTTTTTATTCAATTATTCAAGTGTAATATGACACAGCAATTTTCATTACCAGCAGTTTCATACAGTAAGTTTTTAGCAAACGTATTGTCTTGCACATACAACAATTTTACACCAGCAGATGTCTAAAGTTACACAATGAAATGTACCTCAGTGGGTAAAAATCCCAGCAGACATGTTAATATGTAAGCCAATGTTTATTTGAAAGAGTTTGCACGGATGAAAACAATTTGATCAGTATGTATGATCTCTGCTCGAGGGGTTTCACACTGAGCTCGCCTGTTTCTCACAGATCCAGTTATATCGATGGTCTTGGCAGTTTCCATTGTACCACATCCTGTTGGTATTTGAGAAGAATAACAATGCAGCGCAGTTCCCACTCTGTTCCCCTTCACTCCTAGGCTGCCCAGTTCTCCAGTATCTTGGATGGATGAAACCATTCAGACAAGAATTTAGTGAGTTTGTTGTTCATGGTGTTAGTTTTGTAAAACCCACTGAGAAATATAGGGAAATGCGGTAACACTTTACTTGACGCCTATCTCCATAATGCATTATAAATATTTTTATAATGCGTTATAATCACGTTATAGTACTGTATAACCATAGTTATAAACACTCATCAATGATCATAATGCCTTATAGCAATAATCATAACACATTATAAAGCATTTTATCATGACTTACAAGGTCAGGTATTATAATGAGTTACAGATGTTAACAACTCACTGACAATGCCCACATAGATAATGCAATGCAACTGTTGTTAACAGTTATAACACATCATAATACCTGACCTTCTAAGTCATGATAAAATGCTTTATAATGTGTTATGATTATTGCTATAAAGCATTATGATCATTTATGAGTGTTTATAACTATAGTTATGCAGTGCTATAATATGGTTATAATGCATTATACATATATTTATAATGTGCTATAGAGATAGGCGTCAAGTGTTACCGAAAATGCTTACATTGTTTCCACCTCAGTCACATTGTTCACCCACACCCAGGTTCCCTTTATCTTTACGTCAGTGAGGCCAATCCAGTATCCCTTCTGCCACCATAAATCACGATTGTTCTGGGTTGGAAGGATGCTTGTTACGAGTTGCTGCAAGACAGCAGACATGTGTGAGTTCATACCTCATGGATGACTTTCTATTTCTATATATATATAATGCATTTCGTGTCACTGTTCTATACCCAAATTTTGTCTTTGTGGTGTCTTATTTTGAATAACAGGGCACTGCATTTCCTTCCTGTCGTCATATCTGAATCTAACACTCACCAGACATGTAGGAGTGTTCGAGCATCACAAAAAAGCTTGCAATACATGCCTTGAACTTTAACTTTTGTTGCTTTTTTGAACCTTTCATACACATGAAGATCTTTCACCAAAGCAAGTTTAATAGACCCTACAACAAAATAAATGGACGCATGGGGGCACATGGTAGCCTCACAGTCTAAACGAGGGCCCCATGTGCAGAGGTTATAACAAGGCTAGGAGGACATTTAATGCCCATAGAAAATACTAGAGTTTGCTGAGAAAGACAGTTTAAGAACTGTTCCAGTTAGATATTGCAGATTGTTACCATTTTTACCCATTATATCTTTAATAGCTCATTTTCCAGTTTATAGATTATCCTTCAGAACAGAACAACACCTTTGGACAAAATCCCAAAACCAGAGGCTTCGAAATTGCAGTTAACATTAGTGGTAACATCCAAGGGTCAATATTTCATTTTCATTTTCAAAGATTAAATTGTTTTTATTTTTTTATTTTTTTATCACTTGAAGGCAGTGGAAACAAGATGTGAATGCAATATAAACATCACCACTTGTAAGGCCACAGTCTATCAAAGTCAAGGGAGCCTCAGATTAAAGTTGCAATTCCTCAAAGTTGTTTCTACCTGAGGCTTTTTAAAGGCTCAAATATTATCACGCTCTTTTACTTTGTCATTGGACATCTTAGTCAAAGTGTTATCTTTGCATCCTCTTTAACTATAGTAAGAGATTCTTGAACAATTAAAGATTTCCTAATGATGCAAAACATGAGTAAGAGACTGAACACTTTCCTTTGTTTATTAACCCACCTGTTCCTGTAGGTTATTGATCACAAGCAGGTCTCCGCCCTTACTAATGCAGTCTGCTCTGCTTTCCAGCCAGTTCTTTTTGGAGTTGGACTCATCAAGGGTGGAAACATAATAGCAGGACGTTCTAAAGAATTTCCATCCAGGCTGGCATCTACCACAGTTTTCCTCTGTTGCAAAAGGGAGAGAAAAAAAATTAATGGACTCAATGTAGTCAAGACACACATGCACTATGACAGATTAAGTGTGTATTTTGATGGCATGGTCTCCCTAATGTGAAAATGTTTCTAAGTTTAAACCCTGATTGTGGATTGTAGTGACCAGAAAAAAGATGTGAGCATGCTCACCAAACGAAGCTTTAGTGGACTGCAGATTGTCTCTCTCGGTGCGCAGTGTCTCGACCTCACTCTGTAGTTTGTCTGTGCTGATCTGGTGCTGCTTCAACTGCAGCTTCTGATCCATGTGACTGGCCTGCTGTTTTGCTATTGCTACCTTGGTGTCCACTGTATCTTTGATGATACCACTTTGGTTTCGTAGGAAGTTAAACTCAGCAAGGAGGGGTGAGGCAGCTGAAACAGGGACCTGAAAAGAGCTGGCTTTGACACCTGAGGCAGAAAAACACATCATAAAAGACAAACCAAAAAAAGTGTGGAAAATCTGTTTTGGGGTGACAGGCTTCTTTGTCTGTGGAAACACCAAGCAACACTTGTCTGTTGGCCATTCAACAACGACTCTATAGGACTTTTGGGACTGACAGCAAGTTGTAACAGGTATTCATTTTATCACAAGACTGGAAAAACTTTGTGACACCTCAATTATGACCAAGAGATAAATAGATTTACTTAATTTATCCAAAATTAGGGAATTAAAAGCAATAGTCCAAGATAAAATCCCATTGGCCTCAGCTGGCATCATTTTTGTGAGCATTTCAGCATGTTGACTTTAATCTGGCCTACTCAGCACTACACTCTGCACTAAGCCAATTTAGGTGCTGATAGAGCTGTTAGCGTGGCTGCAGATTCTATCTTTTAGTTAGCTTCCAATAAGACCTCTTTCAAAAGCTAAGATCCTGTTAGCCTACATGCTGCCCACTGTTCCGTCTTGTTAGCATCTCGGATATCACTCGTAAAAATCACCTTGTAGAAATCACATCCTATATTACAAAAAATTGAAACAATTAGTTGCGAATAAATTAGTAGAAGACAACTAATGAGATCTCAGATGAATTGTTACGCTTTGAATGGCTTGATCCTTTTAAAGCTCTTGTTACATAATTGTGTCTTTTGCCTCTCTAGTGATATTTAATAGACCATACAATCAATTAAAGCCACTGTGGGGAACTTTTGGACAGTGTCAGTTGTGGCACTCCTTATGGAAACCATTACTCATCATGGCCCATGCATGCTTAAGTAACCACCACCACCAGTTTCAGGCTTTGAAATTTGCCAAATAATACTATATAATACTTGTTTGCTTTTGTGTGTCATAATATCATATCACTATGTATTACTGTCTATTTCATAAATATCAAAAACTTCTTACAGGAGCTTTAAGTAGAGCTAAAGTATTAACAAATAGTTGTCGGGCAAAGTGGCACTGAGACTAAGTACGAGAGCCTATCTAATTTTGCCAAAGATGGTTTGGGACTCAGCAGTTTTTTGTGATCTCTAATACTTACAGTAAACTCCAGTGATGACAGCAATTATCAGAAGAATAGCATTCAGCAGGCCCAGACCCAGAACAACCAGCTGGTGGCTTGGAAATGAGAAACAACCTCCTGCTGTAAAAAAAAGTTTCCCCTGAGTTAAAATGTACATTGTTCACCTCATCTTAAAACGCATATTTCGAATTAGATTAAGAGCATCTTGACAGAACTAATAAATATGATCAGACTGTCATAAAAATTTAAAATCGAAGATCATATTTAATCATATTGTAGATGTGCCTCAAGTGGAAGTCGTGTAGATCTAGCAGTTTGGAGAGAAATGAGAATGGCAGCATAGAGGTCTGAAAAGTCAAAAATGAGTCAACAACAGAAAATTTGATTTCAAGTTTGCTGTACCTGCTCCAAATTTAAGGTGGCGAGAGCCTGGGAGGCCATATCGATTTAGATCCCGAAAATTATCCTGGGTTAATGAAATGTCGTCCCCAGGTTCTGCCTGCGACTGAAAGTCTGCCATTATGTTGATGTGAGCAGTGCCCATTGATCTGTTTGTCCCCTACTTTGCCATTGATAAGACGTGTGTGTGTGTGTGTGTGTGTGTGTGTGTGTGTGTGTGTGTGTGTGTGTGTGTGTGTGTGTGTGTGTGTGTGTGTGTGTGTGTGTGTGAACCCTCACTTAAACTCTAAGCTAATACTTGAAAATATTAAAAGTTCTGATGTATTGTTTTTCTAGCGTTAAGTTTTCTAGTTTTCTTTCATTTTATTTTTGGGGACTTTTGCTCAGAGATGAACTTCAAATAAACTTTCCATTTTGAGATGCTGAGTGGTGATTATGATGTTTAACAGCTCAGACACAAACACAGGGAAGCAAGTTTGTATCTGTTGGTGTTAAGAATACTGTCTTCCAGCATCTCATTGCACTCATTTATTACCATCCATACTTTATTTAAATTAGCACTTTATGAACTAATCTTGGCAGCAACACCAAATGACATGCTGCTGTTCCTCTTATTTAACTCTAAGTTTTGTATGAATTTCAATAAACAGGATAAAGCTTTTTATTAGTGAGCTTATGAAGGTCTAGAAGATAGACTTTGTGTTTGTCACACACAGAGTCTCTAGGCCTTCCAAATCTTCCAGTCCTTGCTGCTAGACTTTGATGGGTAGTTTTATATAAGAATGGTACAATGAGAGTAGCTCACACTAAGTTAACACCTTGTCAGATTAAACTAGCTCGGGTGACCAATTAACTTTCTTGTATCTGTACAAGTACCAGTTTAACAACTTAAAATAAAAAACCTTACCTTTACAGGTGCAGACTTTATTACAAACTGCAGTTATCTTTTTTATCCTGCTGCTCAGCTCTACAATGATACATTCCTCATTATCAAACATGATTGTGTTAGCCTGTGGCTTAGTTTGTCAAAATGAGATGCTGTCTGTTTTATAAAACATGTATTTTCCAATTTGTGTACTACAAACACAGACCAACAACACAAAGTTCTGAAGTTTCAATGAGGAGATTTGATAAAAAAGAATTAAAAAAAACTTTCCACAAAAGTTCTTTATTTTCTGGAGAAAAAAAAACAACTTCTATTGTATTATTTTAAGATGCAGCACAAAAAATTGGTACAGTTTCTGCACTTAAATACAATATATACTTCTTCTGCCTCTGTTAATCCAATGCTAAGAGATTTTGATAAGGTGTCATTGTTTTTAGCAGGTAGTGGCTGGTCAAAGCAAATACACTATTTAATTGAAAAAAAACTAACAGAAATAATTCATATCTTTGGTGATAATCAAGTGTGACTGTGGCATTAGTGTGCTACGTATACTGCTTTAAACATAATACTTTCATTATTTGATCAAAGTCTATTAAACAATCCATTTTAAGTTAAGCCAAAAGATGTATTTATAGTGAACTGTAAAGGTGGTGGTTCCTGAATGCAGTGTTGATGTAAAGTCATTAGCAGGTAATGCTCAGTAAAAGATTAGACATTTAAAGGCTTGATTAATTTCTCTGTGTAAACTTGATAAGTAAATACCACTGTCCTTTATGTATGCTATAAATATAAAAATACAATCAGAAGACAGACAGCAACTCAAGCACAACTGCTTTGAGAAGCCTCCGTTAATATACTCCATATTTATTCGAGAGACAAGATACATTTTATCCTTAAAAGAAATGAATATAACTGCGTCTCCTCCTGCTATTTTTTTGGGCCTTGAATGCTGTTATGGAGAGACTTGAACCCTGTCTGGATTTGGACCATCAGTCTCTCTACAGCTGGTTTGGCTCCATTTCACATAACCATTCCTTTTTCAGAAAGCAACTTGCATGATTCCACGTTCTTGTAGTAGTTTTTGTGTTCAGGATTGCTGCACAAGCTCCTCCTGATATGCCCAGATCATTTGGTTGCCTTGTGTTCCAGTACCTATAGCAATAAATAAATACTTAAAATTCCATGTACACCATGTTTAACTTACTGTATGATTTAGATTTCATAACTTTATATACTTGTAATTTTGGCAGCAATTGTCGATAATTCCTAAAGAAAATATCTGAATCAGCAAACAGATTGACGTGCTTGTGGATGTGGGTGAGATCTATTTTAGATCTCATTTGTAACTGTTTTAAATAAGTAACTGTTGTTTTTTATGTGCTTACCCCTCATGGTGCAGAATCACTCCATTTAACCACACCCAACTGCGCTTTACTGGAACGTATGTCAGACCAATCCAGGTTCCTTTTTGGCTGCGATCCATTTTTGGTAGAAACTCATTCAGATTTAACTAGGCAACAGCAGGGGTTTAACAACGGCACAAGTATGTATTAATTGGTATACATTTGGACAATTTTTTACCAGGCCAAGCTGACTACTGATGACATGTTATATAATATGATATAAGTAAAAAATGTACATGCCAACCAACTGATACTTTGCTTTAACTGAAATAGACAGAGCAAGCTGATCAACTGTGCTACTGAAAACAAAATACTATGTATTAGCTCATCAGGAATAGCTCTTACTTTTTGCTTGTATCTTGATTTGACGCTGGACTCACCTGCTCCTCCAAGTTATCAATCACTGTAAGATTACCACCCCTGTGTATACAGTCTGCTCTGCTGTCTTGCCAGTTCTTTGGGATGGCAGTTTCTGATATAGAATGGAAGTAGCAGGTCGAGTTGATTAGTTGCCATCCTGGCAGACATCGTTCACAACTGCCCTCTGTCGAAAAAAACATGAAAATCAAGTTAAAATCATATAAAAAAGAAACGGTTTAATAGCAGAATTTATTTTGAAAAAATAAACGCAAAAGTCTCTCACGAATGTCAGATATCCGGGCCTGCAGAGTTGCTTTCTCCAGAAGTAGACCCTCAATCTGTGTCTGCAGTTGGTCACCGAGGCTCTGGTTCTGTGCTATCTGCAGCTGAATTTGATGATGGTGTCTGAGCTGTTTCTCTAATGCTTGTTTGGCTTCTACCTGAGATTTGGTTATTTCAGTATGCATTTCATTGATGGTCTTGATCTCAAATATGAGGTGATGTGTATTATGGTCAGGAGTTGAAACCTCTCTAACTTTTCCACCTGTGATTAGTAGAAATAAAAGATACGTTTTTGCTTCCATTCACAAAACATGGAGTCTCCAGAAAGAGATAAGTACAGTGTATGACTAAGTGGGTCTTGAATAGTAAATCAGATATACAACATGTTCTGGCTGTACTTACAGTAAACCCCAATAACAATAGCACTTATAAAGAGAATCGTGTTCAGCAGTCCCAAACACACAACAACCAGTGGATACAGTGGAAGATTTCTGGACCCAACTCTGACCGCACTCGTAGATCCTGAGCAAACAGACATTCACATGTGAGCTGAAAGTGTACATCAGATAGCAAAAACAGTATATTTTCTTAATGATAAGAGGAGCATTTCAAGCATACCATTATTTCCCGTTTCAGTGGGTGTTGATTTTTCATTTGAATTGTCATCATTTGACATCATGTCTGGATATCTCTCCAGCCTTCAGCTTTTCACTCAGTTATCTCCCCAGCATGTTGCTTTTCTTTGCTGTGTCAATATTACAAAACTACATATGCAGTTTGGGTTGGTGTGGGCTTGTATCTGCTGTGCCGTCTGTGTCTCACTAGTGTTGAAATGTAACATGAAGTTCTCCATGTAAATGTTCTCTCAGTAATATTTAGTGTAAGTATTGGTAGCCTAACTTTGAATTACTGTACTGTAGACTGTAGGCTATGTAAAGGTCTGGTGACAGCTAAGCATGTTTTTTTTTGTTGAATCCATATGAACTTTTCATTTTTATCATCTAATAAAAGACCATGTAATGAAATAAGTTAATTCAATGACACGTTTTTTTTGCACTTGTGATACTGTTGACTTTGTCAGTCAGCTTGGAAGAATTGGGTACAATATATAATCTATAAACTTTTTAATTGATTTAATTCATTAGATCTTGATTAAGTTATTCATTTATTTAATTAAAAACAGTTGTATATAGTGGTCATGACACTCATATATAGAGGTCAATGACACTCATGTTTCAGGAGGGAAATAAATTAACCCACTGAGCAATAGACAGCTATTAAGCGTCTATTTTTTCCAAATGCAACAGTGAGTTGCATAACTGATCTCCAAGTACTTGACCAAAATAATTATGATAGCCATTGAGCATTATACAGTTAGACCTCTGTTAGCTGGCTAATCTAAACTTGGTCAAAATTTAGACGTCTAAAAAACTTTCATTTTTAGACCTGTGGTAGCCTGATTTTAGTCATTCCATGCATTAAATCATGATACGTAAACACATACAAGACATGAAATCATTCTACTTGAACATTAAAAAAAATTAGAAAACACAAATGAATTCGAACCCAAAGAAATTTTGAAAATATTTTGTGTTTTTAAGTGTATGTGTGTGTCCAAAATGTTTTTTTATATTTTCAAATTTTATTTGTGTCTCCAAAATATTATTTTGTTTTGATAATGGCTGATGTTTCTAAATGTTTTCTGTTTAAAAAAAAATGTGCTTCAGGAGGTCGTCAGAGGAAAAAATAACAGCCCTTCATTCAGCTGTAATGCATTTATCCGCCAGACTGTTTTCGTTTGGCAGCTTCCGGCTCGCTTCCGGGCGAATACTCGCTTCTGTTTAAGTTTTTAATGAGACAAAGCCATTTCAAGCATTAAAAATTGTCACTGGTAAACAGAGTTAACATTATTAGGCGCTGAAGTTTTTAAGGTTTCCGTTTCTGGTGCGGGGTGGCGCTGTAGTCAAGTCCAGCGAATTTCACTGTTGGCTAAGTCAAGCTTACAGGAGTAAACCGGAAGTACAGCTGTTTGCCTTTCATAGTAAAACACTGGAAGGCATGTCAAAGTGTGCGCCTTTTATTTTGACATTTCGAAATTTGGCTGGACGTCTGATTTTCATTGTCTCATGCTTGACGGTAGTACAACAACTATAGTTTCACGCTTTTTGCTACGTTGTGTTTTTCCTCACTTTGTAGATCCAGTGAGGCATTGAGGCTTCAGGTTTGACTTTTAGTCTGACAGCAGTTGATGTTTGACGACACGGGTAGCATGGTAGACCTGTGTGCGATTTTGTAGACGTCTTTCGGAAGTATTTGTTGTCAGGCCTGTACGGGTTATTTCCATCACTGCCACTGGCAAACAAGTCTCCTGTGCTAAAATGTCACTGGAGGACTATGAGAGACATTTCGACTCGCTAAATTCAGATTTGGGCGGCGGGTCTGTGGTCAGTGAGCGATCAGCGTCGAGCGCGTTTAATGGCGAAGAGGAGAAGCTGCATTACATTCCTATCCGGATACTTGGGAGGGGGGCGTTTGGTGAGGCAACTCTTTACAGAAGAACAGAGGTAAGGTACATTTTGTGTCATCCTGGGTACACCCGTCTGCGTTCAAATGGCAAAGACCGCTCAAAATGTCACTCCTCACACGTTTGTAAAGATGCACTATCACTGCTGCAACTGCACGACAAGAAAAACACTCACTGCAACTTCACAAGCTTCCCACAACTCTTTAGAAATGACAATAACCACAGTTTGAAGACAGATTTACCATGTTTACCATTAATGTAATGATAATTTGGCACACAGTGTTTTATGTTGATCATTTTGAACTACAGCAGAGCATGTATCTGAAGAAGTGAATAGGTCTATACTCAGTTTTCATGCCTCTGTGTGAAATTCTTTCCTGGATCAGGGGAAGTGACTCTCACATCAACTGCTGGCTATCCTGGGACAGTTTTCACAAACCTTCCCCCTTTTGTCCCATTCATAAGCATTTATATGGGTGGGAAAATATCAAAAAGGCAATATATAATCATTCTGACAAAAACAGTCTGGTGTTATAAATAGTTTCCCTGTCTCAGTTCAGTGTCAGTCCTCCATTACCTCCACTTTATGCCATGAATCCTGCAACTATCAGTCATCAAATTCTACCCTGTAGCTCTCATCTCTAGATTTATCAACATTACATATACAGTGACTTTTAAAAAGTAGGGACATGTTCATGGGGAGAAACTTAAACCTGTCATATGTGGACTACTAATGTTAAATTGGGGCTCTCGCTTGCATTATTTGACAAATGAATGTAATGTAGAATGTAATGTATGACAAATGGCATGTATCAGAAATGGACAAGAAGCTGAATACAGAGATCTGTTAAGAGCCTTCAGTGACTGGAGTCACAAAAACTGCCTCCTCCTCAACACCTCAAAGACAAAGGAGATGGTCATAGACTTCTGTGGATCCAAACCCCCTCTTCAGCCAGTGAACACCTGTGGAGTGGACATCGAAGTGGTGACATCATATAACTACCTAGGTGTACATCTGGATAGTAAGTTGGACTGGTCTAATAATATAGACTTCATCTACAGAAAAGGGCAGAGCCGCCTCTTTTGCCTGAGAAGACTCCTATCAATAGATATCTGTAGTAAGATGCTGCAGATGTTTTATCAGTCTGTGGTGGCAAGTGTTCTGTTCTACGCTGCAGTCTGCTGGGGAGGAAGCATCAAACACAAAGATGCAAGACGTCTCGACAAACTGGTGAAAAAGGCTGGCTCTGTGGTAGGACTCAAGCTGGACTCAGTGGAGGATGTGGTGGAGAGATCTACACTGAAGAAGGTGGAGACTATTCTCAAGAACATGGATCACCCACTTCACAACACCTTGATGGACCAAAAGGCCAATGGTGGTGGACGGCTCCTCTCTCTTTGCTGCAGGACAGAAAGATTCAGAAGATCTTTTGTACCAACAGCCATCAGACTTTATAACTCTTGTGTAAATATTAGATAACTTTTAGAGACATGTCAAGTGAGACAAAAGACAATTAAATTTCTTTTCAGAGATGAATAAAGTTATTCCCATTCTTATTCTTATATTGTCCCCTTTTTGCCCCCTTGCAGGACAACTCTCTGGTGGTATGGAAGGAAGTGGAACTGAACTCTCTGTCGGAAAAGGACCGCAGAGATGTCATGAACGAAATCAGCATCCTGTCCATTCTAGAGCACAACAACATCATCGCCTATTTCAACCATTTCATGGATAAAAACACCCTTTTCATTGAGCTAGAGTATTGCAATGGTAAGTGAACACTGTGACAATGCACAGTGCAGTTGTGATTGTAACCAAGTTTGAATGCTGACCATCTGTGACAGACTGCTAAATAGTATGAACTCCACAGGAGGAAATCTCTATGATAGAATCAACCAACAGAAGGGGAAACTTTTCAGTGAGGATGTAAGCAGCAACATTAAAATGAGTGAACTTGACATAAATTTGCTGTTCTTTTTCACCTACTTACCTTTAGCATGTTTCTTTAGGTGGTCATTTGGTATTTATACCAGATTGCCTCAGCAGTGGCTCACATCCATAAGGCTGGGATCTTACACAGGTAAGATCTTCAGCCTGTTTCTGGTTTTATGAAATTCTATGTGGTACATGACTTTTGTGCAGGTGATTTTGGAAATGAATACATCCCTCTTCTCACACAGAGATATCAAAACTCTGAATATTTTCCTCACAAAGACTGACCTCATCAAACTGGGCGACTACGGCCTTGCAAAGAAGCTAGACTCTGAATTTTCAATGGCAGAGACTGTAAGTTTTTGCCCCTTTAGATTAACTGTTTAAATATGGTCAAACACTAACCACTTAGTCAACATATATAGTATGGTGGTAATATATGTCTTGAGCATGTGCATTATCTTTTCAGACATCAAAACTACATTAAGATAATATACTGTTGGTGTTTGCAGACTGCAAGTTCACTCGTGTAGCTCTTTACAGTTGTATGGAGTCACTCCTCCAGCATCAACTTGAGATACGTGTGTGAGAAATCTAAATTTGGAATCTTTCTCCTGTAAATCCAGTGTGTGGGAACCCCATACTACATGTCACCAGAGCTATGCCAGGGAGCCAAGTACAACTTCAAATCAGACATCTGGGCCATGGGCTGTGTAATTTTTGAAGTCTTAACTCTTACAAGAACATTTGATGCAACGGTAACACTCTCAGTTTTTAACAAATAGTTTCCCTTGTTGGTAATGTGTTTTGTTTGATTCTGGATTAAATTCATTTCTCTGTTTGTGTCCATTAGAACCCTCTGAACCTCTGCGTGAAAATAGTCCAGGGCAACTGGACAATGGAAGTGAATTCAGAAGTTTATTCTCCTGAACTGATAAAGCTGGTGTATGAGTGTCTCGACAAGGTGATAACAAGAGTGAAGTTTTTCTTTTTGTAATTTTAAGTAAAGCTGGTTGTGAGGAATAATGAGTTTTTTTGATCTGTTTGTGTCTTAGGATCCTGCAAAGAGGCCAACGGGGGATCAGATCCTGGACCAGCCATTTATCTCCTGGCGCAGACAGTAAGTTAAAGACAGAGTAGAAAAATGTTTCTTCAAGAACATCCTACTAACAGCTTTATTTTTTCTCGTAGGGAGCTTGAAGAGCAAGTTGCCCTGTTGAATTCAGCAATGAAAAAACCAAAGTAAGCTGCAGACACTTCTTTTTAATCTTCTGAAAACTAGTCTGTGGTCACTAGTTAGTTTCAAATAACTGCTTTGTTGTGTAGGCTGAGCACAGTGACTGACACCCCTGTTGCTGTGGTGACCACACGCTCAAGGGAAGTGTACTTCTGGGGTGGGGGGAAGTTCACCCCCCAGAAACTGGATGCTTTTAAAGGAGGCAGCAGTGCACAACATGTTTGCGCAGGGGAGAGTCACTTTGCTGTGGTGTCAGTGGAGAAGGAGTTGTACACCTGGGCTGTGAGTGTTGATCCATCACACGAGGAAATATAAACTGGATCCAGTTGTTCTTACATTTTATTAACTCTTGAATGTCTCTTCAGAATGTCCAGGGTGGAGCAAAGATGGTGGGCCAGCTAGGGCACGGAGACCAGGCTTCGTACCGGCAGCCAAAGAAGGTTGAGAAGCTGCAGGGGAAGGCTGTCCGACAGGTGGCATGTGGGGCTGATTTCACTGCTTGTGTCACCGGTGAGGGACAAAAGCTTCTTTATGGAATACAAAACAAACAAACCCTGTATGTGTTCCTCTGAACCCTTCTGATGTTTCTGTTGTTGCAGATGAGGACCAGATGTACATGTTTGGGTCGGACTATTATGGCTGCATTGGGGTGGAGGGCGAGCTGGGCAGTGAGATTTTGGAGCCAGTGCTTTTGGAGTTTTTCGAAGAGCGGCCTGTGCATCAGGTTTCATGCGGAGACAACCATGTGGTGGTTTTGACTCAGAGTGGGAACATCTTCTCTTGGGGCTGTGGAGAGTATGGTGTGTGAAGTTGCTGTAGTTTCTGCTGTTTTGAAACCTCTTCCTGGTTGTTGTTCTTCTGCTGCTACAAGGGCAGCCAGCAGATGGAGACAGAGGCCCTGCTAATGTGCCGTACAGTTATGCTCTGTGTTCCCACTTTAAATTACTCTATTTTTCTGCTTCAGGGCGTCTGGGCTTGGAATGTGAGGATGACTTTTCTTCGCCGATGCAGGTACAGTTTTGTTTTTACTGCTCTGACATGTTTTCACAGGACTAAAGCCTTTCAGGAGTCAGTATGTTATGAAGTGTTTAAAGAATAATGAGCTGCTGATTGTTGCTGTTAAGTAGTTTCTATTCTTTCATTTTCCAAGGTGGAGATCCCTAAAGGCGCCACCATCTCCTCAGTCTCATGTGGCAGCGATGGAACCTTCTTCCTGACGGAGGCTGGCAAAGTGTTGGCGTGTGGAAACAATGAATTTAACAAGCTTGGTTTGAACCAGGGCATCTCTGGTCTCAAAAACCACCCTGGAGAGGTACAGGATTACATTTGAAAAGTGTGATTTACCTCGCTGACATGGGGACTATTTACCTCTCATATCACCTGAAGGGTGGGAGGCTCAAAGAAGACAACATCAGTCAGATTTTTGTTACTCAAGAATGAATCTGCAGTTGACGCCATCATTTGACATAGCGGTTATATTATAAATCACAGATTTGTACAGCTATCGTTTGATGTTTTATCCTGTACACTACATCAGGTTTACCAGGGGATCCCTTACATCACCACACTGACCTTGGCGAAGCAGCTATCGCGGTTCAAAATCGACGCCATAGCTCCAGGGAAGACCCATACCGCTGCAATTGACGGTACCGCAAAAAGAGTCAGATACTCTCTCCTAATTAAAAGTTATCAACATGTCGAAGAAAGTTGATTTTATGTTTTCTTTCTTTTCAGGACGGGGTCGACTGATCACATTTGGTTGTAACAAGTATGGGCAGCTTGGTGTGAAGGACTTTAAGAAACACCAGGGTGTCCAAGTCCTCGTTGGACCCTTTGGAGGGAAGATTGTGACCAAAGTATCTTGTGGAGACGGTTTCACGATCGCAGCCACTGAAGGTATGTCTGTCTTATTTCATTGTAGTCACCATTTTCTCAGCCACGTTTAAACTTGAGTGTCTTTATCGGGTTTTTGTGTCCTGCAGACAATCAGATCTTTGCATGGGGAAACGCAGGAAACGGGCGCCTGGGTATGCCTGCTGATAAGGGATTTGGATCAGAGGTTTGTCCTGCCATGCCAAGGCCTATCTTTGGTTCTCTTCACCACGCACCAGACCTGTCTTGCCGTGGTTGGCACACCATAATCATAATGGGTTTGTAGTCTCAGGCAGACACTTGCACAGCTTATAAATGTAAGCACATACGTATCTCAAACTTTTTTTTTTTGTCTTTGCAGAGAAGGTGCTCAACTCTAAGACTATTCGATCCAACAGCAGTGGACTGTCAGTCGGTAGTGGTAAATACTTTTGTTTTTTCTCTTCATACTTGGTTCTTTCTTCTTTGATTATTTTACTCATAAAGCTTGTGTTTTTTTCTCTCTGTGTTTTTTTCTTCTCGTAGGACTGGATCAGGAGGCTTCTACATCCACAGTGGACCTGGACCTAGAACCTGGTTCAGAAACAGAGTGTCGTGATCGGGGTCTTGGAGGAACAATGGAGGATCACACAGAGGAGTGTTTCATGGGGACCTCAATGATGTCTGTGGCAAATCAGACTGGGGACAGCTCTTGCCCGCTCTGGCTTAGAAAGGTTTGTTACCTTACAAAAGAGGAAAGCGATTTCAAAGACTGACACATCTGAGTAAAGACTGCAGTGCTCTGATTTGAAAAGTTCTCATACAACAGGAGCTTGAGGATGCAGAGTTCATCCCGATGCCGGACGACTCAGACCTGCCCTCTCCTGACCAGCTCCCTTCATACTCCGATAGTGTCACTCTACCTTATGAGGAGCTGAAAGAGCTGAAGGCAGCAGCAGCAGCTGTCAGCTGTCCAAAAGGACTATCGGTAAAACTAAAATAGCTGTCTCCCTAAACTAATCCCAACATGAATGACACTGAAAATGAAAGTAATTCAAAGTATTTTCAAACTGTTGTTGATTCCACAATTTCAAAGACATCCTCTCTCACCATTCACAATTTATCCACAGACTAAACGAATGGACTGTGATCGAGTTAATGGACTGGAGGAGGCTGATTTCTGCAAAAAAGGAGTATCTGGTGCATGCTGTAGAGCAAGCAGCGAGGTCTTAGAGGTATCAAATCTACATTATGGAAATCATAATCTAATCAGTGCATCCCCTTGCAATGATATCTGACACCAAAGCTTATTTTGCAGCTGAGAGAAACAGTCTCACAACAGAAAATAAGGATCCAGATGCTTGAGAAGCAGGTGAGACAATATCTTTACCCATACTCCAAAGAAACAGATGATCTGCTCCAATTTGGATGTTTTTGTATGAGCTGTGTTCCTTCTGTGCCTAGGTTGATGAGCAGAAGAAGGAGAATGAAAGGCTCTTAGCTGCAATGAATCGGTTAACGCTACAGGGTGCAGGATGTGACAATAACAGGAACAGTCACTCTGATGGTATTCCCCGTGATGGAAGAGGAAGAGGAGGCGGATTCACAAACCACGGGGGCAGATCTGCAGGAGCTGGTGTGTGAGACTAAAACCAGCAAATGTCCTTATGACAGGGGAATTATCGGAACTTTGAGTACTTGTTGATTGAAACAAGCAGGGTAGGTAAGGAGTGGAGGTTATGGTAGAGGTGCATCCATGTTGCAGCCTCATTCCATTCACAAAGGTTACGTTACAGAAAACATGTTTGACAGAGCACCGAACTGCATGAGTTAAACCTCACACACTCTCACATGCACATTTGTGTTTATCTGGTTGGAGTGAACTCAGCAGATTGTCCACAGACTGCAATGTTGACTGGATTCAACATGAAGTATTGGACCTTTTCACTTGCTTTAGACAATCACTGGAGTGACCTCAGAGTCACTTTTCAATGTCCAAGTCAAAGTTTTAGTGGTGTAACTCTTGACTGTCAGTGATGTCAGCACTGAGGCTTGAGCCCGAGATGATAGTATTCATCATGAAACAGCTAAGAACAGCTTTTGGGATCTGGAAACCGTTTGTTAAGACAAGCCAAGGTTGGGCTTTCCTCATTCATTTAGAGATGTGCAGCCAGATGGATGTCTAGATTCATTATAACATATATTCCTTTAGGTTTTGCTTTTTCTTTTCTTTTTTTTCTTTGTGTTTCTCAAAAAGCTAGAGCACCAAAGAAAATACCCTCTAAGCATTTTTCTTAATATTTATCAGACATGTTGGTTTTAAAACAAATTCTTGTTATCATGCAAATAACCTTTTTCTATTTGCATAGTTTATTGTTGTATAAAAGCCTTGGTGTGAAACCCGAAACTACTGATTTTTTTTTTTTTTAACTTCTTATTGCATTCTTTGACCCTCAACTTTTGTTGGTTCAGCACATGTATGAAAACTTGAACAGTTTTGTTAGGAAGCAATTTCTTAAAGCATATGTCATATGGCTGACCCCACGGCTACATTTTTATTGTTTCTTATTACATTTTTCATTTCAGTTATTTTGTTTGTCCATGGTACTTTCTGGATAATGTTTTACTGTGTTTTTCATCATTTTTCAGAGCAAATGTTATTACATCCTTGATTGTCTGTTGTTTTGTTTGTTGTATGTAACAAATACACGTAAATATAAATGTAAAACCTTATGTCAGTTTGCTTACAAGCTGTTGACGTATGATTGGTAAACTTTCAGATGTCAGCAGTGTAACACTGGCTTTATTTCACACAGTAAAAGTAACATATTTACAATGCCTTTAAGCTATTGAAACCAAAAAAAGTGCAAATATGATAATGCAGTGCCTTAAGTTACCTTTGTTTTTTAATATAGTGTATTGGCAGCATTAAAACACTTTTTTTTTTAACTGAACCAAATATTGTGAAGATGTAACCCCCCTTTCACAGATGCACTTGTCTCACGGTGGCGTCACGCTTTGTGTAAAAGCCATAAATAAAAACAACAGCTGCCCTATTTGAAGTGTCAATATTTTTGTCAATTTTAGCTTTATTAAGCTACTGCTATATGTAGTTATTACTTAATAATACAATACAATACAAAGAATTTGATTTATTTCCAAGGGGAAATTCATTAACATGTGCAACCCTTGTTTGACAAACTACTATCTTGGAGGATTCTGAGATGGGGAATGCAATAATTCAAAAAAGACGCAAGGAATATGATGCTAGACAAAACAAGTTTAATTGATTGAACCATTTTGGGTTTGAACTTCCAGCTGGAAAATTGAACCTGGTGTTCACCATAGTGTTCTATCTACGTTGCCTCCTCCTCCTCTTTACTGCCTAAAAAAAAAGAAAGTAAGAAAATCATTTCAAACAGTTCAAAGTTGAGAAAAAACGAGTAAATAAATATCATTGTCAAGGGGGTTGACATTTCTGTACTATAAATCGTTTTCTTTTGGGTTGGTGTTTTTTTAATCTAATATTTTAAATGGTGGATTTTTTATTTTTGTGAGCTTTAAGCTGCTATCATCAAGATTGAAATGAAAAAAGTCCCGAAATCTTTCACTTGGTGTGATGTATCAGAGGAAGTTTGCTTTTTGGATTAAATAATGGGGGAAAAATCATTTTGGGGACATTCTAATTGTTTGAGCTGCATCTGTACTATTCAAACCATCACTTCCAGTTTTTACACAGAAACTGTGATGACATTTCAGATGCAGAAGCTGCGCAGCACACCGTCTACATCACCCTGTGTCTGTGTCTGAATAACTGACAAGATGACTCTGACCAAAGCCCTAACTACCCTACCTCAGGGGACTGGGCTCTGCTGTGGTACTTCAGGTACTCTGCCAAGGCGGCCCCCTTGGCCCTATGAGCGGAGGAGTCATAGACCGGACGGGTTGATTTCTTCACCTTCTTACAGATGGCAATGTGCTTCTCTACTCTTTCACTTGCAAACGTTCGGTTGCAGACTCTGCAAGGGAGCAGCTGGGGGCTGTTAGTTGCACTTTCTGTACTTCTCAGCTCTTTTTGTTCTTGCACACTGGAATGAACATGTCTTTCGGTTGCTTTTCCTGTTGACCGTCCTCCTCTCTCCTTCCAAGTGCCATCATCCTCCTCATACCTTCCTTTCCCTCTGGTATACTCTTTCACATTTTCCCACCTTGATTTGTACATTTGAGTCCCTTGTTGCTCTTTTCTATGCAGCTGTTCAACTCCAACTTCCCTTCTTTCTTCCCTCCATGTGTCTCTTTTTTCTTCTACATGTCTATTCCTTATTCTGTCCTCCATCCTCCCATCTTGTCTCTTTGTCTGTTCTTTAGCATCCTCTTGTCTTCTGTCTTGCATTATGACTCCTCTGCCTGTCATTGCATCTCTCCCTTGCTGCTCAGACAGCCTAGGTTTTGTCTGAGTTCTTCCCCTCTCTGCTCGCCTCCTATCGTAGTCCTCACCATCAGCAGCACTGTCCAAGTCTCTCTGGATGTTTTTTTGTCTTTCCAATTTTTCAACTCTCCACAGCTTCTCCGCTAGCATTAACTTCATTTCATGAATATCCCAAGACATCTCCAGTTCTTCATTGGGCTGTCTTAATGTGTCTTTTCCTGGATTTGGGATCTGCCCTCCTCTCTCCTTCCAAGTGCCATCATCCTCCTCATACCTTCCTTTCCCTCTTGTATTCTCTTTCACATGTCCAGATCTGGTGGCTGAATGATGTGAGCCTTGCCTCATGTGTCTTGAGTATAGAGCAATTTCGGACGGTCTGTGGAAAACAGCTTTGGTTGGAAAAGGTAAGCTGTTTGGATCTGCCCTCCTATCAGATGCAGAACTGTGTTGTTCCTGATTGTTGACACTGTCATGTGGTTTCCCTGGAGGACTGTGTCGTCTTCTTGTGTCTGTGCTCATGGTTTTACCAGTTGTTAGAGCTGAAGGTTATTTCCTGTACATTTTGTAGGGGGGAAAAAAAGATAAAAAAAGAGATTACAGGATAAAGAGGTTGAGGTAGGGACCAAGTTAGAATCTATGACTATTTGCATAAAATATGGCAAAGTGTATGAACAAATCAGCTTTGTTTGAGTCACAAGTAAGTATTAATCCCAAGAAATTGGGCTTTATAACTGAAAAAATATGATTAAGCCATGTTCTTCTATAAACGCAAATTATATTCTGCAATACTAAATCTCAAAGCTTGTGTGAAGAGATTTTTGGCAATCTTTGAAATTGACAGAAATTCAGATGCTTTTAATGGTACGCAAAAGCAGACAAGACCATCAGTGACATGATTTCGGATTTTATTTTGTAATTTCTAAGGCATGAAAGAGGGATGTCATGTTCAAAAAAAAAAAAAAAAAACACAGCCCCATTTTGTTTTATTTTTCCCTTCAAATATTCACAATAGATCAACTCATAAGTTTTTCTCTGGGGCTTTAGGTGGTCTGTTCCCTTGTCTTAAAAATAAATAAATAAAATAAAAAACTGTTACCAATGCTTAGCAACACGTTCTTTAACTTTTTGACTAAATATCAGAAGCACCAGAATAACAAAGTGAAACTCCTTGTTATGTTTGACAATTATTTTAAACTAGAAAATTAACTGTAAGGTTTTTTTTTCTATGAATGCAGAACAGATAAATATCAATAAATCTCTGTTTCATCAGTTTTACCGGCCACATTTTTCACGAGTAAATCAGATCCAGTTCTTGTGCTATCAAAGACCACATGACACGTTGGAAAGCTTAACAACAGGGTGTAACTTGAGACACATATTTTACATTTATTAACTAAAGCTGCAAGGTTTAAGGTCATTGATTTTGAAGAATTTCGAAAGAAAAACTCAAGAAAATGTGATAAAGAACTACATTTTCAACACTTAACTGACGCATTTTAACAAATTAGAACAATATCATTTCATGTGTTTCGGGCTGTTCCACCCTTAGCACTCCCAATACATCAAATAAACACCATCAGTAATGTAATAACTTGCCTTATCTTTGTTCAGCGTCCCAAAATAGAAGAAAAGTTGAGTTTCGTTAGCTTTAGATAAACACGGAGATGTAGATATAAAGCGTTATCACTAACGTCCACAACATAACTTTGCATTCGTTGCCTAGGAACCAAGACTTTCGGGAGCTCTCTGATTGGTCCATGTAAAATCACTTCCGGAAATACAGCTCTGTGCATGTTGAAAACGAGGTCTGTCGGAGTAAAATACCTGTTTCATCCCTGCACAGCGATATTCAGGTGAATAGAATGAGACACGATAGACTTGTGCTCATAAATACAGTACGCATGTGAAGCCACGTATTGTAATTACTTAGGTTTGAATTCATAGCATGCATACATTGTGTTAGCTTAGCTTGCAGTCACACTAACAAGTGTATGCCCATACATCATACAGCCGGTGAGAACTGACCTATGTCTCCTTTTTAGGTCCACTATGTCAGGTGAAGACCTCATATCAGTGGATTATGAAGTATTTGGAAGAGTGCAAGGTGTATTTTTTCGGAAATACACTCAAGTGAGTTTGACTCTTATACAGCCTTAGGGGAGAGTGGGGTAAGATGAGCCATTTTTCATATTTTCGGATCACTATACCAAGGCAATCATAGTTTTGTCTCTAACTAGTGTATCTGCATATATTGCATAAGATGTTGTGCATCCCTGCAAACCAACAGAGTGAGTGTAAACATAACTGTCTTGATAATATAGCATACCAAAAAGTGGTCTCTTAGGGTCAACTTACCCTGTGTATGGGGTAAGTTGACCATAGGAGCAGGGTAAGTTGAGTCAGAAGTGAAGTGCAGTTAAAACCTTATGATCTTGTTCCTTCCTTGAAAAGCAGTCTTTTTTTTCCTCTGTGTTTTTGCTGAATGGTGATAAATATAGGGCTTCAATTCTGCTGATCTGATTAATATCCCCTACTATGTTTCCCAGCTCCCGACCTTCTCCATCAGAGGTCTACCTCTTTTACCTTTTCCTCATTGACTTTGTTTCATTTCCAAGGCAGAGGGAAAGAAGCTCGGCTTGGTTGGATGGGTCCAAAACACAGGCGCAGGAACTGTGCAGGGGCAGCTACAGGGTTCCAGCAGCAAGGTGAAAGAAATGCAAGAATGGCTGAGATCCACCGGAAGCCCCAAGTCTCACATAACCAAGGCAGAGTTTAAGAATGAGAAAACCATCAGTAACCTAGAGCACTCATCTTTTAATATTGTTAAATAGAACAATATGTAGATTTGACCTTTAATAGTGGTGTACAAAGAGATGTTGTATTTATTTAGTATTTTTACTTTATTTTTCGCTGAGAAGGTAACTCAAAACGTGTGTCTGTTAAGTCTCTCTAACATACATGGAATTGCATAAATGAATGAGGATTTCTTTCAAGGAGACTTCATAATGTTCTACCGTACTGTACTAACACCAATAACTTGCTTTAGTATAAGTCTTGGTTGAAAGAGCCTGACATCCTATAGATATGTGACATTACCTTATTATGTAACACACAATAAGTCTTTCTGACGGGTAAATAAACACAGAGATCGTCTGACTGGGAAAGCAGGGAATAGTATGACCGTTAAAACTGTCTCTACTGACTTTTTTTTTGCCGTCATAAAGACTGGGAAGGGTTGAACAAGGTAAGCCTGGTGGATACATATACTGTATATGTGAATAGGAATGCTGCTTCCCTCCATTGGAATGGACTGAGCTCTAAAGGTGATGGGGTATTACACTGACGATATGGTGTAAATTTGTGTAAACTTGTATTACTAAGGAGACAATATGACAAGTGTAAAAGGATTTTACAGCAGGTCATACAGGTAGAAAAAGAAGGGGGGTTTAAACAACCTGAAGAGGTATAATCTCTGTTCACTGAGGATTGAAACCGGGGGACTACAAAGATTGAGGAGGGGTAATTTTTCCATGTGTCATCACATGTCATCAAGCCTTAATTAAGCGTTAACATGTTTTTGCTCAGTTATTTTATGCATATTTGCTGCTCCTTTGTTGCTGTAAAGGGTTATTTTGGTTTGATTTCTTCACTTCACTTCAACTTTATTATGTCCCAAAATGGGCAAATCAGGTTGCAGCAGGCACAGGCATTTAAAACACTGCCATACAAAGAAAATAAAATACATTTACATAAAAACATTTTGGAAGGTTAAAAGCATTAAAGACGATTTAGAAGGTTAAAAAAAAGAAGAAGAAAATGGCAAGAGGCAAGACTGGAGAATGATGGCAATGATTTGGAATTGTTTGGAAAAAATATATAAAATAAGACCAAAAAAGGGAGTTTCTTTTTATTATTTATAGCAACATTTTCCATTGGCTCCAGAGGACCTTGTTGCTTTCAGTAAGCTGATTTACATCTCTATAGAAATTGTATATTTGCTGCCTTTCTGTAATTAAGATGATTAAGCACATAGTAATGGAAATAATGAACTAATGTTGAAATACGAATCAAATGATAACAATGAATTCAATGCCAGCATAAGTATACTGAAGGATAGGTAGGCGTGTGGGTGGATTACACAGAGCGGTATCAGTTAATGCATTTAAATTGAAAGGCCGCTAGATGGCGGTATGCAATATTATCGGCTGAATTCAAACTGTTTAGGACCAAGAGAAAAAGAAAACGACGGGTTAGGTCCTTCACACCAGGAGATGGCGCTGTGAGCTTTGTTCGGTATCTTTCAGGGGTTTCTTGTCGTTTCACGTTGACTGTAAACATTTGTCGAATTTGATGTGAGCATTTCGGGTTGTCTCTCCCTCCTTTTATTTCAATTTTTAATTTTTATAATGTTTCGTCGTGTTTTTAAATTCCTCGAGGTACAAGCTACTCGTTTGAACTTGTAAAGCTTGCAGCCGTTAAGCTTTAACGTCCTTAATATAAGCTACAAACAGCTTATACTCAACCATTATTATTATTATTATCAAAACCCGTATTGATAATTAACACCATGATTAAGTGTTTGCCTGCAGATGTTCAGGGTAAACTTCGCTCTGGTGTCGCGGTCCCCTCCCTGCAGCAGTGCGTGGAGGAGCTCATGTTAAACAGCATTGATGCAGGGGCGACCTGTGTGGGGGTCAGGATGGACATGGATGCTCTCAAGGTTCAAGTGATCGATAACGGTGCAGGGATAAATGCCGAGGATATGGAGAATCTAGGGAACAGATACTACACAAGCAAGTGCAGCTCTCTTGAGGACCTGGAGAATCTCAGGTGGTATGGTTTCAGAGGAGAAGCACTGGCGAGTGTGGTGTCTCTGGCCAGTCTTGTTGAAATCTCATCCCGGACAAGATCATCCGTGAAAACTCACGTCAAGCTTTTCAAGGACGGCAAAAGCATGGGTGTGTTTGAATCAGAGACTGCTCGTCCTTCTGCTGGGATAACTGTCATCGTTTGCAGCTTCTTTCACAACATGCCAGTCCGGAGGAAGAGGATGGATGCTGTGCTGGAGGGTGAGAGGATCAGACACAGAGTGGAGGCTATTTCTCTGATGCATCCCTCTGTGTCTTTTACCCTAAAAAACGACTGCACCGGAGCCATGATGGTGCAGCTTTCCAAAGCCAATAACACCTACCATAGGTTTCTTCAGATACACGGCCTTGGGAAAGCACAGAAACTTGGGGAAATCAGCCACACACACGCACAGTTTGAAGTGACCGGCTACAGTGGCAGAGAAGGTCACTACAACAACAGCTTGCAGTTCTTGTACGTGAACGAACGGCTGCTTCTGAGAACCAGGATACACAAGCTGTTGAACTGTCTCCTACGCAGACTGAGCAGCTCAAGTCAGAAAAACGACAGCCCAGATGGGCAGTCTGCCATCAGGAGCCCAAAGCACAAGCGAAGCCAAGAACAGCATGGAGTGTACATCATCAATATTAAATGCCCTTACTCAGAGTATGACATATGTCTTGAGCCTGCCAAAACTCTAATAGAGTTCAGGGATTGGGATGGCATTTTACTCTGTATAGAGGAGGCAGTGAAAGCTTTTCTTAGCAAGGAGAACTTGGTGGCTGAACTTTCCCAGGATGACTTAGACAGTTTTTCACCCAAATTGTTTGGCACACACAATACAGACCAGGAAGGACACCACAGAAGCGACTGGCACCAAGAAAGTAGCAGTACTTCCACGCTAGATTGTAATATTGGGATGAAACTTGCGTCTGATTCTGTTCATCGTAAGTGCAAAGATGATGGCGTATTTGAGGATAAAGTTACAATGGAGGGCACAGAAGAGACTGAAGAAAAAAGGCAGAGAAAGATCACGACAAATGAGATGGCAAAGAATATATCTAACCAAAACAAAGAATGCAAAGACAAGCCACAATGTCATATGGATAGACTAAAACCTGAATCTGAAAGTAAAACCACTGAAGGAAAGATGCTGACTGCCGCTGAAGCTGGGGAAGGTTCTCACATTTTGTGTACATTGAGTGAGATTGGCCAACTAGGAGAGGAAAAGCTGAATGGAGAGATACAACTCAGATATCCTACTTCAACTGATGATACAATTTTAAAACCTAGCATCCCTCAACAAATTCAGCCCGATTTGAACATCCCTGAGAAAATATTACCAGACTTTGAGAGTACAAAAGGACATGGGCTGACTTCAAAGAGAGACGGAAAGATAACAATATGTGATCCTTATATTCAAGAAAGTCTGCAGACTGAGGGTCCATTGAAAAAAAAGTCAGGACTCAACAGTTTAGTGAGAAAATTGGAGGATAGATCCCTTGTATCAAAACGCAAAATCTCCCTGGATGTAAGTCATGACAGAACTTTTCAGAAACAATGCAGAGACTTTGTTCCTATCATTCCTCCTAAGGTTCCCAGAATCTTGAAAGGTCAAAAGATATCTTTATGTATGGAGTCTGGGTCTCTTGAGAAGTTTAGAAGAATGTATAGTAAACCCCCAGAGCTGAAGAAAACCTTTCAAGAGACTCAGCTGGACAACAGTGCTGCACTTCTGGAGGCCAGCAGCTCTGTTTTTAACTCCCAGAATTTACTCTGTTCTCAAAAAGAAGAGCAAGATAGTGATACACAAAAAGAAGTACCACAAAGTCCCCCAGAACTCTCAGTTTTTAGCAAGTTAAAACCACCATCAGAGGAGAATACAAGCAAAACATCTTTAGCAGCTAAACTCTGCCGATTGAAAGATCAGAGGGGGGATGACTCAAAAGCTTTACCAAACCCATTACGCACTGTGTCACTAGGTAACAATGAGAGCATCCAAGGCAGCAATAACAGTGACAGTGCATGTGACCCCGAGCCCACTCTAGATTGCAGTACAGTTCTCCCACTGGCAGAGAGAGAAGAGGCACTGACATCTGGAGACTGGCTTCACCACTATGACACATCTGTGGGAAAGATAGTTTACATCAACAAAGTGACCGGGCTCAGCCGATATGAGGACCCTCATACTGAAGAAATCCAAGTGGGCTGTACGTCTGATGTCACCAATATGGCAGTGAGTGTGATCTCTGAAACAGGTGAGTGAGAGGCTTTTCTGTTTGTGTATGTGAAGGACCGAAAATGAACTGCCTTCACAGTCACTGTCATCCTTAAACTGTAGGGATGGAGTACAGGTGTTATCCATTTCAGGGGGGTCTAGTCTTGCCCTTCCTCCCCAAATCCAGGGCTGATAGAGTGGTTAGCTCAGGGCTTGATGACAAAAGTACTTCATGGACAGGTTAGACAGAAAACTGCAGAAAGCCACCACAATTTCATTGTATATAGAACAACAAAAAAATTGGTGTTGTTGTTGTTCATGAATATTTTGTCTCTCTTAACAGAGGACAATGGGGAAAACTCCAACTCCCTTACCTCATTATACTCCAAGTGGAATAATCCTGTGTTTGTCCGGCCTCCTATGGTGAGCATAACTCATTGGTGCACTGAAACTAAATTGAGTTTGGATTGAATTTTTATGCTGTTTTAATCTAGCATTGTAATCTCTGCTGTGCTGACAGGTTGGTATGGACATATCCAGCAGACAAGCCGAAACACTGGCTGTCAAAGTTCACAACATTCTGTTCCCATACCGGTTTTCCAAAGACATGATTCATTCAATGAAGGTATGTTTGTGTTGAAGATATTCTGACAAATTTTGTACATAATGCCATATATCCTGTTAAGTATGACATTACTGCTTATTAATCACATGTAGGTTATTCACCAAGTGGATAAGAAGTTTCTTGCATGTCTCATCAATACAAGAGAGGAAAAGTCATCAACACCTGCTGAAACTGAAGGTAAAGACAGGATCCTCACTGCTATAGATACAATTTTCTTTTTCAACATCACATGGGCTTTATTTTGAAAACTAAGGAAACCTTCTGGTGCTGGTGGATCAACATGCTGCACACGAGAGAGTCCGGCTTGAAAATCTAGTGGCAGGTAAACCATTGAAATACAAACCAACAATAAACAGCAATGAATTTGAGAATGAAGTGGGAAATTGAATGCTTCATCATAGATTCCTATGAGGATGATCCAGATGCACCAGGGGAAAGACGTCTGTGTTCGTCGAGTATTTTTCCTCCTCTTGAGATTAGTGTAACTGAAGAAGAGCTGAGACTTCTCAGGTGGGGTTTCTTCGTGTACAGCAATCTTCGCAAAATCTCCAAGACAGTAACTGATTTTAAAGGACAGAGTTTTTCCTATAAAAAGGGAAAAGTCTGCATGTTTATGTTTTTAGGGGAGTGAGTCAGGATGTGTCTTCTTCTATATCTGGGTTTGTGAAAGTGATAGAGATGATAATTTTGTAAGTTCTGTTTAATGGTATTGTCATTGCTTTATTAATATGCTTACCCTGCAGTTAGCCTTAAACTCACTGGAATTTAAAAGGCAGCTGTCCCTTCTTTACAACATTTGAGACACCCAGCAGCTGAAGATTTTGGCAATGAGGTGAAGGATGGTAGCAATAAAGATGACAGAGAGTGTGGGTGCAGTGACGCAGCCTCATTTCACCCCCGTCTTCACTCAGAGCTGTTGTGCTGCACTCTAGCTCATATGCCATTATTCAGTAGCTTCAGTACGCCAATGTCCCTTTGGTGGCCGTCCGTATCAATAGAAGAATGTTTGCTGTCAAGTTTGTGTTTTGTTCAGAGTTTTTCTCTGAGCACTTTGCTTGATTTAGACAGAGAGGGAGCCTTCTTACTGCAAAAGTCTGAAATGTTTCCCCTCTTTATTTTCATCACTGGGAGTACCTCCTAGAACTTTGACTGCTATCAGATCATAGCTGAATTTTTACAATTTTCTAATTTGTGTGGTCTGTTACTTTTTCCAACTTTTTAAACCTCTCTTGATTGTGACTACATTGAATACCAAAAATTCCCTTGATCTCACTTGCAGCATAAATATTGACCCTCTGTTCTCACAGGTCTCGTCAGCTACAGTTGCGGAGCTTGGGGCTGGAGGTGACGTTCTCAGAGGCAGTAGATCCACATGTTTTTGTTGGGAAGGTGCCTGTATGCTTCTTAGAAAAAGAGAGCAATGAGCTCAGGCGAGGGAGACCTTCTGTAATCAAGCCTACTGTGAAGGTAAAACTTCTGGAACATCAGTATTAAGACCACTGACTGTATTTCTCAAGCCCACATAGTTACATCTTTGCTTTCTCTCTTTAATTAGGAGTATCTTCGAGAGCAGATTGAGGTAAGCTTGTGTCTCTTTAGTCTCTAAACCTGCAGAAGGTGTTTTATCGCTGAATAAAAGCTAATATTTCCTCTTTGTCTCAGTTACTTTGCTCAACAGGTAGAGTCAGAGGGACTCTGCCTCTCACTGTACTCAAAGTGCTTGCCTCCTTAGCATGCCACGGTGAGCTTCAGCCACTCCTCTCCATCTTTTGACTAATTATCTGTGCACTTATGATTGTATAACAGTTTCATACTTGAAGCTTCATATAAATAATTGTATCTTTACACATTGAACAGGTGCTATCAAATTCAATGACAGCTTAAGCAAAGATGAATGCTGCAGTCTGGTGGCATCTTTGTCCTCCTGCCAGCTGCCCTTCCAGTGCGCCCATGGACGTCCATCCATCGCTCCTTTGATAGACATCCTGCATTTGGATAAAGAGCAGGAGGTACAGCTGGGGAGAACAAAAGTAACACCTAAAGTATTATAAACCAAAGCAATCTGATGATGTCTTTACTTTTTTTTTCCTTTTAGGCGATACAGAAACCTAACCTTCGAAAGCTGAGGAGAATGTACAAAGCATGGCAACTATATGGAGATAAATAAGTGGGTCTGCGTTTGGTTTGAATGTGTGTTTTGAAACACTTTTAATATTAAATGGCTCAAGAAGTTAAGACAAACAGTTTCTCTACATATTTAATCTGAAAGAGGTTGTCAGAACTGAATGACTTGATAGCATTTAAACATTATGCTCTCTCTCTCTTATTTCCACTGCTTGAACAAAATTAGACATTAATACTTATTTGCAGTCATACTCTGTAATCGTTGACCTTTGAGTGATGCAAACACAGTTTCTTACCTGCATGCCAAACTTCAGTTTGGCTGGTTAGTGTTGGACCCTCCAACTGCTTACCAGCTATCAGAGTTATAACTCATCTGACCCTTAAAACATCAGCTGAAAGCCAAAATCGGACTAGTTTGAACTTTGTTGTGGTTCAGTGCCACGCTCAGTGTCACATCTGCAGCACCCAGAAAGTGAACTGGCATCTCTTGGGCTACCAGCCAAATGTCCAGTCTTGATCCGTGTGGGACTTTAACCTCGGGTCCCAACATGCCACTGCCGCTCTAGTGACCCAATGTGCCACTTTTCAACCAAAGTTAACATTGTGCTAGTTCTTAACTGGTGCCTCTGCTCATTTAGAGTTGGTCTGATGCTGCACTTTATAGTTTGTTTTTACAAAGCACACCTGAGCATGTGTTACAGTGCAACACAGTCACTGTCTTTATGTCATTTTCAGTTTTTTGGGGGCTTATACTCGTGTTTTATACACTTGAAGTCATTTCTAAGAACTGGTCTGATAGGAGGATTTTCACAGCAAACATCAGTTCCGAAGGGACAGAGATCAGCAAGACTACAAAAAGTGTAGACATCCTTCTAATCTCTGTTGTAAAGGGGGTTGAAAGATAGGGATAATGCTGTTCCTGTCAATGACAGCGCCACCCCCCTCCCATTTCCGGGTCTGGTCACGTGACATCTCCGCCCCCACATGTGCAAGCTCTCTCCTCCTCAACATCCACCCCCCCCCCCCCCCCCCCCCCAAGTAAACAATTCAGCATCATTTCATTATGTCTGCTCACAGCCCTTGGTACTTATCTTTGAAAAAAGGCAGTCCCGGATTGCTGAGCTGTTACCGACACATATGCCAGACGGTGAAGAAAAGCAGTGTTTGAGATCAGGATCGAATGAAACCTAAGGGTCTATTCATTTGATTCGTAGCCTCTGATCACCAGAATTGAACTGGTAAAAATATGTGGCATCGACATTACAATCCAGTTATTCATATTGAGCGACTGGAAGGAGTAAATGTGATGTCTAGATATCTGTAAATGCAATTTACCCCTGATTGTGATGCATTTTAATTCCCAAGCAAATGATAATATATGTGAATTTATAAATAGACTCACGTTTCTCACCTCACATGCATTCTTAAGAAGCCGACATTTGTGAATGGGAGTGAAAAGTGCTAAGTGGTTCTGGAGCGGTGGCGTAGTTATGAATATTATAAAAGCAAATATGTTGAAACAATAAAATTATGAATGAAGGAGATATACTCGAGGATGAATGAAAAGAAAAAAAAGCTTTGTTACCAAGAAGCATGGACCCGTGTGACTGTCAGTCTGCCCCCCCCTTCCCCCTCCGCGGATGGTACAGTCTTGGTTCATTCATAAAATTCTAGCAGAGCATAAAAGGAGGGGCTTGCATTCTAGTCGTCCAGTTACCAGGTATACACCTGGAGAAAAGAGCCGTGCCTTCTCTGCCCAGCAGAAGGCCAGAGCTATATTTAACTCTAATCAGGACCTGTTCTATTTTTCCTTCGTGATGTACAATAACCTGACGCCTGACATGGATTCAGTCTCTCCCACCTGCCGGACAGAGTCTCCTACCGGGACACTGTGCCAGAATACACCAGAGGAGGCGATCTCCCCGGCTTCCTCCTCAGAGAGCAATGCAAAGGTATGAATGGCTTTTTTAATCATATATTCAACATGCGGCCAGGGAGGCACTCAGGGCAAATCAACCCCCCCTTTCTTTGCTCCACAGATGATTCTTCGTGGTGGGGGGAGGGGGTGGAACTGATTGATAAGATTTTAATTAACTGGACGCGCTTACATTATCATTTCACGTGTGTTCGATATTTTATGGCTCTGGATGCAAATTGACACAGAAACGTGACAAAATGGCAGTGATGGCTGGATTGTTTTGGTTCCGACGTCCTGGGACCAAATGTGAGCGTGTCGATGCAGCGGTTCATTGAGAAAAATAAATCCATTCAGGAGACTCCACAGCATCCCTGCGTCAGTGTTGACGTCAGAAACAATGATAAAGTCAAATATTGATCAGGAGAAGGCTATTTCAGGTTGGGTATATTTCAAGAAAATTAAACACATGCAGGGTATCCTATGATTAACACTCCCAGGGCCTTTATCATTGAATAGATTTAATGATGTTTGATTTCTCAGTTAGATCTATTTTAATCCACTTTTAGGATTACAGTAGGCCTTCTTTCATTCATTCATTAAAAATAATCTCAATTCAAGTCCTCATTATCATTCTTTTTTTTTCCTCCAGGAGCTCTGCCAGGACATGAGCATTGAAGACACTCCGTTTGTGCCAACAGTCACCGCAATTTCCTCTACCCCAGATTTCCAGTGGATGGTCCAGCCTACAATCATTACATCTGTCTCCCCGTCTCTGGGTAGCAAGCAAGCCAATGAAGCACAAAGCTCTCACCAGGCAACACCCAAAGAGGGCGGGAATAAGGGGAAAAGTGCAGTCAGAAAAGGGAAAACAGAGCAGGTAGGTTTGCCTCAGATGGTGTCTACCTGCTATTGGATAAAATGCTCAACAGTGTAAATTTACATATGCCACTCTGAATTCCTGGTGTGCAACAGTGCTGATGTGCATGCAGCTGTGGTGGCGTGTGGTGGCTGTGTGCCTTCCTTAGGCACTCGATTTATATTCAGGTCACAGAGAGTCTGCAACAATGGTCTATTTTTAGATGCAATGCAGTGAAACATGCTTTTGCCAGCCTTCAGAGGGGGAATTGGCAACGGATGTAGCGGATTAGGAGATGAAATGGCTGGATTCTTCAAGGTAATAACTGAATTATTTCTGTCACATCCTAGCTGTCTCCAGAGGAGGAGGAGAAAAAGAGGATAAGGAGGGAGAGGAATAAAATGGCTGCAGCAAAGTGTCGCAACAGACGGAGGGAGCTCACAGATACACTGCAAGCTGTAAGTAAACAGTGATGCATTTACTCAGCTGTCAATTAGCACCTGCCATGTGTGTGTGAGTGAGTGTGTGTGTGATTTCCATGTGGATAATTTTTGGATTTTGGTCTGTGTGCAGGAGACTGACAAGCTTGAAGAGGAGAAAGCAGCCCTGGAGACAGAGATCGCCAACCTGCTCAAAGAAAAGGAAAGGCTGGAATTTATCCTGTCCACACATAAACCCATGTGCCAGTTGTCAGAGGAGCTGGAGTCTATTTTTCAAGGGCCAACAGGGTCGCCGGGGCTACCACCCAGTCCAGATGAGGACAGACTCCCAGAGGATGGCATCCAGGAAGCTCCGTCTCTCCAAGATATGGACATCCCCAGTGATCCGTCCACAGCCATCTCTGGAAACTCCAACATCCTCCTGTGTGCCAGTGCAGATATCAACCTCTGTGACCTGGAGCCCTCTCTGGACATTAAAGAGGGGCTTCTGGAAAACATGCTGCCCAGTTTGGAGGATAAAACCCCCATGGAGACGGCTCGCTCTGTGCCAGACATAGACCTGAGCAGCTCTCTCGGGGTCTCGGACTGGGAGACCCTGTACAAGTCTGTTTCCAGCGACCTGGAGCCTCTCAGCACTCCTGTGGTTACCTCCACACCCACCTGCAGCAGCTACCTGTCTGTATTCACGTTTGCGTGTCCTGAGCTGGACTCTCTAACAGAGGGACTAGACGGTCATAAAGGTGGAGGGAGCAAAGCAGAATCTGTTGATATCCTTAACTCTCCGACTCTCCTGGCCTTATAGTGTTCAGAGGGAAATGATACGTCTGATCCTCTGGTCTTTCTGTTCTGCAGGTCCCTGACTTTGAAATGATACCACAGTGTACTGTAACACTTCAAGGATTCATGAAATGTCTTGTGTGTGATGAAGCAAAACATATAAACTTTCTCCAGATAAATAGCCACCAGAGTGATACAGCTAAAAGCATGGCTTTTGCTTTGACTCAAGGAACAGGAGTAAGTTTTGATTTTAAAATGCATGCTATGAAATTCCATATAATTTTCAAAGCTTATATATATTTGATCTGTTACTAGATCTAAGATGTAATGTTGGACTTAATGTTACAGTATGGTTTAGTGTTTTTGTGTCAATAGTGTATTGATTGCTGTAAATGTTGTATTTACATATTCATCCATGTTCCAGTACCTGCATACCTCAACGTCATCAACTGTGGTTTGACCTCATTGAAAGTTTTCCATGAAAACATCCAGTGCTATATACTATATCTTATCAAGATGTAACGTATGATTTATTTTTTTACCTTTCAGATTATGACTTATTTGTTAAATTTTAAATGAGTGAAATGAGCATTAATTGCTTATCTATGCTGCTGAATAACTACAATAAATCTACATTCAGAGTGAGGTTTGGTGCGTATTTTTGTGGAAAAAAAGGTCACATTTTTAGATATATGCATTCATTTTTTTCTAACATAGATATTTACTTGATGGGATTGTAATTCAGAGTGCAAACACAATAGGATTGAACCTATGCTCTGTCCCTAAACTTCGATGAAATGATCAAGTTTGTGTTTTTTGATGTCGTTTGGTATGATTGTGGGCTCATGAGTGGTCTGGCTGTGTTTACAGTGCAGGCCTCCGTCTGATCCTCGTCATGTCGTTGCAGTCTGCAGCCTCAGTGTTTCTTTATGGGAGGAGCGGCGCGACTTCCCCACTTCTGCCCCCACTATGTACTTTTTTACATCCCTGCTTACGTTGGGCTGGCATAGCACAAGTTCCGCATTCCCAAATCCTCCCAGATTGGGATCACGTTTTAAATCGGGCTGATGCAACGATTTCCACTTTTTAAAATCTACTCTCGACCCTCAGCTGACCACAAGAAAGGACATTTTTGGCACCTGGGATCAAAGTCAGGTCAGTAGACAAAACTTCACAAGTCGAGAGCTGAGTATTTGTAACATAGAAAACAGCTTATTGTTGCGCCACGCATAGGTCATAGCGAGCATAGTTTGTGAAAAGGCAGCTAACAGACTGGTGATATTTTCGCTCTTTCGCTGGTATTCAGTGTTTTCTCGCTGTTTAAGAGGTCTCTCTGTGTTTCAAACGTGGTCTTGACATCTTGTGGAACATGCCAGACAAAGATCACTTTCTTTTGTATGCATGCTCCTCTGACACAGCACCACGGCGTGCACGGTTCAGGACATAATGTCCTTATTTTCATTAGTCTCTCCTCAATATAAATGATGTGCATTGACTCCTTACACGCGATGGTTTTTCTATGTGGAGAAATCTGCTCCAAACGTAAAGCTGTAAGGTTTTTATCACTGCAGCTCTCGGATGGGAAGACAAAGTTACGTAACGTTAAGATGAATGCCGCACTGAAGAAAAACTTCCGCTTTCAAGTTGACCAATAGCTTCAGTGTGCGTGCTGCAACACAGTCTGTAAGTGACTAAAGATGACTAAACACGGTCCTTAACTGATGAATATCAGCCCGGGGCTTTCTCAGATAAAAATAAACTTTATTTTTAACTCTAAAATTTTAACTCTGGAGATTTAATTTGATAAAGGAAACAATCAATGACTGCTTTTCATTGTATCTTAACTTTGGGCAGTGTTCTCTAACAGCCTTTATTAAAGTCCCTTTTATCCTGCTTTGGGTATAATTAGGAATAAACATGTTAAGATAATTTTGGAATTTACCCCGGTATGTTTAATATTTTCATGCTTCTTTTTTTACACTTTTTTTTATTTTTGCTGTTTCTGCAACCTTATTAAGATTTAAAGCTTAAATTTTGTATCCAGTGATCATGTGCTTGAACATGGCCTGTAAGGTTCTGCTTTGTGTTTTCAAGCTGTAGTTTGAGGAACTGTAAAAAACTGAAAGTTTTTCTGGTTTGGTCTTAAATCAGATGTGTTCAGCATGAACTGTTAAGCAGTTGCATAAGATAGCCTGACCCCACAGGCCGACTCTGCTTCCCCTGTCGTCTTTTTAACATGCATGTACAGTATCTTCTCTATCTCGTTCTTCCCATGAATCGTGGGGTAAGAGAGGTAGAGCATGCAGTCCAATCCATCCATCCCAAAAAAGCCTCTGTTTTTTCTCTCTTTTGATGTAGTTGTATGATAAAGTAAAGGATACGGCTGAAAATAAGAGATAGTGTGCAGGTGTGTGGCTATGAGACACCAGAGTCAATAGTTAGCCCCACCCCCCCCCAGGTGTCATGGACCTAATTTTAAGCTCCATGAGGAGTTTCTTAAAATTAATTAAACAGACTGAAATTTACATTGACGACTTTGTCTATAGGGGGTGCCAAAATTTGACATTAGGAACCATGTGGTAGGTTTTGTAACTCATCAATAACTTAAAGGTTATTAGTGTGCGGTCATGAGGGGATGGGTGTATTAACTGGGTGCTCATCCTTTTGGGTTTCAGTGTCTTTTTGTATTGTGAAACTTGATATCAGATACTTCCTGTTGATTGACAAGATGGCCAAAGGTTGCTGACTAATTGACCTAAGATAGTATGTTTTTGGTTGCATCATGTGGCTTTAAAATCTGCTGAGCTGTTGTCGTAGTTTCCCATGTCCTTGGCTGGCTGTGTGCACACTCCTCTTTCACTGTGTTAGTCATATTTAAATGTTCATATTCAGCATTTGGTAAACCGAGACATTTGGCAGAAAATGACCAAAAAAGCAAACTAAAAATTGGACCAAACAAAAGGAAAGTAAACAGTGTCAGAAGTAATTTTTCATAGGCTAAACAAAAGAAGCACATTTGGAGTTCACACTTGACCATATTATGCTCCATTTGGCCACATTTAACTCCCATGACAGTGTGTCTAATAGAGAGGAAACCACAGTGTACAGAAATTTCTGAGCTCTTCTTGGAATAAAGGGGAGTTTGTCTGAGTCTGCTTTGTACACTCTTGTTCTCCTGTCTTTTTGCCTCTGGGGATTACATAAGGACAAATCTTGCCAAGATCTCTGTAAATGGTCATATAGTCATTCCAGAAAAAGAAGCAATATAATAAAATTGCTTAAGGAGGGCAGCCTTAGCGTCTGTCTGCCGTAACAGACTAACAATTCATCAGACTAAAGAGAGTCGGCTTTAAAGGAGCTGTGCACCACAGCCAAATTCCTTCCTGACTCCCTGTAACAGACTGGGAACCTCAAATATCTATTTTCTTCTGATTTGTTGTTGTTAAACGTGTTTTTAACCTCATACTATAAAGCTTACCCTGTTTGTACTATAGCAAGCACAGCAGACAGTGCTTTGTTTTTTTTTTTTTGTTTTTTTTTTCATTGATCTGAGATTTTGCAGTCTGACTGTGTCTCCAATTTTCTCCCTCTTTCTCCTAGCTGTGGTCACGACCAAGTCTGACACGATGCCAGGACAAATCCCAGATCCGCTGGTGACGGCAGGCTCCCTGCCCAGCCTAGGCCCTCTGGCTGGGATTTCAGCCACCACACTGACTGACAAGCTCAAATTTGGAGACTTCCAGGAGTTTGGTACGATGTTGTCACCTCTGCACTTCCTGGACAGTTTTGGGAAGAGGCCCCTGGTGATTAAAACAGAGGTACAGAAAACAACAAGTGCATGGCAACCAACAACTGCATTAAGTCTTTTAAAACAATGTATCTAGTATATTTTCATGGCCCTTTTGAAATATAGCCACAGAGAAAAATACTAATTCAACATCCAAAATCCAGTTTTTCTCAACTGATTTGGCAGATTGTCACTACTTGTATATGTATATAAAGTATGTAAAAATATATATAAAAATTCAAATCCAAAAAAGCCCAGATTGCCTCAAAATGAAAGAACCTTTTCCAAACAGAACTGAGTCACTCCTTAAAGCCCCTGTGAGGAAATTTTGTTTTGCATCAGTGTTAAAATCTCCTGTTGATGAAGCCGTCTTTGCTGATGTTCCTCTGCCCAGAACAATCTCATCCCTTTTACCTTTGACAGTCTAATTGCTTCCCCGGTAGCTTGGCTGAAAATGATGATTTTAAGACTTACCAGACTTGTTTCTGATGATCTTGTTTGCTTTTATAGATCATAAAAAGGCAACAATATGAATTTCTGTCTATTTCAGAAATGTAAAAAAAAAAAAAAACTTCTTACTGGAGCTTTAATCAACAACACCTTTAATTGAAACCCTTTTTCTGCACTGTTGTTTAGAGAGATGAGGAGGAGGAGAGAAGGAAACGAAGGCGAGAGAAAAACAAAGTGGCAGCTGCTCGTTGTCGAAACAAAAAGAAAGAGAGGACAGATTATTTACAAAAGGTGAGATACACCTGGCATGTTAATTTTGTCTAAAGTGTATAAAAATACCTTTCTGTTTAACCCTGTCTATTCTGCTTCTTTTCTCTACGTCCTTGCACAGGAATCAGAGCGACTAGAGATGTTAAACTCTGACCTTAAAGCCCAAATTGAGGAGCTGAAACTTGAAAGACAGCAACTGATCCTCATGCTGAATCGTCATCGCCCCACATGTATTGTCAGGACTGATAGCGTGAAAACGCCGGAGAGCGAGATGAATCCCCTGCTGCAGCAGCTGGAGGAAAAGTGAAGTTTACAGCTGAAGAGAAAAAGCCAAAAAACAAACAAACAAACAAAAAAAAAAACAGCACTTAGCTTTGGGCTTTGGTCATGGAGGAGAGTCCAGCCAAATCCTTCAACTTTAAGTCACAGAGTGTTACACCAAAAATGTGGATCCAATGAGATTGGACATATTTTCTTTTTCTGTAGCTTTCGTTTTTATTTTTCCATCTTGGTCATCAAAACTCAAGCAACCATCAGTGCGATCCTAAATGAGAAAACTCAGCAGTGCTATTGGCAGTTTCCCTTACATTTCAAACATTCACTGTGTTGTATTACAGTGCCCTTGCACTACATATTGTCTTTGCTTTAGACATGACTCAACATTTCAAACAGATAAATTGGAGTTTGTTTGCAGTAAAATCTCCTACCTGGGATTTTAGTTTTCTTTAGTTATCTCAATTACTTATTCGACGATCACAAAAAGAAGCTATACTTGGATTTGGTTTAATCAAAAATCTGTTCAGGTGTAGCTTTGCTGCCAAGTTGTTACAGGTTTCAAGCACAAGGCTCAGTATGAAATTATAATATGTCAATCCTTAAAACAGCGATACAAGATTTGCTAACATCACACAGTCTGTCACACTAGAATTTCATTGAGCACAATTTCAGGAGCTTTAAGAGCGAACTGTTCCTGTTCCTAATTACATTTATATGAACAGAAGAAAAAACCTAAGCATGGTCACACATTTTTACTGGATTTGTGGACACATGTAAATGCCAAACACTCTTCCTTTTATTTGACAGCAAAAGGAACATTTATATTTTGCGGTCAGGCTAGAGTTGTACCTCAAAGATCATTTCTGTTTTTTTGTTTGAGGCTTAAAGTAAAAGAAAGACCAGCAGAGGGGTAACAATAAGTCTCAGTTTTAATGCCAGCCATTTATTGGTTTGTCTTGCCGTTCATGTAATGCTTTTTTTTTTTAAGTATAGGATTTTACCTGGAAAAACAGCAAGAAATGGACAGTTGGGGCTACATGAGTAATAGATATATTGAGGAACATATAAATACAACTTTGCTAAATATTACCTCTAACAATCAGATAATATGTGGTTGGTCTTTTGCTAATTTTGCTAACAAACATTTCCAAAAAAAAAAAAAAAAGTGAAGCACATATTTTTCTAAAAGCAATACTCACAGCCAAAAATATTACCTTACTTCCTCTGTTGTATTTGTTTTATTTGATCCATTTGGTGGCAGAAGAATTTTTAAAACCTTTATTCTTATGTTTTGGCGCAGGCGTCATGTATGCACATATATATGGACTGTTTACATTGTACTTTATTTTCTGTTACCATCCTGTTACTACCAGTTATGTTTATGTTTTTTTTTTATACTTTTGTATATGATGTTATATAAGCATATAAGCTATCAAAGAATCCCATTTTGTATTTCCATAAAAAATAAAAGTTTAGTTTCTTTTTGTTTCTGGATTTTTTGAGTCGTGTAAGATTACAAACATGTCAAACATGAAATGTGTTTTGTGTTAAAGTTCCCGTTTGTTGCTTCCAAATGAAGAGTATTTGCATTTCTTATTCAATAGAACAACAGCTCCTGTATGTGGCGCCATCCTGTGGCAATACAGCTACACTGAGAAACTGGAGTTTCACATATTTTCTCTATGTCAATGAAAATACCTGCACACTTTCATCTATCCTGCAAAAATGGACATTTTCTGTCTGTAGAGGATGAATCTGACAAACTTGAAAGACAATCTGGCAAAGACAACAGGTGTAATTTTACGAGATGCTTCATTTTGCCATCAAAGATGACCATGCCTTTCCTTTTTCCAATTTCAAATCAAGTGGAGCTTTGTAAAGTAATCAGATTGAGTTTAGCACGGATTTAAATGTGATACACATTTCATTTCTTCTGAAGTACTGCCTAAGTACACAACAGTACTGCCTAAGTATACAACAAAAGTTCTTATCTTAATACACAGATTTAACTACGCACTCGTTTCCAGGGGTTTAACTCTCAGATTAAGAAATTAGAAGCAATCAAAACTAAAGAGAGCAGGACTGACACCTTTCAAATTTAAAAGAATATTTGAGAAAATATATTAAATAATGTCAATATTTCATCATTAGCTGTAGGGAATAAACCAATACAGGAAGCACTAATGGCTGTTTTTTTTTTTTTTTTTACAAATCCTCTATGTTGTGTGTTTTGTTTGGGGCTGCAGTTTGTCTTGTCTGTTCTGACTGATAAATGAATGTGTCCCACTTGCTGCCATGTCTTATCTCAGCAGCTGGGTGGAGTACAAGTCATCAGCTCATACCTAGTACACGTTGTAAAGGGGATTTCTTTCACTGCACCAGTATTAATTGAACTCCTTAGGAGCAGGTCAGTCCTTTGGAGTCGAGCAAGCATTTTATACACTTAACGTTACCTCAGTCTGGAGGCCAATATTTTAGTCACCTGAATGATTTTTGGACTGTCACATGAGACTGACTGAAGAGGTTTTTTTCTCCTCTTTGTGCTTCTGAAGACAGTTTAAATAGGTTAGTTTTGTAGAGGAGGACTTCTCTGTGTTTCCCATTTTAATTGAAGCAGAAAATGGGAGATGATACGCGTGTCTCACGGAGCAGGAGCACACAGAAGACAGACGATAACCCACATTTGGAGACTAAGGATCCAGACGCAGCAGAGCACATTGAATTCAGCATCATCCCAAACGGAGGCAGCAGCCCTGTGCTGGAAACGCGCTTATACAAGAAGCGCTGGGTGATCGTGTTTCTCTTCAGCTCCTACTCACTGTGCAACGCGTACCAATGGATCCAGTACGGGATCATCAGCAATATCATGACGAAGTTCTACAACGTGGAAGCCTTCGCTATAGACTGGCTGTCCATGGTCTACATGCTCACCTACATCCCATTCATCTTCCCGGTCACCTGGCTGCTGGACAAGAAGGGACTGAGGGTCATGGCACTGCTGGCTAACGCGTTAAACTGCGCCGGGACTTGGATCAAAGTGGCCAGCGCACAACCCCACCTGTTCGGAGTGACCATGTTTGGGCAGTTTACAAGTTCTCTGGCTCAGGTCTTCATCCTCGGGATGCCATCCCGCCTTGCGTCCGACTGGTTTGGTGCCGATGAAGTCTCCACCGCCTGCTCCATTGGAGTTTTTGGGAATCAAGTGAGTTTATTCACATAAGTATCTGTTACATGTCTTTAGCTCTAAAAAGAACAAGAGAAATAAACCAAATACCATCTCTCATCAGATTAACCTTGAGTAGATCCAACCACATGGCTGCATTAAACCCTTAAGGGGCTTTATGCAAATATTTTGCATGGGGCCCCAACTGCACTCCAATCTCAAAAACTATTTAGAGAGATGGAACAAGCTGCTGAAAATGTAGCCCCAGATTACATTCATGTAATCAACTAGGTATCTACTAAAAGGGGGTTAAATCTTCAGCACAGGAGCCTTTAAATACACAACAAACATGACTTTCCCCCCCTTGGTTGTTATTGTACATATGAGGGGTAAATTCTTAAAAAAATGTATGATGAAACCAATATCCAACAACCAAATAACACACATATTAGCACATGTGACTTTTATTGTGCTTTCCATTAAAAAAAATAGTGAAATTCTTCATGAGGATCTACCCCTGAAATAATCTCTCAGGGTCCTTGGACAGCATTGAATGACCATGCACCCCACGACATATTCATTTTGATTCAGTGTGCTTTTTGGTCATTCTTCCTCTTTCCTTTTTTTCAATGATGGACTGAATGTGTGCGGAGTGTGAATAAACAAACCGTTTATCAGATCTTTCAAACTTGCTGGTAAAACTTCTCTGCTGTTATAGTCAGGCATGAGCTGGTATTTACTCTGGTTATCCATAGTCTGATGTAGTGAGGCAGACAGCCACGTGTGTCTGTGCTAACGTGTAAAAGCTTATCTGCATACTCATTCACAGTGCCTGCTTACTCTGAAAAAAGCTTATCAGGATTTATGGATTTCCCTTGTTTGTTTGCCCATGTCGGATGGATTTGTTGGGGCAATGCAGTGACTTCATGTTCAGCCTTCAATAAACAGTCATTGTTGGAAGAATTAGTTTATTTGGATTTTTTATTAAAAACAGAGTTGATATAAAATCTAAAAAAAAATCCAGTTTGTAGTATAAATCCTGCATCAGAAAGCTGCTTGAGGAGTTAAGTACAGGGGGATTAAGAGGAAAAATGTGCTTCAGGTATCAAAAGTCTAAAATCAACAACTCTCGATACACGCTCCCACTTATTACCTAGCTACCAACATGAGAAGGTTGGCACAACATATCAACTTGAAGCAGGTTGTTTTGATTTAGAAATAAGTGACACTAAACTGAACTTTTTGATTCATGGTCAAGTAAAGACTTCAGCTTGCTTGTTTGTTAAAATCCATAATGAACCAGCTCTGCTGTTGTTGCTAGATTGTCAACTCTCAAGACCAGCCAGAGATAGAAACAGAGAGTGTTAACAGATTGAGGTGAAAGTGACTGAAACTTAAAATGTGTTGATTTGATATGAGACATGTGATCTTCCTGGTGTTGCATTTGCTGTTCAGAAATAAATCACTATTGTTAAGGGGCTTGAGCAGTCAGAATCAAGTATTTCATGTAAGGGTGGATTTTAACACTGTTGTACCAGTGTTTGAGGAAAAAACATATTGGTGAATTAATATAGTACTTCTCTATGGGCTCTCTAACTTTTTCATAGTAAATAAAACCATCAGAGAATAAAGAGGTGATATTTCTCTCTCTGGTAAACTACAGTTGCCCACAAATCACGGACATTTGGTAACATGCCCAAACTGGGCACTGATTCTGTTGCATGTTCAAAGTCATCACACAAAAGGAATATCAAAGGCCCTATGTGTTTTTTTTCTTTTTTGTTTACATTAACTAAATGACCTTCACATTCAAAAAAGACCACCAGAAACAAGACTGATGATTTTTAATGGTAATTTTGAGTGTAAGAAACCGGTGTGAGGGGCTAGGTGTCAGCTGAGCATGAACAGTCATTAGGTGAAGTGGGGTGAAAAGTAAACTTACCTCAGTAATGAAAGACCAGGATAGAATAGGCCCACAATACATCAAAAGTGCACTAGTAACATCTTGTATTTTAGGTGCACAAAAAGATGTTACACAGACCTGAGCTATACTGTTACAAAGCATTTAGCAAACACAACGTCCAAGAACAAAGTATTGTGCACCAAGGTAAACCTCCCCTTTTGCACCAAGCTGCAGGAAGTCAGTATGTATTCATGTTGAAACAGTTCCAAACCCTTATCAAAGTCTAATTTTGTTTCCCTGTGTTAATATGTGTAATCAAGTGTAGCAGAGTAACCAATGTATCCCGCAATAAAACTGGGCTTACTTTAATTACTTTGTGCCACCCAAACAGTTTCTCTTTTAGGAAAGCAGCCTCCATCACCCTTCTTCAAATGTTCTTGTGCAAAGGGCATCTTTGGAGTGGGTCTTTACCTCTGCATTTTTATTGACCAAAAGCAACTAAATGGACTTGATTCTATGTGTGCTCTAAATAGCTTACTGTATTTAGATAAAGTAGGGATGTCAAACACTGCCATAGTTACACATTTATTTTCCTCACATTTTTATTTCTAAAAACTTAATAAGTTCAATATTTTTTTTAATATAAACTTAAAGTACTTAACTTAGAGAAAGTATATTCATAGAGCTCTGAACTCTGTTTGTTTTGGGGTTGGCATCTGTATGGGAAATGACGTGTCCAGTTTCGCCACTCCCCGTTGGCACATCACATAATGTTTGTCTTACATAGTAAATCAATGCCGCCGTGCTCCAGGTATAGTAATACAGAGGTTTTTTTTTTACACTTTACATGTTTCTGTGCGTAAACGTGTCATCTGAATGCTAGCATGTTTGGGGTTGAAGCCATGTTTACTCCTCGCGTGACTTTCGGGAAGCGTAACATGATCGCGAGGAAGCTCACAGCCCGGAACAGTGACTGTGTTTTTAGATATGGAGGAAGATTATGAGTATAAATTTGTTTTACGACCGCAGTTATCTGCAGTGATTACCTGTTTTATTGCGCTGGAAACAAGACGAATATGTTGCAATCAATGTGATTACCAGCCCATGTAAGATGAGTTATTTCATTAAAGATTTCCTTTACGCTCGAAATACCAGTGGCGCTGGTATTCCCTTTAAGATTCGTAAGAAGTGTAACCATACTGTGCATTTGGGTTGCAGTTTCAGTTGCCACCATAAGAGCGTTTTGTCTCTCCTTTTCTCCCTTTTACTCCTTCCATTCATGGGTTCCCTTCATGCAGGCAGATGCGGTTCGGAGGGGGGCTACTAGCTGTAAGGGGCACCAATGTCAGGCATCTGGAAAATTCCAGTCAGTTTAACCTGCTGAAGACAGTTACAGCAACCAACTGAGAAAACATGCAGTCTGTTCAGAAAGAAAAAAACAAAATCTTAAACATATGATTCATGGCTTTGGGTGGTTGAAAAGAGCTGCAGTGGTGCTGACATGTTATGTTTTTGAAAGCCAGTAAGCTGTCAGTAATCACAAATGTTAAATTTGAAGTTAAAGACAGAGTATATATTTGCCCTCACCCATAAAGCCATTCATAATTATCATTATCAACAATCTGACTGTTATCTCTCTAGCACAAAAAAACTCTAAAAACAGTCATAAATAAAGGTGCAAGCTACAATTAACAACTAAGTATCCATGTTGATCTGTTCAGACTTAGACTTTTGTCAAATGGGAAATATGGAGCACAGTGAACATCATTTACAAGAGATGCCATTGTGTCTTTCCTCTGGCAAGTATTGTATGCAGATTGAACATTTTGTAGAAGAGGAATTACAGTTCCCTGTGTCATGACATCAAGTTTCACTTCTTCACAAAGGCCCTTTTTGAAACTTTCAAAGGAGTGCTGTGGAGTAGTTTTGCCAGAGTCACACACTGGACCTTAAAAAATAAGTTTGATCAGGTGCATGTGCAAATTTGACTAGGTTTTGGGGCATGTTCAAGCCCCCAAATAAGCATCATCACAAAGTAATGGTATTTGCATTATTATGCATGCTAGTTACCCTGTTGCTCTTGTTTTGTAAAAAGCTATGTGTTGTCAGCACCGGGGGGCTGATTATAAAACCAAAAGAACACTACCCTGATTTAAACTTTGTGACTGCACTGTGAATGTAACCTTATTTATGATATCAGCCAGCCTCTGCTCTGTCAGTGTTTTAATACCGAGACAGATGATGTGATATTAAGTGATTGGACACTGGAAAATCCAATTAATGAACCCCAAACAGTCTACTTTAATAACTGGTCTTTGAACAGTTGGATATTGTCGTCTTGTGTTTGCGCACAGAGGCGTACTTCCGCTCTGTAGTCATGGATAAGCACAATAGAATAACTTTAATAGTGTAGTAAAACAGTGTAGTTGCACTATTTAGCTTCCAGTACTGCTCCCTCAGAGCTTTTTCCGTGGTTGTGTTGTTGCCATCCACACACAACCGGGCTTTATGTGTGACAAAACAAACACTATGATAACATTTATCTAGTCTCTTTAGTTTGACACTTTTTACATTTCCTGATAAACTTTTGGTCTTCATTAAACGGACTTTAGTTTCTTTGCACACCTTCACATAAGAGTGCGTGTCTGTCATGTGCCTGTCTTAGCAATAAAATCCGACTACTGTCAGCGACTGTCCCACCTTAGTTTCGCATTCCTCATCTGCTGTCAGGTGCTTGCTGAATCTGTGACATAAGCTTGAAGGAGGAGTAAAACTAACAGAAAAAGTCCCATCACATGATCGAAGAGGTGTTAAACTACAGAACAGACAGGCTAGTGTTGACAGTCAGACTAGCATGTATGTGGTTGCTGGTTTCCAAGTATTGCTCATTATATTTGAAACTGCACCCCAGATCCACTCAGAAGGAGTAATTAGCAGTAATCTCCACTTAAAACACAGCAGGAGCGCTTGTTTTTGATCAGCATGTAGGAAATACCTGCTGGGTGGGAGGGGTTTGTCAGGTAAACTGCCACGGTGTTAAGAGGACACACACACAAGGAGAAAATGTTTGCTTTTCCCTGCAGCAGTTAAGAGACAGCCGGAAGAAAAGGCGAATGTCAACATGAGCTCTCAGGATGAGTTGTCTCATGAGTGGACGGACGGTTGTGTGAAATCCAGAGACTATGATTGGACAATAAGAAAAGAGCGAACCAGTTTAGGAGAGTATAACCAACTGCCTCTGCAGGACAGTTTAGAGACTTCAGGCTTGGACTCGGCACAACTCATCCCTCTAATGGAGACCAAACTGTACAAGCGACGGTGGGTCATGCTCTTCATCTTCAGCGCTTACTCCATGAGCAACGCCTTCATGTGGCTGCAGTACAGCATCATCAGTAACATCTTCATGCGCTTCTACAACATAGGCCCCCTGGCCATCGACTGGCTCTCCATGATCTACTTCCTCACCTACATCCCTCTCATCCTGCCGGTCATGTGGCTACTTGACAACCGGGGTATGAGGGACGTGGTGGTGGTGGGCTCAGCCTTCAACTGTATTGGGGCCTGGATCAAGACCAGCACAGCCCACCCCAGTATGTTCCCCATGACCTTCTTTGGACAGTTTGTGTGTTCTGTAGCCACTGTTTACATCCTGGGAATCCCATCAAGACTTGCGTCCTTGTGGTTTGGACAGCAGGAGGTGTCCACTGCCTGCTCCATTGGAGTTCTGGGAAATCAGGTGTGTCTCCACTTAGCTACCTACTTGTTAGGCTCAACATGTTTTAGCAGTGTGGCTTTGTAAACTTCTCTGTGGGAAAGAGTGAAAGACCTTTAGCACTTCCTCTTCATCTAAATCTAACAGTGTTAAAAACAGGCAGGTACATGTTGTCACGTGTCAGTATGTGCCACCTCGAATGTCTGCCCGTCTGAGTCTGTGCGATCTTTCTGTTTTCTGTCTTCTTCCTGAGTCAGCAGGTTGATCATGAATCGCTTTCTCTGCTGGTGGAAGCTGAAGGAGTCCTGTCTTCTTTAGTTTAGAAACCAGGTGTCTTGCAGAGTTAAGCACTGAGCAAACATACATACATTTAGGGATGCAGTGATACGTCAGCTGAATATCAGTACCTGCCTTGATGACAAATATTGACCTGTTTGTAGTAGCTGATGTACTGTGTATTTGGCGCTTTAATCTAGTGAGGCTGTCTGCTATGGCATGTAGAACATGCAAAGTTGATAGATAAGCTGTGAAAGTATGAGCTCATAGCTAGCTTTCCAACAGTTTTCTAGCTTTAGACTATCTCCTAAATGCTTAATTTGGATTCTTGATCAGAGTTAGGAGGTTTAGAGTTTCATTTGGATGACTTGGCTTCTTTCCAAACCCATAAAAAGCCCGATATTACAGTTTGTGAAGCATAACTTTTAGACTTTGAGCTCAGAAAACTGCCTACCAGGGGCAGATCCAACTTTTTCAGTCGGGGTGGCCCACAAGGCACCGCTGAGGCAGCGGAAAGTATACATGAATGAATGGTATTTACATCTTTTCTATGTAGGCCAATCATGTCCACTTTGACTACTGGCCTCAAAGTACACAACAGAGTGGCAGGATATCAAATTCTTGACTCAAAACAAGTTGCGTGTCTGAAATCAAAAGGAAACATGACTGCTGCTAACCCTGTTGTAACAGCTTGAATAGTTTCTAGCAATCACAGTTTAGGACTTAAAGCCAATCAGATTTTAAGAAGGAGCTACTAGCACCCAGACCACCCATCTCAGTCTGCCCCTGGCACTAATAGAAAACAAGTTGTGCTTAAAGATGTGTTTGAGCAGTAAAATATCAGTTTCTTATTTCTTATGGACTGTAAGTTTTTTTTTTTCTTTTAAACACACCCTCAAAGAAGGCAAGTAATGTGTGTGACAAAGACTGCCCTTAACTGCATTCCCATAGGTGTAGAGAAAGCAGTCTCAATATGACCAAGTGTATCAGAGTAAAAAAAAGAAGATGTTTCATGAGTTTTTTCTGTGTATTTGTTGTTTGTTGCTCTTATGTAGATTGAAGCAGGTAACTTTATCACCTGTCTTCAAGAGTTTTTTCATTTTCGGAGTAAGGTAACTGTCCAGTGAGATTACACTGAGAATGCTGTGTCCTGAGCGAGCTAACCAGCGCTCTTGTTAAGGTTCTTTGAGGTCACTTCACCTTCCTCTTTTAACACTGAATGTTTATTTAACTTGCTTAGTCATCTGAAGCCTGGGGGAGCTAAACCTGAGCACGGCAGTCTTAAGCTTTGAAGACCAGAACAGATTTGCTACAGAGAAGCAGAAATTTTGTGTATTTTGTGTAAAGTGATAGTTCATAAAATTTGTTGAGGAAGAAAGTGTCTTCATACTTCAGTTAAGCTCAAAGTTATTCCCTTGGTGCAAGCCAATAAAAACAGCCAGTGTACACTGGTAGAGCTATATGTACAGATTCCCTGAGGCCATAACCTCACAAACTCTTTCCTCTTAATTTGAAGTTTGTCCTCTCTCACCTGCTTTTTGCCAAACACTGCATACCGGTCATTGTCACAAATGTTCTTGTTTTGTGCCCAAATCCTGCACCCTGCTGTTTAAGATCAAGGGACACATTGTTGATGATGTTGACTTGCTCAACACGACTTTATTCCTTTGGCGCTGGCCCATGAACCTGATTCTTCCAAGCTTTTAGGCCGAAGAACATTATACATCCTCTTGGATGTTTAGATATAAGCAGAAAATAGGAAGATAGGATTTACATGAAGGCCTTTAATACTTTGAAGATCAGAGTAAGGGTTTGTGTGCCAAAAGTAACTTCATAAAAGAGGCTAAAATGAGCCTTTGTTTTTTTTAGCATGTGAAAAAGATCCACAAATCTGCAAAGCATGAAAAGGGGATGCAAATACCCGCCCACTAACATCATTTCACAAGTGGCATGACATTATAACAGTATCAAAATAGGGTACAGGTTGCAGCTGTGGTCTGTACTGGGAAGACAAAGACAGCTTAGTTCATCATCAGGATCCTGCTTATCAGTTCAATGTCACACTGATGGAAAAACAACCTGTGAGTGAAATTGCAACATTCATGTAGTTTCATGGCTGTAGCAGAAAAGCGTCAGTCCCAACTCCAAGGCCATACTTCTACTTTCCTATGCTCATTAAAAAGAAACAGATATGACTCTGCAAGCATTCACACCAAGTGATGTTCAGTAAATGATGATTAACATACGTATATAATGATAAAATACAAATGTGATAGCATACACATACAATTTTTCTGTCAAGTTCCTATTTTGGCATCAGAAAGATCCCAATAATAAGCTTTGCAGTAGCTTATATTATATAGATGATATCAATATTGCAAAGTTTCAAATGTGCTGTAAAGCCCAACAGATATACCCTTGGATCTCAGTGGATCTAATGTATTTCTGTGTTTGAACACCTCAAACATCCTTCACAGGCTTGTTCCTCCACCAGGAACACGTCGTCTTGTCACCTTTTGCCTTCTTCCTTCTCTCACTTTTCCCCTAGAGAGGAGGGACCGCGGCTGGTGAATGTTCTTGAGGCTGTAGGAAGCTGTGGAAGTTGGCACTGCTCATGTGGTATTCAAATTTGTGAAGTTTAGTTCCCACCCATTCCCCCATAGCACCCAGAACTGTCCATTTAGATTTATCATTTTCTGCTGGAGAGTTTGATGAAATGGTTGCTACCACTTTTGCACATATTAGGCATGGTGTATAGTGAACTGGTGTTCATACAAAGTAGAATCCTGATAGGGTAACACCATTTTACTGTACATTATCCCACCAATTACCCGGCTACCAGCTCAAGACATTAACATGTAGAAAAAAATATTGATTCAGATAAGAGTGTATTGATTTAAAAAGAATTTATTTATTCAACAAACAAAAAATATTCAACAGTTATGGACAGAAACAGGCAATTTCACCTCAGTGTCAACAGGCAGTGGTGAAGTCTGCCAGACACCTCAACACCGATTGATTGACTATGATGTGTGTGATCCAGTTGTCTCTGGTGGTACTTTTGTTGTTGATAATTGAATAGCATTGTTTTGGGGTTTTGAGCCTATTTAACACTGCAGGGTACTTCAAAATAAAGCCGGGTAATAAATGTTGATAACCAGCAGCTGGCTGGTTTGATGAGCATTAAGATTGGAAGCATGTAGCTGCTCCAACACTCACAGTCAAACTTAATTAGCAGAAGCTTAGCTGGACCTACCCCTGGATAAGCATCATGACGTTGCATGATGTTTTGACTTTTAATTAATTAATTTTTTTTTCACATTTGGAGAAAGCTGGACCATGCTATGATATGATTCTCTTACCAGCCACCAGCTGTCAACATCTGACAAATTTAACATTTGTAGAGTTTCAACTTGCTGGATAAAAATAAAGCTAGGAAATGTTCATATAATCTGAAACCATCCTAGTTACAGTTTATCCCTGACATAGTTTCACTGTCTCCATCATCTACACTGATTTGTTTGCACTTGGAGGTAACCAGGTAACCATCACTCTGTTACTCACACAGATGTTAAGCTGTTAAGTGACAGTCATTGAACATGTTTTTCTTTTTTATCGTTTTTTTTTTCCAAATCTTTTTACATCCATTTCTTTCTTCATATTATCCTCTTGAATTCTGAATCATGCTTTCCCCCTCACATGCCTTTTTAACTGCTTTTTTGTATGTATTTGTGCAAGTGTATGTATGTGTGTGGATTTAAGAGATGCAGATATTTATCCTTTTTATGTCCCTGGTTTACAGATGGGCATTGCCATTGGGTTCCTGGTCCCCCCCATCCTTGTGCCTAATGTGGATGATTTGGATGAGCTGGCCCACCACATCAGAATCATGTTCTACATCAGTGCAGGGGTGGCCACCCTCATCTTCGTCCTGGTCATCATCGGTGAGTTTGCAAGTGGAGCTGATTTACATCGGCAGACTGATAGATGCGAGCGTAGGGGTTTTTTGCTCAGTCATGCAATAGAAACCTATACTGCAGCTCTCTTTCAATTCAAAGCCATGCTATTCTAGTTTGTTTTCAAATTTCTAGAGAATGAAATGTTGACCAGTCAGGGTCCATTGTTTGTCTGCAGTTCCATTCATTCCTTAATGGTAGAGCTGCTCCCTTGGTTGCTGGTCTTTCCTGGCAGCACTGTTGGAAAGCTGAGTCCCCCTGAAGTGTCCTTTCCACTGAAAACTCCACAGCACTGCAGCTCAGCTCTGGAAGAGCAGCTGCAATAATTGCCATAATTGTTCACTCCTTGATGGGATGTGTTTTGACACAATGGGAGATGCAAGCAAGTAGTCAGGAAGTCATGGAAGTGTTTTATGTAATCTTCTTTCCCCTCAACACCACTACGTCCTCCTTTCATCTCCAGGAAAGACTGAAACTCACAGACAGTCAGAGAAATTTAGTGAAGCTTCAACACAGAGGATTTGTTCAAGGAAATATTCACTCTGGCACAGAGGTTGACAAAATAGTGTATAGATCAGGTTAAAAGTTGCACCATACTTGTAATATAATGCTGTCATGTTCAGAAGGATTGTACCATTGAAATAGAGAGGATTATTTCCTCTCCTCAGAATAAAATAAAACATCTTAATATTTTTCTTTACGTTTACATTCACAAGTCAGCTTTCATTCATTTTAATGTTTAAAAGTCATATTAAAGCACAGGAAAAAAACAAAGTTATAAGACTAGACTGAATTGGCAGTAGGAACCACAGACGCCCCCATGCCTGCCCTGTACCAACACACATTCATGTTGTTTTAGTAGGCCTTGTTGGCTACGTGACAGAAATGCTTTTTCCGTTAGATTATATCCTTAACACACTTGTAATCTTACAAAATATTTGCACGTGTGTGTTTGTTATCCAGTGTTTCAGGAGAAACCAGAGATCCCTCCTACACAGGCTCAGGCTCAGGCCAGGAACATCCCTCCTGAGGATTACTCCTACACTGCATCTATCCTGAGGCTGCTACGCAACAAGCCCTTCATGCTCCTGGTGGTCAGCTATGGTGGGTCTCCTACATTCACAAAGAGACAGCTTTTCATCCTGGGCAGCTTACTAATAAATCTACTGTGTACTTCCTTTTTCTAAAATTTAGGCTTAAAAAAGTGTGAAATATCTAGCACAAGCAACCACCCAAGACCAAAGGCATGAAAAATAATATTAAAAACTAATTAAATCAGAACAAAAAAAATGATCAGATTGGAGTCAGTGTGGCCTCTAAGAGGACAATGTTCTTTTTCATCAGTTACCAAGATTAGTTGTCTTGTGTCATCACAGTGACATTGTAACACTCAGTTCATGTTGCATTTCAGTAGTTTGGACAAATAGTCTTTCTTGCTTTGGAAAGACCTGTACTGAGTGAAATTACCTTGAAGTGCAGAAGTGGAAGCCATAATAAAAGCTGCCTGGGTTCTATAAATGCTAAGAAAAGGTGCTTCAGTATTTTCTTTCTGTAGCGTTGAAAACACCGGACCATACACCACAAGAGGCAGAAGGTTGTCCCACAATTCTTTGCAGTGGGTGCTTTTAAAGTGATGCATTGGTGGACATAACAGAAGAGTTGCAGGCTCACTTTGTATACATAGCACACTTGACATCAATTTTATACCAGTTCAGTCAGAAGTCGTTTGATGGTTATGACTGAGGAAGGTTGTGTATAAGAAACTCCTCTCAATGGCTTCAGTGTTGTGACTGTTATTGAACGGTATCCTTTTTCTCCACTTCCAACCATCAAGCGGTCAGTAAAAATGGTAACTAGAAAAGCACTCGGAGAGCGCAGACCTCCGCCAAACAGCTCATGTCCCCCCTTATATTGTGATTCACACCAAAACTTTTACTGTTACGTGTCTTTTATTAACTTTTATTAGTGTTTAAACTGGTATGTTCACTGTTCATAATGTTCCTAAAACAACAAAGCTCATATTAGATACATAAATGCATGATTTATTTTATTGAGGTGAAAGGTCAAAAAGACGTAGAAGCCTAAAAGTAGACTCTACTTAATCATGTTTCTGAGAACTTATCATCTTTATCAGCTGGTGAAGTTGACATGAGGATGTGTCATCATTACACATGTCGACTCCGGTATGCTGCCTATGTGTGAAACTGATCTAAAGGTCTTTTGAGGTGTCACTTTCTTTTGGTCAAAGGTCACCATTTAATGATGTCATAGGAACAATCCTTAGTTTATTGGCCCACAATAGTCTGTAAGCCTTTGAAGAAGTGTATTTTGAGGTCTTTTTAGAGGTATTTCTGCACCAGACAGCACTAATTGACCAGTCGTAAATCTTTTTTACTTATTGGCTTATTTTTTGTCATCTGTAGGGCTGAACGTTGGCTGTTTCTATGCTGTTTCCACACTGTTGAATCGGATGATCATCGAACACTATCCTGTAAGTCCTAGTTAGTTTCTTAAACATGAATCTGCATGAAACAGCTATGTCCAATTTTGTATCTGTTATTTCTACCTTCCCTTCTGCCATATTTCTAATCCTGAATAGGCTCAGTGTCATGAAAACATTAATGGTCTTCTTTGACACTGATGACTATAAAGCTTCCATAAAAATGACTTTAATACAAAAGAACTGTGGTCTGTGAGTTTTAAATGTTGTGATAGGATAACTGCAGGTAGAAATATGATTTTTGGGATTGAAATGTTTACGTTTCTCTTCTTTCAGGGTGAAGAGGTGAATGCTGGGAGAATTGGTCTGACTATAGTCATTGCTGGCATGGTGGGGTCCCTTATATGTGGCATTTGGCTGGACAAAACCAAAACCTACAAGTGAGATTTTTCTATGTATTACAGTTTTTCTGTTGACTTTATCTGCTTCCAAATGTTTTTTTTTTGTTTTGTTTTGTTGCACAAATTACTAACACAACAACCTTTAGAAAAAGAAGAGCCTTCGGTACCAGGATTTATGAGACACTACTCCAGGTGTAACGTGAAGGCTTGCAGCTCTCAACATTTGATGACAGACATACTAGCATGCAAACACTCTCCCACTCCTGTCGTGGAAATTGCAGTGATTTTTGTTTATGTGCTTCCAGTTTATTTCAACAATAAATTTCTTACTTTCATAACACCCCATACTTACAAGAAGAGGAGTTATAAGCATTGCTTTTTATGGCAGTTCATTAAGCTAAATGCACAGCCGAGCATACTAACACTATCACTTGGACATGTTCTCTTACTATGCTAACATTCACATTCCTTTTTGCTAACTGAACAAAGGTATGAACATTTTCAAGTTGAACCTTTAGCCAACATGCTAACATTTTCTACAAAACATGAAGGAGAGATAAAAAGAAGTACAGCTAAGGCTAAAGGGGAATCAAGCACAACATTTACAAATTAAAATGATGAACTTTCAACCATGATGGTCCATGATGACTTCTCAGTCAGGCATAGAGATAAACTTCTCCAACAGGATTTTGAGTCTTCAGTCAGTCTTGCTGCTGCAGTTTTGGTTGTACTGTTAGACTCGCTTGGATGTCGACTAAATCCCCCGTTCACGTGGAGATGTCTCGGCAAATCAAAGCTTTTGTCCAAAGGAAGCAGGGATGAGAATCCAGCAGAACTGAGTTTCTGATGTGATGTTGCTCTTCACTTATCTCAGCTGACAAGCTTTACTCTGCTGGCCCTGCTGGGTCACATCTCAAGCCTTTTGCCACTCCACTGAACATGCAAAATACAAATAATTCATTTTTATTAACCGAGATTTTCATTTGGTGTCTGAATATTGATGCTAATAATGAACTTTAATGTCTTTTTTTTGGGCCCAGTGGATTTACTAATTCTTATTCTCGGTAGTATTTGAGTCATAGGTGTTTGGATCTGTGCCTTCAGTGAACTGGCATGCAAACTATTATGTCTGGAAAAAGAATCTCTTGTCCTCAGATTCCTTTCATGCCATTAGGATGCTTTAGCTGTTTCAGCACTCAAGCCCAGATCTATGTTGTTGACCCTTACATCCCTTTTGTCCCATGAGGGAGACTAAAGGGACTTTGTTGAATTAACAAAACACAGGGTTGGCCGTGAGACAGCTTCACCAGTGTAAGCCTGTTTGTGCAGGTGGCCTGAGTTTTGATAAGAGGGCTACAGTGATTCCTGAATAGTTTTGGTACTGAGAAATGAGCTTTAAGTGAGAGATCTATCAGAGAAAAAAGACTCAACTATTTGTCCTTAAGATTATATCAATGAAAAAGTGATAACTGATGAAATGCAAGTGAATCACTTGATGATGCATCAGAGTATTTGATTAATGAAGAATACAAAAAGCCCTTACAAGGTGAATCATCGTAGTGCCACCGTGAGGAGTCATGAAGTAAATCAGTGAGTCAGATTAGAAAGGGGATCTGTTCAGAGTGCCTTACTATTTTATAAATAAATGATCAATAATAGTTGTATCACACAAGCCAGGACAAGGAGGTGCTGCCAAAGAGATATTCTGTGCCACTCTGAAAAACAAATAAAATGAGATGTGTGTACACGGAAAAGCTATTTTTGTTGTGCAAACAGAAAAGCTGTCTGGTGAATTGATTGTGTGGGAGTATTTCCTTTTTCTTATCAGCTTGACCAAGCCTGTAGCCAGTAATTTAATTATTGATATTAAACCCAAATTAGGCCAAATGGGATTTTTCAAGATTATCTGGAGTATTTAGAATAATGCAGTATTCTCCTCAAAACACTTGGGATACTTCTCAATTTTCTCAGTTTTCAAACAAGCAGTGTCTTTAATCTTTTTCTTTTACTGTCTCATCAGACAAACTACTTTGGCCATTTATCTTCTTTCTCTGATCGGGATGCTGGTCTACGCCTTCACCCTCAACCTGGGTCACCTGTGGTTGGTGTTTGTTATGGCTGGACTTTTAGGGTAAGTTACCAACACAGAGGCCAGAAAGATTACAACCAGGCCTTCAGAATTACAGGTATAATTTATTTCCATACAAATTATGAGGAAAAATGAAGAGTCGCAGGTACAATTTTCAGCTTGTAAGTGACTGCACTGAGCACTGCTTCACTCATCTGCAAAAGTGTCAGATTTTTCTTCTCTTTCAAAATCTCTGTGCATTTTGATTTATAATCCCAAAAATATAAGGTTAACACTGACTCTAACCCTCAACTGTATTTTCAGATCCTATAAATTCAAAGATAAGCTAATATTTCTTTGTATTCCTTCATCTAGCTTCATTTCAGATTTGTCAACGTAAAATTAAAGCTCCTTCTCATTCCTCGGTCGACATGCCTTGTCCTTACAAACATTGCTATTTGTGGTAAGCTGATTACAGCCAGAGTTGGTTTCCATGGCAAATCCTCTGTCTGGTTTTTATTCCTCGAAATTCAGACAGGATGTATTTGACAGCAGTATACACTTGTCCTACTTTCACGTTCATGGAGATTGTTCTGCTGTTCTGGTGTAGAATAAACACTTTTGTTTAAACTATAGATCAATCTTTCAATCTGTCTGTCTGTCTGTCTGTCTGTTTGTCTGTCTGCAGCTTCTTCATGACAGGGTATCTACCTCTGGGCTTTGAATTTGCCGTGGAGCTCACCTATCCAGAATCAGAAGGAACCTCATCAGGACTCCTCAACTGTTCAGCTCAGGTTGGCATTATCTCCATCTTTAATCAAGAAAACCAACTTAAGATGTGACGGTTTTCTTTTGTCTTTGCAGATCTTTGGAATCATTTTCACCATCGCACAGGGGAAGATCATCGATGCATGGGGGACTTTAGCAGGAAACATCTTTCTGTGCATTTTTCTGCTAATAGGATCGATAATGACTGGTATGATTTTAACCGGTTATCTGTTTTCGTGGCACTTATCTTTAGAGAAAACACACAACTGTGAACTCATCTCAGCAGATGTGGACATTGAGCTTTTATAGGTTGGAGAACTGTAAAAAATAATGTTTACGTTTCTTAAATTACTCATACAGTCTTACTCTTTTAAAGGATAAGACTGCCCCCCAGTGGCAAAATAAAGAACCAGCATTTAGAAGAGGCGCAACTCAATGAAAATGTAGACTGATCTATTTTAATACTGCTTACCACACATTAGTCTAATAATCTCCCAAATTATTCTCTTCTTTTTGTCACTTTTAAAGCTTTGAGGTCCTCAGAAGAACACTGAGATATTTCTTAATGACCTCTCTCTTGTCGTTGCTGTTTTTCAACATTTTATTTCAACCCAAAATATGCTAAATTGCAGGAGTGAGTCACTGTTGACATGCTTTTTTCTTTTGACTGAGAGTCAGTGATTATTGTAACACAATCATCTATTTTTGGCTTTCTTTCACCGTCACACAGGATTCATCAAATCTGACCTCAGGCGACAAAAGGCCAACCAGCAGATTGAGGTGCAGTCAGCGAGTGTAAGTACATCTGTGTGTGCTACATCAAGTCAGAGGTGGGATCTTCACATCCCCGAGAGAGGGAATGTGTGAGATACCGCCCTGTCTCTGTGCTGAACGCAGAGCCCTTGCTGTGCAGCACACTACTGCAGGCATGCACGCTGGGGATTGCAGGGGTTGCACTGCTGCACTGGTTAAAACTTTCTCTTGAAACTCACTTATAACACTCTCACTCTCACACCAATTGCACAATTCTGCTCTGTCTGACAGCTCGGCAACAGACCCTAACAGCACAGTAACATACTCATCCAAGAAGACCAAACTGTTGTAACTAACCTTGTGAGGAACTTTGTAACAACCTTACGTGCAGATGCGAGCTATCAAACAGATCAGTACTATCCACGCATTAATTTGTCTGAAGTTTTAAAGTCACCAAAACAACAATGCAAACCACTGTTAACACAAAAAGAGGTTCAATTTTTCTATTTAATCTGGGATGTACATCTTTAAAAAGGTTTTGTTTAATAGTTCACATTTATACTCCAGATTAAAGCTTGTACCAAAAGAGAAAACTTAAACTGCTTTTAAATTTCAATAACAAATCTCAGTTTGAACAGAATCCTTCTCCACATTGCGCGTCCTCTGCTTCTCACTTGTTGCCTTGTTTGAGACAAGCCCTGCTGTCTTGCTTAATCCTTTCTCTCTCCATAAACTTCAGATTTTAACAATAAAAGCAGCTGAATCCTGCAAACTAACAGAACTTAATCCAACTGTATTAAGACCACCACCACTTTGCTTAAGTTACGAATGAGCTAGTCCCCTTAAGTGCTATAGATTACTTACAAAACATGCAGAACAGTCATCAAAAAGCTTTAATAGGGGAAGCATGCAGAAGAAGGTTACATCGTAAACTGTGCAATTCGCAGCATGATGACTGAATAAAACACCAGACTCTCCTCAGTGCATGTAGAGGGCAGTAACAGTTGGGAGTGCAGGTTTTGGTGGAGGCAGTGTGGTGGTGGAGATGGTGTATTGTTTGGGATGATGGGGTGGCCTTTCTGGGCCCCCCAGAGGTGTGACACCCAAGTTATCATTCCAGCCTACAGGCTCTGTGTCGTCGGTGCAGGACTACGGGGCCACGGCTCGCAGCGGCCCCTGGCAACAGCAGCCTTGATATAAATCCACAACATCACTTAAACCAAAACACACATCTGCAAAGGTAGGGGCACACACACTTTGAAGCTGTTGAACCCTACACGATCACACTCACACACATAACGGACATCTGACATTACATTAACCTTTTCTATAGTGTTATCTTTCTGTCGAGCCGAGTGTCACTGTCATCAATGGTTACTAACAAATGTGTTAAAGTTGTCTTTTCTTATGGTAAACTTGTTCATGTACTGTGACTGTGGAATAAACGTAAAATCTGTTAGATGGAAGAATATTTAAGGAAACAGATTTCAAGCAGTTATGTTTCTCTGTGCTTCAAAAACAAACTTTTGAACGAGTTCATTCAGCATATGTTTGAATCTGAAAGCATCTACTGCAAAGACACATTAGACTTGAATACCAAAGTGATGTACAGATTATTCTGAGCTCTGACAAATTCTTGTTTTCTTTCTAAATTGTGTGATGAACTGTTCTATTTTTTTGTTCTTTTAGGAAAACACCATACTAGTTTTCCTGCTAATGTAATTGCTTTTACATCCTTTCTCTTTACAGAAAAAGACACTTGAAGTGGCAGGAAGCGTCTCCCCACCTGCAACCCTAGATGAGGTGAAGCTATGAGGGGGACTGACACTACCTCGTGCATGGATAAAAACAGATACACTGACATACAAAGAGGCTGCCGTGAAGACGTCACATCACACTGTGCAGCTCTCCACGAGGCTTTTATGTACTGTACGTGTCGCTCCAGGACGAACGCCGGAGTCACACACTGACATCCCAAGTGCAACTTAACTAACCAAAAGGAAGCACAATTCAATCATGCACAAGGAGATTGCACTTGGAACATTCATAGTTTAAAAAACAAATTAAGTAAATGTAGATTTTATGATTTTATTTAATATAGACATTTCCCATGTCTTTTTTAGTGCTGTGCAGCTGCTTTTAAAGTGACTCCAAAAATATCACACTCCAATAACACACCTCTGGGCTTCTTTCACCCACTTCAGATTGTTAATACTGTGTTCTATGACTCTAATAAGCAATACTAATATTCTAAGTGTTTCCTAACTGTGGACCAATAATTTCTGTGACTGAACTCTCTCTTTAGATTACTTTAAGGAGTTTTTTAAATGGAAACTGTAACATGTTCTCCTGTCATGGCCGTACATGATTTGGAACACGTAGAGGTATTACCTTCAACTGCTGATTTTAAATATGATTGATGCTGTGCATCGGCTCACACTCTAGAGGATAAGTTTTGTCCTCATAAGACTGTAAGGGAAACGTAGTGATATTTTAAACTGGATAAACATACAACAGTGTCTTGAACACATCAAAGCAGCACAAAACATGACTGCAAGATCAGGCAAGTCATGCTTCAATCATCATTTTGCACACAAAAATGTTATGTAAAACCTTCTTCAGTGGTAAAGTTGTTACTGAGATATGTTTTTACTGTGTTCATGTTCTCCTTGATGTTTTTTTTCATAGATTTTTTGAGGTGCAAGCTCTTTGACTGGCATCTTTAGGACTTCTATTGTGCTATTAAAGGTTTCTGAACCCTTAGAGTTAATAACTTATATTCACAGAGGTAAGATTTCTTTTCAGCTGTTTAGAGCTTGGTGTTTCCATTTTATTAGAAAGACAAAAAAAACCAACTTTACTAATGTTCATACTGCTCCCAATCTCACCTGATGGCCTAAAAACAAACCCCATGATCATCTGTTTACATTTGGATAAAATGAGAAAGTTAAAGTTATTTTCTCTGTTTTTAAAAAACATTTTTTGACCCCATCATAAACTAAACCAGCACAGCTCAAAGGCAGAGGACATGTTGTAAAACCTCTTACTTCAACACAAATATAAGTGTTAACTTACATTTAACATAGCCAAGCCATCGACAGAGTGTTTGGAAAAGTTTTTTCATACTTGGATTATACAAAAAAAACCCATCACACTTTTAAAGAATTTATAGGAGAATAAGTGAGTGTATTTTAAAGGATGTACAAGCTTTCCACAGCACAGAACAAATATGGCAAATAAAAGCTGACTTGTATTTGTGTGTCTTTGTAATGAAGAGCATAGTTTTATACTGAAAGGATGTCTGAGTTCTTAAAAAACATGAATTAAAAATAAAGTAGAAGAAGCGCCTGTTTAAGTGTCACCATCATTGCTATTTGAAAAATAAGATGAATTATTCAACAGATGAATTGCATTCAGCACTTACAAGTTTCATCACTTCTTTCACATGTACAAGGGTCCATACATTGACAAGCTGACAAGCAATTCATTATAAACATTTTAAGCAAATATTGTTGACTATAACAGAACAAGACTTACTTCACTTAATTGCCGCTGTAAAAATCCAGTTTAGAAAATATTTAACATAGCCCAGATGGAGACTTATAAAATCTTTAGGTTGTTAAATGTCTTCAAAATCACTTAAATCCACATCTAGTGTTCTTCAAGGCAAAAAGCAGTGGAACCATAGGACCAGAGCAGCAGTCCCTGATGGTCAGAGCAGAGCCTAATTCAGTTGCGCTTCTTCTGTCTTGCCCCAACTTCCTCCTCCGACTCTGGGAAACACTGAAACCATAGACTGTATATACATCCATGCATCTGACTACAGCCTTCTTTATAACACAACAGCTTCATCTGCATGGACCCAGCAGTCCAAATAAAATCTTCTTCCACTGCTTGGGCAAGACGACTCTCCACGGGTAAATGTCACATACTTGAAGTACAAAATGAACTTGCAGGTTGTTCCCTTTTGCTTATGAGTGTCCTCTCACAGTCAAGTGTGGATCGATAGGACCAGCATCAACTCCTTGGCCGTGAATGAAAACCCTCACTACAAATATCAGAGGATGCTGGTGGCTGGGACTGTGTCGGTCAACTCCTCAGGTACCAGATAACTCAACTCCCTATGAATTCAAACTTGTGGGCTTTGATCTAATGCTTTAAAACTGCACTAATCAAGATTTTTGGTATAAACATAAAATACTGACTGTATGGATTGAAAGTATCTGCATTATCCATCGAACACACGAATTATCACCGAACTCTTCAGTGTCCCTGATCCTTAAAGAGCCTTTTAGTTTTTTAGCTCGTTGTTTTGTTTGTAAATTTTACTTTTAATGCTCCATCTGTTTTTCCCGAAATCTGTGATATAACCAGCTCTGAATGTAACATTTTTGGCTGACAAAGCCTGGAAAATGTTGTTGCTTCTTTAAATTGCATCCCTTGTCAGTGTTTATTTGTCAACATCAGTTATTGCAGTATTAGAAATTTTGGTTCTGTTGCAGGGACACAAATCTTACTGAAAGATACCTCCATCATGCCAGACATCCCCGGACTCCCTGCGCTTCTCACCATGCTCTTCACCCCTGTAATGGAGCTATGGTAAGCAGACTTAGAACATTACAACCCAAAGAAAGTAAAAAAAAAAAAAAAGACTGCAGCATTGAAATTTTACTCCCCATTTTCATAGCACTAATGAAGAAGGGACCTGCTACACCGGCGCCCTCTGTGGCTTGGGCTGGAACAGCCAAACACAGAAGGGCATCCTACCTGAGAATGACATTGAGCTCGCCTTCAATGTCAAGTTTGATGCTGAAGATATCATCCAGGTAAGTCATCACCAGGACGACTCCAGTGCATTAAACTGTTTTACAAGTTATATGTCACCACAAGAAATGATATGTTTTTTAAGCTTTACAGCTCTCTGATGTTTTTCTTAAAGCAAAAATAATCCGTGAAGGACAACAAGCACAGAGTAAAAACTAACATCAACACCAGTTTTTGATCAAGCTGTACTTTGTGGTACTGGCTCTGGCATTTTAATGATCAGCATGTTTTACTGCAGGGCTCTCACATCATGAATCACTCTCTTTTTGTATTACTGATTGGTTATTAATTTCTTTGGCTCTCTTTAGATCAACGCCTTGCGAGCGGCTATAAACCGTCTGGTGTGTGAAGGTGTCAACGGCACTCTACATCTGGGGCCCAACAAGATCGCCCAGCTGCAGGAGGACTGCCAGGACCGCCTCATCGGGTAGCAAACACAGAGCCACTGAAAACAGTCATTAACAGTATGAATAAGAAATGTTCGGTATGTTTTTATTATGCCTTTCAGACTTTTCACCAAGTCTCCACCCAGAGAAGCTGTCACCCCTATGGAGAAATACCTGATGTGGAATCAGGTATACACACACAATAGGGCTCCTTTTCTGTACTGTAGATTGTCGCTTTTGTTGCTCGTTATCCCCGCCCATTGTTTGATGAGTACATTTAAACCAAGTTTAAAAGAAACTCTCTCTCTCTCTCTCTCTGTGTGTGTGTGTGTGTGTGTGTGTGTGTGTGTGTGTGTGTGTGTGTGTGTGTTGAACCTGCTGGCGGATCCTGCTCTGGAGAAGCTCAATGTTGAGCCTGGAAGCACAGGGACCAGAGATGTTCTCTTCCAGCTACATCCTTTTACCCCCCTCAACAGCTAAGAAGCTGTTGAACGAACAAATTTCGTTTCATGACGTTATTGCGTTGTGCATTGCTTAGCTAAAGCCTTTGTAGTTAATTGTGATTTTCCTGCCAAACTGAGATGTAAGGCCAGTGCCTTAGTGTGATTTTTTTTTTTACATACTGTAATTAAAAAAAAATCTACTCCAATAAGCTGCGATGTCTCACTTGTGGTATTTTCTTGACAGTGAGAAAAATGTACTCAAAACTTTTTTATTTTTATTTTTTATCACAAAATCCTGTACATGAACATTGTTATTGGTTAAGGGTTACTTAAAGCTCATAATGAAATATCAGAAGTTTACACCTATAGTAGTAGTTTCATTTTATAGCTCTTCGTTTTTTCCTAAAATGTGAATGTTTTTATACATTATCCAACCTCCAAAATAGACTAAAGGTTGGTAGTGTTGGTTCCAGCTCTCAAGATTACAATATTGAAGTACAACTTATGTAATGCATTGATAACTACAATACATTGATATAACTAAATAAAACCGACAAAACCATCTTGCTTGTCTTTAACTAAAAGCTTTTTATTTTACTGTTTCTTTTATTTATTTGTTGGTGATTTTTTTACGTTTCTGCATTTAACCACTAAGCCACTTACCGCCATTACGTGCCTCGCGCGCTTCTATCTCTAAGCCATCTTCTTGCGTATGACAGAAAAGAAGGAGAACAAAATGGACGAACCGTCGTTGCAGGGCTCCGGGTGAGATGACAGCTAGTTAATAGTCTTTTAACGATGCTCAAGGGTCCGTGTACTTGGCGGCCAATGGATTCTTGTACTTAAATGAAGAAAGAAATAACATTTGAATGAATATCTTCCTTACTGGTCGTTTCGTTTTTTCATTTGAAAACGAAAATCCGTTAGCCGTTAAGTACACGGACCCACAAGCTAGCATTCCCGCCAGAGAAACCTAGCTTAACGGTCGAATAATGCTAAAGTGACTGCAGTTTTCGTCATTAATGGAGGCAAACTGAATCACTTTGACAGCATACTAGCATATAAAAGTGTAAATGAGGAATTAAGAAGTTTTTATTATTTTTTTGTGTGTAATTGGTAGGCTGTGGTGCACCATCCAAAACTTCAGTGTGATTTCTCCATGGTAAAGTTTGTAGCAATACTGATTAAGCCAAACTAGGATTTAAAAAAAATGACTATGACTTCAGCTGAGCTTTTAAAAAAAATAAATTAGTAAACGTCTTAAGTCAAGGAAAGTCTACTGTAAGAACAAACTGTATTGTCCTGGGTTGTCTCTAATATTTCTATATTTTGAAATACTTGAATGTTCTTCTGAAGGGCTGTTTATGAAGATAATATAAATCGTAGGTTTTACTGTTCAAAATGTCATATTTTTGGCAGAAGAAAATGTGTCAGTCAGTCACAGGTTGACAGTTTCACTTTAAAGGTACAAGCAATAAAACCAGGACAGGGAATAAAGCTTAATTATTTGTGAATTTGTCCAAGTCACAAAAAAATGTCAAACATGGATTTCTGAATAAGACTTTTTAAATGTTTATTTAATTGTAAAATGGTTGGTACCTTTTGTCAAGGTGTGTCCACTCAGAGGCCTTGAGACTCATTCCCACTTCCTAACAATCCTCCTTGAATTACATACCCAGATGTAACACCAAGGTTATATCAGGGGTATGCCATTGCAAAAATGCTATTGGACCATTGATTTAGGATTGAAATCAGTAGGTGAAAAGCTACCGTACTTAAAAAGTTAAACAAATTGTGCATCAAGCTCAAAATTGTCTCTATATTTTAAAAGATTTGAGTCACTGCAAGAATATGGCCATAGATGTTATGAGTAGCATTGTCCTTCTTCTGCCCCTGAAAATGTCCAGAGTTGCTTGAATACATGTCTCTAAAAATGGGACCTTTTACTGTCAGATGAGGGGGATAGTAGATTGGGGAGTGGAGATAAATCATGAGAGGCAGGACATGACATAAAAAAGCATGCTGCCAAAGTCTGTGTTATGAATGATTACAACAGGATAGGTGACGAAGTAACAGAGACCTATGCCATGATTACAGATTTTGTTTCTGAATTCATGCTACATGTAACCAAACATGTGCACACATCTGGTCCTCCCTCTTCGGTCTCAGATGTGAAATTCAGCTTGTTCCTTTTCTGGGTTTGCACTTGTTGCATGATAAAACCACAAATTCTCTGCTGTTTATGTTTACATATGTACCTGTGTAAAAACAGCTATAGTGTAGTGCTGTATGCCCCTGTGGATCTGAGAGGAACTGGGTAGAAATAAGGAAGGTCCCAGTCTCTGTTGAGACCTGAATTTGAACCAGAGTGCCGCATGGCCCTGTCTACATATCCAGATATCGTCGGGATCTCCTCCCTTTGGTGGTCTCCACAGTTTGGGACAGTGGGTGTGACAAAACCCTGCTTTATTTGGTAGCGGCTGGTCCAAGCCTCCATTGGTCAGAGCTGTGCTGGGTGCACTGAGAGGTTGTCCTTTCCCTCGTAATGTTTTTGACTCAGAAAGTCCCTCAGTACCTGTTTGAAGACAGATGCCAGCTCCCAGGGCTTTATGTTGTTAGTGGCAAGCACCTCACGAAACCTGTGAAAGGACACAACCAATCAATTTTAATAAATCACTTGTTGAAGGTGCAAAATTGGTATCAGCACAGTATCAGCATCCTACATTTTTAGTGAGCTGTGTCTTATGTGTTGTTGAACCCTCTCAAAATGACCTGTATACTCTTTGCATAACGCATTTCCTCCTAAATAGGTCATTCTCCGGTTATTTGGTTGTGTAAGGACAGAGTAGTGACCCAGCATCGAGTTTTATGGAAAATAAAACAAGTAGGTCACTGTGATCAGCCATGTGGAAAAACCTTTTTTTATATCATTATTACTTGAACAAAGATTATGAAAACCCCAGCAGTCTGGCCTCACTCAGCCTTACAGGGCACCCTTCACCTTCACACCCAAGCTGCCCTCCTTTGTGACAGTAACACATAATGGCTTTCTTGGCAGCCTGCCCTCCTTCCCTTCTCATCCCTTTAGGTCTTCTCTGCTTTTCCTGCTGTCAGGCCTTGTGTTGATGCAGCAGCAGCTAGCCACTGTTGACAGCATACTAATGTGAGGATGGAGCACGGCATGGCTGCTTGCAAATACCTGGAGAGCACGGTGGCTGCATGGACAAAAGGGATCTGTGCACAGAGGAACTCCAGCTGGTGGAGCTCAGATGTAGGGATGAGAGTCCGTAACCTGGGGTACTTCTGGAACCAGTGGGTGCCCAGAGCACTGTGGGTCAGCCTGTTCTCCCGCTCCAGTTCCCTTGCCAGCCGCTCTCGTTCCTCCACATGCCACAGGAGCTCTCTGATTAGCATACGACTGGGCACAACTTCAGGGGTCTTAAAAGGGGCTTCCTCAGTCTCAGCTTGCGCTTTTGTTTCAGTGGTCCATTTCATCCAGCTGAACAGGGGCATGGTGGTCACAGTAGACTGGCCTGAAAAGCCGATGAAACAAGTAATTTTATGGTCTGCATGATGATTCAGTGACCTCCCCTCTGCATGGTTCGGTCACTCAATATCTATGGCTACATTTTCTGAGTCACACCTTCAAAAGACGGGTCAGTTTTGACCGGTGTATGATGTGCACGAAGACCGTGAAAGCTGAAAAAAAAAAAAAAATCTTATGAGAAAAAAAAATGAAACAAGTCAAAATCAGTTAATTCCTGCTGATGATAAAAAAGGAAAGAAATGGAGTGAAAAAATGCATTTCTCTCGAAATTGGGGTCAAATTTCCTGCTTGAAATAACAATGAAATTGCATCACAAAAATTGCAACCTCTCTTTAATTGACGTATGTGTTTATTATAGCTAATTTTATATGTGCATATATTTTAGCCCTGATTAGATAAAGATTTTAAAGTTGGCAGTGAAAGATCATCATCCTGCAACAGAGCTGACCTCTGGTCCTTGCCTGATGGGCGCTCTGATTGCTTTCAGTTTGAGTGTAACCAGGTAAAGGACGATGTATCAGGTGTGTGTAATTTGCTTTTTCCACCTCAGGCTGATGAATTCAACCAAGCCTCCACCTGAGATCAGAGCCTGCATGGTCAGAGGTCAACCTCTGTGGACAAAAACTATGTGTAAAGCTGCAATATTTTGAATAGAAACCAATATTTAAACCAACATGTGGAAAAATTTGACTCTGGCATCTGGGTGTAAAGTCAAAGTAAGGAGCTATACTTACAGGTGAAAGCTGATCCACTGATGTGAGATTTTTTTAGAAATTGGGCTTTTCAGAGACTACATCTTCCAATGAGTTGTCTCCAGGAGACAGTCCATGAAAACTTCATTCCTTTACTTGGTGTTGATTTTCTCCCCCTGATGTCAGATGGAGCTCATCGTCTGCAGTAGTCCTCCACTGTCCTGGTTTTTGGCAGCGTTTTTTCTTCTTTGTGTTGTAGGTATTGTCCAGTCCTTTTTGTCCCTCCCACTGCCTTTGCCATGCAGGCTTTTTGCAGATAGTCACACTGTCACCTCTCCTTTCCCTTCACCCCACTCTCCTCTGTGCAGTATGCAGCTTCAGTGTAAGGTCAGCTGCTTTGTAGCTAGCAGGAAATGTGTGCACTGGAGAGAAAGGAAGAGGGCGAGGGTGCATGTGTGTGCACGAGCCGTGGGTGTGCTTTATGTGAGCTTTGCTCAGTACTGTCATGGTTGTGCTTGTTGAGAAAAAATCTTTCCTTCACGTGGAGAGTGAGAGGCAGAGATAACTGGGAAGGCTCTCCTGTAGGATGAGCCTGGTAAATCTGACCAGATGGCAAAATGAGTGGAAGCAGACTCAGGGTAAAGTTTCATCATGCTCAAGTGATGTAGGGATCAGTATCTGTGAACCTATACTCAAATCAAATTTTCAATGAGAACCTTAGCATTGCTCAGCCAAGAATTTTTCATATCATTAATTATCATAAAATCACATATTCAGAGACTTGATGTTTTTTTTTTTTAAGTGACTGCATGTCAGGTTACATTAACTTCTGCAGTGGCCATCATTAGCCTCAGCAGACATAGCAAAGAAGATGACAGCTGACAAATTCCATTATATTCTCAGTTCCCCCTAGTTATTAATACAAACATAAACAAAACAGCCCCTCATTTAAAGCAATCTAATGTTATACCGAAATCTGCACTGAAACAGCTTTGGAGTTCAGTTGCCTGTTATTACAATTAGTGATGCACGATATGAAAAATTTCAACCGATACCGATAACCGATAATTTTCTTCTTCTCATGGCCGATACCGATACCGATAACCGATAAATTCATATTTTTACATTTACTATAATCTTCATATAATCTGCAGTTTGTGCAGGATGCAGCGATTGAAAACTGATATTTTTGTTGCTCTGGCCTATCTAGAACAACAAACAAAAGTTTTTGGCTCTTCAAATGTGGTCATTTGCTATAAATAACAATAACAGAGCAAAAAGCAGAACTTCATTTGATCCCCTGAACTGTTCAACAGAACTGTAACTGTAAAGGAGCTATTATGAGCCGTTAGGCTTAGCATGCTGACCGGACTAACATCTGACGTCCATATGTCTGTGGTAAAACTCACGTGTAGTCCGTTCTTGTCGATCAGGTTGTGAATGTATGTGGCGACAATATCATAGAGTGCAGGAAGAGACACATCCGAGAAGAAGCGGCGGCTTGGGAGAGTGTAACGTGGCTCCAAGTGTGCTATGAACTTACGAAAACCCGGGTTCTCAACGACGGAAAAAGGCTGGTCGTCGACCGCTATGAACTCCATCACTTTGTCGTTAATGGCTTTAGCCTTTTCGCTGTCTCTTGAGAAGCTTTTGCAGTTCTTAAACGCCTGCTGAATGGGGACATCGATCCTCCGTAGTGTTGTTGTCTTAGCTTTAGTACCGCTAGCAGCTTCGGCGGCTGTCTCATAGTCCTTTAATACTGCTCCGCCGCGATGGCGACTTTTCAGATGAGCTATCAGATTCGTTGTGTTAAAACTTGACGTCTTCATTCCTCCTCTTGGAATCCTCACTGAACAGGTTTTGCATATAGCAATGCTGTTGTCATCTTCTGCCACTGAGAGAAACGACCATGCTGGTGAAGACATTTTATTATCTGTCAGGCAGTGACGGGGTCAGGCTTGGGACCTGCGAGTAAGGCTTGATAGACGACGTGACCAGCGCGTCTCGGACGGACGGCTACTCCGCCTGCAAACGTTACTCGTAATTTCATTAATATATCGGATCTTTCTATCGGAAAAATGCACCTATCGGACCGATAAAAAATGACGTAATTTCCCCCCATATCGGCCGATATTTTATCGGTCCGATAAATATCGTGCATCCCTAATTACAATGACAAACCTCAGAATTGTCTCTGGTTATTGCATGTATTTAACCATCATAGATCTCAGGACTTAGGGTTACTTACAGAGTTGTGTTTTTTAAGATGAAGCTTTGGCACCACGCTTCATTTGTTTTTGGTTAACAACCTACTACACTTTTTGTCTGTGACAGGCCACTGTAGATTACTCAAGTAGTGGCTTTATTGAATTGTTTTTGTCATTTGTTTTTAGACATGATTCAACATTTTAACATGTTTGAACATTGTTTCAGCCCTAGTACAACTCCTGATGAAGGCAGCCTGAAAGATTTCAACTCTGATGGAGACCTGGTTCAAAAAGAAAACCCTGTGAGGAGTAAGTATGAGGTGTATGAAATTCTGTGTCAGCTGTTTCTCATGCTAAGACATACTCAGTTGATGTTTTGACAACTTTTTGCCTTCAACTGTCTGTCTTCAGGTACTGCACCTCCCCCACATGAAAGCTATGAGTATCCCAACCTGCCTATCACAAAAAACAGACAGGAGGTAACCTGTACAATCTATCCACCGCATACAATCATGTTGTCCCCCTGAAGTTCTCTGTCTTCAAGTTTTGTTGGTTTCTGGAACTTTCATCATGTCCTCAGGACAGATATGCACTTAAGCCCTTAGGTTTTGTCTAGGATGAGTTCTCTAATGTTGTAGAACAAAGGCTGACTTTAAAGTCGGTGATCTTTTTGTGGCTTGATAAAGTGGAGTGTGTGCCAGGGTTATCTTTTTTAGATAAGTCATTTATAATGCAGATTCTTAAGTGTCGACTTGAGACAACAATTCAGCTTTATACCTCTGTTAAGTAAACCGTTTCATTAACTATTCTTGTATTTCCTTTTTATTTCAGTAATATGAAACAATTGACCAAATGGGGTTTCAACAGTACGTGTGTATCTGCCTGTTTCTGTTTTCTGTGTCTTTGTGTTGGTGTTCCTGCCTCCAGCTGGTTTCTCTGGTGGAGAACAACTCCGTAGTGATCGTCAAAGGGGCCACAGGCAGTGGCAAAACCACTCAGCTGCCACAGTACATTTTGGACCATTACAATGAGAAGAATGCCCCATGCAACATCGTGGTCACCCAACCACACAAAATCGGGGCAAGAAATGTTGCACAATGGATCGCCAAACAGCGAAAGTGTACCTTAGGCAGTCTGGTGGGATATCAGGTAAGTGCAACACTTAGAGGCAAGAGGATTTAATGAAGGTGTTTCTTTAGAGATATAAAATAATCATGAGTGTTAATTTGACACTGTTTGCTCTCTTACATATCTTATCATAACATCTTTCACATGTTATCAGAAGTGTTTGTTTGCTTATTTTCTTCCAGGATTTCAGGCTATGTTATACAGCAGGGGTGGGCAATTAATTTTTACATGAGAAACCTGAACTGTGTCGGAGGGCCGAACCAACAATAACTTAAACTTCAAATCGGGGGATTCACACATACAGCGAAGCAAACCCAAATAAGCAACTACTAGTTAAAAACAAGCCCAAAAAAAGCACACTCCGGACTCACGAGTTTTACAAGTGACTTCTTAGAGAAGCAAGCCTGAAGTTGTTTATAATAAGCGGACTTGGCAACTATAAGGCGTCTACGAATATTTTGCCAATGTTTAAACTTGTCTCTGTTCACGAATGCAGATCTAGGATGTACGCACATGCATCCAGACGGAAATAAAACAACGGCTAGGTTTTCAAAATAAAAGTAATGCACTTGGATAGCATGTTGATGATTTGATTGATGGACCTCACGGGCAGGGACATCCAACGGGCCGAATGTGGCCCTCGGGCTGTAAAATGCCCAGGTCTGTTTTACAGAGTTTTCAAACAGCTTGTCTAGAAATGATCGATTTCTCTTCTGCTTGGTGCAGCTCTCTGGAGTTAAGAAGGATCTCACTGATTGTGAGAGCAGAGATAAACAGATACTGTTTTAAGAGATCATGTTACTGCTGTTACTGTTGAAAGAATTTATAAGAACTTTGCTCCTTTCTATTTGGCTGCTCGTTTTTCCCTTTTTGCCTTGTTTTCATCATCTTATCTGTACTTAAGATAATGTGTTTTAACTAAACCAATCATCTCGCTCTCTAGGTTCTCTTTTACCCACTCACATACACACACCTCGCCTCTCTTACTGCACACAGCCGCTTGCCCTGAACCGCCTCTGAGTGTTTCTGTCTTTCTGTACGCCTCTGCACTGTTGACTGTCTTTTCAGCAGTATTTTTTTGTATCAAGTCACCCAAAAACAAATTTCAATGTTTTCACATCAGCAGGTGAGTTACTAGAACTATTTGGCATAGTAAACTTGTTAATCAGCAGTGACCAACTGAACCCAAAAAATGACAGCATAAGCATTCACTCAAAACTTTCAGTTTCTTGGAATACAATGAAAATCAAAACAACTTTGGTGTAGTGCTGCACTGAGTAAGCCTGGGCGATTTGGCAAAAACAATGATCATGACATATTTTGTCATATCGTCTGATCTCGATTATTATCACAATTTTTTTAACAGTTTATTTTAAAGCATCTGTACTAAAAACTTAAGAAACTAGAGATTAGTTCAACATTTTATTAACATACAAAGTAAATAACAAAGCAAATTGAATAAGATGCACTCAGAAAAATATAAAAAAAACATTTTAACTCAACAGTACAACAAATGTAGATAAGTAGTAGATAATACAGTGAATTAGTTTACAGTCCTGTGTGTTTTTGCAGGTATGCAAGACACAAAATAAACGAATCGCCCCCTTAGGGACAATGAAGACGCCTTAAAATGTAAACATTAGATGATGTAAACGTAAATAATACGATTAATCACTGCCTACTTCTGGTGGCTGCACCGCTAGTTGTGGCTAAACTGCTAATGCTACTCTTACTGTCAGCAGTGGCAGGCTTTACAGACTCCGCTCGCATTTTCATGCTCTCCGCATCATCGTTTGGGAGGTACTTCTTCAAACGATTAAACAGATTTGTTTTGTAGCCAGTTTTTTGAGGGCACCGATCGCCGACATACCTTGCTCATCGGCTTAATTACCCGACGTCACTTAGGAGATACCCGAACCACTGCCACGACCAATAACTTCTCAACAATAACATCTTCGGAGAATGACTCAAAGTCACGGCTGACAACTATCTTGCTGCCCTCAGCTCCGCGTTTCGCTCCATGTTCGGTCATTCTGTTTACTTCTCTCGACTCTGATTGGCTGTTGTGACGCACATTTCCTCTATGTTTGACGGAGTAAATATGCTCTCAGCTGATTGAACTGAAATTTATCACGATCATCGATCACGATCATATCATCACCCAGTCATAGCACTGAGCTAATGCACGTAGATGAAACGATTTTCATTCTGGGATCTCTTGGTAGAGTAAAACAACAACAAATAGGTGTATTCCAGGTCCATTTTTAGACTCGCACTGCAGAGTTATGACCTCATTTCAACTGCTTCAAAAAGTATTAAAACCAACAAGTTCACAGTACGAGCAGAACAAGGGAAAAGTCCTCCTTTGGAGCATAATAAAAAAAGAAAGCATTCTGTTCTCATGAACACATCTTTGTATTTTTGTGTTGCAGATTGCATTGGAGAAGATCGCCAGCGAGCATACCAGACTCATTTACATGACTACAGGAGTACTTCTGCAGAAACTGGTTTCAGCCAAGTGCCTCACAATGTTCACCCACATATTTGTGGATGAGGTGCATTAACAGTGCAGATTATGTTATTAATGTACATGTCTCTGTGAACTAATACTCGTAAATTGTTTTTGCTGTGTCAGGTAATAGTAACAGCGCAGTTCTATTCAGATCACCTTGTTTATCATTTTGTGCAGGTGCAGTTGTTCATTGAAATGTTTGACCCCCACACACACACACACACACATACATCTTTTTTTAGATTTTGTTGCAGTTTAATTAGTATTTGGTGGCTGAGGAAAGGATAGCTGCTCAGTTTTTGTGTCATTTCACCCAGTCAGTGATTCTTGACTTCTCTACTTTTTCCCAGGTCCATGAGCACACTGAGGAGATGGACTTACTCCTGCTGGTTTTGAGAAAACTTCTTGATTTCAACTCTCGTTTCGTTAAGGTGATTTAGAGATAGATCAACTTCCCCTCTTTTGTCCTTCTCCTGCGTCTATTGAACTTTTCTTTGTTGAAATTTTTTTTCAGATCATCCTCATGTCAGCCACCGTTGACTGCAGAGATTTTGCAGAGTACTTTGGCTCCCCGATAAGGGGCTGGATAATGCCTGCCGCAGTGTTTGAAGTGGAAGGGGTGCCTTACACCATAGAGGAGTTTTATTTGGAAGACCTCTACAAAATGTTTCCACACAGAGTTAAAGAGGATGCTATCACAGATAAACAGGTATATCAATTCAACATCAGAACGTGCTTATCAGAAACTCTGTATTCCAGAATGATGGCTCTTGAGCTGTGGTGTGAAAAGAGTGTTGTTTTTTTCCTCCACTGGTCTTGCAAATTGATATTTTGCTGTCTGTTTCTGACATTTTTAATCATTTGAGTTAACATGCTCCTTTCAAAAATAGTTCACATGTTGAAGCTCATTTTTGGTGTGCATAATCTGTCATTGCAGGTGTAAAATTAATGCATCACTTTGTCAGCCGTACATATCAGTGGAAACTTATATATTTGCCCCACCTTGATTTAACGTATAACTTTTTAAAGCTTTTATCTGCCAGTACCAGTATTATGCTGACAGTATAGCACATCTCAAACTGTCCATCTGTAAGTACCCGATGCCCATATGTCCAGTTGTAAGTACCTGCATTCTGTGTTATGTGTATGTTTCTGTTAGGCGGTGCAACATCATCCAGGAGATCTTTCCATTTCAGTTGAGATGTACAATCTTGCTGTCAGACTCGTTCAGAGTCTCGATGAGATGGAGGGCAAAGATTTCCGGTGAGCCTCCTTTCTTTATCTATAACAACAGGTGGGCAGATACAGATGAATACATTTGTGTATTTTTGCTTGAGTAGAACAGCAGAGCAAGGAGGCAGCATGACTTCCTCTGAGCGAGGCAGTGTGCTTATTTTTCTACCTGGTTTGGCTGAAATAAGCTCCATGCAGGAAGCCTTGGCCACGCTGGTTCACAGAAGGTGAGATTTTGATTGACCTCTTTGTTGCTGTTGGAGTTTTTTCTATTTTTGGCTGTTTGCTGTGCCTCATTTCTAGATACATCCATGTTTTTATCAATAATATTGATTGACATCAACAACTCTAAAAGTCACTGCACTTCTCATTCTGCCCTTTTTTGAAATGTTTGCTTACATTATGAGACATTTTCTGTTGTTCAGGTTGCTGGTTTATCGTCTCCACTCCACTGTTCCCCCTGAGGAGCAGAATGGTGTGTTTCTGCCACCTGTCCCAGGATACAGGAAGGTAAAACCATGTACCTTGTTCTTCTTGGCATTTGTTCCTTCTGTGTGCTTCACTTATAATGTTTTCATCTTAACAGGTCATCCTGTCCACCAACATCGCTGAGAGTACAGTGACGGTTCCAGATGTCAAATATGGTGTGATGTTTTTCCTTTCCTCAGTTGGGCTCCAAGTGTTTCATTGATAAACTTATAATATTGAAGGTTACAGAATCTTTGCTCATGTTGGTGTATTCTTTAGTCGTTGACTTCTGCCTGGTCCGTCAAATGGTCTGTGACCCAGACACCAACTATCAATCTCTGCGTCTCACTTGGGCATCCAAAACCAACTGCAACCAGCGTAAAGGTACAATACTTCCTGCACTGACATCAACTTTAGAAATGTCAGGTTACCTTAATACACTCTCTGTCAGGCAGGGCAGGTCGAGTGTCTAAGGGCTACTGTTACCGTCTTGTCACCAAAGAGTTCTGGAGGAAGGAAATCCCAGAGTACATGATCCCGCAGATGCTGGTAAGGAAATCAACACAAGTCCTGATCTTTTTAGAAGCTGCTTTGACCCTTATTTGACATTCAGTCATACTGTTTACTTTTCTTCCAAGCTCGCCCCGCTGGCCACCGTCGTGTTAAAGGTGAAGCTGCTGGACATGGGAGATCCCCGCTGCCTCCTCTCCACAGCCCTCTCTCCCCCTAGCCTGGGTAACGTAGAGAAGACGGTGCTTCAGCTTATAGAGGTGAGCAAGAAAATGCAGATCGAGTGAGCCATTGATTGTCTAGACTGACAGTCAAAAGTGTCTGGTTGTATTTGTGCGTGTGGCTGACTACACAGCTCTGTCACTAAGTGTTAACCCAGGAGAGCTCTCTTAAAGGAGCTTTATGTCAGCCAGCGTTAACATCAACCAGACTGGTATGAGGAGCAGTGCTGTGTCATTGTGTATTTTTCTGGGGAACAAGTGTATGATATTTCTGTTTTTTACTCTTCTTAACAGAATGTTGTATATACCTTTTGATTTTATACTGTACTCTTTAAAAGTGCGTTTCAAGTGTGCTCTAGAGCACAAATGTAGAACAATTTCCTGGTTGAGCTTGTTGTACAGAGAGACACACAAAGGCAGTCCTTTTTTTGACAGAGGTGACTGTTGATTACCTTTTAATGTTCCTAAATCTATTCTCATGCAAAGTGTTTTGGAGCTGAGGAGCCCCACAAGTTTAAACACGGATAGCACCTCTATTAAACCCTTGGCTTACTGGCAACCAGCAGACTTGGCGGGGTTTGCAGATGAGTCGTGACAATCAGGAAATTGCTGTAATGACAATAGATGGATGTTTCTTCCGTAGATGGGTGCACTGTCTGCCAGAAGTGATGAAAAGGGCCACATTGAGGATGGCAATCTGACGTTCCTTGGCCGGGTGCAGGCCCACTTACCTGTGGATCTGTACCTGGGGAAGCTGATTGTCCTGGGCCATGCTTTTGGATGCCTTGATGAGTGCCTCATCATAGGTCAGTTTGTCACTACACCTAAGTTTTTAGGGCCCCTAGCTTATGTGCACTGGTGGCACTCATTGTTTATGTGTTAATGTGCATGTAATACTGTATAATTATTATTATTATTATTGAATATCCCTTCGGGGATTAATAAAGTTATTCTTATTCTTATTCTTATTCTTATTCGTAAATCCTCAAATAAAGGTGCTCCATCTGTGACCGGGAGCCTAATAACAACATTGAGGACACGTTTTCAAAGAAACAAAAACATACACCTAACAGGAATGTCTGCTACAGCACAGTCTGTTTGTGGGGGTCGATCCACAGACAGACCCAGTCTGATTTTACTCCTGACATTTATAAAAATGAAAATAGCAATGTCAACATTAGATCAATAGATTTATTAATGAGTGTATTATCCCTGGGTCATCCAGAGCGAAAATTACTGGTGTGGGGCTGCGATGAATATAGTGGTTAAAAATGCCACTCCAGAGGTTTATTAAACCCTTTGTGGTTTGTGAATGAAAGTGCCTTTTTGGCTAGTTTTAGCAAATAGGGCTCTGATTTTGTACTGAATACTAAAAAGTTATTGTTCTCAGAGACAGTGAGAATTTGATGTAAATGGCTGCCACTTACACTGTCCTGCTACACACAAAGGCCTGGTACCGCAGAGAGTTAAAAAAAATGTAAAACCAGGCTCTTTTTTGAGGATCACAGCGTGTTTTTGTGAGCTGTTTGAACAAATAATAATAAAACTTTCTCTTATGCTCAGCTGCCTCTCACTCTGTGAGGAGTTTCTTTGTCACCTCGTTCATGCAACAGCTTGCTGGAAACAGGTGAGTCACATCCAGCAGCTACAATCATTTGCTGACTAACAGGCTGTCAGTGTAGATCGATTTTGTTTCCCTCTGAAGTGACACAACATATTTAGGGCATTTCTATGATCAAGTAATTCAATGTTGTCAAGACCTTCACTTTTTACCACTGACTCACTTTTACATAAAACCTCTTGAGGTTAGTGAAATGCCAAAAAATGGAAAACAGAGGCTCAGTCTGGACTGGCTCCAAAAAATCCCTTCAAAATGATTACACACTGTTAATTAAAATACTTTTGAAGCATAACTTGATATTCATGTGCTCTTTCTTCTCGAAATCTAGAGTCCCTTATTCAATATTTTTGAGTATATATTGGCAAACGGCATATTTTAGTTTTCAGGTGGTACCCACGCAGATGCCCACACAGCCCAGTTTGCAAACCAGGAGGTCTTTTGATCCACCTACTGTAGAGCAAATGCAAATTTTCTCTTGTAACGTTTTTTTTGTTTGTTTGTTTGTTGGTTTGTTTTGTTTTGGTGTAGTAAGTAATTTTCTGTGTTCCAGGAGCAAGTTGGCCTTTGCCCGTGGCACATCAAGTGACTCCTTACTTTGTCTCAACGCCTTCAGGGTAATGTGTGTAGTGCCAAGCTGGCAGATCCTTTTCTTGTTACATGTATTTACATATTTGCCTGAATTCCTTCTTCTTTATTGTCTCTTTTCTTTTAGGCATGGCAATCTGCAAAAAAGGAAGGAAAGTTTAGACACCCCAAGGTGAACAAAATCACAACCAAACACAAACATGAAGAATATAAGTTGAGTGTTGTTCTACCAGGTCAAAAACATATCTAGTCTGCTGTTTGTAAGTACAGAGCTGAGTCTTGACATGCTTCAGTATTCATCTTAAATGATCTTAAACAAGGCTGGCATTGAAAGAAGTATAGTTTTACCAATCTTTTGTGAATAAATTAAGCATTTTAAAACAGGCTTTGTCTCAAAGCTGAAGCTGACAGAGTGGTTGGAGAAGAAAAGTACTTGGTTCGTTTTTTCATTCCTAGTTAGTTTATTCAGTTTGTCTGATCTAAGAAACGGGTTCTTGCAAATGGCTTTGCTCCTAAGTGCACACTCTTATCTTCATTATTTTGGTTGCTTTCTCCTTAGGATCAGATGGACTGGGGAAAGGAGAACTTCATTCACATCAAGAGGATCAGAGAGGTACTGAGATGAAGCAATGAGCTGGATCACATGACCTCATCCAGCCCTATTAAAGGCATCAGTCTGGTGAACAGCAGGTTTTAATCCTGCAGTTTGTAGTTTTTCTCACAAAGAAAGGAACGTTTTTTTGTATTCAGGGCCTTTCCTGAAGTTTTGCACTCAGACTTTCAATCTTAAGTCTGTATAAGACTGCAAACTTTCAGTAAAAAATGTCATTTTTAGTTTTCTGTATTTTTTGAGCCTTTGACAGATTTGAGCTCATTGATCGTTAAACTTCTGAGTATTTATCATTCAGTGGTAAGCATGTCAAATTGATAATTCCAAATGCTGTGATTTTTTTTCAATTGAGGTTCATCTCCTCTCTGCATTAACTCACTGTCCAGGTTGAAGAGCTGTATGAGGAACTGAAGAAGCGAGTGTCTCAGTTCAACATGCATGTGCAGGAAAACACACAGCCCTTGGATTACACCAGCACACACCGACTGAAGTTCATTCTCCAGGTTAGTCAGCTGTGCATGTCCTGAAACGTACATTATATGCACATCTGCACATGCACAGTATATATCTTCTGAAGAAAACATCAAATGCTCTAGGTTTTACTCTGTCCTGTCATAGGTGGTTATGGCAGGTGCCCTGTATCCCAACTACTTTGTCCAGGGAGAGATTGATGATCGACTGGCCTCCAGAGATATGTGCGGCTCGAACGCCAGAACAACAGTGATGGTACAACCCACAGTGTTTGGAGCAAAGCTTTTTTACTGCTTTTATCCCCACCTCTCTGTTGTGTAATAACTATCAGAAGCTTTATGGGCTGTCTCGATGGCTTAAGCATTTCTGACTTGTTTGGTTAAAAGTGTTGAAATAACTCAAGACCACATGCTTTGGTTTCAGTTGAGAAAACTCCCTCCGTACAGTTTCCTGTATTACAAGCAGCTGCAGTCTCTGTTCCGCCAGTGTGGACAGGTCAAAACCATTTCCTTTGAGTGCTCCAGGTAAAGAGGGTCATCGGAGCAAGTTAGGCATTTCTTTTAGTCATCAAACATTAAAATGTGCATACTCATAATTGACTATGTTTGTTTTCTCAGAGCATATGTGGAGTTCCAGAGGACATCCCGGGACTCAGGGGTGCTACCGGAGGTGTCCCTTGCCCTCCTTATGGGGATGCAGAGACCTGGCATGGAGCTGCGCATCCACCCCATCGAGCAAATAGAAACTTTTGCTAGGAGCTGCGACAATACAGACTTGAAATGTGCATGGTACAGTCCTCTACACACATCACAAAAAGTTCAGTTCATTTGACTCATGTACAGGATCATCAAGGCAGGAAAAATGCAATTTTTCTCAATGATTTTAGGAATGAAAAGACTGAAAGTGAACTTGTCCATTATGTCGGAGCCCTGTTGTCTGTGTGCTGTTGCTATGCAGGGTGAAGGTTGACGTGCAGAGCCAAACCGCCTCTCTGGTGAACAGTATCCTCCTCCCAGAAAAGCTGCCCCCTCACCCCGTCTTTCCTGTCAACGTCACAGAGGTTAGTCCTGTACAGTTGTCTTGGTCTTACAGTGCTAAATTGCTTCTTTTTTGCCCAAATATCTGATTCTGTCAGCGATGAATCCAGTCCTCATTCTGAGCTCTGCTGTAGGTGTTTGAGGTGGGAAAATTCTGGGGCTTCATGGCAGATGAAGCGAGCTTGCAGAAGCAGCGCAGTCTGACAGGAGAGATAAACAGGCGTACGCTGCATCCTGTAACGGTGTCTCTCTACCCAAACCTGCTGTGCCTGGCTCATTACTCTGAAGATGAATCGCTGGGCTCGTACTACCGGGCCAAGATCCTGCACATTGGTGGAAACAAAGTGGAGGTAAACCACGCAAACAAACTGCAAGTCTCTGATAAAGATTAAGTGAACCCAGTTCTGTTACTTTTTTCCACAATTCTCTCTGCATGTTTCTTTTTCTTTGTACATTTATTGTAGTAGCAACTTATAATAGCTAAATAATAAATCTTATTCAACTTCTTTTTCAAAGACTTATTTTTTAAGTTTTATTTATTTTATTTCAAAGGGTAGAATTGAACCCTCGCCGCCTGCATGTGTGGGGCACTTAGACCACTAGACTTTTTGCGTGCAATTGTTTGTTAGTGTGGTTAATTTGTTAGGGAATGTTTCCTATTTTGATTTCAGACTTATAAAATGTTGACATGGTGTTATAGCTGGTATAACAGACTGACCTCAGATTAAGATAATTGAGCTTAACTCCTACACAACATTAGCAAAAGTTAAAGTAATCCAAAAGAACCAAGCAAGGGAAAGCTCTACAAAAGACACAAGTAAAAACAATCATTGAGCAACACCCACGACACACAATCTGATGTAATTGAGAATTTGCCCTCATTGTTGAACATTACAAGCTGCTGCTTTGCCACTTAAAGCGTATTGGGATACCTTGCAATGCAGACAAGCATGCTAGTGCCACTTTACAGCAGCATTTCTTCCTCATTTGGTCATAATCATGCATTTAAGAAAACGGTGTTATACTGTTGAGAAGATAAAACATCTGTTTTGTGCTGGTTTGCTTGAAAACACACCTTCACTTATCTCAAGTGAGTGTTGGAGGTGTAAAGTGCATCTCAAGGCCAATAGGTTGTTGTGACCTGTACCTCACATCTATCAAAGTTACAGTTTTGAGTTTAGGGATGTCGCTTCATGCTTAGGATATGTTGTCTTCTTTCAGGTGTTCTTCTTGGACTTTGGCGACACGGAAGTTGTTGACCTCAGCAGCCTCAGGGAAATCCCCTCTGACCTCCTGAACCACCCATTTCAGGTAGTAAACACTTTGAGTGACTCTTGTTGTACATCATGCACACGTATCTTCTCAAATGTTCAAGCTGTAACAGATCAACACTCTGCTCATGGTCTTAGGCCCAGGAGTTCAAGGTTGCTGAAATGCGCCCCTCAGCCCAGTCCATCATCCTGGGAAACCAGTGGAGCAGCAGCGCCCGCAGCCGTTTCTACTCGCTGGTGTCGGGCCAAACACTCTTGGTGAAGCTGTACTCCATACTCCATGATGTCATGCACGTGCAGCTGCTCATCAACACAGAAACAACAGACACCACTGTGCTGGACATCATGGTGGAAGAGGGGCATGCTGTGAAAGCCGAAGAGAGCTTTGATTCCGAGGTGATACAGCAGACCTGCTCGGGTTTACTACGCAACGATAATATCAAAGACCATACTTGAATTACTCACTTCAGCTGTGTTTTATGGTGAACAAATATGATGTTTTGTATGTTGCACTCAGATTTTCATGTGGTGTGTGTCCATTATGTTGCCCGCACAATGACCCAGCTAAATGAATGTACACTACTGGTAATGTCCAGCAGATGGCGTGGTGAGGCGGGGAAGTTACCTGCATTGCTTGGTCTGATTGCAATCGGGGCATGAATCTTACAGATGTTTGAGCATTTTGGGGTCCAAACAGACTCTTAACTGTTTTCTACATAAACCTTCGATTAAAAAAAATATATATATATATTTTACTGTCCTACAAATCCATACCAGTGCTGTATGCACATTTTAGATAATGTCTTTTTTATTGCATGCCCTTGCAGATGGACCATGAGAGGCTGATGAATGTGTACAGCCAAATGGAACGAGGGACTTATACCCCCAATTATGCCGGCAGCTCCTGGATGGAACGCATGAAGAAGGAGCAGGAACTTATTGACCGTCTGCTTGATCACTTTTCCGAGAGTCCCCGTGCCTGTTTTGGACCAAAGGCAAGATACCCTTCAGTTCACGAAACAGTTTTGTATTTTATTCACACTGAAATCCTAACAAGTTTTTAAAAAATTCCCAGGGAGAAAACACTTAAAGGGAATCTGTTTCAGGAGTGTTTTTAAAAAGGAACAGACTTATGAGTATCTGAGTTGGTATCAGGTGGATAGTGTCATCAAGTTTGCACTCTTTGTTGCTCTGAGTTTGCCCAGGAGAGGGTGCTATTTCAGTAGCTCACTTCATGTGGTTTTTTGTTCATTTAAAGACACACCCATTCTGTCTGACTAGCACAACAATGACGACAGGGTGAATTAAGCTGACTGACGCACACAAAGACGTCATGTATCTGACTACAGCCTTCTTTATAACACAACAGCTTCATCTGCATGGACCCAGCAGTCCAAATAAAATCTTCTTCCACTGCTTGGGCAAGACGACTCTCCACGGGTAAATGTCACGTACTTGAAGTACAAAATGAACTCGCAGGTTGTTCCCTTTTGCTTATGAGTGTCCTCTCACAGTCAAGTGTGGATCGATAGGACCAGCATCAACTCCTTGGCTGTGAATGAAACCCTCACTACAAACATCAGAGGATGCTGGTGGCTGGGACTGTGTCGGTCAACTCCTCAGGTACCAGATAACTCAACTCCCTATGAATTCAAACTTGTGGGCTTTGATCTAATGCTTTAAAACTGCAGTAATCAAGATTTTTGGTATAAACAGAAAATACTGACTGTATGGATTGAAAGTATCTGCATTATCCATCGAACACACGAATTATCACCGAACTCTTCAGTGTCCCTGATCCTTAAAGAGCCTTTTAGTTTTTTAGCTCGTTGTTTTGTTTGTAAATTTTACTTTTAATGCTCCATCTGTTTTTCCCAAAATCTGTGATACAACCAGCTCTGAATGTAACATTTTTGGCTGACAAAGCCTGGAAAATGTTGTTGCTTCTTTAAAGTGCATCCCTTGTCAGTGTTTATTTGTCAACATCAGTTATTGCAGTATTAAAAATTTTGGTTCTGTTGCAGGGACACAAATCTTACTGAAAGATACCTCCATCATGCCAGACATCCCCGGACTCCCTGCACTTCTCACCATGCTCTTCACCCCTATAATGGAGCTATGGTAAGCAGACTTAGAACATTACAACCCAAAGAAAGTAAAAAAAAAAAAAAAAAGACTGCAGCATTGAAATTTTACTCCCCATTTTCATAGCACTAATGAAGAAGGGACCTGCTACATCGGCGCCCTCTGTGGCTTGGGCTGGAACAGCCAAACACAGAAGGGCATCCTACCTGAGAATGACATTGAGCTCGCCTTCGATGTCAAGTTTGATGCTGAAGATATCATCCAGGTAAGTCATCACCAGGACGACTCCAGTGCATTAAACTGTTTTACAAGTTATATGTCACCACAAGAAATGATATGTTTTTTAAGCTTTACAGCTCTCTGATGTTTTTCTGAAAGCAAAAATAATCCGTGAAGGAAAACAAGCACAGAGTAAAAACTAACATCAACACCAGTTTTTGATCAAGCTGTACTTTGTGGTACTGGCTCTGGCATTTTAATGATCAGCATGTTTTACTGCAGGGCTCTCACATCATGAATCACTCTCTTTTTGTATTACTGATTGGTTATTAATTTCTTTGGCTCTCTTTAGATCAACGCCTTGCGAGCGGCTATAAACCGTCTGGTGTGTGAAGGTGTCAACGGCACTCTACATCTGGGGCCCAACAAGATCGCCCAGCTGCAGGAGGACTGCCAGGACCGCCTCATCGGGTAGCAAACACAGAGCCACTGAAAACAGTCATTAACAGTATGAATAAGAAATGTTCAGTATGTTTTTATTATGCCTTTCAGACTTTTCACCAAGTCTCCACCCAGAGAAGCTGTCACCCCTATGGAGAAATACCTGATGTGGAATCAGGTATACACACAATAGGGCTCCTTTTCTGTACTGTAGATTGTCGCTTTTGTTGCTCGTTATCCCCGCCCATTGTTTGATGAGTACATTTAAACCAAGTTTAAAAGAAACTCTGTGTGTGTGTGTGTGTGTGTGTGTGTGTGTGTGTGTGTGTGTGTGTGTGTGTGTGTGTGTGTGTGTGTGTGTGTGTGTGGAACCTGCTGGCGGATCCTGCTCTGGAGGAGCTCAATGTTGAGCCTGGAAGCACAGGGACCAGAGATGTTCTCTTCCAGCTACATCCTTTTACCCCCCTCAACAGCTAAGAAGCTCATATTCTTTTTGTTTACTGGGCTCCAAGTTTCAGCCCTTGCTGTTGGCGAATAAAAATAGGTGTTTGCAACAGACGAGGCTTGTCAGTCTTCATTCAAACATAGTCTCATTGTGACCTCTGAGTCAAGCTAAAATGGTCTCAACACACACACACACACACACAGACGCACACACACAAACTCCTACTACGAGGGTCATGTCTGTGCCAGAATTCATTGGCTGGTATTAATAGCTCGTCATTTCAGGTTTCTCATCCTAAGTGTTATCACCTCAAACTTAGCCAGGGTGTCACATACAAACTCTTTTCACTGCTGTCTTATGAATGTGAATTCATCGGCAAAGTAGTTGAGGAGATGTTATACATCAAGGTACATTTATTTTTCTTATTCTTGTAATTAAATACATAGTGAGAGTGCAAATAGTTAAAGAGTCCAGGGTCTAAAGAACTACAGAGTATAGTTGAACAAAGTACAAAGTTGGACAGTTATTCAAACAAGCTAAATATCACCAGATACTCCTTGTCTTCATAGTAGTTGTACAACAGTACCTAAAACATGAGCGTGTGTTTTGTTCCTTATGGTTATACAAAAGCAAAAACCCTACAATTACCACATCTAAGACGCATATTGTTAAATTATTTTGTGCTTGGAAACACCAAAAGAAAATCATTTTTGATATTTATATATTGACATATATTGAGAGAAGCCCTGCCTGCTAACTCAGAAACATGAAGCAGTATTTAACATTGGCAGCAGAGCATGTCTGAGGGCATTAAGCTTTTTTGTGCCAAACCGTACAGTTTGTGGTAAGCACTGCAAAGCAAAAAGTAGCATGAATTAAAAACTGCACAAAAGATATCAAATATCATTTACCCAAGGCTTGACTTCATGCACTTTATAATAAGCAACACAAAAAGTCTGTTTCTTTAGTTTTTTGAGTTGTGTTCTTGTCTAGCTAGAAACAGGATTATGAAGGTGTGACAGTGTGAGTGTTAGTGTTTAGACTGCTATAGACAGGGTGACGGCCTCTCCGGTGGATGCTTTTGGAGAACATCAAGATGACATAGCACTACGCCCCACAGATGAAGACCAGGCTTTTCAACAGTGAGTGGGCTGCCTGACTCTGAGCTGGACTGGACTGTCCGCTTCACAGGAGGACAGGCAGTTCTTACTCTTCCTTCCTCTTGGCCCCAGGGATCTTCGCTTGGATCCTGTACAGAGAAAACAGGGCTTTAATCTTGCATACCCAACCAGATATTTATCCTAGATTAAGAAGTGCTTATCCCATCTCCCTGCTGTTTTGTTCTTTGTCTTTTTATGGCAGTTTGAGCAACCGGCTCTGTGAATATGACTAAAATTGGAAAACGAACAGTGGCTAGTCTGAAGAATAGGCAAAGAAAAAAAAAAAAAGAGCAGAGATGAGGACAGAGCTGAATAAAATAAACCTGTACAGGTGCTGTACAGCCAGGGTGTGAGAAGGTGTTGCCTCTTATTTATTTAACACAGACTTGATAAGCTAAACTGTGTCTTGGAAGCTTTCCAGTTCAAATGAAGTCTTATTTATTTGTCACTGAGTAGCTTCACTGGAGAAATTAGGGTTAAGTCAATGCTCTGCCCTGGTATATGAAGACACAAAAATTTAGATGCTAATTATAAACGTCTTCAAAGCAGCATTGTGAGTGGCATGTGCCACATTTTCCTCTTCAGTACTTAGAAAGTCAGAATGGCAAACACTCACTTCCCAACCACAGAGTTGACCTGAGTCCGTATTAGTCCCACGTATTGGTCAATCTGTGCCTAAAACATGGAGATATTGACAGGTTATAAACTGGACCGAGTATCTTACATCAGGCTTGATGAGAGTTATTACACAGCTTAGATAGATACCTGATGTTTCTCATAGACAACAGGCATGGTGAACATGGAGACCACAGCTGTGGGGGCAAGGAGAGGGTAACAGTCGGTGTTAGAGTATTCTGACCTACTGTGCAGTGGGAATATTCTCAAACAGGAACACACGTGTAAGTAAGCACCCAACACTTATCTAAAGTAAACTGGAAAGGTAAACAGATGGTGTACACGTTCTCCGGTGAAGTAACATGACTGATATGATCGATTACTGTGTAGGGATAAGGACATGGTGTACTTCCCATTAATAACATATATACACTATTATACAGCTTTGTTCTATGGACTGTGTTGTACTCCTGAACTGTGGCCTGACATGCTGGAGTGCTTGTTAGTCAACTGTACCTAGGATGAGCAGTGTCAGGCCGTTGAAGAGAGCGCCCACGTAGGTCAGCAACCACATCAAAACAGCAAACTGACAAACAGAAAGGAGATGTCTTTGTAAATATGAGAAACACTTGACACATTTATTATCAGGATGCTGTGACTACAAAGCCCTCTTCATTGGCCAAAATGGCAGAGCTAACTAACATCTAACAACATGCTTGAATGCACTGATAAGAGTGTGGCTAACCTTCAAAGAGTCAACCAGATCTTGTACAAGAAACAGCCTGCGAAGCTCCTTCATACAGGTGTTGGAGTAGAGTAGGATTTTGTCGGCATATTTGCTTATCTGGTCCTGGGAGAGAGCAATTTCCATCTCCAGGTAGGCTCTGGAACACAGATGAGTAGTTTTGGTGAGCTAATGTCAAAGACCTTCAAACCAGATGATCTCATTCAACAATTGTGTTTTACTAACTTGAAAGGGTGCCCCTCATCCGTCTTCTGTACAGCCTGCAGCACAGACTTGTAAATCCTGAAGCTGATGGTTGCGGAAAGTGCTGCCAGGGCTAAGTAGGCTCCGACGCTGACCACGCTGAACTGGGTCAGGGAGAAGAGGAGCAGTAGCACGCTGCTGAACACGGCTCCTGACTGCTTCACATTCCTCCAGTAGAGCAGGTCAATCGCTGAGGGAAGAACAGACAGACCAAGGACAAACAGGGTTAGTGCCCCTGACCAGCATGACCTTACCCCTGCTCTATGACATGCAGAAAGGTGTCCATGAACATAGTCTCTGTGAAATGGGATCAAGCATCTACACACCACACATTTGGGTCAAATTTCTGGAAGCTGTTCACAACTCGATGTCCTGGGAGAGCTCTGCTTGTCACGTGATCCTGTATTAACCCAGCTTCCTAACCCAGCTTTTTCCTTGGTTACAGTGAGCTGTGGAGTTGCCAGGTGACGTGAAGGTGTTTGAGTTTCGTTTCTTTACTCCTTAATATAGAGTGACCTTTTGCTGGAGATCGTACCCGCGCCTCACTTGTCAAGCAAGTGTCCAAGTCTGTGTTAACACACTCTTTGACCTGTCCCAACTCCGCTTACATCTGACGTGTACTTGCTGGGTGTGTCACATGGTCTGCTCTCATACATGTCAAGTGGTACGTACAAACAGGCGGAGAAAGCTGCAGTTCACTGCAGGTATACCATCACTCACCTTTCAAAGAACAGAATTAATCATTGACCTATAGCTCTGTGAAGCCGGTCCCAGAATTAGAAGCACTATCAGCAGTTTGCAAATAATAGTTCAGTGTGACCCAGCCAGACAAGTCAAGAAGAAGGATGATGCTGCTTCAATGCAGTGAAACACTGCGACTCTCAGAAATAACCTGTTGAAATTAATAACAACCAGTATGTCTGCAGGAGCTTGAATGTCATGCTCCAAAGTTTTCCCCTCTATTCTTACACTTCCTTACATCTTTAGGTACTGGGGCCTGTAATTCAAAGCCACTAGCAAAGATGAGAGAGGAGTGATAGCGAAGGATTAGCCCAGTCTACCGTTACAGCTACAGTGGCCAACATGGTGCTCATGGGCTGTATCGGCTGGAAACACAGGCCCTGTTTCCATGAGAACTGGTGGCTGGTAGCTTGTTTCACCTCTGCCTCCCCCACCACCACTACAAATCTAAAAGTAGTACTGAGGTTCATCTGCTAGTACTGACACCTGGATATTCCTCATGTCATGAAGAGAGAGAAGCAGAACCGCCATGTGAAAATGTCAAGTTTCATGCCTGTGAAGAATAGAGAATTGCGGCTGTGGTCTCTTGGGTGTTTTACTCTTCTTCTCTGAGCTGTCCGCCAGCTTGCCTGCTCTAATTTTAGCCGAGGAGCTGTGAGCAGCATAGTGATGACGGCCATCTTTACTCTCCACTAAACGGCATCTGTGGATGCCAAAAAGGCAGGCTGAACCTTGGGGGCCAAAGAACAGTTTGTGTGAATTAGTGAAACCTAGTTTTTTTGTTTTTTCCACTCAGAAGTACCATCAACATTAAACTCAATCAACAAATGTAATCTTTGCCTTCTTCATGAAGAGCTCAAAGAGGGGGAACAGTACCTATGTGTCTGCTCCTCCTTCCAACTGTCAAACCAAAGACACCACTCATTCAGAACAATGGCATCAGGATCCACGTGCCTCAGCTGCTGTTCATGCACCACTCCCCTCCCCAGAAGCCATTTTTCATTCCACTCATGACAAACTGTCCATGTGGCCGCTGATTTTAATGGAGATGCTCACATACACACACAGACAGGCACAGGTAGCATAAACAGCAGCTGTTTCAGCACACAGACACTCTAACAGACATTCCAGCTACAGACAGGTGTTGACCAGCCTCAGTGACTGTGTCTTGTGATGTGCGGCACAGGCTGCAGGCAGACTGAAAAGCTTTAGCTAGTGCAGTAGAAGCGTGTACTGACCTGCGGCTCCCATGGCTGAACAGGGAAAGAGGCAGCTGCTTTATCCACGGACAAAAGGAGAGCACTGAAGGGGGAGTCCCCCCTGCACAGGAGGGGAGGGGCCACAGCCTCACCAGCAAATCAGCATCTGCCTGCGCAGGGGGACGAAGGGAGGGGGGACGTCTATGGGGTGCGGTTGCCAAAGAATCACATTGCAATCCAACACACACACACACACACACACACACAAACTAAAACATACATACAAATGCTCTCTCTGTGAGCTCTTTTATTCCCAGGCTTTTAAGCGCAGCCCCGCTGACATGTGACAATGACTGCCTAGCAGCGACTACCACAAAAAAAAAAAGTGTCACAAATTCAAGACAAACCCATCCTAATGTGTAGAGATTGAAGCTTACAACACCAAACGTTAGAGATAGAACAACTACTGTAATCACATCATAGAAAATCCATACTCTACTGCTCCATTAAAATGCTTTGTAGCAAGGATCTGCTGAGCACCTGCCTGATGCAGTTACCATAGTTACCGTGCTCCATTTTATCCCCACACTCGCTGAGAGATGGAGAGAGGGAGGAAGGGAGGGGCAGACAGAGAAAGGGAGGGGAAAGAGTGTTCCTCTGGGAACAGAGGGAGATTCATTTGCTCTGAATCTGGGGAATCAGTGGCACATAATGTGTCTCTTCCACACCCTGAATGATGAAGACAGCCTCTCCCTTTATCGTGGAGCACAAAAGGACAATGGCAGGTCCTACATAGGGTATGTCAAATGTCAACTCTGACAAAAACAAACAAAGACTGATTATAAAAGACTTTAAGAACATAAACTGCGACTTTAATAAATTTACGCTGAGATGTTTTTAAACTTGATTCTTATTTTGAACTGAGTGAACTGGATAGACTGCACATCGGTGTGTTCCAGCTCATTTGCATTTAACAACAAATGGGTTTTCATGCCAAAAGTTTGAAATTGATTTTAATCTTAGCCTGATATGTCTTCTAAGAAATGCACTAAATGTGTAGAACTTTTGGTTTTTAACAGCAGAAAAAACCCTCAGTTTTGAGAGAGGGTGCAATAAAAAGGTTATTAAACCTGACAACAGGAAGTACAGTCACTGCCTGCTTGGCTCTCTTTGTTGATATGGCTGTTAACTCTGATATTCAACATGTAGATCAGGCAAAATCCAGAGCAGATTATTAACGCAAGTGACAATAATACGATTCTCTCCCCCACCTCTCATAATGAAACTAGTTTAGCCTGACCTCATTAAATCACTGAAGACATCCTTGTGGCCTCAAACAAGCTGTCAGATGAAGTGAGCAAACATGCAAAGGGACTTGTGCTGCCAGCAGCCAAGATTAAGGACTTCAGTTTCAGACCCAGACTCTACCACGAAAAAGCTTTTTATCATTTAACCAACTTTGAGTGTAGTTCCTGAGTTGGCCTTCGTCTTCTCTTAATTCATTTGACGCTTCAAAATCGCTTTTATGGAGTAAATAATTACTGTCAAGTCAAAACACCTGGACTACTTCTCTCTTTCCTAACTGAACAGTTCCATATTTGGAGACTAATCTAACACTGATTTGGCACAACATCAAATTACAATGTCTTCCATTAAGTGCAAAAAGTTGTTCACCTCTGTCGTTTCAACTGTAACTGAGAGGTTGATTAATCCATCGGAAAAGACTGGGTAGCTATTTTTCATCTTGTAATCTGTAGAGATTTGTGACGAATATACAATTTATTTAGAAAATACGAACATTTGATGAATAAGCTGTTGTGTCTGCGTTATTGTTTATCCGGAGCAAGCATTAAAAACCTGTTGGCTGTTTGGCCATTTTTACTCAGCTCAGACAAGAACTGTGTGAGTTCAGTCAGACTGAATTAACATTCAATTGAGCACAGATATAAGCTGACAGCAGACATTCAACTTCAGAGGTGAATCTGGTTGATTTCACCCTCTGCTGTTACTGTATCAGCTTAATTTGATACATTGTTAATACTGTGGACAGATCCTATCACTTTGGCTATAATATTACAGTCACTCATTCATTTAAACCACATTAAATCAATAATGATTCAGTACAATGATGACAAATGGGGGTCTGACATTTGTTGTTTTTTCGACAAAGCTGCGAATCCACAGTCGGCAACAGTGATAGTGTCTGCGTAGCTGCATTTGCTGGACCATTCTGTTTGCATAGTCACTGCTGAGCCAATCCTTAAGAGATGTCAGATAATACAGCAAAACTAGGATGGAGGGAAGGGGCGCCATTTTCTCTTCTGGCCGATTGTTTGAGCCCTCCATGCATCGGAAACAGACAGACGGAGGATGCATTACTCTGGCCCAGTCTCTGCAAGGTGCCATGGCAGCCAAAGAGATAGGGCTGATGTAATCACGATGGGTGTGCCCTGGTTACTATGGAGACACTCTGTCAGTGCCGTTCTGATGCTTAGACTGCCTCTTGAACACAAAAACAGAGCAAATGACATAAAAAAGCTCTTCTACATACTCGCAAAATGGGGAGGGCAAAACAATGGCATGTCTAGGTCCACAACACAACGATGGTACCCCTGTTAAAATGCACACTGTGTATACGGTTATTTTTCAAAACACCCACCAGCGTCTGTCACCCCCTCCTCTTTGTTTTTTTTGGATTCACACACATGCAGTAGAAAGCGTCTGTCATCAGGGCGTGTCCATGTGAAGAGAGATTCAGGTAAACATCCCTGTTTGATCTCCCTTAACAGTCAGATTTTACAAACACACACATGCATAGCCCATATACACAATTCAAGGTTGCACATCTATGATGGGATGACTATTTAACCGACATGCAGAGCTAACAGCCCGTCTCTCACAGCCACAAATCACAGACACAGCAACGAGTAAATCACAGGAAACACATCAGTACCCTGGCCCTTCCAGCTGCTCCAGGAGCTTTCCTTCTTGCTCACATCTGCAGTGGCCTGCATGCTGGTGATCAATTACGCCCCTGTCCTCTGTCTTTCTCTTTACGGTCTCCTGTTTCTTCTTTGTGTCCCTCTTCAGTCGCACCGACTCACTCACTCATTCCAGCGAGGCATGAATGGTCAAAAAGGATGCAGAGATAACAGAGAGGGAGGGAGGGAGGAAAAGGTTTCCAAGGTGCTGCCGGCTCGCGGAGCACACAGACTGATGCTGTGGAGCGGCGCTGGCTTGAACAAGAGTAGAGCAAGTGCGTATGTCTATGTGTGCATGTGTGTGCTGGGGGGAGGGGGAGGGGGGTCAAATTGTAAACACCATACCACAGTTGCTGCAGCAGCAGACCATCCATGCAATGATTAAGAGCCTAAGGGGTATGAAAGGGTGGGTGCTGATTGTTAGAGCTTTTTTTGAAAGGGAAGCTACACCAGTTTTCACAATAAAAGCCCTGACTAACAGAGCCTCAGAACGTGCTGGCGGTGGTGGGGGCTCAGACAGAGGAGGGGGTCCCATATATGCTTTTACAGAAACACTACAGCACTGTCATATATTTTTCAGTATGATTTCAAGGTTTAGATTGTAAATTTCTTGTCAGTGTAACAGAGCCCAGTTTTTATGGGGGACTTATTATGGTGGTACAGGCTACAGTTTGCTATGACTTCTTCTTTTAACAGAAAAGAATTGCGCTTTGTTGAAATTGTTTGATGAGATGCAGTACTCCTGACAGGATGCAAAAGAAATGTCTTCTGTGGACTAGAAATAGTTGGACTTGAGACCACGATGCTAAGAAAAAACGTGGCATTTATCCAGATTCATAGTTCTCTATTTGCACAGTACAATATTTAAGGTTGTAGACAGTGATTCAAATAGCTGCTTTTAGCGTGACTCACTGATAATTGAAGAAGCAAAGTGCTTGCTTTTAAATAATTCATTATAAGGGAGCCTGTGCATCGCAGCATTATGTTCTTTGTTTATTGCTCTCAAGATGTCTCCACAGTTTACGATTTCCCCTCAGGAAGTATTTGTGATGTGGACAGAGATGTCAAAAAAAAGGGTGATGTAGGATGCTTAAGTGAGAAACAGCACAGTCACTGTGGTGTCAGCACTGAGCAGAAAACATATTTTAATCTCATTAAAGCTGATGGCTCAGTTCCCCCCCACCCCAGTGTCCCCCCCTGCAGACAGCCACACCTCACACCTTCTGCTCACTGTAGCCGTGACAGACTTCAGAGCCAAAACCCACAGAGTGGAAGACAAAAACATGTTTCTTTGAAGCACATTGAAAACACTCCCCGTCTCACTGTTGCTATGGCAACTGGTATGGAAGTGCACAGACTGATGATAACGATTTCTGCTTGCCTAATCAGAGCGGCAGTAACAAAGGTGCACTGCGCCCTCTACTGGTGGGCAAACAGAGACACGTGACCTTTTTTATATTTCCAGAACCTTCCTCCAGTCTGAGTAAACAAAACAAGGAATCCTCTTTCATCTGCTTATTCATCACACCTGCTCAATGTGCAACTATTTACCTGTATCACTCATCACATGCTCTGCAGTCAACATGTACCCTAGGCTGTGAGGTTCAGCCTGAGTGAACCTCTGTGTCAGTCTGAACCTGAGTGTCTGTCTTTTTCAGATGCGGCTGCTTTTTCAGCTCTGTTACTATGCAAAATTCAAGAGGAAGCCTTTCAAAGCTCCTGAGTAGGAGTGTGCCCCAGTTTTGGCATCATAGGATTATGTAAACCCAATGTTTACAAGGACAGAGAGAACAGCCATTAGAAGTCAAATACCACTGCCTGCACCAAATGTGCAGCTTAGATGGCATTAACTCCTGCTGACTGCCACTGCCTTTTCTGACTTATCTAATCACAGGATGCAAAACTGTGATGTAAGGAGCCAAATGCTGCAAAGATGCTCTCAGTGTTTTTAGAGTCGACAGCTGCATTCTGTCAATATTATCCACGTTTCTACTAAAAGCAGACATATTCTTCCAGCTTAGACACTAAGAGGCTGTTAGTGTAATTTACTACAAATTGCAACGACTGTGAATCCATGCATCATCACTCTGCTTTTTTCCTCATAATTTCCACCAGGGGGAAGCAGATCTCAGGGAAGCGCAAGCACTTCTTACCCCTCCCCGCACAGACGCACACACTCAGCAAGAGCAACATCCCATCCCTCACTGCAATCTTCTTTACCTTGTAAACAAAACAATGGCAAAGCACACCATGCAGGTCGCTACCAGGAAGTAAACAAACGCACGCATCATGTTAGCGTTTTCATAATAAATTTGTTGTCAATACATTTCAATCAATTACACCTACATATGATAGTAAAGGTCAAAAAGCACATGCCATAGCATCTTCATTTGGTCAAGAACACACACCAGCACATACTGTACAACACTACCTGCTCAAAGGAAACCCTGTTTGTAGAAAGCCAGTACACAATGTGAAGTCACCGCAAACTGAAAAAATAGACATTCAGTGAAATTCTACTACTTTGGAAGAGAAGCAGAAACAGTGAACATTATTTTAGAGAAAATCAAGATTTTGGACTGACCTTTTTGTTTGTCAAAGCCTTCCAGGATTGAAGCTGCAGCCTTCCCAAAGTCCCCTTTGCCCTCATTGGTGTGTTTGTGCATGTCGTCCTGTTGGGGCCTCTCTGATCGCACCTCAGGGGGCACGGCTGCAGTTGGAGGCTTGGGCTTGCTTGGGCGATCTTCCTCTGTCTTCACTGGGGTCTTAACCTTTTCTGGGACAAGGGGCTCGGCTGGCACAGCCTCGGCCTGACTACGGGGAGGGACGGCACTGGGAACCAGGGGAGAGGGAGGGCTGACTCCCTTAGTGGGGCCACTGAAGCCCTGCTCTCTCTTTGGGCTCTCTTCAGACGCAGACTCAATGAAGAGATCACTGTCAAGCTCTGCCTCTCTCTCTTCCCTCAGAATGCTGTAGGCTGTGGGTGGAGCATGGTTGCCAGTCAGGCCGAAACCACCCTTTGAAAGTGGGGGATTGTCAAAGGGGTTGTTAGGCTGATTGGAAGTGCCCTTGCTTTTAGGCGACTGGGCAAATGGGTTGCTGCTGGCCTTTGGTGGCTCCTCAGAAACCAGCTCGATCTCTGAGTCCCCAGACTCTGCGCTGCTGCCATCATGCTCCTTGCTGCCAGCTTTTGTGCTGGGAGTGCCTTTGGAAGCTGCAGGCTTAACCTCATCAGCCTTAAACATGCCACAGGAGGAGAATTCTTTTTCTGCTCAAAAGAAATACAGAACAAAATCTGCATTAACCCTTTATTCACACAGTAAATGTAGATATATGTACACATAAACTTACAGCTAGACAAAAAAACTCCAGAATGACTCTAAAAGTAAGAAATAAGAATGTTGACAAACTGAAGAAATGAAATGAGTCATCTGACCAATAAGTTGGATCAACAACATATGTGTATAATCTGTATTATTTCCCCCATCTTTTTCTCAGTGACTGGTTTTATTTCTGTTTACTTCAATGTGATAGACATTGTTCTAAACTACATACTTTCAGTAACCTGGCATATTCCTGCTGATTGAGTAATCTTTAGATTCCATTCGTCTTCAGGTAAAATGCTATCCAGCCCCTTTACTTATTTCTCTTTTATATAGTTTGAGTATTTAAAGTTACTCTCCCGAAAGTAAAGATGCAATGTTTTGAAGCTTGTTTTCTCCCCTGTGTATCACACAATACACTAACTATGAGCGACTGGCACAAAAAAACATATGAAGTCATCTTACGCCTGAAAAAGCTGTTTGTTTTCTGACAACACTGTCAATTTAGGTGCCAAAATGCTGAAAAAAAAGTGTTAAAAATGAGTAAAAGCAATAGTGAATTTCCATGAAATACTATGTATGCGGTGTGTATTGCAAACGTTTAGAACACAGCCCCCTGATTGGTCATCAGACATAGCACAAAGAACCAGGAAGTGGCAAAGTAGATGGCAATTCTTTTATGTGCAGGGAGTTTACTCTTGCTCAGATACAGATTATGTATTTGTGTGAGGTGCTTACGTGTTGGAGAAGCATTGGGAGTGGAAGCAGGGCTCTCATCTTCCGGCTCTGATAGTGTCACTATGGGTACTCCTTGCTGGCCTACACTGAGGACATTTTCACGCTCAGACCCACTAACAGGAGACAGATTTTTCTGCATCTCGGTCTTTGCAGCTGGAGGTTTGGACTCAGTCAGGGTGATCCTCACGGGGCTGGCTGTCTGCGGGGTGCCGCCCAGGTTTCTGTAGGAGCGGTAGTCTGACAGCTCTTCATCAGAAGGCTCCTCCACGTAAGGAAAAGAGTGGGACCCCAGAGCTGGACCCAGGTTTTCCTCTTCCTCCTCGTCATCCTCATATTTTCCAGGTGTCTTATCAATGTAGCTGCCCAGTGAGTCACGACCAGATGATCCTGTGTCCACCAGGCTGTGCAGAGCCCCAAGTGTCTGATCTCGAGTCTCGTCCCCATGGCTGATGTCCATGTAGTTGTAGGATTCTGTCTTCTCTGAGCCCAACAAGGATTTTGGCATATCGTCAGCCAGGTCGGAAGTCATCTTGGTGCTGGAGCTAAAGCTGTAGGTGTTGCTGGAGAAACTGTCCAGGCCAGAGGAAGGCTTCAGGTCATCAGATAGGTAGGACGATTCTCGACCAGATGTGAAGCTCTGATTTGAGAGCAGAGAAGTGTAGACATCACCGTCGTCATTCATGGGCTTTCTGAACAGGCCTGACATGGGGTCATCTACAGAGGGAGACAGGAAGAGTGGAGTGTCACTCAATGATGTGACACTTGAAAAGTAAATCCAAGGAGGAAAGATTGACGGCGCTGTCTGTATCACACTATCAGATCTAATCAGCCTGTGCTTAGCTGTTTGATTAACGAAAACATCCAGTTAAACAAGGCTATGCTTCAGCTACCGGGGGGGCGGGGGGCTGTAGAACTCTGAGAGTGGCGCAGTCAGACTGGGTGCTCTGCTGTGCGGATCAGTGAGGCAGCAGTAACAGAGGGTACTTGTACCCGTATGGGACAAAGGGGGATTGTTGAGGACCCAAAAAAAAACACCACAGTGCCACAACAAGACCCTGTTCTTAATCATGCAGGCAAGAGACTTTCTGTGGTCACATCTCTGCTAAAACAATCACTAACACTTTATCTCTCCAGTTGGCAAATTGAAGTCATACAAACAACACGCATAAGATGTTGAAGATTCATTGTGTTCAATCTAAGCTAGCATGTCATGAATTGAAATAGCCCACACTAGGCTGTGTTGATAAAACAATTTAATGATACATGTACATGTATTGGCAGTGCTGTTCACGTATTGCATCTCCATATAAAACAGACATGCAAAAACTGAATTAATTATAGCAGCACTCGTAAAATGGGATTTTCAACTACAATTCAGATTTTTGGACGGTGGTGGTGATTGCTGTTACTTGCTGTGCTCTGAAAGTTAAATAACACCAAACATCTCACTGAATAATATTTTTACAGTGCCACTGGAAAATGTAAGGATGCTCATACAGGAACAAAACAGGAAGAGATAGAGTTGTTAGAGATATTATTTTACAGCCTCCAGTCAGAAGTCAAGGTCAAGAATTCAGATTTGTTGACTTTATGCCAAACTTTTATATTAAGATTTGTGTTGAAGCCAGTGAAGACTGTCTCATGTTGATGCACAGATACACATGCAAAAACAAAGCCCCCACACATAGTAAATCCCCACATATCTAAAACCAATATTTTGGTTTTGTTGTGTACAAGTCAGAATTACACAAACTGAGCTCCTCCTGCTCTTCAGCCTTGCTTCTCCCAGGGCAGCAATGGTGCTATAAATAGTCTGAGTCCAGCTGCTGGGCTGGATGTGGGGGGAAGGTTTTAAAATAGCAGCCTTAGGGTTAGCTCTGGAGGATGCAGACTGACTGACAGAAGAGCCAACAGGTCAGGACGTCCCGTCCCGCCTTTCACTTCCTCTAAAAAGCCCCACCACCCTTCCCTTCTGCTGTCCTTCCCTACTGCTACTTCACCAGTCATTAACAATACATCATACCGCAGCACAATGGTGTAAACACTACACACCCATGCTGGGACAAAGGGGGTGACACGGAGAAAAACCGAAGCAGGCTCAGACGTTCTTAAGCTCTAGATAATTCAGTGTTTAATAGACTTGAGTGTCTTGTAGAGCAACATCAGGGCTGCCAATAGACCTAAGTATACCACATAGATGGACGATACTGTTGGGCCGTTGAGGTCAGCACAGTAATACAATATAAATGCCACTGATGTACTGCTAAAGACAACCAATGGATAATCCTCTTAGTGTGCAACCAGGGTATGGGACCCATCAACCATCACCCTGGCAACGCCATCATAATCTAACTGACTGTACAGATACCTACTGTGCAGATGTGGGAGGCACTCAGGGCCACTACAAACTGTGAAGAGAGGTGATCTCTGAGGCTTTGAACTGCCAGTAATCCTGTTGACTGTGGGGCACACTCCCCCTCCCTCTTCATCAACCAGTTCCACATATCAACTCAAGTAAACTCTCCCACGGTTGCGTAAGACATCTGCAACAGTAAAAGGGTGGCTGCTTTGAGCGGGAACTTAACAGAGTTGGTGTGTTGATATCGAGGGCATTTGGAGTCTGCAGATATGTCGTAGCAGCCAGACACAGGAAAAAGCCCACAAGGCTGAAACAAATGCTTTGCTGCATCCAGATGGGATTGGACGTGACAACAGAGGAATTCTCGGCTCACAGTGTTGCCACACAACATAGTCATGTCACTGAAAGGCTGGTGCAGTTAAATAAATAAGTCCTGGTGGATGTGCAGTGAAGGGGCAGTCCTTTTATTGTCCTCTGTGCAGCCAGTGCAGCTCCGAAGCTAATGCAGCCTGACACTCTGTGTAACGCCAAGGCATGGGCTCCTAATTATCAGGCTGTGGACAAAAATATGTGGGCACAGACAATATCAAAAGAGCCTGATGAGCAAAATGAATATATTACTGCTTTAAAACGAGGGGTTTCCTAAGCTGCATGAGGGACTTTGTTCAAACAGGGTTTACAGCCTTAAAAAAAATCTTACCCAAGGATGTACAAAAATATCTATCAAAGGAAGTGCTGTGAGTGTCTGGTGCTTGAATTATTTAGTGGACAATCATCTGCTCACTTTTAAGCAGAAATCAATACACTCAACTGTTAAGATTTTATTTCGTAACTGCCAATGATGGCTATAAAATCATCTATATTTTTGCACTCATCATTTTTGCGCTCTTTGTCCGTGATGCTGCTGTGACACAAAAATTTCCCCCATGGGGGATCAATATAGGAATATTCTATTCTATTCTATTCTATAGTACAGACCCCAAATCAAAATATTCTTCTGAACAGAAATAATCAAATGATTTAACTTCTCTTCATGTTCAAACATCACTGTTTCACAAAGAAGAATATGGTTACCATTTTTGCCAACATCATGGGTTGGTTTTAAACTGGTTCCTCTGCCCTAAAAAGTGTTAGTGGCCCTAGATCTTGATCAGTAGGTGAAGATCTTGTCCCCAGTCTATTCAGAGGTAAAACTGAATGGATAAAAACAGCACTTTTTGCTCTGTGTTAAGTTCAGTATGTGTTTCTAATGAACTTAACTGCTATTTAGCTGAAGCAGCATTTGCAACATCAAAATTTTTATTTACGTAGTAGCGTACCAAACGCCGCCATATGTACACCAGGTTTGATTGAACGTTTTCTTCTTTTTACAGTTGGCTGTAGATTTCTTACATTTTCATTAAAACGTTGCTCTAAATTTATTTTTGTGTCTTTGCCCATCAGCATGATCCTGCAAAAAGCTTAAACTGATTTAGACTCTATCTGTTTAAGATCCTTGAGTCTACTTAAAGAAGACCATTGCATGGGCCCTTATAAATAGAACCAAAGCTATTGAGTTAGAGGTCTGTGTTGATAATCATGCATGCCCAACAAACGAGGACAGCATTGAGGAGGCATCTAATTGCTTTAAACTAAAGAGGAGTTTGAGGCAAATGCAGAGAGAGCTTAAGGTCAGATGCTTAAAAAAGCTGAGGAAGAGGTAGCTCTGCTGAAACAAAGGAAGGAGTCTAAGAAGCCTGTAAAGATCCTTCTCGCGAAATACAGACAGAGAAGTCTGGAGCAAAAACAGAAAGATGCTTCTGCCACAACAAAAGTCAAAGAACCGCAAAAGAATGAGTGCCTTCACTAGCAAAATAAGAAAATCTTCAGAAATCGATCTGACTCAACTTGATGAACAGCACAGAAAAGCAGGACCTGGAGTTACCGAAAAACTCCGAAATAAAAAGTAGTAACATACAGTAAAAAATATCTCTTTTTTTAAATGCCTGGCTTTGCCAGCTCTCTGGAAAACAAAATGGGCATACATAAAAACATGTATTTCATTATTCATTGTGGGGGATAAAACAGTCTTCATCCCTGAACAGTTTCAAAAGAGCCATTCCAGGCTTAACACTGAGTTTTACTATCTCAGCTGAAGGGAAATGTCAGCTTTCCTGCCGTTCCACTGAACAGGTCTTTAAACAAAACAAAAAACCTACCAACACTTAAGTATTTGAGGAAATGTGTTCTGTCTCTGACTTGCCTAAGAAGAGATTCCATCCCTAGTTCCTAAGGTTGTGTGGAGGTGGAGTTTTTCCTCTTTTTTGAGACAATGAGCTGAGTGTATGCAATCCATTTGAATCACCGGGACATTTAAAAAGACATCAGATCATACAAATGGTGAGTTATATTTAGCATTTTTCAATATTTCAGCAAAGAAGAGTATTACTAGAAGTCCAAGAATAATACTTTGTGATGTAGAATTTTTTTTCTTCCTGATTTAGCCCTTAAAACCATCCATCTGTTGAAATCCTCTCAAATTAACTATCCAACATTAGTTCAGTTGTCCTACATCTTGCAGATCCAGGAGTCTAGTGCAGTGACAGTGAATATGCTGACCGTAATCACAACCCATTATAATTACAGTCTTAGTCAGTCTGTGATGCCCATACAAGAAAACACCACCTTTAATCTCTGCAGCAATTCATCTTTTCTTTTGAACATCTGTTAATCTGCTGCTCTGAAACAACTCTATCACTCCATATGTGACCCTCTGGACCATGCGGTGTTACCTTTCAGGAGTTATCTTTCAAGCCATGACCTTGTGGAAAACAACCCATCAGCATGCTTTCTGCTGCATTCTTCTTTCAGGGCCATCTGTGCCTTTGACGTCAAATAATATGCTCAAGCTTTTTTATTTAACCCGTAGAGAAAAGGGAGAAATAACAGCTTGAAAGACATAAAAAGGCTGAATAGGCTGTCAGATATTATGAGGCATTTGAATAAGCCAGATACTCTACTCAGGAAAGACTGTTTTGTAAGATATTATAGCACCATTCATGATCATTAACCTCAGAAATAAGTATATGAAATCAAAGTATATTATTTGTTGTAACTACTTGATAAAGGCGAATGTTTTAAAATACATGCTAGCATACAAAAAAGTTTTGAATGATGACGAAAAACTTGTTTTTCTTTTAGTTCAACGGCTCTACTCGGTTGTACAAGGAACGTACAGCCCTTATCAGGGTGTCCGGTACGCCATGCTCCTGGAGCACCTCCTACAGGATTCTCAGAGGGACGCGGTCAAATGCCTTCTCTACATCCACAAATCACATTTGGACTGGTTGGGCAAACTCCCATGCACCCTTATGGATCCTAGCAGGGGTGTAGAGCTGGACCGCAGTTCCATGACCAGAAAAAAAACACATTGTTCCTCCTGAATCTGAGGTTTGTCTTTCAGACCCCTGAGCAGACCTTACCAGGCAGGCTGAGGAGCGTGATCCCCCTGTAGTTGGAAGGAACACACCCTCCAGTCCCCCTTCTTAAAAAGGGGGACCACCACACTGGTCTGTCAATCCAGAGGCACTGCCCCCTGATGTCCAAGTGATGCTGCAGAGTCGTGTCAGCCATGACAGCCCCATAACATTCAGGCCCTTAAGGAACTCTGGGCAAATTTTCATCTCACCTTGAGGCCCTGCCACAGAAGAGCCTTTTAACCACCTTGGCAACCTCTGCATGGAGATAGAAGAGCCCACCTCTGAGTCCCCTGGCCCTGCTTCCTCACTGACAGGCGTGTTGGTGGGATTGAGGAGGTCCTCAAAGTATTCCTTCTGCCAATCAACAACATCCCGAGTTGAGGTCAGCAACACACCATCCCCATCATACACAGTGTTGACAGTGCATTGCTTCCCTTTCCTGAAATGCCAGATGGTGGTCTAGAACCTCTTCAAAGCTGTCCAGAAGTTGTTTTCTATGCTCTCACCAAACTTCTCCCACACACACCCAGGTTCTTGCCTCAGCGACCACCAAACCTGCATTCCACTTGGCCTGCTGGTACTTATCAGCTGCCTCCAGAGTCCTACAGGCCAAAAAGGCTTGATAGGACTCTTTCTTTAGCTTGATGGCATCCCTCACTGCTGGTGTCCACCAACAGGTTTGGGTATTACCGCCACAACAGGCACTGACCACCTTACAGCCAAAGCTCCAGTCAGCTGCCTCAACAATCGAGGCACGGAACATGGCCCACTTGGACTCAATGTCCCCCACCTCCCCTGGGACATGGTTGAAGCTCTCCCAGAGGTGGGAGTTGAAGCTCCTTCTGACTGGTGACATTCCTAGCTGACCCTTACAGTGTTTGGGTCTGCCAGGTTTGACCAGCATCCTCTCCCACCATTGGAGCCAACTCACTACCAGGTGAGTTCGCTCACCTTGACATGAATTTAATTTTCAGTCATTATCAAATGGAGAGAAAACTCAATTTGTTGTATAATGGAGTTATGTTGAGTGAATTAAAATTAAAAGATTAAATCAAATTAAACTCCTGGAAGTTACCACAGATCATAAAGGCTGCTTTTAAATCATGCATGGCCTTTATCAAATAGAATTTATTGGAATCTGTTGGTTTTCTTTACAAAGTAAAGGGTCTGCTGAATAAGAAAGGCGTATGTATTTGATATTGTTTGCTTATTATGCTGCGTATGGAATTCAATGTAGAAGTCTGTGAAAATTAACTACAGATCCCATAATTAAACTACAATAAAATTATTAGAATAATTAATAAAGCTTGCTGCCATGAATCCACATATCCAATTATCATGTACTAAAAAATAAGATGTAATTCTTTCGGTAACTATTTCTTTTATCAAGAGAAGGATGTTACAATTTAAGAGGGATGTGTATGTTTGAAACATTGAAAGCAGGGACCAGTGCTATCAAGTGGGCCACTTCTAGAAATAAATTATTGGTTTGGAGGGACTTTGTTAGGTACTGAGACTTCCTAACAACTGCCTGTCCCTTTCCTTTCACAGCTTCTCTTGATGATTCATAACATCTAAACACATAACCCAGGGCACACTACATGACACACATCCATTTGCTGACGTAAGAGTAAGCTGTGACCAAAAGTATCAAAGCTGCTGTATATACTTTATAAGGCCTGATGGGAAACTAGATATAAGCATGGTGATGCAGAGATTCACAAGTTCTTTGTGTTACCCACTGAAGATTTTTTCTCCGATTACTGTGATTCCCACGGATTGTATCGGACAGTTGGAGGCCTTAGGGTTAGGTTCATCATTTTATTTATTTATATTTTTGTTCATTAATCATGTAAGTTTTATTGTGTGGATGAAACCAGTGCCAACTTGTAAACTTGTGTTATTTTGCATTTTGTTTGATGAATATTCACACAAATTGTAGACGTTTGTTCTTAAATGAAGAACTACGGATAAACATTAATTTTCAGTCTTTATAATATTATGTTTTTCAGGATTTTAAATTAGGGTTTTTTGTGATGTTTGATAATATTTATTACAAGAATAGACATCACATCTTAGTAATCAAATTGATGCTAACAGTACAAATAATTCTATGAAAAACTTAAAGCATCTATCTATTACTAATATTGTAATATATAGAATATATATAATATATAGTCTAATATAAAGTGAGCTGATTCCTAATACAACTTTCATATCAGAGGGTGGCATCCTAATATTAGATTCTAATTAAAAGTTATGAAACTGAAGCAAAGCTTTTGAGCTTAATATTCTTGGAATTCACAGCTTTTTATTACTGCATTCACAGTGTATTGATGCAATAATTTTTGCTGAACAAATAAAACTATCACACTCTAATGTTAGTCACTTAAATGAAGGAGAAGAAGAAAAGCAAGCTCACTAAGACAGTCTATATCGAGAGCTGAGGCACATCCAAACTACAAGCAGAGGTCGATAGGGGGATTCAGCTGCTTGGAGCTGAATTGATCCAGGATGATCGCTCTAAGACGACAATCACCGTAAGAAACATCAATCTACACATTGTTCTTTTAAAAAAATCACTTAAGGCAACTAATGACAAAAGTTCCAGCAGCCTATATGAATCAATGTAGTACCGCTTTAAATAAAAGCTAAACTGTCCCCATTTAGATTCTGATGTGGTAGCACATACAGTACCTGTCTTCCTCTGTATCGATTGAATTTTTCTTGCCTGGATAGAGCTTTTATGGGTGAATGGAGAGGATGTGGGAGTGTCCAGACTGAGTGTCTGCATACTGTCTGTTTCAGGTCAAAGCTGTCAATTCAGTGTGACTTTAGATTGGCATTTCACCTTTAATAATATAGATGCAATTTGGCACTGAGGAGTAGTGACATATGTTGGAGGAAGTAGGATACAATAATCAGTACATAATGATAAGACTGAGTACTCTGTTAGTAAGTGTCTCTGCTGATAGCGGCTGTAATCCCATGAGCTGTTTTTTGCCGACTCTGCTCTGGGATTACTTTATGCCTTCAGGCTACAGAGCTGGACTGAGGCAAGAGGATCAAAGCATCATATTTCACATGCTGGCTTTAATTGTTTTCAGGGTAAACACATGGGATCAAAGGACATGAGAAAATATGATTTACTGGCATGGTGAAAACAGTAATGTTTTGTTATTGTTCCTTGTGGTGCAGCTTTTAGGGCTTGGTCTGTCATGCATCTATCTGTCCTTTAAGCTAATTGGTCCTGGAGACTGACTGATTAGACTGGAGATCTAACAGGATGAGTGCTTTGGTCAAATTATTTAAGAGACTGGACTGTACACACCTTAAGCCTTATTTAATTATGTAAGGTTCTGGACAGCACACTTTCAACCACTAGTAAACAGAGGTACACCTGCAAGCTGCTGACCCATCACATTTTGAAGACACTGAATTCTGTGAATGTCTGTGGATAGTTCCTTATATTAAGTTTTTCCCCATCAGCCAAGACTGTTTGAACTGTCAGCGCTCTCGTCACAGCCTTGTCTCCTTTGCCATTAACCCCCCCCCCCTTCCTACCACTGTATTATCCTGCATCTTTATCATCTACTCTGAAAAGACGGAGCACTGCTTGCCCCCCTGGGAACAGGAGCAGAGCTCTACCAGCTAAAGGCACAAATGCTCTGTGCTGGCTTATGCAGTCCAGTGCAGTCCACTAAGTGCTTTTCCTATCTGGAAGATATGGAGGAGACTCAGCCAGACATATGCTGTCTCATCCTTGTCACTAAGGGAAAAGGCTCCAGTCTAATCCACCTGTCAAAGCCATGATAAAGTAATTGTTATAATTTGCTTTAAGAAGTTACAAACTTGTTGAAAAAATTGAGAGACGTAATAATAATGTTCCTCTTTGTCTGCAATCTGCACTAAGCTGTTTTATTCTACGCATGAGAGCAAGCAATGCTAGTCGACACACTATGTGCTAAAAACAAACATGACTGTGGGATTTTCACAGCACTCAGATCTGGTTGTGATGCAGCAATATCTTCCACAAACTGTCTCTTTCATGGCTCTTGAAAGCCTTGACAGGATGGGAAACTTTTGAAGATAAAAGAGGAAGGGCTGTGCTGTACTGTCTGTGATCCAAGGTCTGTTGTAATTTAATACAGCTGAAATCAGCATTATAGGCATCCTGTGGGTAGATCACTGTGGCGAACAAGATTTAAGATAGGTAGGGATTGATTACCTGGCAAGGAAAATCTAGACATCTTGAAGAGATACTTTTCACAGTTTATACCCTTTGAAGGTCAAACTTCTTGTCTGACTTTAGTGAAATAAAAATAATCTTAGTCTCCAAAAATGAAATGTTATTTTATGATCTCTTATCAGTGACGCAGAACAGAAGTAGAGTTTGTTTAAGAGGGGGTCAGTGGGAGGGAATGTATTTGACAAAGATCCAAGTAGACTATAACATGTCTGGTTGAGAGGAAAACATCCACTCTGCTCTGCGAGATATGATGAATTCTGCAGTGCTCCAACCGAGAAGATACAGGACATAGCAGATTACTTCACTGGCGCGAATACAACTCGATGGTGGTAACAGCAAATACAGACAGTTATTCCCTCATCTTTAACAGACCAAATACAATCTGTGTAAATGTGTGTACAACTGCACAAGTATGAAAAGTCTGGCACTCTGTTTTGCTTCATTTTGTGTTAGTTAAAGTGTGACTTTCTTGTTCACATACTGTGAATCTGATATTCAGTCTATAAAGGATACTTTTTCTTTAGCTTTGTACATGATGTAAATGCTCAAGTGTCTATTTTTTACATAGCAGCCTTTTTGGATTTGTATATTGCAGTCCTGCTTTTGTGCCAAATTGCAATTCAAAATCCAATTTATGCATTTTGCTTTTGGTTGTTAACTGATTATCAAAAAAATTTTGACCAGCAGCAACCATGCAATGAGGTAAAGCCTAAGCAGTGAAAAGAGGAAAGTAGGCGGCATCTCTTTTTAAAAACATCATCTCATGAATTTTTTAGTGAATTCTTGAATGAAAGTGCAGGGTTCTGCTCACCAAGCGAATAGTGAGCCCAGTTCCTGGGATTAAAAATAGCTACATGGAGCTTTGCTGAAGAGTGACTGAGGTCTGCATGATGTTCCCACAAAAACACTGCCTGCAGCATTCAATAACATAACTATATAATCAACAACGCCAAAATAGGAATTTAGATCTTCTCCAGCCATGCTGTTACATCAACAATATATTATGTTCAGGTGTTTTTTTAAGACATATAATCGAGAGTGACTTAGTCAGTCAGTGGTCATGAAAGTAAAGGGGTCAAGGCCTATGATCTGTTTACCATCACTCTGGTCCCTCTCATCAAGTGTGCAAGCATTAAAATACCATGGAAATAGGTCTATATTTGAGAGCTGGTACAAGTGTGCAAATTTCACAAACAATTCAAAGATCAACAGGCTATTTGCTTATCATGCTTCTTCCTATGTGAATTGTGTCTAAAGACTCAAACATCGTTAACCTGAGAATACTGTGGAAAACATAACCCATCTGATGTTTCATGCCTGTTTTAGTTCAGTCCTCTTCAGCACCTCTTCAGTGTTGTGAGTCCTGATTTACTATCACCACATGGAAGTTGCTCGCTCTTCTTCGGTAAGAAGTTTAAACACAAAGACAGACCGACAGGCCGTCTGTCGTTACGCCTAGACAAATGGACTCGGCTGCGTCTTTCCCGCTGTACTGTGTTTACACCTGTACACCGAGCTGTGTTTGATATGGACAGCAAAACTAACCGGAACGTGACTGAAAATACAATGAATTTGGCAAATATCTAGGGTAAAGTGCGATAACTGCCTGCATTAGTACCTGTAGATGCAGTTTCCATAGCAACGGGAGGCCTTTTCCCGTCGTCCTGGAAAGGATGAAATTGTTGATCCAGGTCGCCCGCCACCTCGCCACCTTTCGGCTTCAAATCCTCATGTAGCTCGTCGAACCGGGTCGGTGTATTCCCAAACAGGCCATTTCTTTCATAGTCATCCCCAAACCACCTTCCCTCAGAGCTTAGCTCTTCTCCGGGCTTAGCAGACATGCTTTTATTTTCCTGTTATCGGACAGATTCAGCGGCGGGCACCAGGCTTGTTCTTCTCTGCCGTGTACCGGGAGTAGACTGTAAATGAGCGGTTAGCGGAAACTGGTTCCAAACAATGCGGTTTCTGCACTGGCTTCTGTTTACTGAGCCTGGGGTTTGTGGACGCCACAGATGAGGAGGGGAGGTCCGTCGCTCGCTCGGTCGGTCGGGGAGCAGAGCAGAAGGAGAGGAGTGAGGTTGATTGTTTTAGTTCACTGCTCCAACGCTGACGTCATGGTGTCCGCGAGGCTCAGGGTTGGCACTTTTATTTGGGGCACGTTCACATTTCAAACGCGTTTAAATAAAGTTTGCTGAAATGTTTGACAGTGGCGAGGTGAATGGCGGAGAAAAAAACGTATTCGGTGAGGTAAAACAGGCGACCGTGACTTAACAAACAGGGAAAAGTCAATTATAATTGATTGACTTCAAATACGGCATGAATTCGTCAAGGAAAACGGTGCTTCCACATCATTAAGTCGGATTAAATGTGTTTTGATTAAGAAACACGATTACTACAATGTTGTTTTATAACAAAATTGTCCGTAAAATCGTTCCAAAGTGTGTCTCCCACGTTTTTGTGGAAATATATATTGTAGTGTGGCGCCTTCGTGTGGTAGCTCGAAGTATGAACAGTGTCGCAAAACTTTCAACGGCTCCTTAGCAACCAGACGTCAAGTGCCTGGATACAGACAAACTCCAAACATTGCTGAACTCCGACGGGCAACAGCGTCTGCGACTGAGCCGAACAAAGCGTATATTTCATCATGGAAATAGGGTAAATTAATTTAAAGCGTTAAATTAATGCTCCAAGGAAAGATCAAGTGATTTACAAACATCCGTGTATCTGTAGGCTTACCTGATGTTGGCTAACTGGCAACAAAACTAGAGATTCGCAAAATAAGCAGTAGGCTAATGTGTGTCCGCTGGAAACCTCAGTTATGTTTCTATGTTTACTTTATGACTACGACTTTTTTGTTTTCCTTCCAATAGACCGTGACAGTAAAGATATATACCACAAGGGAAAAGCTTAAGATAAAACAAATATGGCCCAAATTGAGAAACAAAAGCAACGTAGTGATGAAGAAGTTGTCAAAAAGCTGGTAAGTATGTGCTAAACTTTGGTAAAATTATAATTGGCATGGGTTAATGCTCAGTTTTTAGGCTGTTGCCTCCAAAAAAAATCACCCAGTATTATAATTATTGTTTCTAAATGGGTATAATTCAAGTAGGTCTGTTACATTATCTTATTTTCTCTTTGTAGTGCATGGCCAATGGGATATCCTATGAAAAGACTGTTCGAGAGGGAAGCAACATCAGCACCTTGAAGATGTTTTTCTCTGGTTTTCCTCGTATAGTTGGGCTCAACTTCTTCCCTAAGCTGTGTACGCTCACTATAGTGAGCCAAAACATTAAATACATTGAGGGACTCGAGTGCTGTCCATTGCTGCAAGAACTCTGGATAGCAGAGTGCAACCTGACAGTAGGTTCACCACAGCCCCCAACACATTAAATTGTGGGAACTTGCAATGTACTACCTTTACTGAGTGACCTTCTCTCATTGTGTTCTCAGTCCTCCTCTTATACTACAAGCAAAAACATTTTTTTCATAGCCTAACTAAAACATCCTATTGCATATGTAGAAAGTAAAATAGATGTCATATACTATATTAATTCTTACCAACTTCTTTTTTTTTAGGAAATATCCGGACTACAGGAATGTCTGCAGCTGAAGAAGCTCTACCTTTATGATAACCAGATTTGTGAAATAAAGAATTTACAGTCACAGATTGACCTAGAAGTCCTGTGGCTCAACAATAACTGCATTAGTCAGATACAGGTTTGAACTGTAGTATTTGAATTCTTATTATAGATGTGTTTTTGCATCTTCATCAAGAGGTCAGTTATGTAAGTTACATTTTCTCAATTTTAATCACTTTTTCTACATGGTTTGTAATCATAGGGCCTGAACTCACTTCCAAATCTCAAAGAACTAAACCTTGCAGACAACAGCATTGAAGAGATTGGTAGGTTTTTTTTTCTTTTTTAATTGTCTGCTTTTTATGAGCCAGCTTTGATTGAGATCCAGTGAAATGTTTGAATAGAGCAATAATCAAATATCTTCCAATAACTTAATTTAAGGGCATAGCCTTGAGCATAATGTCAGCCTTCAGAATCTTAATCTCTCCGGGAACAAGATCACCTCCTTTAAGGTAAGATTAAAAAACAGAAATATGCTTTTGTAAATGTTTTCCTGCTTATTTTCAAAAATGTTATTAAAATCCTTGGTCTGAAGAAAGGGCCTGTCCCAATTCTTGTAAAATGTCAGGGTCTCAGCCAGTTCAAATTTTCAATCAAGTCTACAATGAGCTGGCTGCACAAGACTTTCATTGAGTTATTGAGAAGGATAATTTGAGTTTTTTGTAATTCTTGATTGAATAATATTCATTCACAGTTACATCCATTTAAAAAGTTATAAAATGCTTTCTTGGTGTTTGTTAACTATACATTTGAGATGTAAACTGTAGCTGACACACTCATTCAGAGTTTACTCTGAGTCATGTCTGGTTCAGGGTCACCCCCCAAAAAAAAATAATAATAGTGTTGTGGCTACTGTTGATTGGATGAACACCTCAGATCAAATTAATGCAATCGACCTTTTGTCTAGACCCTGCATTCCTTGTTTCCCTGTGTGCTAACCCCCTTTGGCTTTAAAGATAGCAGTAATTGTCACTCCACGCACTGAGTCCTCAGAAGGTTACAACTACCAAAAAGGAGAGCTTGGCTTGTAAGGACACCTATCTAACAAGAAACTTCCTTTTGTGTACAGTCCGCATGACAGAAGCTGCAGAAAATTTGTCGAGCTCTGTAGTTGCCTATTCACAACACAAAAAAGGCTTTTCATGATTGTTAGTTATCTTTCTTTTTACAACAATTCAAACAGTAACATCATCAAGGCAAAACAATCAAATGTGGACTTAAGTGTAAATACCTGAATGAAGGCTAATTGCATTTTTGATTAGCAAGGTATTTCATTGTGCATGAAGTCATGTTAAGAAACTGCTCTCTGGGCTCTGTTGTTGTTATAGGAGTTGACCATGCTTACCTGCTTACCTGATCTAAGAGAACTGGCACTCAGTGACCGCACATCCACCCCAAACCCAGTGTGTCAGCTGTTTAACTATGACACACATGTTCTGTATCACATGCCAGGCCTCCAGCGACTGGACATGTACGATGTCTCAAGCAAGAAAATCAAAAAAGCAGCTGAGGTACGGAGCAGACCAACAGAGATCCAGTGTAACTTTAAAACTCCAAAAACAGTCACTGAAATAATCAAAGTTCTGTTTGAGGGGACACTCTGAATTCTTTTGGTTGATATAGATAAATGATTTTATCATTCTTTTTATATTTTCATGAACATTTTTTTGGCTAACAACAAAAGGTTACCCTGCTATTTATGGTTCCAGTGTCTAGATACAATGTGAGTTATATATGAACATCCAAGACGAAATTCAGAAGCATGTTCATCAAAAGTTCAGTCATCATGTAATGGTAGTTTTGTTATATCTTTGATTTTTTTTCTTTTAGTCTACAGTAATGAAGAAAATGATGTACTACAACATGCGTGTTCGTACTGCTCGGAGAAACTTTGCAGAGACTCAGCACAGTTTGATGGAGAGGAAGAAAACAATGTTACAGTTACCGGGAGAATGCATAAGAACAATCAATCATGCCATTAAAAATGTAAATACCCTGTTTAAACTCTCTAAAAAAAAAACATATATATATATATCATCATATCACTGCTATATATTTGTAAATATATATGTATATATATAATATATATACAGTATATATATACAGTATATATATATATATATATATATATATATATATATATATATATATATTTACAAATATATAGCAGTGATATGATATATGATAGTAATTGTTAAGACAGGTCATTAATGTATTAAATATTGTACAAGATTAAGAGAGCTTTTTTTATTTTGCATGCATACCCAGCTCGAACGGGAGCTCTCCCAGGTGATGGCTGGTTGTGGGAAGTCTGCCTGCACATTTGAAGACAAACCTTTCCTCCATGCTAAAGATTCAACAGACAGAAGTGACTCACCCATTGATATTAGTCATGACCCTACTATGGAGCACAAGATACTCTGCAAGATTGAAGCGCTGCAAGAGAGAATGGCACTATGGATGAGGAGAATGGATGAGTCCGTATATTTGAATATGTTTCAGATAGAGTCTTATTATGTTCTATGCTACTTATTTACTATATTATTGCATCTGATATAACAAACAGCTGTACTGTCAGTACGTGATATTCCTTTTTCTCCAATCAGGATTGAGGCCTGGTTCCAGAGAGATCTGGCCCAAGCTACCCGTATGATGGAATACACCATCCAGTTTTTGTTAATGGAGCTAGAAAGTGTTGGAAATATTCGTTTAGAAGAGGGCTGCTCCACGGACTCTTGGTACATCATTATATCACACATCATGATTCAAATACAACCACCATGAAACTGACAACTGGAGGACAAAATGTAACACATGACTCTACGTTGTATTCCTCACAGGTTTTCCTCTTGCCGTGCACTACTGCTATCATGTTTCTCCTGCTCAGACTTTATGATTTATGGCATCACTGGCATCAAGATCAATAAAGTGATCCGCATCCACAACAGAGCTCTGAAGCTTCGCTTTGAAGACAGATTTCACGCCTTACTAACCAGCGAAGAGTCTCCATCCTTTTCACAGTAAGTTAAACTAGATTGTGATAGTAACTGGTAATTACTTTGTTTTTTTTCATAGATAATCAACGAAAGATTTTATAGTGTTGTTATTGTCATTGTGGCAGTCACAGGACCATGTTTTATGTTCAACCCAAACTTTTTTAGAAGGAACTACAGACATCAGCTGGATTACTTATTCTACGCGACTGATCCTGGAGAAGATAATGAGAGGGAGAAAATTTTGAGTATTCTAGAGAAAGGTTTTAAAACGGCTGAACCCCATAAGGTGTGAATACCTAAAACTTTACCAGATGTTTGTTTCAGAGCACGCTGTCTCACAAAATTCAACCCATTAGCAGAAAATTAATTCCACTAAGCATGAGCTAGTTGGTCACTGAATACCTATACAGTAATACAATGAAATGAGTTTGTAAAACCAAAAAAGATCTTTTTTCTTTTGCTTTTTAATTAGCAGAATGCAGTTAAAAATACAAAGCAACATTAATCTATCAATATGACATTGACTCAGAAGTCTGAGCTGTGTTGTTTGCCCAGCAAACTCTTTAGTTGTTTGCTTCTGTACAGAGAAAACTGAATGTGAGGATTTTGTAATCTTTTCTTTGTTTGTTTTATTTTTACATCTCTGACTAATCATGCTGATGTGCACAACTAGTCATTGGGGATAGAAGGTGCTATACCTTTATCAAACAGCCTGATTGTGACTGAACAGCCCAGAATTGAACATGCACTGCAGCAGGCCAGCCAAGGAGAGACACAGCACAGTTCAGACACAATCCCCTTTAGATATGGTGAGTTATTTTTGCTCATTGTTACTGTTAAGTCTGCATATTGTGACTACTGTTCAAAGTTTGTATAGGTAATGTATGTATATGAATATATGTTTTTCTTTTCCAAAGGTTGGATAATTGTTTCAAAAGTGTTTGTGGGCCACAGCATGCCTATCAAAAAGGGGGAACTGCTGGAGAGAAGCAGCTATTCCAAATTGTACTCAGTGTATCGCAATGTGAATGCCAAGCAAACAACTGCAACACATGAAGGTATACAGTGTATCACAATGCATCAGAAATCAGTTTTATTCAGCCTGTATTCAAACAACAATGTTGCATCTTTGTCTGTTTTGATTCAGAGATACCTCCCTCTTCAAAAACACACACTGGTTCCGAGTGCAGTCCCCGACAAAGACAATGGTTTGTGTTTGACCGTGAGCTTGTTCTGCCTGAGTACATCATATTTTTTGAGTACATCACTGGGGTAAGAAAATAACTGGTTCTGCTGAATGTTTTCATCATGTCCAAAAATCAAACTTTTGTTTGAGGCTGCACTCAAGAATCTCAACAGTAAAATAAATCACAGACTTTCAGTTTGAGCAGAAAACAAGATGGTAAAAAGATTTTGATCACAGATGTCCTGATTTTTAGACCTTTGCTCTGGTTTTAACAACTTATCAAACTAACCACAAATTTGTTATTTGTTAGGATACAGAACATTCTGCACCAGGCCACATCCCAGTAAAAGATGGTACGCCTTCCAACGATATCATCCTGGACAAGGAAGTCTTAAACATGGAACCTATGCTGAAACCATTACCCAAATTGTTGAGTTTGGATGAAAAAACCTTGCTCAGCGTGGCCAGAGCCAATGTCCTCAGTCAGATTACTGTAAGCACTATGTTTTTTTTTAATAGAGAAATTCAAACCATAGCCTCCTGAAACACTGAAAAAAGATTTTTTCTATTGTATTGATTCTTAGGTGCTGAACCTACATGGCAACAGTCTGAGTAAAATAAAGGAGATTTCCCACCTCACAGCTCTGAGACACCTCACCATCAGCTTCAATAAGTTCACACACTTGTATGACATTTCTCACATGGTAAATCATTATTATTCAGCTTGAATTTCTTGCCACATTTAAATTGCTCAGTTGAATGCATTATATTGAAATAAGGCTAAATAAAGGAAATAATTCCACATTAATTGTCTCTTATACCTAAAATGCAGCCAAACCTTGAGTTTCTGGATGTCAGCTATAACCACCTTGTGACTCTGGAAGGGCTACGGGGGTTGTCACGGCTCAAACAACTTGACGTACGCTGGAACGAGTTGACCAAGGCCAGAGAGGATTCAGCAGTGTTGCAAAAACACACGCCAGCCTTGCTGAGGCTTGACACCCGATACAACCCCTGGACTAAGGTGTGGCCTCTGATTCAACAGAACAAAACAGACACATGCTGAACAAAAATATATTTGGTGAAGTTTCTTTTCTTCTTTTTAGCCTGAAACAATCCGAAAAAACATATTGGGCTGTCTGACGACCCTCACACACCTAGATGATGTGATGGTAGGAGAGGAGGAGGCTGCTGATGCTGTTCAAATGACTGTGGGATCTAAAATCAACAAGGTCAAGATCTGAAAATCTGCACTGACTGCTGCACAGTACTGCATAATGGAACACAGATCTTAAAACTAGAACAATAGAAAATAAACTTGTTAAGCTTTCATGATAACTCGTAAGAATTACTCCTGCTAGCACATCCACAGTTTCAATCCAAAGAATTTACTATATTTCCAGGCATCATTTCTGGTTCACTCGCGCACCAGCAATGACCGGCCTCGGAGTCTCAGCCTGCTGTCAACAGCCCAGCTTTTGTGTCTACTCAGTCCTGCAAACTGGAGAACTGACATAGAGCTGGAGCCAGATTGGACTGCAAAGGTAAACTAAAGGCATATGAGTTTTTCAGAGTTAGTTGGAAGACTTCAGGGAAAATTGTACAGTGATTCATCACTGAAACTGATAAACCTACTCTACATCTGTGATTTTATCATGAATGTATGTATATGTGTCCATGGCCTTTATATTTGGGCAGATCACCACCCTGAACCTTGACAGTCAGAAGATTTCTAAACTGATCAGTCTGGAAAAGCTTGTCAACCTCCGTTGGGCCTCCTTAAATGACAATGATATCTCCAAAATGAAGGGTCTTGAATGCTGCTCAAAACTGGAGGAGCTTTCCCTCAACAACAACAACATCAACACTCTTGATGGTTAGTCAAACTGTCATTTTATAAACTATCCAGAGTAAAACCCAAAAAGTTGGCTTCAGTAAAATTTCTACATCTTCCTTTGCTGTTTCTTCAGGTCTCCCCAAACTTCACTGCCTTAGTAAACTGAGTCTAGATGGCAATCAGCTGACTACTTTGGATGCCTCTGTGCTGGATCAACTGCCCAACCTGTCCTTTTTGTCTGTGGAGAACAACTGTATCACTTCCTTGCATGGCATCCAGGGAGCCCACTCCCTTCTTGAGTTATACATCGGCAACAACCGAATTTCAACATCACAAGATATCTACTTTTTAAAGGCAAACAGTAGAGGAACAAGGACTGTATATTCCAGAGTTCCCAACTTCTTTGACTTTGCTTTGAGAACTTATTTCTACCTCTTCCATTTCAGGGATTGTCGAATCTCATCATTCTTGATCTTTATGGGAACCCTTTATTGGAGCGCTTGGAAAACTATCGCATTTATGTGGTGTTCCACCTACCCTCCCTAAAAGCTCTGGATGGCACTGCTGTTGTATGTACCGACAAAAGCAACAAGTTAAACTTAGACGTTGTTGTGGTCATGATAAAATGATTCGTACTTTTCTTGTTTTCTTCCCAGGAGGTAACTGAGTGTAAAAAGGCGAAGGACATGTTTTGGGGGAGACTAAACCCTGACATGGTAGCAGAGAAGCTGGGCCACTCTACCTTCACAAATGTCACTTTCCTCACAATGCAGGATCGCTCTATAAGGTAAAAACCAGGACAGAAAAACACATCACGCACCCACTAACTTGCATCAGTATAGCTGTTTAATTTGCTGAAGAGTAAAGGCTTATTAGAACAGTTTTATTTCCTCACAGGATGGTCGATCTCTCTCCATCAGATCAGTTTTGTAGTCTGCTCAGTGTCAACTTGGATCACAACAGCCTCACCTCTTTCTCAGGCCTCATATACCTGCCCAACATCAAAGTACTAAACACACTAACCGTCATATATCATTGGGCAGCGTACCTGAGCTTTGTACTTAAACATGTTTTCTTTACAGGTTCTGAGTCTAAACCATAACCGTATAGAGTCCATCCTACCCAGACAGAAGCCCCAGGCTCGTCTAACAAACAAACAGATACTCCACAGCAAAGTTCACTCCAGTGGTTACGGCCAGCGGAGTTCAACTAAAAAGAAAGGGTATCACATTTTTCACCTCAAAAATAAATGTGTTTCTATATTTTTTAAGCTAAAAAAATGAGGATTGTTAAAATTTGTAAACTGCCACCATTAGGGGGCAGCACTGACCAGTCAATGTATAAACTGGAGCCTGCCGATAAAACAGATCTCTGTTGTAGAGGTTGCTAAACCCCCCCAAAAAGCCCTAAAAGCATGATACAAATCAAGCTTGAGTAATGAATATGAATGTTTTATCCTTTCTAGAGATGCGATACCAAAATCCAAATAACTAGATCTTTGATTATATATTTCCAGTTTCTACATAGTCATAATAAAACAGGCATAATAGTACAATGTTTTGGTATTTTCTTTTAATAGAATCCAGTATATAAGCAGTGCTGTAACAGCCTTGTATCTTTACTCTTCCTGTGATTGCATTTGGGTAGTCTGCACCTGTGAGGTTAACGGGACAGCAGGAGGGACAAAAGAGATGCTCATTTAACCACAGACTGTCATTCTGTGACTGTTTAAGGGAAACTGGGCCCACTGACAGTCTGGAGCCACTGATGGGCAGCCTAGAGGAGCTGCATTTGTGTCACAATGGCATCTCCAATATGGCCAATCTGCAGCTCAGCAGGCTCACCAATCTTAAATTACTCTTTCTCCAAGGTATGTATGGTTGAGGCAAAACGGCGTCCCCACAAAGCCTGTTCAGAGCTCTGTGTAAAGAGCCTGTGAAAAGGCAAACACTGAAAAGTCCCCCATAGACCTCAGGCCAGGTGGGAGATGAGACTTAAGAATAGAACTCCTGACTTTCTTTTCAATCGCTTTTGATGGCTTTTGATGGAGTTTTGCTTTGACGGAGCTATTTGTCCCACAAAGCCGACCTCACTTGTCCTTTCTTCCCTTTTTTCTTTGGAATCCTTTCATAGATCTCTCCGTAATTTCAGTGTCTTCTCACCAGAAGAAAAACTAAATACTGTTTTGCTGTAAAAACATCCTTTAATATTTTTTTTGTGTCTGCAATTTTCCCTTTTAGTTTGCTGAAATAAATATAAGGCAACTCTTTGGGGTATCACTCTTGATGCATTAATTAATATTTCTCTCTTTCTAGGGAATGAGATCAGCCAGGTAGAAGGACTTGAAGGGCTTCACCAGCTGATGCAGCTTGTGTTAGACAAGAACCGCATCAAAACTCTGTCTGAAAAATCTTTTATCGGGCAGAATGTTCTGCTAGAGCTGCACCTGGCAGCGAACCGTATCCAGGAGCTCAACCATCTTGATCCTTTGACTGAGCTTCGCAAGCTTTTTCTTGGCATGAACAAGCTGCAGGTATTTCACTACAGCAGAGATTTCTTCACCTGCTGGTGTTAATTATGTTTATATTCAGATTTTTATTAAACGTGCATTTTCAGATTTCAATGAGGCTGCCACAATAACTCAAACTAAAGCTTTCTTCTGAGGTGACTAGCAAGGTCATATTAATCTTTTGCACAGTTTTTGATTTTCCGCCATACCTTAACGTGATGGTTCATACACACAATGTGGTAGGTATTTAAGAATGTGTTTCATTCAGCATGCAGAATTACTTTACCCGGCATTTTCAAAGTAAGACATGAGCTGTAGTAATCATGAATCATTACCACCCCACTGTGATATGCGAGGGGTAGCACTAAAGAGAATCAAGTTTGATTGAAGGTCAGGGCCGCATGCATGAAGACAGTCACTAACAATCAGGGAACGTGTAATCAGTTCTTCAGTCTGTGTCTCCTTCTCACCAAGGGTGAGTGATTTGCACTTTGTTTTCTAGTTCCTTCTTTCCTTCACTTTCTTAATGTTTTCATGCATTCGATTAAGACATAAATACAGTAATCATCAAAGTGCGACCGGTCTCTCAGTGGGGTTGTCTTTGAATCGCCGCCAAATACAGCTGTAAACCTGTGAATGACCAAAAACACGCCTGATGCCCTGTTGCGTGCCCAAACTCTTTCATGAGATTAACATGAGCTCACACATGTAATCTCTCCTATCAGCTGCTTCCATCCTCCCAACACCAAAATTATGAGAGGGTCAGCCTTATTGCATATGTCTCCATAATCACACAGCAGGTTACAACCAGTGGGCAAAAAGCTTCACTGAATGGGCAGCAAGCAAAAGTTAATCTGTGTTTCTTAACTTTTTGCAGGACATCACAGAGCTTGAAAAACTCGATGTTCTTCCTTCGCTGTCGGAGCTCTCTGTTCTTGGGAATCCAGTGAGTATTACCAGTGTTTGTGCATCACACAGATCTTGGAAAAAGTACGTCAAACGGGTTTGTTTGAGCTTTTCCTGCTGATCAGAATCTAGTAGCCGTCGGTGCAGGACAGTTTGAACTCTTTCACCGAGAAACAAAGTATCACAGACATGCTAACAGGCTCAATTTTTCATTTACACAATCCAGAACACTATTCCAATGTAACTTTGAGGTCCCAAATTAAGCGATTACATGATGGCCCATCTGCTGTGCCTCAAACTGGCCGGCATCAGAGACAAATCCGTGGACCAAATGGCAGGGCCCTATTGGCCCAGTTACATCATCCATCTGGAGCTCATGGATCAGGTCTCAATGCAGCCCATGGCCTCGCTATCATCCACAGGATTCTGCTCAGCTGTGGAAGTCTCCATAGTCCTCGACCCCATCCCCCTTTTTCCCATAGGAGGGGTTAATTTTGCCAGGATGTAGAGGTCAACAGCCACCCCAGAGACAATACCTCCTGCTGTTGGCAGCATGAGAGCGCTACCTCACCCATGTTCCCTGGCCAAAGTCTGTCTCCTCATCTCTGTTGGGCATCCGTTGGCATACTCTCACAGTTTTGTAACGCCAGCAGTGCCCTAGAGGAACATTGAGTTCTATGAATGGAATGGCTCAGTTTTTACGCAGACTGGGGGTCTCCTCAGCTGGGTAAGGCGGACTATGATGCTGTCAGCTGGGTCTCTGGAATAACTGTTTGGAGCACAATAACTTTGTGAGAATCTGCATAGCAGTGTACTCATTCCAGATATCTCTCAGGATCCACTCAGGATCCATGTAAATAATTCTGAGTACAAGTCAATGTCTGCAATATTGATCAGTGTTTTTATTTTAATTAAACAAGTGCTTCTTTCTCTTCCAGGTGGCCAAAAAATCTCTCCACAGACCAGCTGTGGTGCTCCGTCTGTCCTCCCTTCAGGTCCTGGATGGAGTAATGGTCACCCCGGCAGAGAGAACACGGGCTGAACTTCTCAGTGCTGATCCAACAGTGAGGGTTGCATACATTATAGATACTCTCACAGAAACACTCACACACATATGAATAACAATTATGCAGAAAAGGACTTTGTTTTTAGTTAAAAAGAGGTCAAGTCTGCAGATTTTTATGGTTGGTATTAAGGAGAGTTTTATAAATTCTCAGACTCTCTCTGTAGTCCAGCATGACACTGACCCACAGATGAAGAAAAAACTGTTTGCATAAAGCTCATAATAGGCCTGATCATGTAAGATATAGTCCAACTGAAAAAAACAGAATGCCAACAACCAAAAAGCAGCCATGAAATAGAGAGAAAATCCTGGATCAAACTCTTTTAGTCTGACTGATTTGACGTTCATGTAATGAGAGACAGAGGCAGTAATTCTCCTTCAGCTCTGAATTAAAAGCAGCCTAAGCTTGCTGGCATCATCCTGCTGATTAGATGAAATGTGCCCGGCCGATAATGCACCAGTGGATTTACCCCCTATTAGCCGGGTCAACACGACCCCCTCTGCTTGTTAATCGCAGATGTGGAAATGACAGAGCAGAGATACTGGGTTTCCTCATTAAAACAAAGAAAAAATCATCAGTGCTACCTCAGACATCACCCTCAACTCATGCCTGAATACATTTTTTAACACGACCATTGTTGTCCAGAGGGAACAATTACATATAAGAATCATATTTAATACATTTTAAGCATCACCTGAGTTTTTGCTATGTTTTTTTCTTCTTCTCTTTTTTGTTTGTGGTATGCCTTGGATAGTTGCTTCATTTCCCTGAAGTGTATATTCAATATTTCTCTTTAAGCTGTGTCCAGAATACCTCAGAGCTTCTGGACCCCCTCTTCTGCCTTGTAAACCCCTTCTTGGAGCAAGTGGTGTAAGTGCAGGACCACAGAGCTCTATACATAGGCACGATACCCTACCAAATAACATGGAGGAGGCTCGATACGACATGGACTCGAGTAAGTGTGATATTTTTCCTTACGGGGATCAGAGGTCTCTTTAAGATGATAGAGCAGTAAATCAAGATTTACATAAACATAGCCTTTTTTGAGTAATACTACAGAAATAGGAGTCTAATTCAACAATTACCAGACTACTGTTGTGTTGAAAGTTAAATAAAGGTTTAAAGCTCCTTGCTTTGGCTCTGTAACCCACACCCTTGTATCTATTCTTAATCCAGACAAAAGGAACAAGCATGTAAATGCTCAAATCGCCCAAACTGACATAAACTTCAGACAACTTCAAATAAAAGGCATCAGCCTGCCAACACCTGGTCTTCATTCTGATAGGAATAGAGCCATCATCACTCATACCAACCAGGAGCAAGACAGCAGGTGGGTTATCAAAAATAAAGAGTTATTTTATGTGTTTTTGTAATATGAAAGATCTGTTCAAAAGATTAGACTACATATGACTATTTTTTTTTGTTTTGTATTTAAGATTTCCAAATGATGGCAAACATCCTCCTATGTAGCAGCCTGAAGCAGTTGAACATGTGCTGACACTTGTCAATCAAAGCCAAAGGGAAAGATGACTCATACAACAGTCATCACTTTGTTTATTATATTTCACAGGGCTTGAGGACATTATATCGTCAGTATGTGTTTTTCTCTGCATAATTTGATTTATGCATTTTAGGGGAGAAAATGGGTTAATTCAAGTCAAAATTTTATATATTGTCTTCCTATGTTAGAAGCCAATAAATTACTTGTATACGTCTTGGAATTTCAGTGTAAAATAAAGCATATTTCCAGCTACAGACAATTAGGTTGATTTTTGTGCATCCCTTTCAAATGCTTTTATAATGACTGACCTTATTTTTATCTGCATACATGGATCACTAACCACGGTAATCTGAAGATGAGAGGTTTTGGTGTCATTTCCTACTGTCATCCAGTCCTTGGCCACAAATAAGTGAAAAAAAAAAACATTCACAGATGTAAGGGTGTGTGAGGGTGGCACGCTGCATCCATTGGGTCAAATGCATCCCAACAAGCGGATAATCCAGCTTTAGCACACCTCTCTGTGGACAATAATCTGCGGTCGCTAAGATAAAGATGTAATCCTGAACGACGTCCAAATGGATTTCAGAGATTGACGGTTTCATCATGTTAGCCTCTTTTCGAAAAGCCCAGCGCAGTTTTTGCGACTAATAGGCAAATCTCATGTGGTGTGTTGTAACTGGAAATGAACCTACTCCACTTGATATTTATGATGTTATCTCTGCTCAGCATGAGATTATAATCCTCTATGTCTTCCTGTCAGTTTAGACCAGTGGTCCTGTAGTTAATAAAAACACAAATCTGAGCCTTAAATGTGGAGGATATATCCTGTGAAACATTTTCATTCTAGGACCTAAAAATGTGAAGGTGATGTAATGAGGGTCTTTTGGTAAGGGACTAAATGTTTCATTATCAATTTATTCTGATGGAGACCTTTACTTTTCATAGTTTATTCTGCTAAACAAAGACACAGTATATACGAAGAGAAGGGACTCTGTTTTAAAAGGTTGAAAACACTGACAAAAAAAAAGTTTCTCTTAAACATGAACACCCTCTTCAAAAAAGGTTTGAAACAGCAGTGTTTTGTCACATGTCCTTCAGAAACCTGAACGTTATACTGTATTGATCAAGAGCATCACTGTGACCACTAGGTGTCCTTAGAACTCCATTAGCTCTTTCTACATGCTGCTAATCAATCCTCAATGAATTTACAACCTGCTCTGGAGCTAGTAATTTATGAGTTGAAAGCAGACACACGTGTGTTCTTTGATGTGGCTTTTCTTGCTTGTGTAGCCTCCACCGAACATGTGAGGCAACAGCCTGCTTCAGGCAGTCAGCAAAAGTGAAAAGCTCTCCCCAAACAAGCTCCTCTAATGCATGTACTTAACTTCACTTAATTTGTGTTAATTCCTGGCATTAAGCGGGGCTAATGACAGTGCAAGTGAGTGCACTGTCATTACCTTGCTCTGCCTGACATTAAATGGCAGCTGATGGACTCACATGGAAAAAAAAAGCTCTAATGCAGAGATTTGGGGGCTCAGTGAGAGCTCTCTAATGCATTAGACATTGCAAATGATAATTGCATTTTTTTATGTGTACAGTATGTGCAGTATGGATATGTAAGCAGCATAACTGAGTATTTGTGTGTGTAGTGTAAGCTTATAGCCGGCCTTGCACTCCATACAGTAAGCCCTTCTTTGCATATTTGCCAGTATTTTCAACATTTAAATGACATCACCATAAAGATTGTGAATAATTCATCAGTCTTGAGTGAACCCAGATGCACTGCTCCTTCTGCCTATCTCTCTCGCTCTCTCTCTTTCCTCGCTCCTCCATGTGAGCAGACCACATGGTTCTTAGCTGGTTTAATGGGATGGAATGTGACAGGTTATGTTTTCATCAGCCTGATACGGAGCCCTGCTCGGGCAGGAGGGACAAAACAAGAGAGAGAGAGAGAGAGACAGAGAGAGTAGAGGGGGAATAGGCAGTCGTTTTTTTCTACTATAGCCTGGATTCACAATTAGACATGTTTGTGCTTGTTGTGAATCAGATATAGATAATGTTCTCGACCCCATCCCCTCTACACACACACACACACACACACACACACACACATATATATACACACAGAGAAACACATGCTCTGTATGGGGCCATTACTGCTGGTCCGCTAACTCCCTACATTTGCTGGGTCTGTGCATTCAGAGCACCATTAGTCCAAGACTCTGTGAATAATTGCTGAATGGACCATGTTTTTGCTGCTATCTACTCAGGTTCAAGTGTCCGCTGCTGTGTGTGAAGTGAGAGGGATGAGGACATTGATTGATGTCTAATGCTGAAGATAACGCTGCATGTTGCGCAGTGCTTAGGGATGCAGTATGTGTAATGGATGAACAATATTAAACTCCACATGCATTAAACATTTACCAGACTGTATTAACTTTAGAAGCCCTTTCAAAGAGGTTACAATTACATCAACCCCAACACTTGAATTGAAATTGCTTTTGAAAACTGAAATGTTCCCTCCACGTTTAGCTGCTGATAACAAACAAAATGCAGGTCCCCATCAGAAGAAAAATTATCTTGTTTTTAAAAGGGGCATATTATGTCCTGAGTTTGTTTTTCATCCCCACGAATACATCCTCTTTTCAAAAACAATCTTGCCATATTGCTTCTCTCAAAACCTGTCATTGAGTTATTGTTGTCGCTTGTCATTTTCCTGTAATTTGTTTCCTTTGAGGCTCCCCGGATTTAAGAGAGAACAGGGAAACACAGATGAAAGAATGCTCCCAGAGTGACAATTAGAATGAATAGGAAGATGCTTTTATTTTGTGCAGACATTTTGAATGAGCGCACATCTCGCAGAAAACATTAAATCTTAACTGTCATTTATTTCTGGACTTGAATGTGATTTTTCACATCATTGAGGCTTTCTCACATTATTACAATCACACAAAGCATAGCACATAGAATAGAATAGCAAAAGACAAAGCAACAATAACAAAACAACGGACAAATACGCAATTTTGTAAATGTAGCCGGAATCAATTTTCAGTGGACTGTTAGATGGTCTGTTTTTATAGATTGTAGCCAATTTATTATCAGCTTTTTATAAATTTTATTTGCAATTGTGTTTGTGCTTTAATGAGTGTTCAGCCATAATTTATGTTGACATGCTTCATCCAGAAGCTACACTGACAACAGAGCAGTGATTATGAATAAGTGGGGCTGATGGAGGATTACAGGGTGCAATACATTTTGTCATGACTGATAGTCTTCTCCATTGTTATGCTTTATTGTGTCCTACACAGCATAGAAATTGCTCTCCAAAATGACAAGAAAACACAACCTCTGCCCTTCCCTATACCCTCAGCTCTGTCAAAGAATCACAAGGACAACAACAAAAACAATTTAATCGCCTCAGCTCCAGATTATTGTCTGTCTTTGTGCTGATATTGCAGCTTCTTTTAGTTGATAACCTCATGATCCGCCTTTTGTCTGTCTTCTTTTAATATATATTGTCATTTTAGGGACAAACACTTTGACACAATCACTTACTGAAATAACAAAATATTTTTGGGATTTGCTCTTTTCTTGTATTAAGAACACGATAACAAGGATTTAAAATGTAATATTAATATTCCTCATCCTTTGTCAGTTTTTTGGGTCAAATAAGCGCATTAAATTCAGGATTTAAAGATGCAAGCAAGTGAGATGATGAAAAACTATTTAGGAAGAAGAGGATAAACAAGCCCTTGTGATGTTTCATTTCACTTAATTAAAAGAGATTAAAAGATGGCAAAGGGGAAAAAGGTCCTCTTTTGATATCGAAGACGTAAAGCCTTTTCACAGTTTCTCATGTAACTCTGTAAGTTAAGTTTTTACCAATCTTCCAATGAAGCTGCCACTACAAGGCATTCAACCTCTCTGTAAGTCACTATTGACCACTGTGTCTTAACAATACATAACAGTTTATAGGAGTATTATTATCAGATATGCATTAATCTTTCTTTGTGTTCTCAGTTTTTCATGCTGATTTGACCCAGACAAAATAAAAATAAGGTGAAGAAAATTTTGTCCATTAAGTGCATAGTGTCCAAAATGGGGCTGCATTTTTGCGGAATACCTTTGGCCTTATATCTATTTACATACCAGTCATAACCAAATTTTGGCAGGAGAATCACCGAGAGTCGCTGTGATGACGCTCGGCTCAAACAGCGTGTCCCCCGGGTGAGCTACGCAATCCCTGTATCAGGTGTCAATCAAAGAAAACATGAACCCCCTAATAACCTTTAAAAACTGAGCTGCACAGAAAAAAGAGGACTTGAGCACAAACCAGTCTTACTGTAACTACACGTCAACACCGCAAACAGGGGGGAGAAAAATGTAGATTCTGTGTAATAAATTTCCAACGTTTGTCCACATCTCCATAAGCTTTGCTGGCGGAGGGCGGGATTTATGACCTATACTGCAGCCCGTCAACAGAGGGTGCTGTTCTCAGAGTGACTTCACCCAGCAAGGAGGCAGACAGCATCCATCCTATATACAGTCTATGGCCTAGGCTGTGTCTGGAATGGATCCCTAACCTCTATATAGATGACTATATGGGGGTTAGTGCCATTTTAAGGGGTGTCCGAAACCTGAGTAATCAATTCCAGTGCTCTATATAGGGCTGTGTCCGAAATGAATCACTCAATCCCTAACCCCCATATGGGGTTTTACAATATAGTTGACATGTAGTGAACTCAATCACCAGAGGTTTCGGACACTACATGGCAAGACGCAATACATGACGGAATGCCTACCACTGGTGAGTGACCATCGGATGGTCACTACATTTTGGAATGCTTTATGGGAAACTTTGAGTCGCCTATATAGGGCACTGAAATTGATCACTGAGGTTTGGGACACCCTTCAAAATGGCGCTAACCCCCTTATAGTCACCTATATAGGGGGTTAGGGATCCATTTCGGACACAGCCCTAGATTGAAAAACACTGGTGCATCATCATTATTGGTCCCCGGCACCTCACTTCCATTGTGGCTTTTTTTTATTGGCATTGTTTCATTTTATTTATTTATTTTATTTTTGCAGTAAGTAACTTACATTTTTTTTTTGCATCGCAACTTTTTTTGTGTGTCGTTAACTTCCTTTGTGGCTTTTTTTTTAATGCACCGTTTCTTTTTTTATTTACTGTGGGCTTCCGTTTCCCTTTTTTTTTTTTTTTCTGGCATTCTTATTTATTTGCAGCAGTGGCGGTTCTCGGCCACCCTACACAGATACCACGAGGTGGACTCTAGGTCGTCGTGACAAGCGTGTGCATACTTGGCAACAAATATAAGCAACATAAACAGCTTCATCCCACAATTCAGCACCGTAAACCAGAGGCTACTGGTCCTTTATTTTAATGTGATAAGTCATGTCTTGTCATTCCCTTTTGTAACTGTGTGAAACATGTCTAATGCAATATCCCTCATATAAGGTATAATTTTGCCCTCATGTCTTTATCCTAAATTCACAACAGGCATGAGTTTTTGATTTCCGCGTCTTAGTTATTGTTGTATGTTTGTGAGCGTGTATGTGTGTGTGTGTGTGGTCGTTGAAGGAGTGCATAAAACCGTGTAAGAGGGCGGGCTTTAATTTTTTAAGCCAATCAGGGGAACCGCTCTTCTCCTGTCTACACTCCCATTGGTTACACTCTGTCTGTGTATCATGCTGATGTTGCCAGGCTTTGAAGCTGTTAGCTCGCAGCTAACCTTAACGCTGACGATTTCTGCTCTTTTTCCCCAAATTCTTGCCTGTATCGTGAACTATTCCTCCAAGCACACCTAAAGATTGCTACCCTGTTGTCATAGGTAAGTTTTTCCTCCGTCAGCCACCCGACAGGTTTTCAGCCTGCTGTTATTTATCCGTCAGTGGTAGCAAGCTAACGGATGGTCAGGCTGAGTGGACTTGTTGGCATCGCTAGCTAACAATAACATGACAAGCTAGGTAAAATGATAGCACTCGGTCAGGTGTAGAAAACAATTTACTTCTTTAGAGTGACCTTGTTAGTATCACAAAAGGGTTGACTGTATGTCCTGTTGCTAGCTTAAGCATGTGAGCCCATTTAGCGCATCCACAAGCTACTGGTGTTACCTCTGTGATGTGTTTTCATGGCATCTCAGTCGCATTTGTTCCTGTCTTATCCAGCATGTGCTGAACAAATATTTAAGATATTGGAGATTGCGTTGTTATTAAATGATATTTCCAATACAGTCATAATATGGTTTACATTTTACAGTTAGTTCACCGAGAGGGTCGACAATGTCCAACAATGTCAGGGTTTCTCGACATTTTTCCCCTGCTGTAGCCATAAGGCCAGGTTTTAGTTTTTGTTGTTATTGCTAAGCACACCAAGTAGCAAATGCACTCCTGTACACCACCAACACCAACTTCAGCTTCAAAATTAACTCCAAAAACAACCATAACCTCTTGTACCATGTAAACAAAAACTGAGAATGAAGTGGAAGCTTTGTGAAAGTAGAATTTATTTCAGGACTTTTGTATTGCGTTGCATTAGATTGCCTCCAATGCTCATAATCTTATGGCTGGTTAGTGTGTACATAAGCAATAACACATGATAGTTTTTTGTAGTTCTGATAGCATTTTTATGTTGTGTAAGGCATACACTGGGAAGTTTAAATAAGTAGTATTTTCTCCAGACTTGCGATGGGTGCAGTAATACCTGAATCATTGAAATACTGCCATCAAAATAGATTACTGTAGTGATTTTAAAACAGTGTTTGTATAATGTGAATCCCCTCCTGTAGACTTGGGTATTTTAGCAGACTATTTAAGGCCAACCATCTCAAATTTGGGTTTTAAAATGGACAGTGATTTTAAATTTGACAGGCAAATTAGCTCTGTAGTGAAATCCAGCTTTTACCATATTAGGCAGCTGGCTAAGGCAAAGCCATTCATGCCTTTGTTACATCTCGGATGGATTACTGTAACGTACTTTACCTTGGAGTCAGCCAGTCCTCCCTCTCACCTCTCCAGATAGTACAAAATGCAGCCGCCTGGCTCTTAACTGGAGTACGTAAGAGGGAGCACATTACTCCCATCCTGGCCTTCCTCCACTGGTTACTTGTGCATTTTAAAGTTCATTTTAAGATTCTTTTATTTGTTTTTAAATCTTTAAATGGTCTGGCTCCATCTCACCTTTCTGAGCTTCTCCACCCCTACACCCCTGCTCGTTGCCTCAGGTCAGCTGATCAGCTGCTCCTGGAGGTACTGAGGTCCAAACTGAGGCTCAGAGGGGATAGATCTTTTTCTGTTGCGTCCCCAAAATTATGGGATGAGCTACCCCTCCAAATCAGACAAGCCCCCGCACTGTCCATTTTTAAAACTCGTCTTAAAACCCATTTTTATTCATTGGCTTTCAACCCTGCATGAGACTCATCTCCTGGTTTAGTGTTTTATGTTTCGTTTTTAGTTATTTTTTTCTATGTTTTTAAATTAGTTTTTAAAAACATTGAAACTATATTTTACTTTTTGATATCTGCTTTTATTTTATCCCTTGTTTTGATTGTTTTTTATGTCTGCGTTGTTTTGTCTATTTATGTACAGCACTTTGTTCAGCTGTGGTTGTTTTAAAGTGCTTTACAAATAAAGTTGAGTAATGTCACAACATTACAGGTTCAAACAAAGTCAACAGCAGTACTGCAATGACAACTGTTTATTTATTTCATTGATGTCTTCTGCTTGGATTGAAATTATTCCTACATAAACTAACCACTTATTTGTTTCCTTACAGACAGCTCCCTTGTGTATGAAACGATGAATGGGCACCATCCTTTGGCTGTGTGGAGATGACCTGCCAGCCCTTTGGGAATGGTCAGAATGGGGCCAGATGTGCCCCTTCTTAACGAGTACAAGCAGGAGTTTTTCTGGAAGCGCTTCCCCCAGACAGTGTTGGGGGGTCCACGCTTCAAGTTGGGCTACTGCGCCCCACCATATGTCTATGTCAATCAGGCAGTCTTGTTCTTGACACCATGGCTTTTTGGGGGAATTGGTACTCTGCTCTGCCAGCTGCAGCTGCTTCAGGAGCTTCACGCCACAGTCCTCTCTGGTTTGCTGATGTTTGGGGCTGGAGCAGGTGTCCAGGCCCTTGCGTTGTATGCTGCCCGACGGAGTGGTGCTGTGGAGAGACTTGGTGCTCCCAACATCCTGGTTGATGAAGAGGAAGTGGAATTCACCCACTGTGTCAGCCCAGAGACAGTCAGATTCATTGCCCCTGGAAAGCGGTTTGGGCTGAATGTGGTTCTGCACACGGCACTAGCTGGGATGCTCTGTAGCTTTGGGACATGGTATGTGTTCCTTGGCAGACTGACAGCTCTCTATGGCAGCATCGCTGTGTCTGTGGTCGTCTTTGTCCTGAGTTGGGTGACATTGTGTATAGCTGAGTATTCCCTCATTGTAAATACAGCCACAGAAACGGCCACTTTTCAGGCACAGGACACTTATGAGATCACCCCTCTCACCCGTCCTCTCTATATTTTTATCTTCATTGCTGTGGACTTGGCTGAGAGGTGAGCAACAGCACTGAATTATTAATCATAGTGTGATTAATCATGAAGACCTCTACTGTATTTTTCATTGCTCCCTCTTTAATAAATCCTGGTGTCTTGCTCTAATTCAGGTTCTCAGGCCCTGCTCCTGAGCTCCAGCTGGCCAGCCAGGTTCTCCATGTGCTGTTCCTTTTTCTACCTCTGCTGTGGGCTTTTGGGATACTTCCCCCCCTGGATGCCCTGCTCCTCTGGGGAATGGAGCAGGCCCTTGTGTTTGGATTAGGAGGCTCACCCATGTCCAGCAACCTGAGGTATGTGTCAAAGCAATATTTTTCATACTTAGCTTTAATAAGCAGGTTTACACCGATGATGACAAATTACTCGACATTATTTTTCTGATATACTGCAAGAACTTAATACTTCCAGGCTGCGTCAAGAGATAAAAAAAGAAAAGCAGGAAATCTGATAATTAAACCAATCAATCCCTTCTGAATGTATTTATGTGAGATAAATACATTAAACGTAAGAGCAAAAGGGAGTAGTCATCCATAATTACCTTTTTAAAAGCTGCAAACACTAATTGAATCAACCAATAAATCCTGTCTATCCTTTAGCGCTTATATAGGTATTCGTGTCATCATGAAATTTGATGTTTTGCTTGAAACATAATGTGTATTATGTGAGCTTTTTTTTTTTCTAAATCTATCTAATATTTTTGAGAGATACAATGCTTCTGCTTTTATTCTTCAAACTAAAGAGCCCAAGAGTTCCCATTACAAGTTTAAAAGCAGTTGCTTCGTGTGTTTGATCATTTGCACCGTGGTTATGTTGTTAGAAACCAGTCCTCATCAGATGCTAATAGTCTCATTTAAATGACAAGTCTGACAAGCAGCCTGTAACGTTTTGTGTGCACTCTGTCCCACAGGCTGCTGTTGATGTTTGGTGTATCCTCTGGTGTAGCTGTGTGTAATTACTTCATCCCATCAACACTGGGTGTGGTTCTCTTCTCCATCTCTACGGGATTTCTGCTGAGCCTGGACCTCAGCCAGGTTGGCACTCTCTGCAGAGGTCCCGGGGCCGCCTTTGGGGATTGTGGATTTCGCAGAGGGGCGTCTCCACCTCCTCCTCCCTGTTCCTTTGGCTGGAAACTGGGCTGTAGGGAGCTGCTGCTCTATTTGAGCCTTCTACTAGTGGCAATGGTTGAGGGAGGGCTGTTGCATCACTTCCTTGGCTCAGTTCAGTCACAGAGCTTTGGTACAGAACCCCAGGCCCCTGTAAGCTACCTTATCCTTGTACTCTTCTGCCTTTGCTGGGCTCTCAGAGAGATCCAAGGAGCATATATATTTGGAGGGGTGTTCCTCAATCCCTTGTACCCTAAAGGAATGTCCAGTGTGCAGACTTTCAAGCAGAGGAGCAGAGGACTCTATGTTGCAGCAGCAATCAGAAGAGTCCTTCTTTGTTTTGGTGAGCTTTTTAAAGTGTGTGTTTCAAGGCAGATAGTTTCTAGCCTGGCTGGGCCATCCAGTTGCGTGAATCACTTGCCGTTCCTTCCCACAACAGTCTGGAATTCAACCAATTTGGAGTGTGTATTAGAAATCAGAAAATAACCGGGCCAATCAGTGACTGTGTTTCCACTGTTCCCCGGACAACAGGGAAAGGCAGCCCTTGATTGGTCCATGTGTAGATGGAGACGTCTAACACATGCTGCGGGACTTTTCAAAGCGCCGTTCATTCAGAACGCCGTTAATTCTGCAGTTGACTTTGCAAAGTCGGCAAAAATCGTTTATATCTGCAAAAGAAAACGTAAAAGACATTGTTTGCTCGCACACGTTGAAATATTACCAAACCTTTACTTAATGCTTGAGAGCCCAGCAGGGAACACAGTTGCGCACTGTGATGACGTCAGATGTTTGGTTACGGTGATTGGTTACAGTAGTCTGTCTATCAAGGAAAGTACTCCCGCCCACTTTTAGGGCTCCCAATTGTCCAGACTGTTGTGGGAAGGAACGGCAAGTGATTCACGCAACTGGATGGCCCAGCCAGGCTAGATAGTTTCCTCTCTGTGTGAACACAACAGTGTTCCAAATGTAAATGTGTCTTTTACCTGGGTTTACCCTTTCCTTTCAGTGTCTCCATTTGCAATGATTGCATTCCTCTCTATGGACAAATCTCTGCAGCTGCTTCACAGGGTTTCCCTCAGTGTGGGATTCACACGAGCCTTTAGAGTGGTATGTTCACACTCACTCTTGCCCTAGATCTTAGCATCAGTGTTATCATACACGGGGGGGGAAAGTAGTTACAAAGAAGGAATTCTGTTTTTTTTGTATCCCTGGGCAGATTCTTTACATAACCAGCAAAATTCCAAGCTTTTTTTGAGTGAATAGATCATGTCTCATATTATGTAAAATAAACTGATTTTAGAACTAAGGTATACAGAAGATAAATCCCTGTCATTCTCATTACAGTGGTTCCTCTTTGTTTCAGGTGTGGCAGAGTTCAGAGGATGCTCTGCTGCAAATGGTCGTAGTGGTCTTGTTGCAGCTTGTAGCTGGAAACAGCATGCTGTCAGGGTGGAACAACCTGGGGACTGGAGTTCAGCTTCTTCTGGTGATTAAATTTTCTTTTTCCCCCCATAAGAATAGCTTGGTTATACATGACACCTATATAGGCTTAAATAAGGGCAAATAAGTATTGACTATTTGACGCTGACTTAAAACAAGTGCACCAAGTCAACTAAGAATCGTCGTAGATTCGTCCACTTTCACAGGACTTTGTGGCTTTGACAGCTCAGGACTGGCATCCTCATTCGCATAAGCTAGAAAGCAGTCAAAAAAAGTGCCGCCATGTTTCTGTCTTGCACATGTAACAGTGGAGAGAGAGGGCTCCTACATGAAATCAAACAGGACCTTCATGACAAAACCTGAAAATTAGTTAATGTCTTCATCCTGTAAACCAGACATGCCGTCATTATGATTTTCTATTAAATTCTGTGACCATAATTTGTTTCTCTTACCTGTGATAGGCCTACAAGTCTGACTTTAGTAACCACCCGAACCTTATATATGTATAAATCTGCAGTTCAAATTAAAATATTTAGTTTTTTTCATGAATATTAGAATAAAAAACTTGAAGTTGATCAAGTTACATGAAGGAGAGTGAAAGTTGAGCATAATCACTCATGCATACTGTTCTTTCCTTTAACATCATCTAATGTCACTTCAGTAGATTAGTGTGTCATGTTTGCTTGTGTGTTTCTGACGTAGGTGGGCCTCCTATTTGACAGACTGGCTCAGTTCCTTGCCAAGCTAAAGTTTAGTCTGACGGTGTTGGTGACGTCGTGGACAGAGAAGAAGCAGCGTCGTCAGTCTGCGGGGACTCTCTTGGCTCTAAATGCCTCCTTGTGCCCGCTGCTGTTGGCGGTGGTGACCCTCTCTGCCCTCCTGTCTGCCCCTCTGCTGCCTCTCTTTACCCTGCCTATCTTCCTGGTAGGTTTCCCCAGGCCTCAGCGCAGTTGGCCGGGCCCTGTGGGAACTGCCTGTCCATGCCCAGACTCAATCTTCTACCAGCAGATGAGTGGGAGTCTGGCCTCTGCTCTGAGGAAGGCTTTTGCAAGGGGGTCACTGGGTCAGTATTCTGAACTTGATATCAATGCTGTTAATGGTTTCTGTTTCATTGACTTTCCTAAACGTTAAGTGTTCACTATTTAGTAATCCCAAGATCTGCTAATATAACTTGAGTTGTGATTGACGACATAGAAATATATTTCAGTCTCGGGCTTCATTTAAAGATGATCTTATTATGAATCAATCTGCTGATTCAGAAAAAAATGCTCTTTTAACATCTTGAAATGTTTCTTGTCTCTGATTAACAGCCCAAATCCATTCAAGTCTTTTACTTGTGATCATACATAACAAAATAAGATGCAGGTTTTTAGACTGAAGGGCTTAAACCAGCACATGCTTGATATTTGAAATGAGGGCTTAATTAAAAGATTTGGACTTTGATTTAGTTAACTTATTTGATAACAGATGTGTCATCTAAAAGTTTAATAAATTGCAATTCATAAATATAATGGGGTGACCTCATTGCCCTTTTAGTAAATCACATTCAACAGAACTACACATACTAGCTTATAGATGTGGAGCGGTATACAAAAGTGTATATTGTTGTCATTACTTTGTGTTTTGACTTGTGCCATAATTGCAGTGACTGATCACTCCTTTGGGTCAAGCAGGGGCTGTGTATGCAGATCAAAGGCCACTGAACCGTACACTCATATGGTTTAATAGTAAGAGGAATGTTGTTGGGAGCAGCTCTTCAGAATTGCTGGCAGTAATGTGAGCTCGTATGATCCAGTTAAGCTTCCTGTGAAGTGACCCAAAAAAAATCGCTCTGATCTGTATTCATTACATCCAAATGTTTCCGCACCATTAACCGCGTAATACTCTTAGGCCAAATGCAGCCACTGCAAGGATTTGGTTCTGCACTTGCTCAGGAGGGAGGGGGGGTTGGAAAAAAACAGTAGATGTGAATCATTATTTATGGATTGATGGTTCAAGACTGTGTAAGTCAGCTGAAGTTGATGTCACCATTTGATCTTTGTTTATTTTCTATCTTGAAGGGCCGTAGTTGTAATGTATAATTCAGAATAAGCGCTTGTAAGGTCGATGCTCTCACTCTACTGATGGCAGTTTGTAGTGTTGCTCCGCTCTGCTCACACTGGGGGCTGTGAACCAGTGAGCAGGAAAGCAGTTTGCCCAGCGTGTCACTTCCCATCATGAGGTAGCGGCAGGGACTATTCTGAGATGCCGTTATGGGACATGACATTATTCTTGAGCCAAGCAAGCAGGAGCTGACTTAAAACAAAAAACTCCATCACCTTGCTGTTTCTGTCCATATGTGTTGAAATAAACATCTGGCACTCATAAATGAAAAACTCTTACTGTGTTAAAAGAGGAGTTTTAGGAGGCTAATGGAGATCTAGGGTCAAGAACCGATTCAATATTTAGATCTCCGTGTAGTCAGCCGGTTAAAATGATGCATGATCTTCCTGAACAGCTGTGATGGCGCATGATTCCAGGAACCGTCTTATCTGTATCGTCAGCACAGGGATACACAGCTGATGCAAAATGAAAGAGATGCACACCAAAGGTCCCTTACTGATGACTGTTACATGTTGTGTATATATATTTATATATATACAGTATACATATATATATATGTATGTATTTTTTTACGTCCTTCTTGCTCTCAATTTACACACCACATCTCTTGACAAGTTACATGCATGGCTGATGATTTTCTCTCCCCTCTGTAGGTTCCATCGCCCCCGGCTCTCATTTTCTAGGCCGCTTTCAGGACCGAATGGTTTGGATAATGATCCTGGAGAGAGGATATGGTTACTGTACTGTCAACATTAAGGTACTGGTTGTTTCTGTTTGTGCAACAAGAATAATCTGTCCATGTTTGTGTCTTTATTTGAAGTCACATTGAAATTTAAACGTAGATAACCCCTGAAGGGATCAATCTTTTTTTAAGATTCTTGCAGTAGAACCACAAAATTTACAAAAGGGCATGGGATGTTTTCAGTTCAAAAAAGAATAAAGAAAGGGGAGCCTTCTTTTTAAAATTGTAAATAGAAGAAGGTCATTTGGTGGAAAGGTATGGTTTTCATTTTCTTTCATTCTTTCTCTCTAAAAAACCACAGAACATTTGTTTATACATGGTGTGATCGGCTCACACAGCTGTACCCAATTTTCTAGACAAATTCTTGAGTGTTTATATTTATAGATGAATGTGACAACCCAAAAGCGAAAAGTTGCTTCCAGTTTAGTTACTCTTGACACAGATAGATTCCAAATAGAGATGCACCGATTCATTTTTTCCTGATCCAATCCGATACCAATACCTGGGCTGAGTATATCGGCCGATATCTGATACCGATCCAATCCTACTGTTGAATGAGTGAACTGTATACCTTGCACTGTGACTGAAGGCATCAGGCTTGACGAAAAAAGGTAACAAATTAACACAGATATACATTTACTTTATATTATTTATCAAGAAATAACAAATTGCACATTAGCACAGAGCAAAAAGAAGTGAGATTTCCATGTAAACATTTAGTGCAAAAGGATAGACAGACATAGAATATAAAGCGAACAGAATCCCTGTGTTGCTGTGTATAATATTAATTAAATTAAAAAAAAGACCGGATTGGAACGCTGGATCAGCGTCATTCATCAGATTTCCAATCCAGTTAATTTGTCAACATTGGAGCTGATATCCGAACCAAATATCGGATCGATGCATCCCTAATTCCAATGCACTTCTTAAAAAAAATGTGTTTGTGGTTTTTTTTTAGGGTTTGGAGCTGCAGGAAACTTCTTGCCACACAGTGGAGGCCCGCAGGGTTGATGAGGTGTTTGAGGCTGCTTTTGAGCGTCCTGAGCGGCTCGGTTTCACCCAAGGCTTCAACCTGCACTGGGGGAATGCTCTCACGCCTTGCGCTGCTCTAGCAGTTCGAGTCTACTCTGATGCTCGCAACGTGCTTTCCGGGATCATTGACTCTCATGATAACTTGAGAAAACTTCAGGATGATTTCCTGAAAGCCCTGATCTGGTTGCTCCTTCGATACTGTGTGCAGAAGCACAAAGGATTTCTGTGGAGCAGTGAGGAAGGGCCAGGAGCTGGGGGCAGGAAGTCTCAGTCCTCCACGCTGGCTCATACAACTTGTAACCAGCCACCTGAGGTTGTAATGGTGGAATCTAATGTTTCATCTCTCAGGTTTAGACAGGACAGCTCCAGTTTGACCTCCTTTGGTGACTGGTCAGACGAGGATGACTTATTTGGACCTCAACCAGCTAGACGTACTGTGGCTTTAGTGACTGCAGAGGTCCAGCCTAGACACACGGCTCTACAGACGGGAGCATCTCTGCCTGGCTCTGTGGAGATGGACAGTCTGTTTGAAAACATGGCTCTATCTGCCCTGCAGCCGCTGCAGCCTCTGGGTCTGGGCATCGGCATGCCAGCAGTTGACAAAGGCCATAACCCAGAGGTCTTCAGAGAGGGTCCCACCTCTCTCCCTCAGCTGTGCTTCAGCTGCCCTCAGTCAGAGGTGTTCAACCTACCCACAGGGTGGAGGACAGCACCTTTACTACCTTCTCGCTTGCTGCAGCTCAAGCCTTTGTTTCCTGAGGACTGGTTTCGCTTCACCCTGGGACGTTTTGGGCCCACAGTGCAAAGTGAGACCTCAGAGGACATGACCAAGGCCCTGAAGGAGGATGAAACATTGAAAGAGTTGCATGCACAAGTCGCACTTTCATGTCTTATCTCTCTAGGGGCAGAGTCCTCCTTCACCAGCCCAAGTTACGTCTATAGACTCTATTGTGGGGATGTACCATGGACGGAAGGACTTAACTGGCTCTCCTCAAGTAAAGAACTTTACCAGCTTGCACTTCGTGCTTTCAGGTAAAGTTTGTAGATTTTATGTTTTGGCAAGTAATAGCAGTCAAGCTTATTAATTCCAGAAATAGAGATGGTTATTCAAATGGACTTTTTTGCCTCCAGGTTCAGTTTTAAGTTGCTGTTTGATCAAGCAAGTCTTGGGCCGATGGAGTCCCCCGAAGAGCTGTTCAACACTTTGGAGGAATATGAAAGGGACTGGTACATTGGCTTAGTGACAGAGAAAGGCTGGCATGACAGTGTCCTCCAGGAGAAACCCTTTTTATTCTCTCTTGGACACGATCTCACCATGGTAATCATCCCCACTTCTTTTTACACAATCTAACAGTGTTAAAATGTAAAAATGACTACAGGTTAAGTGATCAAAGAATTCATTGTAATGTTACTAAAAAATTACGATTCAAAGCAAATACATTTTAACTTCCACTTATTTTTCAGGGTACCTACACCGGGCGTGTCCTGTCCCTGCAGGAGCAGCTGGTACATTTGGGCCGTCTGAACGGAGAGGGTGTACGGGGACAGTGGGCCAACCTTTCCTGGGAGCTCCTGTATGCCACCAATGATGATGAGGAGCGTTACAGCATCCAGGCTCACCCCTTCATGCTAAGGAACCTAACTGTTCAGGCAGCAGATCCCCCTCTAGGGTATCCCATTTACTCCTCAGCCCCCCTCCACTTCCCCTGCCTCTGACTGTCGTTTCTGCTGACCAGATCGGCCTGAGCAAAATGTCCATTTCCAAAGTTAATCGTATTGGAAGAGGATTTTGTTGAAACAATATCAAAGTGAAGAAAAAACTGTCAATACTTTTGACATTTCACTCATGAAACTGTCAACTCACGTGGCTTCAAAAGAAGAATGTTTGTGTGGGGACCTTATTATCATTTTTTTTACATTAATTTCACTCTTAGGTGCTTTTTGCCCTACACCAAAGGGGAGGGAGCAGTGGCACCAACGCTGCATTCTTGTGCAAGTCAGCAGATTCTAAATGGCCATGTAGACTACCTCCAAGAAGAGCACATTCAAAAGAACAATTCCCTCTGAACATTTGTGTTTTGAAAAGCACCCATGTTTTTGTGCTTTGTTTATTGATGTCTGTGCTAAAAAAAGAAGTGAACACATTTGCCCAGCCACCCTCAAGAAGACACCTGCTGTTTACCTCTGGAGTTATCGTACTTTTTTCGATCTCAAAATTTTCAGGTGATATCCACAAAAACGGGAGAAGAATTTTAATGTTTTGTTATGATATCAAGGATGTGCCTTGGGTATGTCTTGCTGTATGTGTAAAGTGTATAGTGCTGTCGTTCTGTTTACAATTCACTTGTTTACAATTATGTATGGAAAGATATAAATTTATCCATAGTCTCCTGTACATATAGATTTTTCTATGTGAAACTGTATATACTTATAATAAAAAAGGCTTGGAGGAAACTGAGTTTTATTTATTTTATTTTTACATTCATTTTATCCAAATTTTATGGGAATTTCAAAGCTCAGTACAAGTTAAATCCATAAGCAGATTTACATCCATGCAAGTCCTTTCCTCAGAAGTTGACAACAGGAGTATAAACATGTTCTGACAAACAGAAAAATCAAGGTATTAATTAACTATGATATAAAATCATAACAAAATAAAAGAGTACTTATTTGCCAAAACTTGTCATGGCTCTGACATGACAGTAACCATTGCATCTTTTCTGTTTCATAGAAAGCAAAGACTTTAAAACACAGCAAAAAAAAAAAAAAAACATCGCTTTCTCCTGTTTGAACTTTGGGAATGCAGTAAATTCGTTTCCTTTTGTGTGTTTGTCTTTCAGGCGGTCTTGGGTTTTGTGAAGTACGCAGAGTCTGCATCCTGGGAAAAAAAGGTTGAACTGTTAGCACTTATTTTTGACTGCTACCCAAGAAAATAAACATTGAGGCTACTTACGAGTACAATACATACATCCTTTTCAAATCTAGAGCACTTGTGAGGTGGTTACATGAATTACCCTGCATTTGCCCTAACCCCAGTGACCCTTCCTGTTGGTTGGATACTATGTCAATCACTTTGTTCACAGATTAAATACCACGTATCTCTTAATCTCGTTCAGCACATGCAACCGCAACCATAAGGCTGCTGACTTGTCCTAAAGACAACACCCTTCACAAGGAGGGTAAGCCATACAAGGTCACTGCTGAAACAGCTGGCTGTTCACAAAGCGCTGTAGAGACATATTAATAGAAAGTCAACTTGAAAAAAAAGCTGCATCAGGGACAGTGTAACAAGTTCCAAGAACGACCACATCCTTGAATGGAGTGTCAAGAAAAGTTGATTCAAGAACTTGTGAGAGCTTCACAAAGAGTGGACTGAGGCTGGAGTCAGTGCATGAAAGGCCACCAAGCACCGTCTTCAAGACTACACTGTTGCTCTCCTAACATTAGGCCACTCCTGGACAACAGACCATGTAAGATGCTTTTACCTGGGAGATGGAGAAAAAGGACTGGACTGATGCTTGGTGGTCCAAAGTCCTCTTTACACATGAATGCTGATTTTATATCTCATTTAGAAATCAAGGTCCTAGAGTCTGGAGGAGTGAGAAGTTCCTGTTGCCTGTGATGGTTTGTAGTGTCACATCATTTGCTGGTGTCTAGTTCATATTTCAGTATTATTCTTTGTGCTCTTGATGTGTTTAGATGCTTTTAATTGACTCAATGCACTTGGTAAACACTCATTTTGAGGGGTACGAGATTAACTTTAAAATTACAATATGAATATAAAAATTTTCATTAGCAGACTGCATGAAGTTTTTAATCTTGATTAGAGGGCATAAAAGCATCATATACAGAATATTGCAATAACTATCAATAGAGGTGTTCGACCAGAAACTGGGGTATTAGACGTTCTAAGATTATCGAAGCTAATTCTCACAAGTAATGTCTTATCTTGGGTAAAAAATAAAAAATATATATGCACCTACCAGACCAGCTTTAAAATTCTGTACCCTTTTCCTGCCCAACATGTTTGTAGCAATCCAGGCAATTGTAGGAGCATACTGCCAAGTGTAGAAAAACAGGAGGAAAGGCTGCTGTCCAATCCACATTTCCTTGATTCTATTGGAAATGCCCACCAGCATTAAATGCACACAGCGACTTGTTGGCATCTTGTGTTCTTGACTACCAGCTGAGGTCACAGGCTGAGGTAACAGAGGGATGAATCAATACAAAGGCAAACACACTTTGATAATAACAATAGTTACTGTCATATGAAAAGGCGCATATCAAATATAGCTTTATAACATATAAAATGTATTACCTTGTTTATTTGTTCTGTGAAGGCATTTTGGACAATAAGTGACTGCACGGGCCCTGGTAACACAGTGCTAATGAGTATGTTGGGGAAGTCAGTCAGCTCAGTCCTCAGGGAATTAAAGAAGCCCTAAGGTAAAAAAAACAAACAAAAAAAAAAAAACAGGAAATAAAAGTGTACACAAACCTGGACAGCTTATTACTTGGAACAAAATGTTTTACCTCGGAATTACCACAATCATTACGCAGGAATGCAAATAAATGCAGCTTTTTGTTAGCAACAAAAATAAGGTTCCCTAAAAATCATAAATCCTTGAAAGTTTATCAGCACACACTGACATACAACGACAGAAAGGTTAAATGGAAAAAATATATATAATTGGCACTTCAGACTGTTCTGTAATCTGTTTACTTGTAGAGCGTGTTTGGTGGCTGAGTATCCGGTCGACAGCGGCGCTCCAGCAATGCCAACAATACTGCTCACAGTCACAATGCTCCCAGTGCCCCGCTGGGTCATGTGGGGCAGCACTTGTTTGGTGATGGAGACTGTACCCAGGAAGTTCAGCTCCATCAAAGCCTGAAATACATCAACACTGGTCTCCATGCACAGAGAGCGCTGGCTTCTGCCACCATTGTTAATGAGGACATCAATCTGAAAGGGCATGGAGAAAAGGGATCTGAATCATAACCTCTTTTAACTGGACAGCAAACAAAAGGCACATCAAATCAAACCAACTTCATTACACAGATTGATATGATTACTCATAGTCTGCCAGAGTCTCTGATCGGGGCAGCAACAGTCTGATTTTGTTAGTTACAACTTAAAAGGTCCGTTATCAGTGATTATTAGACTGCTGTTATAGCCAATCAGAGCCAAGTGTCCAACACAGCCCGAATAACAAGGGAGGAAACAACAAAGTTAGAATGTGGTCAATACACTGCAATTAGAAAAAATATTTGAAAAACACTGAGAGAAAGTATTGAATTATAAAATATCAATGGTGGTGCTCTTACATGTCCAAAGTACTGGATAGCAGTTTTTGTTTTTTCTTCATGTGTTGTCCTCGCCAACAAATCGAGTGGGAGGACAAGAATATCCTCATCCTGGAGGTCAGAGCGCTCTGAAGAAATAAATGACACAATACGATCACTTTAAATTGAAGCAAAGTACTAAAATCTATATGAATTTTATTGCACTTGGGAGGGAAGGCTTCCTGCAAGAAAGAAAAACATTTTTGATAAATGTTTAGAATGTTGTCAATGTGCTACATTTCAATTATGCACCACAACTAGAGATGTGCAGAGTGTAAGATATAAAACTGGTCAGAATTTAGAAGCTTTCTCAAGCGACATGATGCAAATCAGCATAAAAGTATAATTATAAAATACCCCACCTAAACACTGATGTTTCACCCTTTTTAGCTCATCCTCACGTCGAGCTGACAGGATGAGTCGTGACCCACACCGGGCCAGCTGATAGGCCAGCTCCTCTCCAATACCACTGGAAGCCCCAGTGACCCACACCACCAGCCCTCTCAGCTTTTTCTCTGGAAACACAACAGTCAACATTAAATGTCAATCACTGGATCTGAAACTACTCAACAACAATATGGGCTTCATTGTTTCTTTGTGTGAACAATACTACCACAGAAGTTCAGCCAGAAATAGAGAGTTAAGTGTTTTAGCTTTATTTTGTGTAACATCAGAGCTTGTGTAAGGATGACATTACCACCCAAGTATAACTGCTAAATCAGTTATGACCACCTTTGAGAGCAAAATGCTTTCTAGACATCCCCATTAGTACTTATGAATGCCCGACCAATACTGAATTCTGGAGGCTGATGCAATTTTCAGTTTGTCATAATAAATAATAATACGATGATATAAACACACAAATCAAAATATGTGTACATTCATTTCTGGACATAAACATTAGGACAAATGGACAGACTTCAAAAATATTTTTGTGACCAAAATTGGTACATTTTACAGTCTAGAAATTAACTAAATTCTCTCTGATGAAAAGAGCACTGAACAATAAATACAATAAATAGTGTTTGACGCTTATGATTTTTGGTTATGGACGACTTCGCCTTTTTAATGATTAAGTGTCTTTTCAGTAAAGTTTAACAGCACTTAAGAGACTTTGACCTGTCATGCACCAGTTATTGTGCATGAAAGTGCAGCTACTTTGGTGAAATGTGCAACACATCTTTTTCAGGTAGTCTAATGTCTGACGAGCCCAGAAGTGGATCAAAATAAAACTGTAGTTAACTGCTGTTAAATAGTTCAACTGTTTCCACTTTCTCACAATATTAGAGCTCATGAAAGAGCACTGACTCTCTCTCCATCTTTTCAAACTGCACAAGGGTACTCTGGTGCACACACGGGAAATAAATGTTAACTACACCTGGTCTGTGTCCTGTCAGACTTGCCCAGAGCAGAGTGAAGTCTGCGTCCGCGGAAATGAAACACAGAAGGTGAAGAAGAAAGTAAAGTGGCAGAAAACACCACAGCAACACGGTGCACCAATCCATTTGTCGAGTTTGCTTTAACGGGAATAAACTTCCAGCTGGGTGGTTGACTGGGAAGTGAGGCTTAAGGCACATTAAAACTACAACTTCCTGTTACTTGGATCACTTCCGCTTTCGCGAGCGTTATTTTCAAAATAAACGTAAATAGATAGCAAGATAATATTGCCATATTGACCCTAAATTCGACTATTTCTATTGATATTTTAATGTATTATTCGTCTTTTTTACCTTTCATTCTTATGTATCTGATGCTTTATTTGAACAAATAATACAACACGTATTTCTTGCATCTCCTGATGTCTTTCGTGAGTGCATCTATGTCGAATAATATCACCGTAACATTATATTGGAACAGGTCACTCCCATGATCATGATGAGTGCAAGGCCTGTGGCATAATGTGAAGATATTTCTAACAAATTTGGAAGCAGGAGGACACATGCTATCTATGCTGCATCAGCCTGCACAAGCAGCACTCCTGCTCGACAAGGATGATGTCATGTTTTTCAGTACGCAACCAGCAACATCCGGGTCCTTTGGCTGTGTGCCAAAGATTTTTTTTTGTAATCTAACTTTATTTATGAAAATTTTCACTTACAATGAAAATGATTGTCTCCATTGCCAAAAGAAAATCTGACAAACAACAAAATCATGCCAACTTCAAAACATCTGAAAACATAACAAACATTATACACAGTTATTTAATTACATGGACGGAGATTAAGGCGCGTTATAAATAGTTATAAACCTAACCCTAACCTATACCAAATTGAAGAGTACATAGTGGGATTAAAGGCAAAACAAGGCAAATTTGATTGTTTCGCACAATTCATACATAAAATCGAGTAAATGTGGCCCCACAAATGAAGAAACAATTAGGAGAAAACGACATAGTCTAGAAAACTCTAGCAGAGTAGAAAAATTCTGAGTGTGCACAGTCATACTGAAAGGGAATATTTGAAATACTGATCCTTTTTAAACCTTTGTAGACGTACACGTTTATCTGTACGACATTTAAGTACATGATGTGTCCACAGTCATGACGGCCCATTCATGAAAGTTGTGGGGCGGATCTCCTGTTTCCCTTAAAGCTCGTATTAATGTCTTTCAATATGTTTTGGGCTGATTAGAACTATCTGTAGTGGTTTGTGGAAAATACCTCTTTTTTTGCGATTTTCAGCTTCTGTTCATATTGTTTGGCGTAATAACGTCACGTGACGATCCCGGAAGTTGTAATTAATCAGCGTATCTGTTACACCGTTAACGTTGTTAATTAAACAAAAAAATAAAAAAAATAAAAATAAGAATAAAAAATATAAAAAATAAAAATAAGTAAAAATTTTTTTAAAGAAATTTAATTTAAAAAAATCTGTTACACCGAAGTTATTACAAAAGCTTCCTTATTTTTTAATTTAAAAAAAGTAAAAAAAATTTTTTTTAAAAGTAAAACAAATTAAAATATATAAAAAGTTAAAAATAAAATAATAATTTAAATAAAAATATTAAAATTAAAATAGTGATTATAAAAAAATTAAAAATCTTTAAAAATTTTAATAAAAAATCTGTCACACCTTAGTCATTACAGAAGCCTCCTTTATTAGATATGCTGCCTCTTAGACCGTTGTCAGTTGCACTCATTGCTATATGCTCACTTGTTTAACTTTTTAGAACGATGTGGGGTTGAACGCTTGGAACCAAAACATAGTTATAAATAGTTTTATTTCTTTTATTTCCAAAAAAAAATGCAACAGAAAATTATTTCAGAATGTAAATGAAAAAACATCATTACAATCAGAAGAAAATGCGCACTCTTAAAGTTCCAACCTTTTGCACAACCTCCTCTACACTTTTGTACGCTCCCATTATTTATTCAATATTTCTGTGTTCATTTATCCAAAATGAATAAATAAATAGTAATTTAATAAAAAAAATAACCATTTAATAAATAAATAATCATTTATTTTAAATCATGAAAACATTTATTTAGGGTTAGGTTTAAGTGCAGGTTTAGGATGTGGTGTCTCTCTAAAGGGGGATTTTGTTATAAATTTTAGGTGATCAAGTCAGCAGGTTTTTCTCCTTTTATTTGTATTTTTTCAACTTTTTCCCAATCATCCCTTCCCTCCCTCTTTGATAATAAATTCCCTGTAAGTGTTCAGTGTTTCAATAAAGTTTGTTTAAAAAAGCGTCTCTTTTCGGCGCAGCGCCGCTCCTGGAGGCTCGCGCTGCGCTCCTCAGAAGCTAACGCCAGCTAGCAAGCTGTCAACCTGTCCAGTGGAGAGGCTGGGACAGACGTTTCAGCTTCCCCCCCTCGCCTTGGACACACAAATCTCCGGCCCTCAAACCTCAAAGAATTTTTAAGAGTGTATTTCAGATTTACAGTTGAGATAATGTAATGCATTACGGACGTACGCCAAGAGGGTTTTAAATGCACTGAGGCTTGAGAGACGACAGCTCATTGCTAGCTAACTGGCTACTTTAATCGCCGCAACCCCCAGAGTTTCGTCGGTGTCCTGCCTGTTGTGAACCGCAGCCACACAGTCCTTTTCATTGTCGCAGATTCCGCGGATATTTGGATATTAGGTAAGTTAGAAAATGTGAATTCATGCTGTTAAGGGTCGTCATGTAGTTAGCCCCTTTTGCTACATTAGCATTAGCCTAGCAGGGCCGAGGGCTTGAGTGTAGCAAACCCTGTTAGAGGCAGGCCTGTCAAAGTTAGCTGTGAGGACAAGGGTCAAGGCCTGCAACCAGGCAAGGGTGTTTGTTTATTTGGGTTGTGGTCTAGACTAGCTACATGTCTAACTTTAAACGTGAATACAAAGGCGAACTCTACCTTTACCGAGCAGGCTCACAGTGCCACCAGCTCACTATAGCGTTATTATATTTGACCTTTTATTTGTCAGATCTGTTAAATCGTTATAGCTGGTAGTCGACTTACTGATTAATCGGTTTGCTAACGTTAGCATTGCAAGCATGTATCGATAGCTTTGACTAATATTAACATGGACTAGCTTGTCTGTTGCAGTGTTGTGCGTCGCGAAGGTCAGAAAATTTCTTCCCATTAGTCTTTTATCATATTTTCTCGATATAGCACGTCTTTTTAGTCAATACACTGAACGTTACTCTCGATCAGGCAGTGGTCTAAGGGCGTTTCAGAGTGATCCACACCAGCTCTGTTCCTAATATGTATCCAAAATGTGTACACAGGTCCACTATTTTTAGAATAGCGCATGGCGTCTGAACCCCTCTCTAAGATGTTAATCATTTGCCACAAATGGGCAGACTACAGGCTATCTGTAGCGACTAAATTGATGTGAATTATTATATACTGTCCCAAGGTTATTGAATTTTGAGCTTAAAAAGACAAATAAACAAACACTGCATTTCTGCCAACAAATGTCTTTTTTTTATATTTTTGATCACAGATCTTACAAGGGACACAATGGGTGCATTTCTGGACAAACCAAAGATGGAAAAGTATAACTCCCGTGGTGAGGGGAACAACCTGAGGTATGGCCTGAGTAGTATGCAAGGGTGGCGGGTAGAAATGGAAGATGCACACACAGCAGTAATTGGCCTGCCTCATGGTCTCGACCCCTGGTCATTTTTTGCTGTTTATGATGGGCATGCTGGCTCTCAGGTGGCCAAGTACTGCTGTGAGCACCTGCTGGAGCACATCACCAGCAACTCAGACTTCCAGAGTGCTCTGCAGGAGGACCAGTCAGTGGAAAGCGTGAAGAATGGGATCCGCACGGGATTCCTGCAGATTGATGAACACATGCGAACCATCTCAGAGAAGAAGCACGGTGTGGACCGCAGTGGCTCCACTGCAGTTGGAGTGATGATATCTCCAAGTTATATCTACTTTATCAATTGTGGAGACTCAAGGGGACTTCTTAGTCGGGGCGGAGCTGTTCACTTCTTCACACAGGATCACAAACCCAGCAACCCTCTGGAAAAGGAAAGGATCCAGAACGCCGGTGGCTCCGTTATGATCCAGCGAGTTAATGGTTCCTTAGCGGTCTCTCGAGCTTTGGGAGACTTCGACTACAAGTGTGTGCATGGAAAAGGCCCAACAGAGCAGCTTGTGTCTCCCGAGCCTGAAGTTTATGCAATAGAGAGATGCGAGGCAGAAGATGAATTCATTATTCTAGCATGTGATGGCATCTGGGATGTTATGGCCAATGAAGAACTGTGTGACTTTGTAAGGTCAAGGCTAGAAGTGACAGACGATCTTGAAAGAGTCAGCAATGAAATTGTTGACACCTGCTTGTACAAGGTATTGTATGCCATCAAAGTCTATGTCTCATATTTCTGCTTTTGTATCATTGTTGATTTGCATGACTTTTCTGCTTGGTCTTGATTTTCTCCACAGGGGAGCCGGGACAACATGAGTGTTGTGTTAATCTGCTTTCCTGGAGCCCCAAAGGTGTCCCCAGAAGCAGTGAAACGGGAGGCCGAGCTGGATAAATATCTTGAGGCCAGAGTAGAAGGTAGAGGCATTTTTTTTTTCATTGTGGGATAGTAGGTCATGGTTGATAGTTGGACGTCAACACAATTATCCCTTTTCACATTTGTATGATCATTTTATACTGGTACAATACAAAAACTATCATTGCTTTTATTTCTACATGAAGTTTATAATATTGGAGGGGCTTTATTGAAGTGTAAGCCGGCGCAAAAACAGTGTTTGCAAATGCTACAGATGTATTGAGAGTCAGAACCATAAAACGCTGCCTGAAAAACAGAAAGATTTATTTTTAAAAACAAAGTATTCCACCTAATTGGTTCAGAGTAACATTCTGGGGTTCTCACATGCCTATTTAATGTTTAATTTAGTCACCCTCAATTGTAGCCATGATAAAGATACATAATTCACTTGATTGTTGGAATCTGTCAGAAGTTTGCTGCTTTTTTGTAAAAGATGTTTAAACTTAAAATCTAATGTTGGAGACTTAATATTCAGTCCAAATCAAGAAATCTCACTACTGTTCTGTGTGATGTTACTGTTAGTAGGATCTAATTAAGTATACTTGAGGTCTACGGTAAGAAATGCACAATAATCAGTTTGATTAGTTTGAACAAAACTTTCTCAATCCACAGCGAATTGTATTTGAATTCTAGTTTTATAATTAAGTGGTACCAGAATAAATATTTTTTTTAAATGTAGTGACTATTTCATTTAAAAATCATTTTATCACATGTTGTTAAATGCTGACTGTACAACCAGGAAAAAGTACTTGTCTTTAGAATCATTCTCTGGTTAATGTTTTTCTACTGTGAGTCCACTGGCTGGCCATAGGTCTCAAAAATCATTACCACTCCCTTCCAGTGCTACACTACTAAACCTTTGAAGGGAGACAAAATCATATGAAGAATGTTTTGCAATGTGAAGATTAAAATCGAATATTCAACCTCTAAAGAACCCTATGGTCTGTATGAGACTATTGCACTATACAGCCTTAGTTTGAGAGAAACTCCCAGTAAGATTTTGAAATAGAAAAAACTCAGAGGGATTACTCCACAAGGATGCACAAACACACAGTACTTCTCATTTTCATTCTAAAGTATTCTTAGAAAGCATATCAAACTTGTACATGTATGGTGTATTATTACTTCTCTATTTTGTGTTGGAAAAAAGCAGTATTTCAGATCATAAGCAATAAAATGGTTGATGTCACTTAGTGTATCGGAGAAATCAAACTTTTACATGCCAGAGTGTCCCTGGGCAAGGCACTCAACCACAATTTCTCTGGGTGGCTGCACCATTAGTGTGTGAATGGGATTAGTTAATAGCGATGGGTGTTTTACATTGCAGCCTCCGCCATCAGTGTGTAATATGGTGTAAATGAGTGTATAAAAAAAACTTGACTTTAAAAGCGCTCTGAGTGTCTGACTCCAGATTAGAGAAAGTGTGTTAAATTTACAGTCCATTCTATGCATATATTAAAATGATGAAATTGAGTATTTCCCTTTCCTCTTCACATCTCTATAAATGAGATATTTTAAAGACTCTGCTTTAGAAGATTTGTTTACAATGATTTAAATGAATGAATTATGTTCCTTGACAGAGATCATCAAAAAACAAGGGGATGAAGGCGTCCCAGATTTGGTCCATGTCATGCGGACGTTAGCTTCTGAAAGCATCCCTAACCTTCCTCCTGGAGGAGAACTGGCAAGCAAGTGAGTGAGCTTTAGATTTTATATTAATAACAAACTAACATGTAAAATTTTTCTTTCTAATAAATAATTGTCAGTTTAATCAGGGGGGTATCTTTTATCTGCAATATTTTCTGTTGTTATAAAGACTTACGAAAATATTTCTGCACTTTTTTACCCCATCAGACGAAGTGTTATTGAAGCAGTGTACAACAAACTCAACCCCTACCGAAGTGATGACACAGTAAGTATCCCAGCTTGTTGTTTTACCCCCCATAAGTGTGCTTGGCTTGACATGCATGTTTTTTCTTGTGTAACCAGTAAATATTAACCAATTTTATGTATGTTTTGTCAGAAAAAGAAAATAATCACGTTTGATTGAAAAATGGGCTTAAATCGCTGAAACAAAAACAATAGAAAAAAAAGGACAGACTGGATCTTGAGTGACTAAGTGATGTATTTTAAATGTCTCTTTGACTCAAGTCAAGTCTGACGAAAAGAGGAAACTGAAATAAGCAACATATGTTTTTGTGTTCCTGAACATTTTCTGTTGATGTGAGAATAGCTGAAAAAGCTTGATTGTGTCTCTTAAACAGTCGGAGTAAATCTCTAATTGCATTACTTGGACCTCAGCTGCACTGTTGGTGCCAAAAATGCTCAATTTTGTATCTCATGAGCTGATTTTACTGATTAGTTCTCTTTAAATCAAAGGGGAAGAGCTAATGTGTGAAATTGTCAGGGATTTGTGTGGATGGAATGAAACCTGGATTTTTCAAATCCTATTTTTTGGAAGAAACATTGCTCATCCTTCCTTTGAATACAAAGAGACTGCAAAGCTTCTGCCCTCAACAACTTAGATATTGTGCTTTTGAATTTCCTCACTGGGTCTACTACATTTAATTGTGCACGTGTCATCCTGTCCTTGACAAAGAAATTTGGCACGTTGTTTTGGTATTTCATTTACAGTACAAAGTGTGACTTTTTAAGAAGAAATTGAATAAGGGTGCCTTTAGAAAGTTGTCATGCTCTTGACATCCTCAGCATTATGTGGTGCCGCTGAAAAACTAAATTTACCACAATCCTTTGCAAATCTTTTCAGGCTGGAAGTAAAAATGCATTCTTAAGATTTTTTTGAGGATATATTCAGATTGATTTGTTGGAATCTTGCAGTATTCATATCTGTATTAAGTGAATTGTCCACCAAACCAGCTTTTGCAGCACTTGCACTTTCAGGTATTGAAGGACAGATCTTAATTATCTTTGCATACCAGAGTGTTGTCCACTTGGTGCAGATTTACCTCAGTTTGGAAAGGCAGCAAGTACTTTCACAAAGTCGTTATAGTAGTTGTAAAAAAACTTTAATGCAGGATTTAGACTGGCCAACGAACTCAATGATTCTTGTTGTAAAGCCAGTCTAATGTTGATCTTATGGTACATGGTGCTTTAAATGGTTTTCATTTCACAAAAAGGATTGTGCTTGAGGAAATCAGTGACATTTTCTACATTGGTTTTATCTTGAGATTGGATTTCTGTTTCACCCCAAACATGCCCTTAATGATTAGTTTTTTTTTCCAACAAATACACCTTGACATGTTCTCTTCACTTGTCTCATTTTATTGTGAGGATTTCTTATAGCTGCTGTAAAAAAAAACATAACCAGCTGATTGTGATACTGTCAGGTGGACGAGGTTGATAGCACGTAGCATTATAGCTGAGGGTTCTGTGGTCTTTTCATCAGGCCACAGACTCCTTTTTCCTTTCTGCTCTCAGTCTTCACATGCTTTCTTTTCACACAACAGTCTGTCAAGATTCTCTTTGTTCTTGTTTTCAGCCTTTGAGAAACTCCTTTTTTTCTCTGAGTTTCTTGAGCCTCACCTCTCATCATAGCTCTTCTCTTTGCTCTGTCTGGGTCGTCCTTGGAGCTGTGTCCTACCTGTCCGTTTCTCCCAGTCGCTTAGTTTGGGTAGACAAAAGCCTTTAAAGAGTATCAGGTGTTTTCCCCCTTCTTTTTCTTTCTTTAGGAGCTGAGTCAAACATGCTTTGTTAAATTCCAGCACTAAAATTGTGCTGGATGTGTTCATATAACTCCTGTATCTTTTAAATCCTCAGACATGACATTCATAGGACAAATTGTACTATTAGATATGAACCCAATGAAGACATAGAGATTGTAATAGACCTTCATAAACTCAGGCTGCTGTACCACAACATACAGGAGATGCCATGTGATTAAGAATCACGGTCAGATCACGTTGAATGTTCAGATTAATTAGTTAATAAGGTAGGGCCCATTATGACACTGGTTTGAGTGTAGTAAAAGTAGATTGTGTAAGTAGCATCTCTAGAAAAAAGTATGCCAGGTGTAGTCATGAACACAATGACTGACTGCATTGTTACCTGATAATAAGTCAGCCTGTTTGAATACTTCCTATTGTTGCTGTGCATATTGTCCATGACTAGCCTTGGAGACACTAGTAAACAGTTTATGGCCGATGTAAAGGCGTTGTCCTCCTCCAGCAGATAATCGCAGTTTTCTTCTGCAACTTTTAAAATCTAGGTTGAGAAATCCCTGCGTAGATAATATTTTTAAGTCAAATAATTAAGGCTAAAACCATTCCCTTAAATAAATCAAGTAATTTGATTATTTAAAAGGCTTGAGACAAACAGTTTTGCCAGAACTGTGGCCATTGAGTAACGATAAGGTGTAAGCTGTGAAGTGTTAGATATCCTGTAAGTCATAGCAAATACACTTTGTTTTCATTGTTATTTTTTCCACAGTTGTGTCTTTATCTAAAGCCAGGACATGCAGTAGTCCTCTCCATTTCTCAAGTGTTGTGGAAAACTTTTTAAAGCACTTCAATACTCTTCGATCGAGGGGTCACCTTTACTATTTTTCTTGGACAAAGTTGAAGTTTTCTCTCATTCTTTTAAAATCAGCAGAGATATTTTTCTGCAGCTTTTGTTGAGCAAGCCTGGCATCCTGGTAGTCCTCAGGTCCTACTGTTTCCTTTGTGCTTCTGTGCAAAGTTGTGTCCAGACTTTTTGACTGGGCTGGCACAACATAGCCAGGGGTGGCCGGGGTATCTGTGCACCCATAGATTATTAGCAGTTACATTTATTTTCATTTCACCATCTTTTTTATTGTATTTCTGCGTGAAGTTTAGTTAAATATAGAATGGAAAGTTAATGATATCAGAGAAGGATATCAGGTAAACATTGTTTTGTAGATTGATAATGGAAAACAAGCAGCTCCCTGTGTTCTGATATGTTTAAAGTTATATGACTGACATTGCATGTCCTGGGATAAGAACACTGGGCATATGCACATTGCTTTTGCAATAGTCAGCCAATAAGTTGCTCAGCCTGGTAGGATTAGATTGTAGTTTTTTTTTTTATGTAGACACACATCTTTGTGTCTGTATTTTCTAAAATAGTTGTTGGCTTAAACCAAGACTTTGCCAAGCTGGTTGCAGACAGTTCCCTTATTGTAACTTTGTAATGTCACAACAAGAGCAAACAGTAGGGATGACACAATCCAGTTTTGTTGGCTCAAATCCAAGCCTGTTCAAAGTTTGTCCCTCCGCTGAAACCAGGGCAGATATGTTTCATAAACAAATATGTTTATGTAAATGACACAGGTGCCCAGATGACACTCAAATTCAACCTGTTATACATTCATTCATTCATTCATGTCAGAGTTTGATAGGTGTATACAGAGGATGATGCACCATGGGAACCAATTGTACATTGCCCAGCTGTTGAGCCAGTGAATTACATATGAAAGGTTACATGTTGAAGTAAGGATGGCCAACAGATGGATTTGATCCATTACTCTTTTGTTGAGATAGGCTGAATAGATAGGTGTTTTTAGACAGAAAATAACACTGCGATTTTTAAACATATTCATATATATATTACACATGTTTTCCTGTCTGAGTGAGGGATTAGACTGTAGCCCCAGAAAATTGTCTGGATTTACAGTAAGAGATTTTTAAAGGCAATGAGCATGGAAGTGAATTATCTGCCTTTGTAATCAAAATGTAATTCTGTGATTATTGCTTATTTTTACAGGGACAAGGACCACAAATTAGCCATGGCTAGAAGTCCAGTATACACAGCATCGGTTGCTCTTTAATTAGATGCAACAATGTCTGCATGTATCGTCCCTGTCAAATAAGTGAATATAACTAAATAAATAGATAAATAAATACACTAAGTTGTTCTAAGGGTAAATCCCCAAGAATTAAAACAAGACATGCAAGGATCATTTAATGAGCGATTGATATTTAAGATCTTGTAATTTAATACATTTTTATTTTACTACAGGATTGCTCAAAACCTCACCACTAATTCACTGATACAGTTAATATGTTGTTTCCATGTTAACTCAAGTAAATCATAACCTCTAAGAATTTCGTCTCGTACAGTCTGTCAATATTAGAATTACTGATTTTTAACATTTTTCCATATATTTCCTTGAAAACCATAAATTCAGTATTCTTAGGGCAGTTTATTAAGATCAAACCAAAGCAGTAAAATTTTAATCTGCAAAAATAGCATTTAATAAAAAAGTGTAACTCTGCAGATGTCATTAATTTTAAATTTTGTTTTGGACCAATCACTGATCCTTGCCAACCATTTATCTTTATCACAATGTCAGATTCTGACATTTGTCTATTTTTCTCTCAAAGTACTTACAACCTGAATATTAATTGCAGTCACTTTGCCAAGAGCGCTGCACACACTTTGTGAACTACATGCGTAGAGTATCGGCCCCAAGTAAATTCCAGTAGTGTCAGCTTTACACAACCATTTCTGGTTACATGAATTCTAAGGTTTCTTTAAACTTCCTAAAAAAAACAATAATTTTGTACTTCAACAAACATAAAACCCCCAACATATTACAAAATGTTCTTTGTAAATTTTGCTTCTAAAATTTCTCACTTATGTAGAATTTGTTTGCCCAACATTAACTCCAGTACCCAGACTTCAGTCATGGCCTTCATAGAGTACCCCTGCTGTGATAGTTTGATCAAAACAAGATCATAGATATAGAAAACACTGATTTAGCTTTTGATTAAAAAAAAGAAACAACTCTCTTGTTAGGACCATACAGTTGTTGTCTACAACTCTCCCATGATGATTAAACAGAATACAGCTGATGTTGGAGGGCAGTTGGTTATGAGACCCCATTAGTGAACAGAGTTCTTGCTGAAACCTGATACAACACTTCATCAGGATAAGCAATTGAACTACTTTTCTAACGGTATATTGCTACCACTGATGTTTTCCTTCATTCATTTTGTTTAAAAATGTGAAAATACTACACAGTGCAGCTTGTAGAGGATTCATTCATCTAAGACATCTGCCACACTGTTTTGCACCTGAAGGTTTTACGAAGACGCTTCAGAATCAAAACGCTGGGATTTGTTCTGAATCTGCGCTTCTTTTCATTCATGCACAATCTCTCTCTGTGTTTCTTTTTTGTCTCCCTTGAGCCACATGTGTTTGCTACTGAGCATTTAGATATTGTTCAATTTATGCTTAGTGCCAGGTAAGAGTTCCTTTACTTGAGGATTAATATAAACAGGTCTCTACTGTTTATTTGAATTATGAAAAAATAAAAACCCTCCACATTTAGAGAGATGCCAGAGCAGAAAGTGTTTTAGAGTTGGGTTATTACAGTAATCATTTATTTAAGCAGTGATTTGAGTATTGTAGCATCTTACTTATTTTGTGTATCCTATTATTATTGAAGTTTTTCTCTGATAAATCTAGTATGGAGAGTTAAAGTCCTAATTTGCTGCTTTTAAAGAGTTATAGCTAATGAGAAATGAGGTTTTAATGGTTTTTGTTTTTGCATTTCAGTTGATAAGTAATGCAGCAGCATTTAAAAGGAGAGAAGTTTATTTCTTAAGTTAAAGATAATCTTTTGAAGCACTGACATTAGCTCCAAAGATGTGGGTGAAAATAATTGTGAGGATTCAAAAGCTTTTCTGTGAGCCACTGAATGTTGTTATTTCCTGTCAGTTTGTATCAAACATGCTTAACTCAGCTCTTGATAGAGAGCTGGTGGATGTAGAGCCCGAGTCTGAAGGGTTTTTCCTTCCTCTTCTCTCTTATCAAGGACTCTGCATCCACAGACGACATGTGGTAACACAACCTCCTACCACTAACACAGCATAGCGTTTACAAACCACCATCCTCTCAAGACCAACAGCAGCTCAGCTCAGCAGTCTGTCTCTCCGTCACTCTGAGCTTTTGGTTTCTAAGAAGGGAATTTCATGGGAGGAGAAGGAGGAGGAAGAGAAGGAGAAGAGGGAGGAGGAAGAGGAGTTGCATGCACACAAACCTGGAATAGTGCAGCACCAGTCCACTCTGGAGTTCAGGATCCCCGCCGTCTCGTCTCCCCTTTATGTTCACCCACCTTAATACTCTTCTCTAAAGTAACCCATAACAAGTGAGTCCACAAGGTCTTCTTTCTTTTTGTTAAATAATCAGCTTAAGTAGTGAATTTTTTTGTTGCTGTAATTAATTTGATTCACATTTCCTTGTGTGTGTTTGTATATTTCTGTTTTTGTGAAGTGCAATTGTCCTGTACAAACAGCCTGTATTTAATGCAGCTTGATTTTAAGTTAAAAAATGAAAGAAATGAAAAAGAGAACCTTTTATGCACTATCTGCCTTTTTCCTGCTCTTCTGGAATTGTAACAAATGTCTATTCAGTGAATATTTCTGCTTGTCCTCCAGGCACAACAATGTCTCTGCGCTTTTACTTCACTTTATTTTATTTTAGTTTTTTCAGTTGGTCTATGCTCCTTTTTAAGAAACGGGTAAATTGTATAGTTGACAGCACAGTAAGCTCTCTATATCAAACCATTCAAATCCTAATTATTTTTTCCCTATGCTTTTTTTAATTGTATTTTATTTTTGTAAGTGGTTTTCTGTACATGCTTTGAAACAATGGCAAAGTGTTTTCTCAGTCATTTTGGAAGTGTGAAGTGAAAAAAAAAAACATCCTCTTTTCATTTCTTCGAGGCATCTGACAAAAAGAGACCCCTGTTAACACGTTTGTCTGTGCAATGGATACTTGCAAGTGTGCGTGGGTGCTTGTGTGTATGTATGCGCGCACGTCTGTTAGTGTCAAGGCAGATTTGTTTGTGCAACTCTAAATTAGCTAAGGTGGTTCAGACAGCAGACCAGGCTGGACTTTTAAGGGAATTTATCTTCTTCATTATTTGCCCTTTTATTCAGCCAGTGATCCCTAACATCCCAAAAAGAGACTTTCACTACTACTTCTTGTTCCAAAATGCTTTGGATAACACAGTTTACATGCTGCAGTGCTATTTGAACAACTTCAAGCTAAGAACCACAGTACTTAAACATGTGGTGACACAAGTAGTCTAATTTACTCACAGTTTCCAGCTGGTCAGAGACTGACTTGCTGACACATCTTGTGTCATATTTAAACACCAGTACCTAAACATTGTTCATATTGCCCGTGGTGGGTGCCATATGATTTATAATCACCTGTTTCAGCTTTATGACAGCCTATGCCAAGTTTGTTTTTCATTGAACTCATTTTTTTTTTGTGTGTGTGTGTGGTACCGATAGATTTTTAGAGTCTACCTTTTACATTTGTTAATTTGACTCAAGCGAACAGACAAAGCACTGATTATTTTAGAGAAAATTTACAACAGGAGGAACTCTTGACTCTACATGTTTTTATTTTGACACTCAAACTAAGAACAAATCAGCTTTGAGTTCTCATGGTTGCGTAGCACCTTTTTACTCCCTTGAAATTTATCTGCTTTGGAAAAAAAATCACCCACAGCTCCGGAAGCCAGAGTACAGGGGTCCGTTTCACGTAGCAGGTTTAGTGGAAACTCCGAGTTTGTTAACCCTGAAATCAGGGAAACTCTGAGTTTTCCGTTTCACAAAGGAGGGTTAGTTAAACCAGGGAGAGAGGGGTAACTCTAACCTGTTTCACAAAGAGAGGTAACTCAACCTCGCGGTCAGTTACCACAGTAACAGACTCCGTGAACCTAACCTGCTCGGGAGCAGGTTTAACTCAGTAAACCCAGAGTTTCAGGTGAGACATCGGCATTTTCTCATTTTGATCATGTTTTACATTGTCAAGTAAGTATTAAGTGGCAGTTTGATCCCTTAAAAAATGCTCTTTTCACACTCAAAACTGAATTTTACTCTCTTATGATGTTCCGTTAAATGATTAGGAATATTAAACTAACACAAAAACGGGTGGTGGTCCAGCAGCCCCACCTTTAACGGAGGCAGAGGAGCTGCCCCCACCCCCCCCCCCACACACACACACACCAGTCCGACGATCGCTGCTACGGGGTGGGGGTTTCGATCGTCGGGGAGGGGGGGGGGGGGGGGGGGTGCTAAAGGTGGGGCTGCTGGACCACCACCCGTTTTTCTGGCATCTGCCCTCTTTCTGTTTGCTGAGTGAAAGTCTAATATTGAGTGTAGTGTGTGTTAGTTTAATATATGTACATATACATACTGAGAGTTAGTTTAATATTCCTAATCATTTAACGGAACATCATAAGAGAGTAAAATTCATTTTTGAGTGTGAAAAGAGCATTTTGTAAGGGATCAAACTGCCACTTAATACTTACTTGACAATGTAAAACATGATCAAAATGATTCAAGCAGTTTCCCTGCAACAGTCTGTCATTGTGATTGCACGAGACTAGATTTAAAGTTACGCATTGACGCGAGCAGCGATTTCCTCCCATGCCCTCTCCCTCTCCTTTGCAGCTGCTGCTGTATTGCACTTTCTTTTAAAAACGTGCTGTAATTCGCTGTTGGCTTGCTGCTGCCCCCTCCTTCTCCCTGTTTCCATTGGTTGATCATTGAATCTGCGCTCCACAGATGCTGGCTGTTTATGTCTGGCGTGCACGTGCTTAACTCCAGGTCAAACTACTCGGAGTTGTTAAAACCGTCTCAAATCAGGTATTGTGAAACCGGAAACTCAGAGTTAACTCAGAGTTTGTTGAACCACCTACGTGAAACGGACCCCAGGTCACTTACCTGAGATGGTCTATGAGTTCCTATTTTTTTACTTCTTAATTTTAACTGAATTTCCCCCTCTGCAAAGATAGTCACTGACTAAATCTGTACTTCTATTAGATGAACTGTATTTCTGCAAGATTAATGGTTTTATTTCAAAAAAATTCTGTTGAATATTTCATTGTTTGAAAATTTGTGTGTATATTTTTGACTCAAACTTTCAAGGAATAAATCATTTTGCTTGAGGTAGATTTTTGCCGTGGACAAAATGTGATTCTGGTTTGTTTTGGGATGGTCAGGTAAACCTGTGTGTCTTGGCAACAAATATTTCCCCTGTTATCACATTTTGGTTTGCGTGATAAAAAACACAGCAGCAGTCATATTAAGTTTATACCAGTCTTACTCATAAAAATGACAATCCTAACTATTTCACCACATTTAGGTTAGTGGTGGGAACATTATTAAAATCTTATTAGTAGATAAACTTTTATTAAAATCCTAAATGCCTGAATTTGCTGCTCTTGAATATGCTCTTGTGGCAGAGAGGCCAAAGACCACTCAAATTTATATTGTGAAGTCAGATGTAAGAACAAAATGTAACCCTGTAAAAGATGTTTTAAAATTTAGAATATAGAGACTGGAATTAACTTATTTTTGAGTTTTCGCTCAACAATTTTAAAGCTTCTCCTTGGAGTTTTTGACCACTGGGGGTGCTATAGAAACATACTTAGATGAGGAGGTACTTGCCTTGCTAGCATGAACATGCAACACAAAATTACCATTGTAATTTTTTTCCATTGACTGTAGGGGGCGGTAATGTGCCTGACAGTTAATATGGTGTAAAAAGTGTTAATGAATAGTTGAAAGACCATGAGACCACATGGCTGAAATAAAAAATACTGTTCCTTGACAAGGGTAAGATCTTTAAAAATGTTTGTTAGACATGGACAACTGGGATAATGCAATTAGTTGTTTTGCTCATAAATATAAATGTTCACACAGGATACTTTGTGGAGTAACTTTAAACTGCCAGCCTCATTTAAAATGAAAAAACTTGGTGTTCTGTGGCGACTGAAATCCTGTCAGGTTGGAAATTTGGTTGTGTGTGTTTTTTTGCTGAAGAAAAACTTTTTTTAATATTCTGTCCCATCGCAAAGGCCACAAACTTAATTTCAACAAAAGATTGACCCTGGAAAAGGAAAAGTGTCAGTCACTTGGTTTTCATTTGGATCCTTTATACCCACAATCAAAAACTCTTCAAGTTACACAAGAGAATTTAGTGAATAATACTTTTTTTTTTTTTTTACATAATCCCCTCTTTTGTGTCATCTGGCGACTGTCTAGTGATGTGCTGCTTTGCTCGTACTCAAGAAAGTATGTGCACAAAATGTCGCAAGCAGTTTCCAGCACCCAGCTGTGTTTTGTAAAACTCTTGGGTGTTGGTGAATTTTAAATTTTTTGCATATTTTCTTTGTTGCCTGGTAAAGAGCAAACTGTATTAATTTTTTTTTTTGCATCTGGAGGCCACTGAGGACCCCGCACTCTCTGGCTTTCTGCATAACCCCCAAAATTTGAGAATTCAGGAATTGGTCCTGCCGGATGCTGGTTAGTTGTTCATTATAAAACCGACTAACTCTAAACATTGAAAAGCCTTTTTAATGTTTAAAATTGCTGTAGGTGGAATGTTAACAGATATCAGAAGTGGCTTGGCTTTGATTTGTCACATTTTGGTGTTTTATTTACATTTGTACATTTCTATTGCACCCCTGTTTCTCCATAGTCCCCAACAAAAAGTGAACAAAAAAGGATCTGGAGCATCTTTCATCCTTGTTTGAATTTGTAATGAACTGAAATACCTCATAACATTTATAGGAAAAGTTTTTGTCTTGTGTTTTTGTAGATCCAAACTGCAGAGAGCAGTTTTTTGTGAATCTCCCTGCTTTGATTTGTAACACTGATCTATTTGGGTGGGATAAGCCTGTGCTTGTGTACAATATTGGACTGAATCGTGCTGAATCTAACAAACAAGTGATAAAATTAGTAACTAGGAACACTATTGGCCTTGTGATATAAGCTGACCCTCCTCTCTTACCCACACCCACTTCCCTGAATGCTCACCTGTGTAATAAATTCACCTCATCCACATGTGTGATGTTCACTTAGCTCAGATCTAGAATTGTATGGAGAGTTCAGGGTTTAGAAATGTGAGACGTAAAAAAAAGAAAAGTAGGTGTGACTTAATGACGATAGTCATATGCACTGATCATCTGTATAATCAGCTTTTTCTTTTTTTCTTTCAGAAAGTTGTTATTGTAGAGAAGAAAATGAGATTATAAAGCTATTTACAGAGTTACCTTTGGTTGCCTGGAATGCATCCTGTATTTTCTTGTACGGAGGACGGCCTGGCAGAAGAGATTTTAAATGCTTGCACCCTTTTGTACATATTGATGTACCTCGGTTGTGGCGTTTACTGTGTGACCCTTAGCAGTGTTGGTTTCTTTGTCCCCTCACAGGGCAACATGAGCCTCACTTTGCTGACCTTTTTCAGCTCATAAATAAGCTCACCGATTTGCCTTACCCAATCTCATGTTGCCCCCTAAAGTACTTGTTCATCTAAACACTACGAGGAGGAGTGATGCTGCTGACATTACACTCTTACAGTTAAAAAAAATCCTGTCCCTGTGTTAGGGTACTTAAGCTATCAATAAAGTGACTTTGTCCTGGTTCTCACAAGGTACAACTTTTCAACCAATTGCTGGTTTGTATGCTACTTTTTTCCCCCCTGTATTACCTTTCACTCTCGGTCTTGAAAGCTTATTTAATTTCTCACTGCGGATGATGTCATACTTTTAACAAATGCAAGTGTTTTAACATGGTAACCTCGTAAGCATTCAAAAATGTGCATACATACATTGTCTGCTCTATTTATGGTTACATTCAAGAATAGCTTTAGAGTGCTGTAGATAAGTATTGTCAATGTTGATTCAAATGCTTCTAAAAGGCCTCTGTGAGTGATTTGACAAAGTTCAATAACTGTATATTTTGTATTATGTTCTAGCTCCAAAGGAATGGCAGGATAAAAAAAAAAAGAAAATGTTTAAAAAAGCTTTGTTCCCTGAACTAAATTGTACTATTTGTGTTGTCGATTGAACAAATTGCATTCCTTGCTTGTGAATTGATGCATTTCTCTCCCTGCTCCTTAAATTTCCCCCCTCTTTGCCTCCTTTCTTTCATTTTTTAGCCTTTGAAGTTTGAATAAAAATTCTAGTTTGCAGAATGTATTACTAAATAAATGGGTTGTTATCTTGTACCTCTCATTTCATCACTTTTTACCTCTTTAGGCCTGCTATATAAATAACACTTCCTACAGTTGATGTAGGAAAAACGTGAACCAACATTAAACAGTTATAACAACCTTAAACGTCTGCACAACAGTAAGTTTGTTGCAATAATGCAGTAAAGGGTTTTTATTCACAATACACTTTGCATTATTAAGCAAACTCATCTTCAACACCATCTATAAAGAGATAACTTGTTCTGAAAAGTTGAGGGAAAGCACTGCTTATAAATATACCTACATATAAAATTCTCTCCCAGAGAGATCATCTTGTACTCCTTGGTTGTTTACTGAGAACAAGTGATGAAAACTAAATATCTACAAAGAACATTTGCAGCTCAAATGTTACATACTGATAAATTTCTAGCTGAAAAACATCAAATTAATCAAAGTTTAAGTACGCTTGCAGGTAGTGATACGTGCTGATACAAAATGTGTTCAAAGACCAAAACCAGTGTTAGCTGTTTTTTCTACATCTAACATTTTCAGATTTGTTCAATTTAACACAGAAATCTTTAAGCAAGAGCAAATATTGAAAAAAATTCTCATCCAGGTGTCAGACATACCTCTGAAGATAATGCAATATCCCTAAGAACAGCTGTGTATTTTTTTCAAAATGAATAATTTTTAAGTAGCTTAAAGAAGTGGGATATCACGTTTCAACATTTAAACTCTGTGATTCAGTGCCTCACTTTTGTCTGTGATTACCAGCAAACCTCTGTCTTTCATCTCTGCATGTTTCACACCTCCTGAGATCTCCTCAGCACAGAGGTGCTGGTGGACTTATCAGGGTATCCAAGTGGTGTTTGCCCCCCCCTTTCTTCTGGCACTGTGTGCTGAGTGCATGTAAGGGGCTCAGGCTCAGAGGGATGGGTCAGGGCAGTCCACAGCAACTAGGATTAAGAACCGTGGGAGGGATTACTTTAAATGTCAACATAATGTCATGAGCTGTGTTAGAAGGTCAAACGTTCAAACGGTGCTCAGTGGCGAGCAGTTAATAGATCAGGTACGATTTGGATTGTTGTGGCTCCTGTGATGACAGACTTGCATGTTAACAACAAGCTACTTTTGGACGAGTTTATGTGCACGGATAGATTCATAATGCAAGTTCCAATTAGTTTTGCCACTTTAAGAGCCTTATCACACCAAAGAATAATTTTTACATCTTATTTTGAGTTTGAATATGGTAGTAGCTTAGATACAAAAGGATATATCAGGTCATTCACGCCATAGCTTTTATATTTACATTATTTCTAAATGATTGGTGCTAAAATAGCATCCTAATCAGGCATCAGTCCAGCCAGAGGGGGGCAGTGTTAATAGCTGAGAGAGATTAGAAACACCATAGTGAGCAGTCACACTCAAGAAAAACAGCGCTCTGAAAGTTAATTAATGACAACAGAGTTTCTGTAAATCCAGTCTAGTTTTTGGTTGCTGAAATAACAGTATTTAACCCTTATGATTTAACTTTTAACAAAAAATTGTGTCACAATAATCATTCAGATGTTTCAGTTTAACATTTTGCCTCTATTTTCATGTACTTCTTAGTTTTAAGTGTTAAATTAATCTGTTCGGCTGCTCTGGGAGCCTCTCCCTCTGGCGCTTGAGTTAGTTAAAAAGCACATTGCCACTAAATTCAGAATAAAAAAATCTTCGTCTTTACTAAAACAAGCATATTTATAAGCATGTTTACCCCCATTTGAGCCATTTGCATGTTAGAACACAAAATGTGACTCATTAGATCCTGGCCCACCTGTGCACCCCTCATGACTCATCCTGAGCCTCTATTCCTCCACATCAAAAAAAAAAAGGAAAGAAAAAAAAAAACGAGCACATTGGAGGAGGCCATCATCAAATGGAGCTGGCTCGTCATCTGCCTGCCATTGTTTAGCGCATGTCATGCTCTGCTTCTCATGGCGGAAAAACCCATTTGAGCTTAACTAATGCAGCCATGCAGACGCAGCGATAAGAGGTGGGGGGTGGTGGAGCACACACCACACACACTGTGTGTGTGTTATGGTCGCTGCGCTGAGGTCACCGAGCTCCACATTTGCTAATTTGCTTTTGGAGTGCACTTGGAGCCAGATTTTCAGGGTTGCGGGGAAATGTTTGATTGAGTTAAGCACAGGAGAGCAAAGGGGGAAAGAGAGGTCTTTGACAAGTGTTTCATGAAGACGATACAGCCCTATATGCATGAAATTCAACCACATTTATTCTACGCCTCTCCAAGCACCCGCCATGTTTTTCCTCCTCCTCTGTTCTTCTTTCTGTGAGTGTTCTCGTTGCCTGAGGTCACTTTGTCACAGAGAACACGAGCTTTTCTCACTTGGTTGCGGGGATTCAATGATCGGTGTGTACAAACAAGTATATCAGGCAGCGATGACATGCACTCACCCACCTCCCTCCCCCTCCTCCTCTGTCCTACAGACATCCAATATGTCCTCCCTGCTCTTTTGCTCTTTCTTCCTGTCTCTCACTTTCACTCTCTGGGAGTGAACATCCCCTTGCACGAGGTGGGTTACACAAGCTGCTGCCCTGGGAATCCCGGGCCAGCTCATTATCCTCCACCCCTTAGACACACAGCCCACTGTAAACTAGGACATCAAACCGCGCAGGCTTGTTAAAGAGCCACAGATACTCTCATTAGCATCGGCACCTTTCCTCGTTAGGCCCTGTATCAGACTGTCCTGTCATTCCTCCACTTTGACTGGAGGATTCAGGATTAATGTCAGCTTTAGCCAGCAGGTCTGCACCGCTGTGGTTCAGATAGCGCTTCTGATTGATCAGTGGTGGCGGGGAGCCGTAGAATCTGTTGACAGCTGCCCACAGTCCTCGTCACTCTTATCCATATTTCATTGTGTCAAAGCTCTTTCTCAGAATAACTCATCTGGCAAGAGGTTGGCTGGTTGTGTGTCACAGCTACAGGGGATGGATGAAATAACTGAAAAGCCTTTTAATTTGACATGATGGCCACAGGAAACACCTGTTTTGTTTATTTTGAAGTCCTAATGGAGATTGCGATCAGTTTTAAAGTTTCTGACCAGTTCAATTTGTGAGTTCTGAGTTGAAAGGCACTTTTTTGTGAACTGTACTCACTGAATCCTGGTACTTCATCATGAGTGGTTCATCTTACAAAATTGTTCTGTGGACTACTCTGTTGCTCGAGAGGAAGATTTCCAGTCTTTTGGTTTTTCAATCGAAAAATATGTCCAGCATTTTTCATGCAGTTCAGATCAACATTACATTTGGAGCACATGTCAGGAACTGTTTGTGCTGATTTTGGCGCCCCCTCTGGACAAAACAGTACTGCTTATCTCTTGGATCATCCTGTCCTGTAGACTTGTAAGCTTTTTTTTCCCAATGAAAAATCTTATTATGCTTCCCTTTAACATTCAAATGCACTGCAGGGATTTGACATTGAAAATGTAAACATATGGAAATAGCTGTTTTGGCAGCATGCTGTGTCACCACCAGACACCTATTGTGCTGCATCTATTACAGACATGAACATGATTTTATGAAGCCAGACTTAAGTGCTCCTTGGCTCATATGGAGACATCAGTGTTAACTTCAATCTGCCACAAACTAGCTGAAAACTCATCACAGGAGCCTTAGATAGATTAGATCAGATTTGATTATATAGAAAGTTATGGTTCCTTTTTGGGAAGGTTCCCTCAGGGACATCAAAAGTTTAAAATTCAAGCGAAACGTAGGAATTGCAGGAATAAAAAAAAAAAAATCTAATTTTCTGCATTAAAAAATCTCGTATAAGTGAAGTACATGAGGTAGTTAGTGATCAATGGCTTGAAATGTCCACATGAATTGAGTGTGAGAGATCAATAACTTCACCTGTCTGAAGCACAAGAACCAAATATAGATTTTTCCAAGTTCAGAGTAAACCCACACAATACAAGTGTTTGACAGTTAATGGAGAGATATTGTTATATTTGCACAAAAGTTCATTCCCCAAGTTCAAAAACGGTTGGGATATAAAACAGATTTTGATGGTTTACAAATCAGTCTTTCTTTAAATTTGTTTTAAAGTAAGCAGAAAGTACAAACCTCATTCCATTGATGTTGAGACATTGTGTGAATAAAAACAGAATACAATAATTTGCAAATCCTTTTTGACCAATATCCAATTAAAACCAACACAAAGACAAAATAAAGTTCAAACTTTCCTCTTCCTATTCTTACTTGATGTACGACTTCAGCTGCTTAACAGTCTGGGGTCTCTGTTGCAGTGTTGTGCGCTTCATGCTCCACACATTTTCAAAGGGAAACAGGTCTGGACTGCAGGCAGGTCGGTCTAGTACCCACTCTCTGTCACATGCAGAATGTGTCTTGACATCGTCTTGCTGAAGAAGATGTGGCTTGGATGTCAGCATATGTTTCTCCAAAACCTTTAGATACCTTTCAGCATTAATGGTCAACCAGTATGGTCCTTTTCCTCTTTAGCCCACAGGACACCATATCTATGATTTTCCAATTGAAATGTGGACTCATCAGACCACAGCACACTTTCCCACTATATGTCAGTCCAGCTCAGATGAGCACGGGTCCAGCGAAGCCTGCAAAGTTTTGGGGGGTTGTTATATGGTTTTGAACTTGTGGATGTTAGAGATGAACTTTGTTAACTGACAATGGTTTCCTGAAGTGTTCCCGAGCCCAGGTGGTATAAATCCTTTACAGAAGGCTTCAGAGTGATTTAATTTGCCTTCCCCTCTTCTTTTTAATCAGTGCAGTTTAGGGTTGGATCAGTTCACTTGGTAACTCAACAGAAGGGTGCCAAAAAAGAAGGACTGTTAATACATACATGCCATAGATTAACGTACTACCAAGGACCAACCAAACTTGTGTAAGTCAAACTTGGTAAATAACTTGCACATATGCGAACACTGCCTTGGTTTCATTCATTGTTGCACTCATGTATGTCCAAAGAGGGTGGTTACATTCACTTTACATAGGTGCAGGGTGATTAACCAACAGCAGAGAAAAAAAAGAAGACAAGCCCTCCCACTCACACAATACCATCAAAAGTTTTGTTATTCAATATGTGACCCTGTGGCCTTAGCCAGGTTATATTTTTTCATTTATCTACATCACAAGAGCGTTTGACTCACTTTGGATGGGACATGTAGCAGGTGCAGCACTTGCACTCCAGAGACCTGATTTCACA